CTGTGTAACAACTGTCAAAAATGGGGTCAAACAGTAGAACCCTAAGAAATTAATTGTTCTGTGTTTTAAAAGTAAATTTGAGCAGGACAGTGGTGGCGCACGCCTTTAGTCCCAGCACTCCGGAGGCAGAGGCAGGCGGATCTCTGTGAGTTAGAGGCTAGCCTGGTCTACAGAGCGAGTTCCAGGCCAGTCAGGACTGGTACAGAGAGTAACCCTGTCTCAAAAAAAAAAAAAAAAGTACATCTGGAAGCCAGTGTGTGCGTGGCTCCCAGTGTGTGCGTGGCTCCCAGTGTGTGTGTATGTACTCCCAGTGTGTGCGTGGCTCCCAGTGTGTGTGTATGTACTCCCAGTGTGTGTGTATGTACTCCCAGTGTGTGTGTGGCTCCCAGTGTGTGTGTGCTCCCAGTGTGTGCGTGGCTCCCAGTGTGTGTGTATGTACTCCCAGTGTGTGCGTGGCTCCCAGTGTGTGCGTGGCTCCCAGTGTGTGCGTGGCTCCCAGTGTGTGCGTGGCTCCCAGTGTGTGTGTGCTCCCAGTGTGCGTGGCTCCCAGTGTGTGCGTGGCTCCCAGTGTGTGCGTGGCTCCCAGTGTGTGTGTGTGCTCCCAGTGTGTGCGTGGCTCCCAGTGTGTGCGTGGCTCCCAGTGTGTGTGTGTGCTCCCAGTGTGTGCGTGGCTCCCAGTGTGTGCGTGGCTCCCAGTGTGTGCGTGGCTCCCAGTGTGTGCGTGGCTCCCAGTGTGTGCGTGGCTCCCAGTGTGTGGCTTGGTGGTAGAGCTTTTACCTCACACACGGTAGGTTCCGTTCCCTGAATGCACACACCCTTCAAGAGTGAACTGAATGGATGTAGAAACGTAAACGGAAGAAGCCTGGTATTTGGAGTATATGGAGGTGCACACTTGTAATCTCAGCACTTAGGAGTTGAGACTTGAGTTCAAAGCCAGCCTGGGCTACTGTGTGAGACACTGCCTCAAAAGAAAAAGGGCTGGGAGTAGTGATGAACCCCAGCCTTGGGGAGGGGAGGCATAGACAAGAGGCTCACTCATTCAAAGCCACCCTGCTACATAACGCGAGCTCGAGACCCATGCTGCTTACATAAAACTCAGTGCTCGGGAGACAGAGGCAGGCAGATCTCTGTGGGTTCGAGGCCATTCTGGTCTACAAAGTGAGTTCCAGGACAGCCTCCAAAACAATACAGAGACACCCTGTCTCGAAAACCCAGGGAAAAAAAGAGAGAACACCAAGACCCAGATGGTTGTTACTTCAGTGGGAGAAAGCAGATGGGAAGAAAGGGTTGGGGACATTCCCCTGTGGTAGACACTTGCCTACCACATGTGAGGCCCTCCGGAGCCACAAAGTGGTAAAGCGTTAGAGTGTTTCCTGCCCCTCTCACATATTTGGTATATTCCTAAAGGAAACTTGCATTGCAGCTGCAGTATTTGTTTAAAAAAACATTAGGTCTGTCTTTTGAAGCCTGTAAAGCACACTGGTGACATCTAGGAGCCTTAGCTTGTGTGTAGTGTCCTTGTTACAGGTGACAGCAGGTGGTGCTTGGTGGCTCCCAGTCCTTAGAAGGTTGTAAGTTTGAGACTAGCCTGATCTACATAGACTTACAGGAAGGCAGGGATGCTACACAGAGACCCTCTCTCAGACCAAAGTGACAACAGTTCTTTGCATTTGGCAGAGTAGGGTGAAGTCATGTGAACCATTGGCAGATTGTCTTGGTTAAGTAGTGACCTGAGAACCAGAGGAACCAGTTTCCTTTTGACAGCATTCCCAGACTCCAGTCTGTAATTTTACAGCAGCTCATGTTCTGAATGCCTGCCAAATTAGGGTTTATGCCCTTCAGCTTCTCCCTGGTTTTCGTGGAGAGGGGGTAGAGGGTATAAAAGACAGACAGAGTCCTGCTCTGCTCCTCTGACTGGCCTGGAACTCAGTTTGAGTAGACCATGCTAGGCTTCAGTCTGAGGTGATCCTTGCCTCTGTCTCCTAAATCCTGGAGTTAGGAATGGATGACCATCTGTCCAGCTTTCCTGATTTTCTCACTAGATTTGGAAGTGATAGAAGTAGTTTTGTAGTCTAGGTTGGATGTGCCTGTCTAGGCATTTGGGAAGCTGAGGCCACTTGTAAAGACCTTGTCCCCCCCCCCAAAAAAAAAAACGTGTTTTAGTATGTGTGAGTGCAGCTCATGGGTAGAGTGCTTGTCTGGGCTTTTCCTCAGCACGGAAAAGAAGAAACCAACAAACAGGAGACATACCTTTCGTGATTACCCGCACATACCCAGAGCAGTCAGGTTTGGGTTTTTTTGTTTTGTTTTGTTTTTATTTTCCCATGACAGGGTCTCTCTGGCTGACCTGGCACTGTAGACCAGGCTGGCCTTAAACTCAAGAGCTCAGCCTGCCTCTGCCTTGTGAGTACTGGAACTAAAGGCGTGTGCCGCAACACACACCGAAATTATTTTTTCAGTCTTTTTACTAAACAGTCAAAGCCCTTATTAAGAAATAACTTGCTGAGTTTGTGTCCAGCCACATCCTTCCAGCCTTGGCATGTTACTGTGAGTGACCCCGTGACTGAGAGCAGAGGCCTCCGACTGGGATAAAGGCCCAGGGAATGTTGCTCCCAAGTAGCTCTGCTTTGCGCTTTCCCGCTGCGGGCTGGTGCCCCTCAGCCCCTCCGCTGCTGAGGAGGCCTTGCCCCGGCACCTGGGCTCTGAGCAGATCACTGTGGATTCAGATCTCTCCAAGCTTCAATGCCTGTGTTTGGAAGCAAAGGGTGGTATCTGTGGTTCTGTTTCATTGGGAAGATTATGTTTTCGTGTTTGTTTTGTCTATTTACTGTGTGTTTGTGTACGTGCGCCCTCCCAAAAGCATGCCATAGCACTTGAGGTCCGAGGAGGACACCTTTTGGGAGTGGGCTCTCTCCCGCTGTGTAGGTACCAGGGTGGACTAAACCGTGTGGCTTGGCTGCAAGTGCTGAACCATGTTGCCAGTGTTCTGGTTTGGGGGTTTTGTTGTTGTTTTGTTTTCTAGTCTCCTGTGGCCATACCAACCTTGAATTCACTGTGTTGTTGAGTGAGATTAAATTCCTGATCTTCTGCCTCTGCCTCTCACGAGGTGGGATTATGGGTGTGTACCAGCGCACTGTACTGAAAACCACAGAAAGCAGTAACAGCCACAGTTGGTGGCCGCCAGGACTCTCGCTTAGCATGACTCCTGTAGCACTGGGTCCCCTCGTGTTTTCAGAATGGGATCCTGACTCGGGCCTGTGGGCCCTCTTCATTTTGTGTTGTTGTTAGCAACGTTGCCTCCCCCACCTGACTGTGTAGGTTGGGCCAAATCAAAACCGGAAGATTCTGCTCTGTGTGTTTACTCTGGGCATTGTTGATCCATCCTGTATGTTGTAACCTTTGGCATGTTGTCAAAAGCATCTGTTGCAGGTGTATGCCAGCTGGTTCTTTTTCTTTTCTTGTTGAGATAGCCTTGAACCTTGAACTTACTAGGCAAGTGGGTTACCACTGAGTGAGGTGTCACCAGTTCTTCCTGGATTTTTTAAGTTTTGAGACAAGATCTTACTTAATTCCTCAGGCTGGCCTTGAACTTTCCATCTCTCTGGTCCTTCCTCTGGTAGCTAGGGTTACAGACCTGTGCAATGAGCCTTGCTGGGAAGATGTTTCAAGTCCCAGGCATGAGGACCAGCACCCACATGAAAGCCAGGAGTAGCACAAGAATCTTTAACTCTGCCCATGCTGGAACAGGGCTGGGAGTGAGTGTGCCACCGCATCCAGCCTTTTTTTGGGTTTCAGGTATTGAACTCAGATCGTCAGGCTTGTACTAGCCCTCCCCCCCTTTTTTTTCTGTTTTTTTCAAGGCAGGGTTCCTCTGTGACTTTGGAGGGTGTCCTGGAACTTGCTCTTATTGACCAGGCTGGTCTCGAACTCACAGAGATCGATGTCTCTGCCTCTTGAGTGCTGGGATTAAAGGCGTGCACCACCAACGCCTGGCTGTGCTATTCCTTTTACCCACCTCACTGGCCCTGAAAATTTCCTTTTCTGTTAGTTGAGATTGATTGGCATATATGGGAGTTGCTGAGGGGAAGTATTTGTTCTGCACAGTAGCAATGTGTTGTGTCTGTAGATTGGTGTTTTGAGAACATCTAGTTCCGTGCCCATCATCATAACAATTTGAGAGATGTATTGGAGGCACAAACCCGCCCTGTGCATTTTCCAAGATTATCTCCAGTGGAGGAGAAACTTGACACGAGCAAGCTGGAGAAGAGCAGCAGCTCTGGGTCGGTTGGGCTTGAGAGCTGTCATTTGGTTGTCATCAGATTGGCCTCCAGCTGGGCACACAGGACAGTGTGCCACTGCAGAGGAAGACAGGGATCTGTGATCAGCTTCTGGTGGCTTTCCATTCTTGAGGCCCTCCGAGAGAACTTTAGTTGCAGCGATTCCCTCGCCTTGTCCACAGCCTCCTGACCAGCCTCTAACAGTGACTGCAAATGTGTCTGCCTGGAATACCGTGTTTGGTATTTTCCCTTTGGTTGGAGTGAAACAAACCTTAGGACTCCCTGGAACCCAAGCCCACAAGCTGGGTTGCCCGTTAGAGGTTAGAGACTAGAGTTAGGAAGCTTGTCTATGAGGCTCTTGGGTCTGAGTGTGGATTTTGTGAGATTGTCTTTGCAGGAAGATCTAGGGCCGGGTATGTGTCCAGCTAATGCTGTGCTGAGCAACCCCTTACTGAAGGGGTCAGGGACAGAAGCCACCTGCAGCTGCAACTGCATCAGATGCGCTGGACTTGGCTGCCAGGCGATATGTTCCTTTCCATAGGAGGAAGACAGCATCAGGACAGACTTTGGGACCAGGTCAAGAGGAACTGATAAGCTCAGAATACTTCGCTTTCTTTTCCTTTGGAGTATCTCAAAGACCCCAGACTTCCTCCTAACGAATGTGTGTGTCCTTTGACCCCGGGACTGCTCCCATCAACCCACATGGGTTCTGTTTTGTTTCAGAGTCTTGTGGAGTTACGAAGGTAGTAGGGAAATGCCGGGCTTCCATCCCCAGGTGGTGGTACAATGTCACTGACGGGTCCTGCCAGCCATTTGTGTATGGAGGCTGTGAAGGAAATGGCAATAACTACCACAGCAAGGAGGAGTGTCTTGAGAAGTGTGCTGGTGTCACTGGTAAGACTGGAGTTCGGAAAATTTGATGTTTAGAGTTCATTGTTAGGGCTTTGACTTCTCTCTGCTGGGCCTTCACTCGGTCCAGAACCTGGAATCGGGTGGGATGCAAAAGCAGGCCCAGTGTGCTGGTTTCACAGCAGGTTCTCTGACTCTTACTGGAAGGAGTCCAGCTACCACCTGGCCTCCTGGTCCACTCCTACAGGCCCTTGTTCTCCAGGGTAGGGTTGTCTTTTACCTCTGAGACAAGTGACCTGAAAAGCTTACAAAGCCAAGCTAGAAGTTAGCACTAGGGCACTGTTAAGAGAAGCTTTTTCTTGCTAGCCGCTTTGGTTTATCACCCGCCAGTCGCCTGGGCTCTACCACATTGTAGTCCCCAAATAAACACACAGGAGGCTATATTAATTATGAAGCTGTTGGCCTTGCTTGTTTCTAACTGGCTAGCTCTGACTTAAGTAATTACCCCATAATTGTTAATCTAAGTATGTCTCTTACCGGAGAGGTTTCCGGGCTTCCTACCCCAATGGTGTTACATCTCGACTCTCCTGTGTTTCTCTTTCCCAGAATCCTCCTCGACTCCTAGTCCCTCCTATCTAGGTTTCCTATTGGCCAGACAGTGCTTTATTGACAAATAACAGGCAAATAACAGGACTTCCCCAACAGGGTACGCTCCCTGAAGTCCATCCTCTCCCAGTCTTATGAGGCTCTGGGAAGCCAAGATAGCATTGGCCCTTACAGTTCAAATAAAACCTGCTGTCCCAGCAGAGAGCTCCAAGTCCATCTCTCCCTGCTGTCCCCAGGCTGGGTCCCAGCTGCCCACAGAGATTGTACACAGCCCTTCCTAGCATGCAGATTTGCCTGGTGACCTGAAACAGCGATGGTTTCTGTTGAGCCCGTGTTTCAGTCAGTCCCCCACAAACAGTGATGGTTGTGGTTTTCTGTGTACTGTCCTGCTGGCTGCTCTCTGTTGGCTTTGAGCTGTGCATTCAGAGATCAGCCAGCACCTTGAGGTGGTGTGAAGACATCAGCATTGGCCTTGGGCAGTGGCCTCAGGTCTGTGTGGTGGGTGGAGTGCACAAGCCAAGCGTGGGGAAAGAAAGACTGCTTGCTTGCCTGGGGACTGGAGAGAGAGGGACAGGAACTGATTTTAGTGTATCGATTCAGTTTTCCTGTGTCGTGCAAGCAAGTTTTAAACTCTCTCCTGTTCTTCTGCCTCTCAAGTGCTTGGTTTGTGGGAGCTCACCACCATGCCTAGCTAGGGTGTGACTTTTAGATGGTGCAGGCCAGCCCTTCACCTTTTGGGTGGTAACTGGTTCATCCAGAAACTGAGTGCAGAAAATGTCATTTCTGTGTGTTTTCCTCTCCTGTGTGTGGGGGAAGAGTCGGGAAATGTTGTTTGCTACCCTTTGGTGTGCTGTGACCATCTCAGAAAGAAGGTTGAGGTGAGCATGAGCAGGAGACAGTGAGCATAAGGCACTCATCACCCCCCTGGACGTGGTTGGTCCAGAACCTGACCCCAGCTGCAAGGGCCTGGACAGCTTTTGGTGGGCATTTGGTTGTATGTCTCTTGGCACTCTCATGGGAAGGAATCTGTAAGGCAAGCTGAAAACTGCCAAAGCCACTGGAGTCCTTTGCCAGTTCTGTTGAGGGTGTGTGCCAGCTTATTAACTTGTAATGGGAACTAGAACCTCCCAGGGACCAGACTGTCCCTGTGCCTGAATTCAGTCTCCAGAGGCGAGCCTTCTAGCACACTGCCAGAAAGTGCCTGATGAGGGGAGCTGGTTAATGAGGTGACTGCTGGATGACATCAGGCCAGCCCAGCCCCAGGCATTTCCACCTACTATCTTAATTTGTTCTAGAGACAAAACTACATCAGATGCCAGGCACGGTGTTACCCAGCTGCAAAGCTGAGAGGCTGAGGCAGGTGGGTTCCAGAAGTTGAGAGACCAGCCTGGGCAATATAGCAAGATCTTCGGTCCAAAAAAGAAACATCCACACCCCCCATAAAAAAACTGGCTGTTGCCGGGCGTTGGTGGCGCACGCCTTTAATCCCAGCACTCGGGAGGCAGAGGCAGGCGGATCACTGTGAGTTCGAGACCAGCCTGGTCTACCGAGCGAGTTCCAGGACAACAGCCTCCAAAGCCACAGGGAAACCCTGTCTCGAAAAACCAAAAAAAAAAAAAAAAAAAAAAAAAACTGGCTGTTTTGAAGACTGTTTCTCCACTCCACCCCCCACCCTCCACCCTTCTATTGGGACAAGATCTCTGTATTGCCTAGGCTGGCTGCTTTGACTAGCTTGCCTCGGCCTGCTAAGTAGCTGGGACTACAGGTATGTCACCATGCACATTCTAAGTGTGTGTGTGGTTCAGCAGTATTAGATACATTGCACTGTTCTGTGCCTTTAAGGATTCTAGATAAATGCAAACTGGGTGTGATGGCTCATGCCTAACCCTCCTATAGGAGGGTTTCTGCAAGCCTGAGGGCAGTTGGACTGTATAGTTTCAGGCCAGTCTGAGTGACAGGTGATAACCTGTCTGAAAAAGTCAAAATAAGGAGCTGGAGAGATGGCTTAGTGCTAAGAGCATTTACTGCTCTTGCAGAGGACCAGGGGTCAGTTCCCAGCACCCACATCAGGCAGCTCACAGCTGCCTGTAATCCCAGTTCCCAAATCCACTATCCTGTTTGGCTTCCTCAGACATCTGTAGGCGGGTGGAACTCATAAACTCATGCTCATTCAGGCATGCACACAATTTTTTTAACATTTAAAAGAAATGTGCCCCTACCACATAACGTAGAGGCAGCTCTACCTGAGACAGGCACGCTCACTCAGTTTGTCTTACCCTTTCCCTAAGCACCTCCATTAATCTCTGTTTGCTTGAGATCTGTGTTCAGATGAGGACACTGAGTAAAGGCCAGGCCTGGAGACCTGAGTGAGATCCAGGAGCACCATGACATAGACCTGCGTACACACACTAAATAATTTAAAGTGTCCTGAAAAAGGACTCCAGAGAGAGAGAGAGAGCGTGCGTGCGTGCGTGCGTGCGTGTGTGTGTGTATGGGCGGGCTCAGCAGAGTAAGTGGCCCTGGAAGCCCTGACTATGGAAGTCCTTTTGCTTCAGCTTGTGCTGAGTCCTCAGACAGCCCAGGGCTCTGGGGAAAGAAGAAATGAGGGCTGCTTGTGGCACACAGGCCCCACTTGACAGTGTGTTTCTTTTCTGGTCTGTGTCCCTCACAGGGAACACCATTGATGGTGTGGCCAGGAACGGAAATGGAGCTGAGTCTTCTGTCCTGAGTGGTAGGTTCATAAGACCCAGGAGGAGTGAAGGACCCCCATGCATGTGAAGGGACACTTGTGACCGGGGCTGTAAAGTGTTTCCACCTCTGCTCCTCACTGGGGCTGCTGTCTCCCTCCCTCTGCTACAAGCCCTTTGCCCTCTGCCACCCTCCTGTCTGTCTGTCTGTCTGTCTGTCTGTCTGTCTGTCTGTCCTCTGCTGTCCTTCATCTGGGGCTTTGTGTTAGTTTGCTTTGTAGAGCTGGCAGTAGCCGCCCTGCTCCTCTTTTATGCTTAAGGGACTCTGCGGCAGGAGCCTGGGTGAGTGGTCCCTACTAGCAATTGTACCCCTGGGGTTAGGCCCCAGGCCAGGGGCTCAGCAGGGCCAGCAAGACCTGCCCTTCCACAGAGCCGGGTGGGCGGGGAACTATATACCCCACTGGGGACAACCCACCCCTCCCCCCAGCGGCCAGTCCCATGTACCACAGTCTGGGCCATGGTCCTCCATTGCTGACGGCACATGTGGGAGTTTGGTAGCTGCTGGCACTCTACAGGGTTACGGAAAGCTGCCGGGGTCAGGCTAGAGCACTTCCCGTCATTCCAGGTCCTCATTGGCTGTGTAGGACCCTGCATGGTAACCCTTATTTCCAGCCTATCTCTGAAGGAAATTTCCCCAGTAAAGTTTCTGGGTGTGTCAGAAAGTGAACAAAGCTGTTTTCTTGATCATCTCAGAAACATGGCCTCCATTAGTTTTCATGGTAACCATTGCAGTGGCACGAGTCCCACCTACCTCCAGTGTTCATCCAGTGTGTCCTGTGCTCAGAGGACATCAGGAATCAGGGATATGTCCACTCCTTCAGTGGTGACACTGCCTATGCTTCCTCCATGGGCCCTTTACAGTCAGCCCTGCTAGGCCAGGTGTCCTGTGTCCCTCCTAACCAGACTTTTCCTGTTGCAGTTCCCAGGAAGCAGGATTCTGAGGACCTCTCTGGTGAGATCTTCAACTATGAAGGTATAACTTCAAAACTACCTTATGTGGTTGGCATTAAGACTCACTAGGAGGGACTTGGTAAGCAGGGCCTCCATCAGACAGGCATCAGTGTGCCAGCAGAGTGAAGGCAGGGGCTGTGTGCTTCTAGAAGTACCTCAACTCTCACGGCTCTGTGCTGCGCGTCACCGGGCCACACCGGCGCTCTGGCCCCCAGGCCTTTCACCACGCAGACGGCACTCTGCACCTGCTGAGCTGCGTCTGCAAGCTGCTAGGCTTGGCTCAACTTCCCTTGGCCCTGCTGAGTTGTCCTGAGGCTTCTTTGCTTTTGCTTCTAGAATACTGTGTCCCAAAGGCTGTCACTGGGCCTTGCCGCGCAGCCTTCCCTCGATGGTACTATAACGTTGAGAAGAATTCCTGTGACAGCTTCATCTACGGCGGGTGCCGGGGCAACAAGAACAGCTACCTCTCCCAGGAGGCGTGCATGCAGCGCTGCTCTGGCAAGTCAGCTGACCCCACCCCTTGACCACGGGGCCTTTGAGAGGCCGTTCCCTAAAATGAGGGCTTTGGAAATACTTATCGGACCCTGGAATGACAAGGTCTCAGAGCCTCCGGAGCTCCTGGGGAGTGGAGAGCCTTAGTGTTCAGGAGACTGAGGGGACCCATTTGTTTCCAGTCCTGAGGATGGAGAGCATGGTGTACTGACTCAGATGTTGTGTTCTCCTTAGGCAAACAGACATATCCTATCCTGGCCCCTGGAATAAAAGGTAAGTGACCTCTTAGCTTTCTCTCGATGCCTTCCTGGACTAACTGGCCTCTCTGCCCAGCTATATTTTCTACCTTGTTTATGATATCGTTCCTCCCTCAGTGGAATGCCCTTGTGGCAGAGTGCTGTGTCTGTATGAAAGTGGCTACGTAGCTTGGAACTTGTGGACATTTGTCCCACAGTAAACACTATGCAAGTGGAGGCTGGGCCTGAACCCCTATGTAGCCTGTTTGGGCACAGAGGAGTGCCTGGTAGACAGGCCTGTCCTATGGAGTCCACACACAAGCCTGAGGTAACTCCAGGTTTGGAGGGGACTTAACCGCCATGAGGAGTGAAGCGTGGCCAGGGTTGTCAAGAAGCAGTCTGGCCTGGCGAGGAGGAGTCCCTGTGCTCTCCCACAGAGAGTTGTCCTATGAGCCTGCCGTACTGGTTTGGCCTCTTGATCTTTTTCCTTGTTGAGGAGCCAAGACCTGGCTTACAAGTCTGCCTTGTTCTAGAAGTAGAATCTGGTTCTCAAGGCTGGGGCTGGAGAGGTGCCCAGGTCTTGAGGGCAGCCGCAGTGAGGAACCCTGGGTCGCTCCCAGTACTGCTGGGTACACCCTCACCAGCCAGGCTGCATTTCTCCGGCAGCCACCTGCTGAAGCTCTTCTGTTGCCACTCAGGAGTTCAAGGAAGTTTAAAGTCGTCCTGGGCCACTTGGACCTTGTCTCAGATAACCAAACCAGAGCTGATGAGATGGCTCAGCAGGACTAGGGCACCTACTTCCAAAGGTGACAGCCCAGGTTCCATCCCCAGCACTCACATGGTGGCTCACAGCCATTTGTAACATTAGTTAAGGGAATCTATGCTGGCAGACACACACACACACACACACACACACACACACACACACACACACACACACACACACACACACACACTGTTATCAGGTACAACAGACATTCTATACATGTGGCATTGCAGGGACCATGCTGGCAGGCAGTCTTTCCAGTCTCAGGATGAGGAGGGCATCTGGTCCTCTTCTGGGGTCCACTTGGGCCACCCTGCTGGCCCTCTGTCCGTGTTCCTCCTCGTCTTACCTGCCCCTCTTTATCCCTAGCGGTGGTCCTGGTGGGGCTGTTCGTGACGGCCTTGGTCCTCCTCCTGGGGGCCTCTGTGGTCTGCCTGGTCCGTGTGGCACGCAGGAAGCAGGAGCGCGCTCTCCGCACCGTCTGGAGCACTGGGGATGACAAGGAGCAGCTGGTGAAGAACACTTGTGTCTTGTGAAGGCCCCGCTGCTGGAGAGCAGAGGGAGGGAGGGCATGCGCTTCTCAGAAACAGAGCAGCGGCCGCCTGCATCAATAAGATCATCAGGGGAGTTTGGTCCTCGCCTTCCCGGGCCAGGGAGGCTCTTCCTTGTCCTGCTTGGCTGCTTACCCCCTGGCTTCTGTTTGGCTGCTTACCCCCTGACTTGTGTCCTCTCAGCCGCTCCCTCCGCCTCTCCACCCATTGCCTCCTTTAGCATCACTGGTATCTGGTAGCTTGCTTTGTTTGATTTATGTGGTATTTTTTTAAGTAAAGGTTTTTTAATTGGGATTCTGAAAGAAAAGATGGATGTTTAATGAAATGGATGAAATGGGCCTTTTCAAATAAAATTTACTACGTAGTTTGTTTGTTTATGGCAACAACATCTGCTAACGTGCATCTGAGGACTTGGTGTACAGACAGGCCTTTTGCTCCCATCTCTTTTTGGAGATACTTTGTTTTTTCTTTTTTATACCATATGGGTCCTGTGTGTCTCAAGCTGACCTAAGCTGTTAATGTAGCTGAGGTGTGTGACATTGCTGCCAGCTCCTAAGTGCTGACATGACAAGTGTGTGTCCCTGCACCTAGACCCAGGGCCTCCTCTGATGGGCAAGAACTTCACTCACAGAGCTGCACCCCAGTGTCCCTCAAAGGTGTTTTTAAAGATTTATTTCTGACAGGTGGTGGTGACACACACCTTTGATCCCAGCACTCAGGAGGCAGAGTGGACTCTTGCAAATTCCTAGCCACATCCCTGAATAGTCGCTGACTCATTGAGGAATAGAGCTAACCCGTGGGTACAGCTGAGGACAGACGGTGTCTTAGTTTCTATTGCTGTCAAGAGACACCATGACCATGGCAACTTTTTTTTTTTTTTGATTTTTGAAGGTTTCTCCGAGGCTTTTGGAGGCTGTCCTGGAACTAGCTCTTGTAGACCAGGCTGGCCTCAAACTCACAGAGATCCGCCTGCCTCTGCCTCCCGAGTGCTGGGATTAAAGGCGTGCGCCACCAACGCCCGGTGACCATGGCAACTCTTATAAAGGAAAACATTGAATTGAGGTGACGACTTACAGTTCAGAGGTCATGTGTGTCGTCATGGCGGGGAGCGTGACAGCATGCAGGCAGATGTGGTCCTGGAGAAGGAGCCGAGAGAGTTCTACATTTTTAAGTCACAGGCAATAGGAAGAGAGACACTAGGCCTGGCTTGAGCATTTGAAACCTCTAAGGCCATCACTAGTGACACACTTCAACAAGGCCACACTGCTCCAGAAAGACCACACCTCCTAATAGTGCCACTCCCTATGAGCCTAAGGGGGCCGTTTTCATTCATGCCATCTCGGAGGGTGTGGGGCAGCCTGTCACACAGCACTGACTGATGGGGTCCAAGAGAGACCTGCCTGGCCCTGCCACCTTGCAATCCCTGCGGGCTCCCCCCCCCCAACTCTCATGGAAACCCGTGTCCTCCACATAAGTCCCAAGGCATGATCCCTGGTAGGGTGTCATTCTTCTGTGGAAGAAAGCACTGTCCTTGCTTCCCTGGCACGTGGACACTCTAGAGAGTCTGAGAGGCAGGCAGATGTCTCTAAGTTCAAGACCAGCCTAGTCTACAGAGTGAGTGTCAGGACAGCCTCCAAAGCCACAGAGAAACACTGTCTCAGAAAACGAGAGAGAGACAGAGACAGAGACAGGAGTGTGTGTGTAATCCTGGGACTCAGAAGCAGAGGGAGGAGAATCATGGGTTCAAGACCAACCTGGGCTATACAAAGATAGCAACATTTGGGCAGGAGAGATGGCTCTTGCAAAGGACCTGATTTCTATCTCCAAACACACATCACACACATGGTGGCTCTCAACCATTTGTTATTCCATCACACACACATACACACACACACACACACATGCACGCACGCACGCACACCCAGAGAGCCATGTCAAGTTTATGAAAGGCTCTGGAGCCAAATGTCCTATGATATGTCTTCCTGCAGCTCTGTTTGGGGGTTGGTGACCACAGAATGTCTGTTTACAGTACTGGAGAAGTTGCCATTTTGGCCCTTATATGATTGACAGTGACGATAACGGTCACAGGTCAGTCGGGTCCGATGGATGACAGAGCCTGTAAAGTGCTAATCCTTCTCAGGCCTGAGGCTCAGGGTGCAGTGGACGGCAGTGATGCCTCACTTTGTTGCCTGGGATGAAATAACGTGAAGGAGTTTGACCATGCCCCCTATTGGGCACATTAATCAAAGTGTTGAGTGGAGCCGTGTGGTGGCACATGCCTGCTGTGATCCCAGCACTAGGGAGGCAGAGGCAGGCAGATCTCCGAGTTCAAGGCCAGCCTGGCCTACAGAGCGAGTTCCAGGACAGTCTCTAAAGCTACACAGAGAAACCCTGAAACCCTGTCTCGAAAAACCAAAAAAGTGTTGAGTGAAGCCACACACTCAAGCCCAGGTGGTTTAGGGCTGGGAACAGGACGGCTGCCAGAGTCCCCCATTGCACGTCTTGCTCGCCGTAAACTTGCAAACTGTTGTACTGGCATCAAACTCCACACATGGCTCTGTGGTGAGCAACTGGCACTAGCGGAAGCTGTTTACGCTGTTCTCTGGAATGGCATCCGTGGCATATCCTGCTACCAGGAACTCAAGACACTAGGGCTTCAAGGTTTAAGAGCAGGTGATCCTGACCACTATGCAGGTCATTCCTCGGGGTTGCATTTGCAGCTCCCATGTTTAGGGAGGAGGGGAGAGCTCTGATACAAAGCTGTCTGAAGATTCTCCGGGCTTTGTGGCACCCCTTGTTAATACCGGGCCATTGGGGGGCCCCTGAGCTACACCCTCAGCTGGCTGTTCCTCTTGTCACAGCTTACTGAATGGGCATATGTGCGTTCTTTCGGGGTCCTGTTAACAAAGCCCCCAATGCTTGGCTGTTGTGAGAAGCTAGAAAGTCAGTTTCTGACCCAGGTGTCTGGATGTAACCAGGATGCTAACTCAGAATGAAATAAGTCCTGGACTGACAACTAAGTGAAGGCCCAGCTTGGCCCCTTACTACGTCCCCAGATTTGCTGATCACTGTCCCAGGGGCCACCGCAGCTTTGATGGTGGTCACAGGCCAGTACAGTGCTTGTCTGATGGGGAGAAAAACGGTCCCTGTGTGCTGTGAGTGCACCCAGCTGCTAGGATGTGGTTGGATGGTGATAATGTTGTTTATAGGAGCGGGGCCTCTGTTCATGGAAACCAAGAAAGGCTAAACCAAGCCTTACCATACTCAACATTTCCAGTCAAACATGTGACCTCAAGCATGTAGGAGGAACCTCAGGCATAGAGCAGTCTAAGAAATGCATGCAACTGTCCCAGCAACTCAGTCCCTCAGAATTTGCCTTCCCTGCCAACTACAAGTGTTGACCAGAAACTTTTTTTTTTTTTTTTTTTTTTTTTTTTTGGTTTTTCGAGACAGGGTTTCTCTGTGGCTTTGGAGGCTGTCCTGGAACTCTCTCTGTAGACCAGGCTGGTCTCGAACTCACAGAGATCCACCTGCCTCTGCCTCCCGAGTGCTGGGATTAAAGGCGTGTGCCACCACCTCCCGGTGACCAGAAACATTTTTTTTAAGATTTATTATTATGAATACAACATCCTGCCTCCATGTATGTCTACACATTAGAAGAGGGCACCAGCTCTCGTTATGAATGGCACTGTTTGATGCCCTTGGCACCAAGGCTTTGGGGACAGAAGTAAGGCAAAGAAACAGACCTGCACCCCACTTGTGTCCTAGAGGAGTGCAGGGCAGTGAGGCCAGGGACCTGAGACAGACGAGACGCCCATTCTCACTCGCTCTGGCTTCCTACCAGCTTGGGCTTACACATGAGAAAAGCGACACCATGTTTTTAAGCACCGGTATCTTGGATCTCATCTCGGTGAATTCTACCAGAGAGCAAGCTGGTATCTTGGATCTCGGTGAATTCTACCAGACTATCAGAAGAGCAAGCGTGAGCCGGGCGGTGGTGGCACACGCCTTTAATCCCAGCACTCGGGAGGCAGAGGCAGGCGGATCTCTGAGTTCGAGGCCTGGCTGGACCAATAGCCTCCAAAACAATACAGAGAAACCCTGTCTCGTAAAAAAAAAAAAAAAAAAAGAGCAAGCGTGGTACCTATGGGGTGAGGGGTAAGGGGAGGTGCAAGTTAGAGCCAAGGCCACGACCTCCGCTGCTTTCCTACCCTGAAGCCAGCAGAGCAAGACAGCGGTAGCTCCAGGGTGCAGAAGCCTCAGCTGCTCCACAGTCGACTAGCTGTGTGCTTGGCCCAGGCTCGACTTCAGCACAACCCACAGTGTGGAGGGAGGGTTAAAAGTGCAGCCGACAGTATTGAACACTGCATGCTCAGGGCACGTAGACGCTGCAAAGCCATTTCTTTTAAGAGATGGGGGCATTTGTTGTTTTTTTGTTCTTTTTTTTTTCTACTTCATTATTCAGTGTGACTGAGCCACACCCCCATCCCCCTCATTGGATTCTAGGAAAGTGTTCTACCACTGAGTCAGGTCCATCCCTGTGTGTGTGTGTGTGTGTGTGTGTGTGTGTGTGTGTGTGATGCACGTGATGCACGTGCACTTGCACACTGGAGCACACAAAGATCAGAAGACTACCTCAGATATTGGTCGTTATTTTCTGTGTCGAGACAAGCTCTCTCTCTCCTCTCCATTTTGTTATTTAGTTATGAATATGTGTGTATCCGTGTGATAAGTGCCAGCAAAGCCCAGAAGACATCTAATCCCTGGAAATCGGAGTTATAAACGGTTGTGACCCACCACGTAGGTGCCGGGAATTGAACCCGGGTCCTCTGGGAGAGCAGCTGGTGGAGTTTGTGCTCTTAACTGCTGAGCCATCTCTGCAGCCCAGTCAAGGTCTTGTTTGCTCTGGGTGTGCAGGTCCAGTGGCCCATGAGCTCGTGGGTGTATCTGTCTCCTGTCTCAACCCCAGGGACATCAAGATTACATGTTCTACCTTGTCCGGTGCTCCTATTCCCCAGGCTCAGGGATCTGAACTCAGGTGTATGACAGTCACTTTACTTATTGAGCGATGTCCCCAGTCCCAACTTGCTTTGTTTCTTTGAGACGATGTCTTACTATGTATCCTTGGCTGACCTCAAACTCACAGGTATCCACCTGCTTCTGCCTCCAGAGTGCTGGGATCAGAGGCGTGCGCCACCACACAGGACTGGCTTATTGTCTTAAAAATAGATTTGTGTTTATGTGTGAGTGTGTGCTGGGCCTGTGGAGCTCAGAAGAAGCTGTCGGAGCCACCTGGTATGGGTTCAGGGAAACTCGACTCTGGTCTTCGTATAACACATTCTCCTAACCACTGAACTGTCTCTCCATCCCCTCCATTCTTTTTGTTGGTTTGTTTTGGAGATGGTTTCTCCGTGTAGCTCTGGCTGTCTTGGAACTCACTCTGTAGACCAGGCTGGCCTCGAGCTCAGAGATCCACCTGTCTCTGCCTCCCAGGTGCTGGGGTTAAAGGCGTGTGCCCGGCTTCTTTTTTTCATGTTTAGGTTTGTATGTATGAGTGTTTTGATCATATATATATGCATATATATATGTGCACTTTGAATGTAATTGGCCACATAATTTCACAGGGAGTGGCACTATTAAGTGTGGCTTTGTTGGAGTGAATATGGCTTTGAGGAGGAAGTGTGCCACTGTGGGGGCAGGCTTTCCGATGCTCAGGATCCCTCCCAGTGTCGCAGTCGACTTCCTGTTGCCTGCAGGGTATAGGACTCTCAGCTGCCTCTCCAGTGCCACGTCGGCCTGCAAGCTTCCAGGGTTCCCACGGTGATGACAATGAACCAGACCTCGAACTGTCAGCGAGCCATCCCAGTTAAAGGTTTGTAAGAGTTGCTGTGCTCATGGTGTCTTCCCAGCAACAGGAACCCTAAGATGCACCATGCGCATGCCTGGTGCCCATGGGGGTAAGGAAAAGGTACCAGAGCCCTTATGTACAGTTTCAAAACACCATGTGAGTGCACGGAACTGAACCTGGCTCTTCTGCAAGATCAAGTGCTCTAAACTGTGAAGCCATCTCTCCAGCCCCTCAACAGGGCTCAGAGTGGCCTCTAACTAGTAACCCTCCACCTCTCCTTCCTTTCCAGGGCTTAAATTCCAGGCCAGTTGTTCAACTTTACACAAGGGAAAACAGGTCCAGAGCGCCTAGTGAGGGTAATTGAGGTGCATCTGTGGCACTCCCCGGTCTGAGGTGAACTTGACGAGTCACCAATGACAGCACACAGCACTCTGAGTCACTTGTCTGGGTGAGGAGCAAAGCAAACAGGGTCTCCACCCTGAGGCCTGGCCAGACTTTCCCTTCTATCCTGAGCGAGCTGTGGGCCCAACCATCACTGCTCACACCACCCCTCACCCCTCATGATACAGACCAAAGGTCCCCGCCCTCCCTCGTAACCGCTCCCCTCCTATCTCCCCATCCTGATGTCCTCGGACAGCATTCCTGCCTGCCTGAAGGCCTTTGACCTCTGAACTCTTGTGTGTACAACACCCTTCCTATCTTCATTTACTATCTTTTTTTTCATAATTTTTTTAGATGGGGTTTCTCTGTAGCCCTGGCTGTCCTGGAACTTGTTCTGTAGACCAGGCTGACCTCAAATTCAGAGAAACCCTGTCTCAAAAAACCAAGAAGAAAGAAAAAAGTGTTCCAGATAGTGGTAAGCACCACTCGAGAGCTGGAACGATGGCAGACATTTCTGCAACCAGACATTGAAGCAGGCGTCTGGGGTAGCGCATGCTCATCGAGCCCTGAAGCAGCCACCTGTTCCCGCCCAGAGGCTCACTTCTGCAGATGCGAGGAGGCGCTTTGTTTGTAATAGTTTTCTATTATACTTATTTTATGTTATTACTTTGTGTGCATGTACACCTGAGGAAGTCCAAAAACAGCTTGCAGGAGCTAGTTCTCCCCTCCATGTCGGTCTCAGGGACTGAACTCAGCTCATTAGCCTTGGCAAGTGTCTTTACCCAATGGGCCACCACACCAGCCTCGTTTTTTTTTGAGACTGATAGAGCTCTCTGGCTGGCATGGAACTCACTCTGTAGACCAGGCTGGCCTGAATTCAGATATCTGCCTGCCTCTGTCTCTTAAGGGCAGGATTAAGTAAAGGTGTGTGCCACCAGGCCAGCACTCCATTAAGCAATGTAGCCCAGGCTATAGCAGAACTTTAAATCCTCTTGAAGCCTCCTGAGAAGCGGAGTTACGGTCCTGCACCACTATACCCAGGTTGGAACTAATGTTTGTGTTCCAAAACGTTAGATGGCGAAACCCAGTCCTAAATGTGGTGGTCCTGAAGTGGTACTGTTGAAGGTAATAGGGTCATGAGAGTGAGATTCTTAGGTGGGATTAGAGCCTACTTCCAGACATATGAAAGCCAAGCTGGGGCTGAGGAGATGGCTCAGTGGTTAAGGGCACTGTCTGCTCTTCCAGAGGTCATGAGTTCAATTCCCAGCAACCACATGGTGGCTCACAACCATCTGTAATGAGATCTGGTGCCTTCTTCTGGCATGCAGACATACATGGAGGCAGGATGTTGTATTCATAATAAATAAATAAATCTTAAAAAAGAAAAAAAAAGCGTTGACTGATCCCAGGCGGTGGTGGCACTCGGAGGCAGAGGCAGGCGGATCTCTGTGAGTTCGAGGCCAGCCTGGTCTACAGAGCTGTTCCAGGACAGGTTCCAAAGCTACACAGAGAAACCCTGTCTGGAACCCCCCCCCCCCAAAAAAAAGCAGGGCTGTTCTTCCATGGGTTCTGAGTTCAATTCCTAGCAACTGCATGGTGGCTCTCACCATCTATAGTGGGCATAAAGCCATACGTGAAGACAGAGCACTCATAAATACACAATAAACAAATCTTTATTAAAAAAAAAAAGTTGGGCAGTGGTGGTACATGACTACACGACTTTAATCCCAGCAGGGAGGCAGAGGCAGGTGGATCTGTGAGTTCAAGGCCAGCCTGGTGTATAAATCGAGTTCCAGGACAGTCAGGGCTGCTACAAAGAGAAACCCTGCCTCAAAAAAAAAAAAAAAAAAAAAAAAAGCCAAGACAACTTTTCAGGAAGCAGGCTATCTCCATTCTAGGGATCTCTTTCTACCTATGCCTGAATATCAAGTTCCCAGCTTCCACAGCTACAAGGTAAACTACTGCTTAAGCCACCTGCCGTGTTTGTTTTAACAGCCCAAATGAAGGCACCTGTCTTCATCAAAATAATGCAGCACATTTCACAAGCCCTTACTCTGCCAGGCACCAGTCTAGGAATTTAACCATGTGCCTTGTCTTCCGCCTTCACCCCAGGGTGCAACTTTGCTGAGCCCCCCCACCCCCAGCTGCCACCATGTTGCCCTAGCGTGGGCTCCAAATCCCTCAGACACTACTTTTCCCAGGCCGGAGGGGCCGGGAACGGGCTCGTCCGCTCCCAGGATCCACTTGCATGTCTAACCTCGTTGAGTGTACACGCATGGACTCTTTCAAACAAGCACCCCCGCGAAGGGGTAGTTCATGCCAGGCCTCAACCCTTTCCCCAGAGACCTGCAGCCGCTCCCACCTCCGTTCCCCACACAGGAAAAGTCTGGGTGAGGCTGGGAGCGGCACGGTGATGAGTCAGGGCCCAAGAGCCAAGGGGGCACAAAGGTCCAGAGGGCGGGGCTTTGCAGAATTCTTGAGGTGGGCAGGTCGTAGGTCCCACCCCACCCCCGCCCCGGGCACTACCTAAGCCTTCGGACCCTCCAGAGTCATCATCGCCATGGAGTTCGACCTGGCTGCAGGTGCGCTCCCAGGGATGGTGGGTTTGCGGTGGGGAGGGGGTGGGGTGGGGGCTCAAATCCAGGGGCTGCCACCGAAGGGACTCTCCCAGCCGCCTGCACAACCCATCCAACCTGTCTCTCCGCAGCCGTGGGCCATGGCTCTAAGAAGCCAGAGGGAGGTCAAGCGGGACACCCCAAGCACTGTCCTCTGAAAGCCCCGGGCCGGCCAGAGGCAGGCGCTGCTCACAAGCCAAAGGTGAGTCACCTCGCCACCTGGCACCGCGGCCCGAGGGCCCAGGATGGGGACTGGTTTCCGTCCTGGGCGTTCGGCCACATCTCAGCTTTCCGGCTCGGGTTGGAAGCTGCATGAGCAGGTCCAGCCCTTACCGTCCCCCGTCCCCCCCCCCAGCATGGACCCGGCAGCTCCTCAGACTCCAGCAGCAGCAGCTCCAGCGACTCAGAGGCGGAGGGAAAGGTAAGGGGGCGACCTCTCCCAGCATATTCTCATCATGCACCCCAGACTCAGGCCCGGCCAGAGTCAGGATCCCCGGTGAGGATCCCCGCCGCGGTGGGTGGGGCAGGGCCCGTTCCGCTTCCAACCCGGCCGCCTCTTCTCTCCCCGTCCACCGTCCCCGGCGCTCCAGAAGCACGCCGCTGGCTGCAAGAAGCACGAAGGCTCCTCGGACAAGGCCAAGAAACCCAAGGTGAAGAAGGAGAAGAAAAAGAAGGAGAAGAAGCCCCCCCACTGACTCATTAAAGCTTGCAGCCCGCCCCGCTCCCCAGCACCCCCTGCCGGTCAGGAGCGGAGGCCAGGCTGAACCCATCAGATTTATTGTTGAGGTTGTGCAGCTGGCGACAAGAGCACCTTGGCCGGGAGGGAGGGGCGCGGGCCTGGGGAGCAGGGGCCCGGGTCGGGCGAGATGAATGTGGCAGCTGGCGGCCGGGCCGGCCGTTCACCGCACCAGGTGAAAGGTGAGCCAGTACATGAGCAGCGGCTGCGCCGCCGCCACCGCCATGGTCAGGTACATGCGCAGCTGGTTGCGCGCTCCGCGTACGGGCACCCCTTCGGCAGCCGCCTGGGCTAGGATCTTCAGCCGCAGCGTCCGGATCTGCTTAGCAAGGGGCAAGACGGGTCAGCGTGGGGGTCCCTGCCTCTGCGGCCTCCAGCTTGCGCTCCTAGAAGGCTCCACTCAGTTGCTACCTCCCCAGGCCCTGTGAGCAAACAACTGTGGGCTCCCAGGCAGAGGCCAGGCGAGGCTCTGAAGGTGTAATTCAGGCGAGGAGCAGTAGCTCCCCGGCCTGAAGGGCGCGGCCTAGAAGCTTCCGCCTACCCGGAGACAGTGCCCTCCCTCATGCTAGGTAGTCCTCACCCTCCCTAGGCCAGGGCCCCAGAAGACATTTCCAAGACAAGCTAGAAGAACTCTTTCCTTTTTCTTTTTGCTCATGCTCAGGCGCGTTCTCTTTTTTGAGGGGAGAAGAGGGCAGGGTGTTGATCGGTAGCCCCGGTTGGCCTGGAACCCTCTATGTAGACCAACTTGGCCTCAAACTTCTGGGGATCCGTTTGCCTCAGTCTCCTTCCTCAGTGCTGGAATTACAGCCCCGAGTCACACTCGGCTTTTTTTTTTTTTTTTTAATATTCATGTGCTTGTTTTGTTGGGTTAGAGCATTTGTGCTCCGGTATGGAAGTTAGCACGGCTTGTAGGAGTCGGCTCTCTCCTCCCACTGTGGGTACCAGGAAGAGAATTCAGGTGGTCAGGCACGGCTCTTTACCTGCTCAGCCTCCTCACGGGCCCCAACGCTCAGGGTTTTGGATGTGTGCGTGCATGTGTGTGCGTGCATGTCATGATCCTGAGGTGCAGTCATGAGGCAACCCATTTTACAAGGGAAGAAGCAGAGGCATAAGTTGAGGAATGGATTCACCTTGAGTACAGCTCAGGGCCATCCTAAGCGTGGCAGTCCCCATTGCCCTTAATCAGGACTGGAAGGACTCAGCCTCCTTCCGGGGCATGCTGACAGAGAGCCCCGGATATGGGAACGGAAGTAAGGGCGAGTAGCAAACCCAGAGCCTCTGTCACCGGCAACCCTGGCCCCTGCTTCCTGACTGGTTCTTGCTCTTCCCAAAGGGCTCACACAGGAGACTCCCTCCTCCAGGGGACTCCTCGTGCCCAGAAGTGGGCGTTCTACGTTCAGCAATATGTCTCTGCTTGCTCTAAGTTCTCTGTCCCTGGATGCTCTGAAGACTTCCCCAGGTCTGTCCAGGAGGCCTGTGCTCTCCGTCTTGGTCACCCCGAAAGCCCCACTCACCATGAACACAAAGATGGACACACAGCACCAGCCAAGCACCAGGTAGTAGCCAATCTTCCCAAAGAGCAGGCCCACGAGGACCCCACCAATCATCCTGAGAGGGGGAAGAAGGCGGTTTGAAGAAGAGGCCAAGGTCCGGGACTGGCAGGCAGGGTAGGGCACTCACCCGACATATTTGTAGCCCAAGAAGGCCACCAGATCAATGGTGGTGAGGTCCGTGTTGACAGTGACCAGGTAGAGACTGAGCAGGATGGCAACAACTTCCAGGGTCAGCCAGGCCAGTGCTGAGCTCGCCTGCAGTCCCAGGAGGTCTGGGGAGAACCTGCCAGAAGTGACAACCACACTTGCTCTGTCGTGGGGCTGGAGGCTTAGGCACCCCCTGAGTGTCCCCCAGAGCAGCCTGTGTTGTGGCTGTTGGAGATGGAGCAGGGACCACCAACAAGGATCTGGCTCTGTCCCCAGACAGTGACACTGGAGTCAGGGCTTGAATGGGGGATCCCTGAGCCCTGCGAGGGGTGCCCGGGAGGGTTCCTCCTTAGAGAAAGGGCAGCTGGGCTGAAGCCTGACGAGTCAGGAGCTGGTGGGGTAGGACCTCGGGCTCTGCTCTATCCTAGAGTCTTAGCAATGAATCCACTGGTTCTACCGACTCGTGCTTTCAGTGCCACAAAAAGAAAGTGACACAGGATGGGAACCACAGTGAATGAGCAGGTGCTGGGAGCCCCGAGGGGAAGAGCCCATTTCCTAAGTCAAGACACCAACTGGGCTATGCAAAGGCCCTGGGGCAGCAGCCACGGGGCAGAGTGAGCAAGGAGTGGGAAGGATAAGGGGCAACAGGGCAGAGTGAGCAAGGAGTGGGAAGGATAAGGGGCCACGGGGCAGAGTGAGCAAGGAGTGGGAAGGATAAGGGGCCACGGGGCAGAGTGAGCAAGGAGTGGGGAGGATAAGGGGCAACAGGGCAGAGTGAGCAAGGAGTGGGAAGGATCAGGGCAACAGGGCAGAGTGAGCAAGGAGTGGGAAGGATAAGGGGCCACGGGGCAGAGTGAGCAAGGAGTGGGAAGGATCAGGGCAACAGGGCAGAGTGAGCAAGGAGTAGGAAGGATAAGGGGCCACGGGGCAGAGTGAGCAAGGAGTGGGAAGGATCAGGGCAACAGGGCAGAGTGAGCAAGGAGTAGGAAGGATAAGGGGCCACGGGGGCAGAGTGAGCAAGGAGTGGGAAGGATCAGGGCAACAGGGCAGAGTGAGCAAGGAGTGAGAAGGATAAGGGCAACAGGGCAGAGTGAGCAAGGAGTGGGGAGGATCAGGGGTTTGGTCTTTGAGCCACAGGCAGCTGAATGGAACAGGGTGCGGGGAGGCCAGGACCACCTCTTAGACCAAACGTTTCAGCTGCTACTACAGCGAGAGTACAGGGGTGGTGGTGGGGAGCGGCTCATTTGGGGGGCTGTGAATGTACGGACTGGTTTGCAGGTGGAGGGGGCAGGTTTGCAGGTGGAGGGGGCAGGTTTGCAGTGGAGGGGACAGGTTTGCAGTGGAGGGGGCAGGTTTGCAGTGGAGGGGGCAGGTTTGCAGGTGGAGGGGACAGGTTTGCAGTGGAGGGGGCAGGTTTGCAGTGGAGGGGGCAGGTTTGCAGTGGAGGGGGCAGGTTTGCAGTGGAGGGGGCAGGTTTGCAGAGTGAGGGCAGGTTTGCAGGTGGAGGGGACAGGTTTGCAGTGGAGGGGACAGGTTTGCAGTGGAGGGGGAGGGGAGGAAGGTTAAGATCACCCAACACAAAAGGGCACACTGGACTTCATGTGGGTGGGGAAGAGTGTCCCTCACTGATGTGACAACTCTTAGCCAACTCTTGGCCTCACATCCCCACCCCACCCCCTGCTCCAGCACCCTTACCTGTCCTGGGTCCCCAGGGCAAGGCCGGCCACCAGGATGTAGGTGATGAAAGCCATGGCTGTGAAAAGCAGAAGAGGGAAACCCTTCTTAGCTACCAGGCACCCAAACCCGCGTCCCAGACACGCCCAGGCAGGGCTGGGAGGGCGCAACCTGGAATGTAGAGGTCCGGAGCGTTGATGTCAAATCTGGGGGCCACTGGGGTGTCCTGCTGGTACTGCACCTCCCAGTCCTGTGGGGAGATCGGGGAGTGTCAGGAGCCCAGCGTGAGGCCCCCCCCATCCTGCTTGCACGCGGGCAGGGCTGAGCGGGTCATCTGACCTGGTGTAGGTAGGGGAAGACAAGCAGGCCCAGCTTCTTGCCCACGTACACGGTGTCCACCGCAAAGTAATACTTCAGCTTGGTGACGGGGATGAAGCGGTCGATCTGGGGAGGCAAAGCTCAAGCCTCAGGTCCCGAGGCCCCTGCCGGCCCCTAACCCACAGCCCAGCAGCCCAGGGGAACTCACGTTCTTGTCTACCAGCTGCTTGCCCTGAGCGGCCAGGCTGCTGCCGTAGGCCATTGCCATGTTGGACATGGGGTCAGCCAGGAAGGCTGCCTCGTGGGAGGCGGAAGGGGAGGAGTAACCCATACCACCAGGTGACGGCTGACCTCCATAGCCCCGACTCGGGGCTGAACTTGTGTCATCGAAAAACTGGTGGGGATCTGCCATGCTTGGCTGGGATCCCGGGACCCTCCGCTTTGAGGCTGCAGAGGGAAACAGAGGGAGCGCATTAATTCTGCACAGGTTCTATTACCTGCTCCAGCCACAGCCGGGGCAAGCATCACCCAAATAGCCCCGGGTGTGATGTCAGACGGGCTGCCACCCTAGCACGTACCCATCCGGTCACCGGCCACCACCAGTTCGGGTCTGTCACCTGCCTACACCATTCACCTCACCTGTCATCTCTAGACAAGGCATGGCGGTGGTGATGAGCGCCCATCCTGGAGCCTACCCTGTACAGAACCCTGAGCCACCATTGCAAGCAGGGCCCCTGTGCCTACTCCTTCCACACGTGACAACCTCAGTCTCCACCGCTGGCGTCTCAGGGTTCCCTGCCACGCTTGGCACACACTCAGCTCAGGGCCTGTGTTCTAGCCATGCCTCGGCCTGGAACGTTCTCCTCCTCACTCTCCCATGGCTCTCCCCTCCTGCAGCATACACTGTACCTCCCTGGGCAGCGCCCACCAATCCCTCCTCCCTGACAGCAGCACCGAGTATCAGCTGCAGATGACCTCTTTCTTTCGTTCACTGTAAGGCTCCCAGCAGGGGAATAGCACCTACTTCCCCTGAAGCTGCCTGCCCGAGCTCCCGCAACAGGCCTAGACTGGGCACTCGCCCTGTTGGACACACAGGAAAGACACTGCCCGGCCAGCTGCGTGGCTAGCACAAAAGCCAGGCTCTGCACAGTAGCGCAGGTGTTCAGCCCAGGAGTGTCTGGTGAGTGCTGTGATCATTTAACCTTGACGGAGCGCTGACCCGTACCACGCGTACAACACGAGAGCCCATTCACTCACAACCAGTCCGACTCAATTGGTGCTATTACCATTTTAAAACTTTTTCATAAGGCAGAATTGGGGTTTAACAAGATATTTCCAATTAGACTTAAGACAAGGGTTAAGAGAGAGGCTCTCAGAAAGAGAAGACACACAGATAGCATGGATGTGATTCTCTAAGAATCACAGAAAGTAAGGTGTACCCAGGCAAGCAGGCAATGGGCTTCTCAAGGCAGTTTGTTATTGTCTACATTTAAAAAAGTTATTTATTTATTGTGTATACAGTGTTTTACCTGCATGTACACCTGCAGGCCAGAAGAGGGCACCAGACCTCATTATATATGATTGTGAGATACAGCATGGTTGCTGGGAATTGAACTCGGGCCCTCCGAAAGGGCAGCCAGTGCTCTTAACCTCTGAGCCATCTCTCCAGTTCCCCTTTGTGTGCATTTTACAGGAGAAAGACAAGACCAAAGAAGCTGAGATTTGAGGCTGGGAGGATGGCTCAGTGGTTAAGAGCACTGGTTGTTCTTATAAAGGACCCGAGTTCAACTCGCAGCGCCCACAGCCACCTGTAAAATCAGGGAACCAAACACTGCCCCAGCCTCCACAGGCACATGTGCACGCACGCACAAATACAAAATTAAACAAAATCGGGCTGGAGAGATGGCTCAGAGGTTAAGAGCACCGACTGCTCTTCCAGAGGTCCTGAGTTCGATTCCCAGCAACCATATGTTGGCTCACAACCATCTATAAGGGGGTCTGGTGCCCTCTTCAGCCATCCAAGGCTGAATGCTCTATACATAATAAATAAATAAATCTTTTTAAAAAAATTAAACAAAATCTTTTAAGACAACAACAGAAAACAACCCCAAGCCAAGGTAGATAGTACCCAAGGAATGGAATCCAAGGTTGACCTCTAGCATGCACATACAGACGCGAACACACACAAACATACACAACCTTCTCCCCCCACCCCAAAAAACAACGGGTAGAGTGCTGACCCAAGCATATGCAAGGTAATGGGTTACAAGACAGAAGGTTCTGCTCCCAGCATGGCATAAAACAGAAACGAAACCCCAAAATAATCCGTAAAAGTGCCATCTGACTTCAAGAGGGGGGTGGTAAGCCATTGGAAGAGTAGCGGCTGCTGAATGCCAGGCTAGAGACCAGGGTGGACATTGCTGGGGGCGGCAATATTCCCAGTGGCCATTTATGTACAGGGCTGGGGGCGGGCAGGACATGCTGAAGCCAGGCTGAGCTGGGGTGCGGAGAGCAAGTAGGAGGAACCCCTGGTCTCAGCAGGGGTAGGAGGTGTTGTGTGGGGAGACAGGGTAGCCCCAGGGCCCCAGATCCTGACTATTGAGCAAACCACCAGGAACTGTGTACACAGGACTGCAACTCGGAGAGGAGCAACCGGTCCAGGAGTGAACCTGCCTGTCAATTACGTCCTCTGCAGTCTACCACGCTGGCTGTTGTGATACCCCATAAACTTTCAGCCCGGCCTGGTGGCTCACATCTGCAATCCCAGCCCTCAGGAGGCTGAGGCGGGAGGATTATGTAAACATGCTTTGTTTTTAAAACTTCACTTATTTATATGTGTATGCATTCCCCCTGCGGTCGTGAGTCACCATGTGCGTGCTAGGAACGGAACCAGGTCCCGTAAGAGCAACAAGAGCTCCTACCCGATGAGCCCCTTCCCCAGCCCAGTGTGCCCATGCTTGTGTGTGCAGAGACCAGAGGTCCACACCAGCTGTCCCTCTCAATCCCTCGCCACCTTATACTTTGAGACAGGGTCTCTCACTGAACCTGCAGCTCACCGGTCTGGCTATGCAGGCTGGACAACAAGCCCTGGGAATCCCGCCTTGGCCTCCACGGGGCTGGGGCCACAGAATGTACTACCTATTTCCATGGGTGCCAGGGATCCAAACTCAGGTCCTCGCACTTGAGCAAGCTGCCCTTGCTTGAGCCATTCGCCCAGCCCTCCTTCACTGTCTTTTGAAACAGAGCCTTACTGTGTAGCTGGCTCAGGTTGGCCTTCTGCCTCAACCTTCCAAGTGTCTAAGACAACAGGCGTCTGTATACCTGGGGCTCACTCTTCCAGTCCCGTCTAACTAAGCATCCGGTGCCGTCCACCCAGGTAGTGTTAACCCTGCTTCTAAGATGCCACAAAACCAGACTCACCTGCCCATCTCACCCAAGAAACACCTGGCGAGGACTTCTGTCATGAGGCCCTGCTGTAGACACAGCAACAGACAGGACACGCAGTGCTCCTGCCTTCCTGGTCATTCTCTCAGAAGTGCATGCCCCAATTTCCCACCCTGGCCCTCCTCTCTTCCTCTCCCCGAGGGCAATCTCACTCACAATGAGCTCTCACACACACTGGCTCCTGGCTCCATCTCCTGGGCCCAGCCTCAGGTCTTCCGCCTCCAAGAACCACGAGTGGCTGCCCCTGGGCCTCGCCTTTCTGCCCACCGGGCCCTCCCTGACACCCGGCCAATAGCCCCCGCCTCTCAGCCCAGTGTCTCTTCCCCTGGGCTCTGTCACTGTCATTGAGTCCCACTGGGTCCTGACCGCTTTCTTTCTTCCCTCCAGTTTCTGAGTCAGCGCCTTGCCGGGGAGCTCACACTGCCTTCAAACTCACTACTCTCTGGAGAGCGGGGTCATAGGCGTGTACAATAAGCCGGGCTCCTTGTCCACTCCGAGTCCCACTGAAGGGGTCCCCAGTGGGCAGCCAGATGCTTCTTTTTTGAACAACGGAATGTTGAGAACCAGGGCCTTGGGCATGCCTACAACTTAGCGGCATCACCAGCCCTCATTTTAGTTTTTATTTTTATTTATTTATTTATTTATTGGTTTTTCGAGACAGGGTTTCTCTGTGTAACAGCTCTGGCTGTCCCGGAACTTGCTTTGTAGACTTTTATTTTTTTAAAGACAATCACACCATGTTGCCCAGGCAGGCCTTGAACCCATAACCGTCTTTCTCTCCAACTCCCAAGTGCTGGGATGATGGTTGTGCATCAGGGCTCTTCACTCCCTTTGTTTCCACCGCGATAGCTCCAATGCTTCAGACTGTCCCTGACGCGACAGCCCCATGAGGACAGGAGCAAGTGCCTGCTGGCCCCTCTGGGTTCCCCGCATCATGGGGCCGCCAGACCCTAACGCTAAGGAGTGAAGGGAGTGTGCGGAGCCTCCTCAGGCCCTAGTCACATCCCGGGCTGCTCTCTCAACCACTCCTGTCGACTGACACGTTTGCTCGCTAGCTAAGTGTCTCCCTCCTGAATCCTAGCAAGGACCAGGGCTTTGGTGGTTACGAGTGTGTGCCCAGATTCCAGCTCAGGCCCTGGCACGAGCATCACCGAAGCAAGACATGTCAGATGGATACAGGAAGCGCCCAGGATAGACATCAGGAGGAACTTAAAGAGGAATTCAAACCCGCAGCTGGGAAAAGGAGGCCAACGGGACGATAAGTACCGGTTCCGGCCGTAAACGGGGTGTCCATTCGGCCCTGTCCGCACACGGAGTGCCCCGGCGGCGTGCTATGGGGCGTGGGTGACAGCCCCTGGGCACTGGGGGGGCCTCTGAGCAGTGGGGAGCACAGGGGGACGAATGGCCCACTGCAAATGAACCGAAGCCGCGTTTCTCCGGACATCACACTAAATCCCACCTCAACTTGCTTTCTTTAAAGGGATTTCCGAAAGAGCCTACCCGCGACGCGCCCCCTACCCGGCCTTGGCATCCCTGCGCTCTGCACACCTAGAAAAACCTGGATCTCTTGACCTCCGTCCGACCTGGAGTGACCTCGCCAACCGCCACGACCGCCCCGCCACACCCTCTCCCGCCCGATCTCCTCGGCCACGTACGCCACTTACGCAGCCGGGGCGTCCCCGCCGGCGCCGCCAAACCTGCCGCGTGCATGCTTCGACGCCACCGCCGCGAACGTCCCAGCGGCGGTTCGGAATGGGCCGGCCCGGTTCCCGTAGCCACGCCCCAGTAGGTCTCAGGATGGCGCGAGAGAGCTACGCCCTCTAGGGAGAGGCCCGTTGAGTGGGCGGTGCCTTACGTAAGAGGCGGGGACTGGAGAGGCCGGCTGTACCTGTGGCAGCGGGCGGAACCTCGTACGGTGGTAGGAGGACAAGGCTTCAGGCCGGAAGGAAAACGTGCCTGGTCTTGAGCGCAGAGGTCGACGGGAAATGTAGTTCTTTACAGGCTGGCCGGCACCCGATTTGGTTAGTTGAGCGCGCAGGGAAGCTCAAGAAAGGTGAAGGGCGGATGATCGTCACAGTTATGTGGTCTCCGTCGTTTACACCAAGGCGGCACTCCTTCCTTTTATATTCAGGGTGAGAAACGAAGCTTAGCGTAGGGAATTACTTCTGTATTCCCAGTACTGAGGAAGCTGAAGAAAGAGTCGTGAGTTCAAAGCCTGTCTGAGCTTTGAACATAATGAGCTCTACTCTCAAAAAAAAGAAAAGAAAAGAAAAGAAAAAGAAAAAAGAAAGGAAGAAAAGAAAAAAGAAAAAGATAGGGGCGGTAGTGGCTCACACCTTTAATCCCAGCACTCCAGGGGCAGAGGAGAGCAGATTTCCGTGAGTTCGAGACAAGCCTGGTTTACAGAGTGAGTTCCACTACAGCTAGCGTTACACAGTGAATCACTGTCTCGAAAAACCAAAAAATGATGAATGAATGTATAAATAAGTAAGATTGAAAAAGAGACATTCGAGTCATGTCAGGTCAAAAGAGTTGATATCTTTCTTCATAGACATCTTTAGGCAGTTTCCCAAAAATTCATAAAAAATGTTCTCACATGGTGTTTTTTCCTTCAAAATTTTTGTCCACCAAACACAACGCACACAACCCCCAGCCTCTGAATATCCCCAAGTGCACCTTCTAACAGAGCCCTGAAAACCAGCTTCTCCCCAAGTGCACCTTCTAACAGAGCCCTGAAAACCAGCTTCTCCCCAAGTGCACCTTCTAACAGAGCCCTGAAAACCAGCTTCTCCCCAAGTGCACTTTCTAACAGAGCCCTGAAAACCAGCTTCCTTCTCTGTGTCCCTGGGTGTCCTTTTTCTCTCCTCCAAGACATGCCCCCTCTTTGTTCTGAGAAAGGATCTCACACAGTCCAGATGCACTTCGGGCTCACTAAGCTAAAAATGACCTTGAACTCCTGACTTTCCTGCTTCCACCTTCCTGCCTCAGGGACTACAATGTGTGCCACCGTGACCAGCCCCTTTCTGTCCCTCTTTCTCCCAGTTATCTCCGGCAAAGAAACATGGGAGGAAATGACTTTTTGGAAGTGATAGCACTCCAGAAGTAGGCGGTTAGCAAGCGACCCTGTCTCTGCGGCTTCCCCTTCCTCTTCTGGACTTGGCTTCTCTGGAGGAGCCCTGCCGCGCTGGAGAGGCATCATAGGCATCTGACTCCTAGGCGCTACCCCCATTTCTCATTCATCTTCTTGGTGATGTTTTGGGTTTGCTGTGAGCCTCTTCAGTGAACATAGTTACCTACCTGTACAGGTGTCTGTTGAAGGTTGATAACCCGATCCTACTTATAGCAGAGTCCTCAAATGCTCACCCCCGTTATGTAATATAATAGTGCAGCTAGATGTGTTGGCGCACACCTGTAACCCCAGCACTTTGGGACGTGGTGGCAGGAGGATCAGGAATTCAAGATCATCCTTGGTTAAATATTGAGTTCAAGGCCAGCCTGAGCTACTTAAAAATCCCTTCTAAAGAAAAAAAAAAAAAGCCAAAACAACATGGTGTAACAGTGCATGATATATGGCACTCCAGACACTGAGGCAAAGATCAAGAGTTTATAGCTCATCACGGTCATCTTCAAGAGTGGCCAGTGCCGGGCAGTGGTGGTGCACGCCTTTTTTTGTTTTTGTTTTACGAGACAGGGTTACTCTGTATTGTTTTGGAGGCTGTCGGTCCAGCCCGGCCGCGAACTCACAGAGATCCGCCTGCCTCTGCCTCCCGAGTGCTGGGATTAAAGGCTGTGAGTTCGAGGCCAGCCTGGTCTACACAGCGAGTTCCAGGACAGCCTCCAAAACAATACAGAGAAACCCTGTCTTGAGAAACCAAAAAAAAAAAAAAAGAGTAGCCAGTGCTCAGCTGGACAGTGTGACAACACCTTTAATCCCAGCACTTGGAAGGCAGAGGCAGTCAGATCTCTGTGAGTTCGAGGCCACCCTAGTCCACAGAGGGAGTTCCAGGACAGCCAGGGCTGCAACGTGAAACCCTGTCTCTAAAAAACAAACAGCAATAATAAAAAAGAGTTCTGGGCCATATTGAACTTGTATTTGTATGTAATGTGTGTAATCCTTCTTCCATATACCTGAAACCTTTATATATACATATATGTGATATGTCTATATTTAATCCTTTTTTTTCATTTCAGGTGCTAAAAATCAAACTTAGAGTTCCATGTGAGCTAAGCAAGACCTCTACTGTTCATTCTAAATTACTTATATTACTTATCCATGATATGATGTAAGTCCTATATAAATAGTCAGTTTTTGTATTGTTTAGGAAATAATGACGTGAAGGCTAGGACTATAGCTTAGTTAGTAGTGCTTGCCCTGAATACTTGGGTCCTGAGTCCTATCCTCATCACCACAAATGAGAACAATAAAGGATGGATACTGGAAAACTGTCTGTCCATAATTAGCACAGACTTATTTTTTTGTTTGTTTGTTTTTGGTTTATTTTATTTTTTTAAGACAGGGTTCCTCTGAGTAGTCCTGACTATCCTGGAACTCACTCTATAAACTAGACTGTTCTCGAACTCAGAGATCTGTCTGCCTCTGCCTCTTGAGTGCTGGGATTAAAGGTGTGTGTCACTACTGCCCAGCTCTTATTTTTATTTTTTAAACTGTGTGTGTAAATATGTGGGGGTATGCACACCTGGGCGCAGAGCCTGCAGAGTCCAGAAGAGGGCACTAGATCCCCCTGGAACTGGAGTAGTTATAGGTAGTTGTGAGCCATGTGACATGAATGGTGAGGCTTTTATTTTTCTTTAAAGCTTTTATTTTTATTTTATGTGTATGGATATTTTGCCTACATCTATATCTTTGTACCATACATGTGCCTGGTACCCTCAGAGGCCAGAAGAGGGTGCCCCATCCTCTGAGACATAAGCTACAGATGGGTGTAAGCTGCCATGTCATGCTAGGAATTGGAACCCGGGTCCTCTGCAAAAGTAGCAGGTGCTCTTCAGTGCTAAGTCATCTCTCCAGACTGGAACTTTTGTAATTCTCCTGCTTTTCCCTCCTCGCTGCTATGAACGTAAGTGAGTACCACATGTCTGGCTGCATTGCTTTTGTTTCCTTGTGTGTTGGTTTGTGACAGGACTGTCTCATAACCCAGAATGTTCTTGAACTGTAGCAGGCTTTCTTGGACTGCCAGCCCCCGAATCATGACATGGAGACTTATTATTAATTATGAATGCTCAACCTTAAGCTTGTTTCTAGCTATTTTTTCTTTAACTTAACCTATTTCTATTAATCTACGTGCTGCCCCAACACTTATTTACCTCATCCACGTACCGTTCATCCTGCTTTCCTGCTTCTTCCATGTTTGGCTGACTGGCACCTGGCTGACTGGGCCCTAGCTGGCTAGCTGACACCCCTTTCTCTCTGCCCTCCCCCACATGCCCTGCCTATTCCTCCTCTGCCTAGCTAAGGGCCGTTCAGCTTTTTTTGTTTGTTTTGTTTTTCGAGACAGGGTTTCTCTGTGTAGCTTTGGAGACTGTCCTGGAACTCGCTCTGTAGACCAGGCTGGCCTTGAACTCACAGATATCCACCTGTCTCTGCCTCCAGAGTCCTGGGATTAAAGGCATGCGCCACCAACACCCAGCTTGTCAGACCAATCAGGTGCCTTAGGCAGGCAGGGTGAAACTGCAACACATCTTTACATAGTTAGACAAATGCAGCATCAACAAAAGCAAACACATCTTTATATAATTAAATAAATTTCATCAACAAATATAACATATCTTCACATAGTTAAACAATTATTCTCAACACAGGCAGACAAATACAACGTATCATTACATAGTTAAAGCAAATAATCTATTCGACAACATTGAACTCCCTAGGTACCCTAGGGTAATCTGGAATTTCCAATCCTTTTGCCTCCTGAGTCCCAAGATTACAGACATACACCACCACTCCTGCCTTACTCTCCATTTTGTATGTGTTTGTATGCTATGCATGCACGTACATGTATGTGTGAGTTTGGGCATGAGAGTGTCCGTGTGCCTGTGGAAGACAGAGGACAGGTTGCAGGAGTCGTTTTCCCCTTCATCATGTGAGTCCCAGGGATTAATCTCACTTCTTCAGCCTTGTTTGGTGAGTGTTTTTAGCCACTGAGCCCCGCACTGTTTTGAAGCCTTAGTTTTCTGATCTGTCTATTGGGAATCATCTGGGAGTGTTGAGGACTCAGCAAAGGGCATATATACACAGGACCTGATCTAAGCCCTGGAACACTGTAGCTATTGTTACTGTCTTTATCATCAGGCATCTCTTCCTATAGACGGAGCCCCAAATTGGGCTGTGTGCCAAGAATTACCACAGTTTTATAAATAGAGCGGTTCCATGTATCTGAGCTGTGGTCTGGTTGTGGGCAGGATTCTGGTCTGCTCTCCTCACAGCTGCAAGGAGAGCACAGAGTTCAGGCTGGAGAGAGAGGGCTGTGGGGAGACCCATGGAAGAAAAAAACAGAAGGAAACAATGTCTCACTCCGTAGCATTGGCTGACCTGGAACTCACTCTGTAGACCAGGCTGGCCTCCGATAGAGATCCATCTGCCTCTGCCTCCCAAGTGCTGGGATTAAAGGTGTGCGCCACCCACTAGGCTACTTATTCTTTTGTTGTTTTGGAGATGGAGTTATGCTATACACAGTTCCCCCACATTTGAAATTTTAAATGTACATAGGAACATCTCAACTCCTGAGTCTGGGAGCTCTGTCAGGGGAGTGGTCCCTAGGAGCTGTCCATGATTTTATATATAATATATGTGCTAGCTTATTTCTGTGTGTATGGGTGTTTTGCCTGTATGTGAATGCCTCATGTCTGAGGAGGCCAAAAGTGGGCATTGGATCCCCTGGGCCCCCTGGAACCAGAGTTGCAGACAATTGTTAGCCACCATGCAAACGCTGGGAATGGATCGAACCCAGGCCCCTGCAAAGCAGGTAACGCTTTAACTACCCAAACATCTCTCCAGCCATTCCACCCATCTTTTTGAGACAGGCATCACTAGGTAGCCCAGGCTGGCCTGGAGGTGGTGATAGTTGCATTCTGTTTCCCAAATGCTAAATAGAAGCCACTACACTCTCACCAGGAGTTTATTCGTTCATCTTTTAGGGTGTTCTGTTTTGGTTTGTTCGCTGTGCTTTGTGCTTGTTTTTTTGAGACAGGGTCATACTATGTAGTTCTGGAACTTACTATGTAGACCAGGCTGGCCTCAACTCCTGGAGGTATACCTGCTTCTGTCCCTGCCTCCTGAGTGCTGGAATAAAAAGGTAGCCACCGCGGAAAGCTGTTTTTCAGTTTTTATTTGTTTGTTTTGTTTTTTGAGACAGAGTCTTGTAGTTCTTTCCAACAATGTCCCCTGACTCCTGACCAGTTCTTCCCAAATCATCACGACTCCTGACCCACAACTTTTTCCTTCTTCCACATCCTAGTGTCTCAAAGCAGCGACCCAGAACTCCACTGGAGATGCTAAGGCCTGGAGTGCCTTAAGATCTGATCAGTAAACGCCTGACTCACTTTGCCCCGGGTTGGCCCGGAACTCACAGCAGTCCTGCCTCAGGCTCCCCGGTGCTAAGATTATAGACAGAAGCCCCCACTCCCGAGGGGAGTTTCAATTCTTAGTTGAGAAGCTCAGACTCCCGCGGGGGCAGCAGAGTTGGAAGGAACATCCCGCAGGAAAGGACTCGTCACCCTTCCCATCCCGTCGGTCTCCCGGATCCAGGAGCGTCGGGCTCCACCCTCCCGGGTCCTGTCCCCACACCTGGTGTTTGGGCGTGCCTCAGTTTCCCAGTAGCAGGGCGTTCCGCCAGCCCCGCTCCTCCCCCTTTGCCTCTTCCTCTTCGGGGCGTCGGTGGCGGCGCCTGGAGCTCCCGGAACTACAGCAGACCGCGGCGGTGGGCCGGCGGGGGCCACGTCAGCGGGTGGCGGGGCTGTGCGGGCACCATGCGGCGGGGCGCCCTCCTGGCCGCTGCCCTGGCCGCCTACGCCGGGTACCTGGCGCTAGGCGCACTGCTGGTGGCTCAGCTGGAGCGGCCGCACGAAGCCCGGCTGCGGGCAGAGCTGGGGACGCTGCGGGAGCAGCTGCTGCGGCACAGCCCGTGCGTGGCGGCGCCCGCCCTGGACGCCTTCGTGGAGCGGGTGCTGGCGGCCGGACGGCTGGGGCGCGCAGTGCTGGCCAACGCCTCGGGACCCGCCAACGCTTCGGACCCCGCCTGGGACTTCGCCTCCGCGCTCTTTTTCGCCAGCACCCTGGTCACCACCGTGGGTAAGTGAGTGCCAGCGTGTGTCCGGGTCCTTCAAGACACACCTTCATCCACATCGTCTCGGGGCTCTGCATCCTTTCAGAACCACCCCCATTCCAACTCGGAAACAGAAACACACTGGCCTCAGCTGCCGGTTTTGGAGAGTCCCCCGTGCAAGCCAAGTCTTCCTCTCAAGTAGTAAACACCCCAGTTTGGGCCCCCTCATGATAACTTCTTACAGCATCTTCCGTGCCTTTTGTTTGTTTGATTTTGAGATGGCACCTCCGCTTGGAACCCGGGCTGGCCTGGAACGTCATCTCCCTGCCTCGGCCTCCTAAAATGCTGGGATTACAGGTGTGGACCACCAGGCCTGGCTTCGCTTTTGTCTTAACCCTCTTGGCCTGGGATTATCGTCCATAATCGGCAAGGCCTGGGCTTTTCCTTGGGTCCCTGACCCCGAGGGCTGTGTCCACATCAGAGCTGGCACAACCATGTCCTCCAGCCTTGTCTTCTGAGTCCAGATAGGTCCTTCCTGGAACAGCCAACTTCAGCTTCCTCCAGAACTTAGTTCCCCGGGGAACACTGAGATGCAGGACCGGGGGTTGAACTCAGGCCTTTATACATATAGTCAGTAATCTCAGGGCACCCTCACTGGAGGCTTGTCTTCTACGAGAGACCTGAGACCATTTCGGGAATCCCTTCCACTCTGGGTACTCTCCAGAAACAGCCCCAGACGGGAGACACACATCCCTCTCCTGTCCCGGTATTTCTCAGTCTAACACAGCCCATCTTTCCACCTCTCCTGTATTGCTAGGATTTTTCCTAATGGTCTACTCTAGCTCTGTATTCCTGGATCAGCAGCTGGGGTTAAGACAGGAACAAACTCCACTGGGTGGTGGTGGTGGGGTGTGTGCATGCCTCCGGAGGCAGAGGCAGGTGGATCTCTGTGAGTTCGAGTCCAGCCCAGTCTACAGAGTGAGTTCCAGGACAGCCTCCAAAGCTACAGAATAACCCTGTCTTGAAAACAAAACAAACAAAAATAAAAGGGAACAAACTCAGAGTGTCCTCCAGGAAGAATCATTGGCTGTCCAGCTTGAATCCCCCCCCAACCCCCAAGGTGAGACTCCCTACCCAAACTACCTCCAGCCAAACCTCTGGCCCTTTCCAAAACGAGGATGGGCCATGGTGGTTGAGGTACTGCTCAGCAGCAGAATGCTTGCCTACTGTGTATGAGGTCCTGAGTTCAGTCCTCAGTACTACAAAACCTGAACTCTTACCCTTTGAATGAGACTCCTGTCCCTTCTCCAGACTGGGACCCTGCTCAGTGAGAACAAATCCCCGCCCCAGATCACGGTCCAAAGACTTGACTTTCTCCATCTGTTGCTTGCCAATATGATCATGATGGACTTCCCAGGCAGGGGGATGTCCTGGAGCTGGACCTCCTGCACACCCCACAGCCGGGACTTCCCGTGCCTCCCAACCCTGCCCCAGCTTGAGACAGGCCAGTGTCTCGATCCTCAAGGCCCTCTGTGACAGAGCCCCCCCCCCCAAGAGCATTACCCACTCCACCCTTGACACCCAGCAAGGACCTCAGCAATGTCTACCTCAACCTCACTACTTCCTTTGCTTACTTGGACTCAGGAGCTCTTGAGGCCCCTCACGCAATCCAGATGAAATTAGCTGGTGCCTGTTCCTCATTCCTCTGGAACCAGGACCGCAAGATCTCTTTTCACACCAGGACCCTGGTCTTGCCTGACGGTTATGGACTCCCAGCTGGGCATGGTGGTATACGCTTTAGTAGTTAGGCGCTGGGAGCAAACAAGAGAGCCAGCCTGGACTACATGAGACCCTGTCTGGACAGAGCAAAGCGGGGCGGAGAGGTCTGTAGGGAGGAGTGCTCGTTAGAAGAACCCCAGCACCCATGGAAACGCTGAGCATGGCTGTGTGAGCCTGTGACCCCAGCACTGGGGCAGACACAGGGGGAGCTGAATCAGCAAGCTTCCGGTTCAGTGAGAGACCCTGCTTGAGGGAATAAGCTAAAGGGGAGTGTGCAGGACCTCAGACATCCTCCTCTGGCCTCTGCCTGAGCAGACACACCTGTGCACATAAGTCCACACAAAATAAAATAAAATTAAACACCCCTGTGCACAAATACCAGCATTCTGCTGACCCGTCTTTGAGACCATTCAGGTAGGACCCACCCCTACCTGTAACTCCAGCCCTTAAGAGCCCTGGGAAGTTCCTCCTGGAAAGTCCCGTCTAACCTCACACCACAGACCTGGGGAGACCCACTCCCCATGCCGGGCTCTGCTGCTCCACAGGCCCCTCCCTTGCCGTGAGGTGACCTCCTTTGGGGACTTCAAACAGGGAAGAGGCTGAGCCACACTCTTACCTGCTTCTCCAGTTGACAGCATCCCAGAACTGTGGTGGCTTTTGTCCCCCTTTTGGGGCAAACTGAGGTCACTGGCAACAGGGCTGGGTGACTTTTCACAGAAAAGAATGAAGCCATCTCCCCGGGCTAGCTGTCCCCTGAGCTGGCCTGACCTGCTTTGGACTTCCCTGGGGGGCGGTGCGGAAGCAGATGCTCGTCTCTCTCTCTCCTCCTGGAGTCTGACCTCTGGCAGGTCATCCCCTGGCACTGGTAGACGGACAAGTGAGGGGGAGAGAGACAGCTGCCCAGAACAGCCACTTCTCAGCCTGACAAGGGACTTGCCACACCCAGGCTTCAACTCAGTCAACAAAACAGACTTGTGAGGAAGCTACCACTTATTGTCTGTCTGTCTGTCTATCTATCACCCATAAAGCTAAGGCCCGGGGAAGCTGGCCAAGACGCCCGTGGTCACATAGGTAGGACAGTGTAGGACACTGTGATGCACGTTTTTAGTCCTGGCACTCCAGAGGCAGAAGCAGTGGGATGGCTACAAGTTCTAGTCCAACCAAAGCTACATAGTGGGACCTTGTCTCAAAAAACAAAAAACAAATAGCATTAGTCGAGGCTGTTGACAAAGAGGCAGTGAAGATCTGTTTCCACCATTCTAGTGACTAGGGAGTCTTCACAGCTGGGGAAATAGGCTGAGTGGTTCCAACCAGTTCTGGTGAGATAGTCTATATCAGGTACATTGGTCCTGATGGAGCTTGTGAAAAAAAAACCTAGTTCCTTCTGCCTCTGTGGATGGTTCTCCTGATTTAAAATCTGGAACCCAGTGGTCTGTTTTGTTCTCCCCATGTTCTGCTCTGAAATTTTTTGGTTCCACCAAACTGTGCAGGTCTTTTGAGGTCAGTTCTGAAAGCCAGCCTGTACAGTTGGTAGGAACAAGGAAGTTCTGTTTTAGGGTTCATGCATATAGCTTGGCATGCAAAAAAAAGATAATGTGGCCAGGCCTGGTGGTACAGGCTTGCAGTCCCAGCTGTGAGGAGGCTGATGAAGGAGGATCCCAATGTCAAAGCCTACCTGGGAGATCTAGTGGGATCCTGTCTCAAACTAGGAAATAAAAGAGGTGCGGGGTTCCTTTGTAGAGCACCTGCCTAGGATACACCAGGGGAACAGCTTGACTCAGCCAGCAGTACAGCTCCTTTGGAGAAGTCACCAGGAAGGGACATGATGGTGTCCGTGCGTGCGTGTGTGTGTGTGTGTGTGTGTGTGTGTGTGTGTGTGTGTGTCCTAAAAGAACTCAACGCTTGAATATATCAAAACAGCATACACAGGGCCAGCAATGGAAGATTACTAAAATCTAAAATGAAACATCAAGATAAGGTAGAGGAGAGGGGGGCGGGAAGAAAGGGTGACAGGGAGGGAATGATAATGCTGGGCTTGCTTGGTAGCTGACACCAGCAGCCTCGGCACTCAGGAGACTGATGCAGGGCTGGAGATGTGTGGCTAAGGGTCTTAACTGCTCTTTCAGAGGACTCGGATTCAGTTCTGAGCACGCTCATAGCAGCTCACAACCATCTGCAGCTGCGGTTCCAGGGGATCTGGCCTCTCTCCACAGACTTCTGCACACATGTGGTGACAGACATACATTCAGGAACACACATATACACATAAAATTAATCTCTGTGAGTTCGAGGCTGGGCTGGACCGACAGCCTTCAAAACAATACAGAGAAACCCTGTCTCGTAAAAACCAAAAAAAAAAAAAAGAGAGAAAAAAGAAAAAAGAAAAAAGGAACTTGAAGCAAGTGCCCTGAGGTGAGTCTAGAGGGTTTCCTTATGGGGTTTCCCTGAGCTTCAGAAAAAAACCACAGCTCTTGGATGGAGGCGTCAGCAGTGGAGACAGAGAGGACTGGAGGCCGGTGGGGGTTGGGAGGAACTCGGGCCTCAGGTTTGAGGTACCAGTGTGCAGGAGGACTCCTCTCCCCGCAGGCTATGGCTACACCACCCCACTGACGGATGCAGGCAAGGCCTTCTCCATCGTCTTTGCGCTCCTGGGCGTGCCCATCACCATGCTGCTGCTGACTGCCTCGGCCCAGCGCCTGGCACTGCTGCTCACCCGTGCACCCCTGTCCTGGCTGAGCTTGCGCTGGGGCTGGCACCCCCAGCGGGCAGCCCGCTGGCACCTGGTGGCCCTGCTGCTGGTCATAGTGACTGTCTTCTTCCTGGTGCCCGCGGCGGTCTTCGCCTACCTTGAGGAGGCCTGGAGCTTTCTGGATGCTTTCTACTTCTGTTTCATTTCTCTGTCCACCATTGGCCTGGGGGACTATGTGCCTGGGGAAGCCCCGGGCCAGCCTTACCGGGCCCTCTACAAGGTGCTTGTCACAGGTGAGCTGGACCATCTGGGCACCTGCGGGCTGGCAGTGGGGGGTTCTCAGGAAGAAATGGCCCTGTCCTAAGGGGTGGTAAAGGGTACGGTACCAAGAGCCACCCAGCTGTCCCAGGGCAGAGGCACCTGTAGGACCACATCCCTGCCTGAAGCTGACCCATCACCTTACCGTCTACCTGTCTTCCCTCCCCACGCCTGCAGCATACCTCTTCCTGGGCCTGGTTGCCATGGTACTGGTCCTGCAGACTTTCCGCCATGTGTCTGACCTCCACGGCCTCACCGAACTCATCTTGTTGCCCAACCCGGACCCTGCCAACCTCAGCCAGGACGAGGATGATCAGGTGGACATTCTGGACAGCCGGACAGATCTGCACCAGCACCTCTCTGCTGGCTCCCACGCTAACTACGCCTCCATCTCCAGGTAGCTGGGCAGATGCCCTCAGCCTGGACACACCTGGCCTGGGCGTTGGGCCCCGCGTGACCAGGGTACACCAACAGGGATGCCCACACACACTCTCCTGTCTTCATAGCACTCCACCCCAAGGTGAGGAGTAGCTGCTCTGCTCCCCTGTCCTCGGCTCCTCAGGGAACCACCAGAGCCATTGTCTCCTCCTTTCTTTCCCCCTATTTCTTCTCCTACTCTGACCCCTCGGGCACTCTTGGTGGAGTGGCGGTTGACTTAATATGTTGTTTTGTGTCACGCTCTTTGGTAGCGTCGTCACACATCAGTTGCTGGTCCTTCTGGGCTCTGGGCCTGGACTTGACTTCTGTCACTGTGTTGGTGACTCTCTCCTGGCCAAATGACTTTCCCATTCTGACGCGAAGAATATCCGAACTCATCCACAGACCCTCGCTTCCGTCCTGCTGTTCTGTGCCAGTCACACAGTAACAGCAGAAGAGGCTTGGACCCTGGTCTTATGGGGCTCACCGGTCAGTGAGGTAGACTTGTCCCTTGACAGTGACAAACCTCAACAGGCATTGGAAGAGGCAGAGTAGTTAGGACTGAGGCCTGGACCTGAAATGTCCAGGTGGGCTTCCTGGAAGAAGGGACAAAGACTAACCCAAGACCTTCAAGAGGAGAAATTGTCCCTTCTCAGGTGTCTACGGGTTACAGTATCTGTGGGAAGAGCCCTCGGATGGGCCAGCATCTCTCTCACTGGCTTAGCAGGCAAGGAGCTAATCCAGGGTATGAGCCCAAATCCAAGTGCTGTAAGAGGTGCCACTTAGCACGGTCTCATGGTGATGCTGTGTTGTCTGTTTACTGGGCATGGCGGGGGGGTGGCGGCCCTGGGCTCTGGGGCTGGTCTTCCTGGGTGTACCCTGTAACCGGGCTATGTCCTGCACATGCATATGAACAGTCACTCTACTTCTGGGACCCTGTGTCTACCAAACGGTGACCAGAATAATGACTCCCAAAGATGACATCAGCCAGGAATCGGAGCTGAGGCAGGAGACTTGAGAGTTCCAGCCCAGACTGGGATACACAGCAGGAGCAGGCAATAAAATAATAAAGTAATAAAGATAATGATAAATACATATAAGCAAAGGGATAGAGTGCCAGGTTACAGACACGAGAGGAGGCACACACCCTCATGGCTGCTGGGACTGTGTGTTTGTGTTTATATCACTCTGGAAGGGTTTGGCTGTAACAGACCGGGGTGACTAGCAGTATCTGAGATAACCTAATTGTTACATTGTACTTGGTCAGAGCACGCAGGGACTAGCCACAGGCATGATGCTCTCCACAGCTATGGAGGGTCTGTTGGCCCTGACTTCAGTCTCTCTCTTCCGCTTCTCTCCACCGAAGGCTCTCATGTGTGCTCTCCTCCCGGTGTCCAAATGGCTGCCACACATCCGGGCATCAAAAACAGACATGCTCTTTGTAGTTCAAGCTATAGAAACTTCAACTGGTGTACTGAAAAAAATTTTTTTTCTTCTGAGACAAGGTTTCTCTGTGGAGTTTTGGAGCCTGTCCCGGAACTTGCTCTGTAGACCAGACTGGCCCTGAACTCAGAGAGATCCGCCCGCCTCTGCCTCCCGAGTTGCTGGAACTAAAGCCACCACTGCCCAGATGTACTGAGAGTTTTAAGGAAGGCTGGCTCATCATCAAATAGTACTAGAAAGTCACACAAGGAAACTAGGGCTATGGAGGCTAGCGGAGGCTAGAGAGGCCAGCTAGGGCAACAATACAAAACTCCAAAGGGAGATCCGGATGATCTCAGTGGTGGAGCATGTCTGTCCCAGGTGCTAAGCAAAAAACATTACAGTTATAGGAGCCGGGACCATGGCTCAGCCAGGGAGACACGAAGACCTGAGTTTAGCCCAGAACCTACATAAAAAGGCTAGGTGAGGCTGAGCAGGACCTGTAATCCCACTCCGAAGGGGTGGGGCTAAGGGTCCTCAGAGCAAATCAGTGGGCTCCAGGTTCCACGAAAGCTCCAGCTTCCAAAACTAGGCTGGAAAGCCGGGCGTTGGTGGCGCACGCCTTTAATCCCAGCACTCGGGAGGCAGAGGCAGGCGGATCTCTGTGAGTTCGAGGCCAGCCTGGTCTACAGAGCGAGTTCCAGGACAGCCTCCAAAACAATACAGAGACACCCTGTCTCAAAAAACCAAGTAATAATAATAATAATAATGTGGAAAACTATTGAGGAAGAAACTGGATATTAAACTCTGGCTTCCACATGCAGATTCATACACACACACAAATTTAAAAATATGAGCCAGCAAAATATCGCATCAGGGGAAAGTGCTTGCTGTGTAACCCTGACAATCTGAGTTAGTGCCACCCTTGGATCCCAGATTTTATTCCGTATCACAGGAAGTCCTTTGACCTCCACACAAGTACAGCTGTGTCAATTGATTTCCCAGGTCTCTACACGCACATAGTCTACACAAGAAGCAGCAGTATGTAGATGTGCATGTTATCATCCCCCATGCTATGGGGCAGCATGCAGAACGGGAGTCATGGGAAGTGGTAACGGTTACTAGCTCTAAAGGCAAAGCTCTGTGTCTAAGTTTGAACCCTGTTGTCCCATGTTTCATTTGTGCCCCAGGTTGCCTGTTTGTGTATTGGGATTTATATAGCACTACCTCATGGACTTGAACAGCCAGCAATTTAATCCCTGTAAATCCCAGAGGATACCATCTGGGAGCCAATAGAATGCTAATTTTCCCCTTGTCTCTGAAATCTGCATCATAATAAGGAAGATCGCTTAAAATAGAAATGATTTAATATCATGTCCTATTGTATTGTTATTAAAAATTTTATCTCTGTGTATGTATGTATGTATGTGTCCATGCATATCACATGTGTGCAGGTGCACATGGGGACCAGAAGAGGGCACCAGATACCCTGGATTGGAATTCCAGTCACTTGTGAGCTGCATGACATGGGTGTTGGGAATGGAACGGGGTTCTCTGGAAGACATGCTCTTAACCACTAAGTCATCCTGCAAGCTTTTCTCTAACACTCAGACACGTGCACACACACACATACACCTCAGGTAAATAAATAAATGTGATTACCTTAAAAAATTCATTAAGTCTGAGGATTACGCTTCAGCAGAAAAGCACTTGCCTAGCATGCCCAGAATCCTGGGTTCAATTCCCAATATGGCAAGATAAATAAATACATTCATCATGCAAGCTGGAATCAGCATGTTGAGGCAGGAGGATTGTCATGAGTTTGAAGTCAGTCTGGATCTAGAATAAGACCAGTATCAGAAGTCCCCATAAGTCAAGCGTGGTGGTACAGGCCAGTGGTCCCAGCCCATTTGGAGGCAGAGACAGGAGGATTGGGAGTTCAAACCCATCTTTGGCGCTTGCTGTGTAGACCCAGGAATAAAGATGCCGTTGAGATCTTACTGTCTCCCGATCACGATCTCTGGAAGAATTTAGCTGACCCTAGGAGTGTAATGTGGAAATTGGGCACACTCTCAAGCGTAAAGTGGTCTCAAAGGGACCATTGTAGAAAGCATCTAAGTTGTGGGTAGGCTTTACGCTTGTTGTAAAATCTCTTGCCAATTGTAGTGGCATCTGCTGGTAGGATATGCTGCGGACCTAGAGGCTATGAGTTCAAGGCCAGGTTGAGCTGTCCCTGTGGGCCAGTGAGATGGCTCAGAGGTTTAAAGTGCTTGCCACTGAAGCCTGAGGACCTGAGTTCAATCCTCAGGGCCCGTGGGAGAGGCCAGCTGGGTGCAGAGCACTTCTGAAACACCACGGGAGGTAGAGGCTGGAGAACTGACTGGCAACTCAGGCCACTGCAATCAGCTGTTTTTTGAGACAAGGTCTCTTGTACCTGAGGCTGGCCTTGACCTTCTGGTGTTGCCAAGGATGAACTTCAGCTTCTGATTCTTTTGCCACTACCTTCAAAGTGTAGCGGGATTATGAGTATTCACTGGCTGGCATACCCTATTGAGCAAAGACTACCAACTGCCCCAATCCCCAATCTTAGTTCTTTTCTTTTCCTTTTTCTTCTTCTCCTCCCACCTCCCCTCCCCCTTCTTTCTTCAAGGTTTCATTGAAGACAAGGTTTCATTGTACAGAAGACTTGGCTGTCTGGGAACCAGCTTTGTAGACTAGGCTGGCCTTGAACTTGGACTCGCAGCCTCCACTCCTGAGTGATGGGATAAAGGCATGCGCCTCCATACGCGGTGCTTAAGCAGTAATCTTTTTTTTTTAAGGATTTATTTACATGTATTGTGCACCATTTGAGTGTCTGGGAACATTGTAATCAGGCCCCATTCTCCAGATGAGTAATTGAGGTCTTGCCTCTTAGTCATTTGTTTTACAGGCTGTTGACTAGAGAGGCCCAACTCTTAAGTAGGCTAATATTAAACTAGCTACCCAATTTTAAATATAGGAGTCCACTTCCGGATCACATTTGTCCATTCCCCAAAAGGTTCTGGAAAATCCTTTTCCTCGGGGGCGGATTTCTGATCTAGAGGTCAAGTAGGCACAATGTCACTGCCAGAACGATCATAAATCCCTTGGGGGCCTTCTTAGCAGAGAGAGAGAGGCCGGCCCTCCAGCTCCAGGCACCTGCTGGGAAGGCGTGCTACCATGGAAACGCGCGCGCGCCACGAAGGCGTGCCTCGAGCAAGGTGGAAGTCGGAGCGGCCATCTTAATAGTTGGCAAGAGGGGTGGAACAGGCGCTGCCAAGCAACGGTTGACCCGTTTTTACCAAGTGACTGGTACAGCGGGGCGGGGAGAAGAGGGCGGTGCCATCCTAGGGGGATGAGGGGGGCGGGAGGGAGTTAAGAAGGGGAGGGCTGGGGAGGGAAGGCTAGGCTAGGAAAGGCTGGGGAGGGAGCATCCAGCCGAGGGACCCGATTAAGAAACAGCCAGACGCTAGAGGGCGGGGCGAAGGCCAACGTTTAACCTCCCAGGAGTATGGGCGTGGCCAGAAGAGGCGGGGCATAGGGCAAGTGGACGTTCAGGGCATGGACAGGAGAGGTGAGAAAAGGTGGAGAGAGAAGGTGTCGGTGGGGACAGTGAGGATCGCGAAGTCAGCGTGGGTGTGGGGCGACCGGAGGTCTTACGGCCCGAGGATTGTCTACAGCAAGACAAGACCCGGGGACCACGAGCGACGTCTAGGCGAAGACAAACACTGGGGCAAGGAGAGAGTTATCTATGAGAGGGAGTACGGCAAGGAGCGACCACCCTGCGAAGACAGATCCCGGGGCGAGGGAAGGCCGCCCGGAGAAGAGCGATCCCGGGGCGGGGAGAGAACCCGAGGCTTAGAGAGGCCCCGCGACCAGGACAGGCTCCCTAGGGAGAAGGCGCAGGCCCGGGAGACAGCTGGCGCCGAGTGGCAGGCGGGTGCTGAGGAGAAACCCCCGGGGCGGGAGCAGGAACAGGGCCGGGCCGCCCACGACCCGGGGAGAGGGAGAAACCAGGAGAGAAAGAGGAGCTGGGAGCCCAGCGCCAGCAAGACTCAGGGCCTGAGCCGGGACAAGGGGCGTGGCCAGGAGAGAAAGCCCAGCGAGGAGCCAATCGTCAGCAAGACTCAGGGCCTGAGCCAGGACAAGGGGCGTGGCCAGGAGAGAAAGCCCAACCAGGAGCCCAGCGCCAGCAAGACTCAGGGCCTGAGCCGGGACAAGGGGCGTGGCCAGGAGAGAAAGCTCAGCCAGGAGCCCAGCGCCAGCAAGACTCAGGGCCTGAGCCAGGGCAAGGGGCGTGGCCAGGAGAGAAAGTTTAGTGAGAAGCCAATCGCCAGCAAGACTCAGGGTCTGAGCCAGGACAAGGGGCGTGGCCAGGAGAGAAAGTTTAGCGAGGAGCCAATCTATGTCAAGGGGCGTGGCCAGGAGAGACAGCCCAGCGAGGCACCGATCTACAAGACTCAGGGTCCGAGCCAGGGTAAGGGGCGTGGCCAGGACAGACGGTCCCGGGAGGCGCCCATCCACGACAAGACTCCGGGACTGAGCCAGGGCAGGGGGTACAGCGTGGACGGAGGTGTGGGCAAGGACTCGCAGAAGAACAGGACCAAGACTAGAAACCGGCTCTTGAGCAGGGCAAGAGCGAAGAGAGGGGGGCGTGGCGAGGAGCCGTGTGAGGGCGGTACAGTCTGTGAGGGCGGAGCCAAGGCCACGGCCAAGTCGGTGACCGCAGAGGGGCGTAAGGGCGGGGAAAAGAAGGGCTCCGGCAAGGCGAGAAACAGAAAGAGAGACTTGGCGAAGGGTCGGGAGAAGAGCAAGGGCGGGGCGAGGAGAGAGAGCGAGACTAGCAAGCGGGGTGAAAGGAGTTGCAGGGATCGGGGCGACGCCAGAAGTAAGGCCGGGGACGGGGCTGAGAGCAAGAGCAGGGGCGTGGCGAGGAGTGTTAGTAGGGGAGGGACTGAGAGTAAGAGAAGGGGCGGGACCAGGAGTAAGAGTAGGGCTGGGGCGGAGAGTAAGGGCAGGGCCAGGGCCGATAGTAAGGGCAGGGCCAGGGCCGACAGTAAGGGCAGGGCCAGGGCGGATAGTAAGGGCAGGGCCAGGGCGGATAGTAAGGGCAGGGGCAGGGCCGATAGTAAAGGCAGGGGCAGGGCCGATAGTAAAGGCAGGGGCGGAGTCAGGAGAGGGACAGGGGCTCGAAGCCTGATCAAAGGTGGAGCCAGGAAGAGGGGCCAGAAGAAAGGAAAGAACGGAGCGGTTTCCCAGAGAGCAACTCCAGCGAACCGATTTGCAAGTGGGTTTTGACCCCCACATTCTCCAGGTCCTAGCTGCATGGTGTGCTGGCCAGCCATGTCCCCTGTCAGCCCTGTGTGGTCGAGAAAACCAAATCAATGGGCGTTCTGGGAACTGCTGCTAGTGCTACTGTTGTCGTGGAAGTCGTGGGCGGTGTATCATTTACAACAGTGCCGCTGGCTTGTTGCCCTGAACAAGTTCGAGAGAGTAGGCTCGCTCCTCTCTAAGGATTGGTTTCTGGAACAAGAACCCACGGATACAGTGGCCGAGGTGTTCGAAAAGTTGGTAGACTCGCCAGTCGACCCGCGGGAGGTGAGGGACCTGGAGTCAAGGGTATCAAAGGGATCTTGGGTCAGTAAATATCAGAGGGGTCCTGAATTAGCTACATCTCTTGACTGGCTATTTCACCCACCTTTCCTTACAGAAATATATGGGCTTTCCTTACTACCTGAAAGTCAACTTCTCCTGTATGGGAAAGGTGAGATGGGATGATTTCAGTAAGTCTCCAACTCCCCGTCATTTTCAGTAATGTTTTCCCATAACATTAATAACAGTCTTTGCCAACCCCAAAGGCCTTAAGGGTTCAGTCTCCCACAAGGCAGAAAGAGCTAACTTGGAATGGTGGGGGCTATAGAAACCTCAAAGCCCACCCCCAGTGACACATCTCCTCCAAGAAGGTTATACCTAGTCCTTCTCAAACAGACCCACAGCTAAAGTCCAAGCATTCAAACATATGAGCCTATGGGACCACTTTCATGTAAACCGTTACATCAACCATCGTTATCTTCCCGCTGAACACTTTTATTATCCCCCAGCCCCCCAAAAAACTGTGCCTATTAGCAGTCACTATTTTAAAAAATATATTTATTTGGGTTGGAGAGATGGTTCAGCGTCTAAGAGCACTGATTGCTCTTCCAGAGGTCCTGAGTTCAATTCCCAGCACCCACATGGTACAACTATCTATAACCTGATCTGATGCCCTCTCCTGGCCTGCAGGGAAACATACCGACCAAACACTGTGTATATATAACAAATAAATCTTTAAAAAAAGAATTTCAGAGACAAACCTAACCATTATAAACTACTTTAAAAATTTTTATTTGTAAGTTATATGTATATGCCTATATATAGGTAAGTGCATGCAGTTGCCTTTGGATGTCAGAAGAGGGCAATGAATCCTTGGCATCGGAGTTTGAAATGGATGCTGGTCATCTACAAGAATAGTATAAACTCACCACTATTGAGCCATCTCCAGACCTACCTATTTTCTTCCATGATGCAGGATACATAAGTGTTACATAAGTCTTGAATTCACAGCAACCCTTGTGCCTCTGTCTCCCAAGTGCTAGAATTACAGGTGTATTCCAACCTGACTTTGCCCATTTAGTTTTTTTTGTTGTTTTGTTTGTTTTTTGAGACAGGGTCTTTCTATATAGCCCTGGCTGTCCTGGAACTCACAAAGATATGCCTACCTCTGCCTCCTAAGTGCTAGGATCAAAGGTGGCATGTGCCATCTTGACTGGCCTCCCCTGGCTCCTTGTTGTTGTTTTTCAAGACAGGGTTTTTCTGTGTAGCCCTGGCTGTCCTGGAACTCGCTCTGTAGACCAGGTTGGCCTCAAACTCACAGAGATTCTGCTGCCTCTGCCTCTTGAATGCTGAGATTAAAGGTGTGCACCCTGCCCTGTTCCCTGTTAGTGTTTTTAAGACAAGGTCTCGTGAAGCCCAGGCTGGCTGACTTGATGTGTAGCAGAGGATGACCTTTCACTTTTGATGATCTTGCCTCCACCATTTCCTTGGGAATCCCAAGTGTGTATCACTACACTTGGTGTCATTAGATCTTGAGAATAGAGCCTAGGACCTCATGTATACTAGGGAAGCATTCAAACACCTGAGCTACATCCCCAGCCCCATCATTAAAAGATACAGAAAATGAAAACAGGGCTGGAGAGATGGCTCACTGGCGAAGAGCACTTGTTGCTCTTGCAGAGGACCCGAGTTTGGTTCCTAGCACCCATTTGGTGACTCACAACCATACATAATCCCAGTACTAAGGGATTCAACAGGTATGCACGTGGGATACATACATGCATGCAGACAAAACATTTATGCACATGAAGTAAAAGAAATAATCTAAAAAAGAAGTGAAAAGAAGTGGTGGTGCCTGTCTCTTAATTACAGCACTAAGGAGGCTAGCCTGGGCTACGCAGGAAGGTCCTTTCTCAAGACAGCAACAAAAAGCTTTAAGTTTATTGAGATATAATTCACCCACCATAAACTACCACAAAGTACTTATTTGTTTTTAGAAAGAAAAGTGGGTTGGATATACTATAAGGAGTCATTGGCTGGACAGTCACACAAGTACCGTTTGCTTATTTTTTATGTTTTTCTGAAAAAGAATATTATGTGTCCCAGGTTGTCCTTGAACTCAGGATTCTTGTCTTGCTTCCTCCTTTTCCCAAGTACCGGGATTCTATGTGTGTACAACCATGCCTAGCTTTTCCCTTCCTTCCTTCCTTCCTTCCTTCCTTCCTTCCTTCCTTCCTTCCTTCCTTCCTTCCTTCTTTCCTTTCTTTCTAAGTTTATTGAGATAGGGTTTGTTTCTCTATGTAGCCCTGACTGTCCTGGAACTCACTCTGTAGACCAGGCTGGCCTCAAACTCACAGATCCATTGGCCTGCCTCCCAAGTGTTGGGATTAAAGGTGTGTGGCCACTGCCTGGTTGTTTTATGTTGTTTTAAAACAAGGTCTTACTATGGATCCCTGGCTGGCCTGGAATTTGCATTGAATCTCCTGTTTCTGTTATTTGAGTGTTGGGATTACAGATATGAGTCATTACCCTCTGCTCAAAAGTTTTTGTTCCTTTAAAATTTTTATTTTATATGCACAGGTGTTTTGACTGCATTTGTGTCTGCATATCACATGCGTGCTTAGAGCTTGCATATTCCAGAAGAGGGCATAGGAAAGAGAGAATGTAAACCCACAGAAATAGACATACAGTTCTTATCCACCTAGGACTCCCTTATAGACAGGCTGGCCTCAAACTTGTGATCACCTGCTCAGTTTACTGAGGCAGACTCACTTTATAGCCCAGACTGACTTCAAACTCCTTACCTGTTCCCCTTGAACTGGAGAGCCTGCTGGGAATAAGCGTGTGACATCACAGCAGGCTGCACAGCCATGTCCTCTTATCCGTCTATGGTGAAATGCCTGTTGTCCCCACTCGGCTCAGACAGGGGGCTCTAGACAGATGGATCCTTAGACTAAGGCATGCCTCTCACCCTCAGAATGACGAGGAGCTAGTCCGAAAGGGCCATCTGATGGGGATGAGACCCGTGGTCCTGATCAGCTACAAGTACCCAGTCAATTTCTATCGCTGGAAGATTGAAAACCTGCAGATTCAGATGGAGGCTGCCCCATTGCGCAGCGCAGGTGGGCCGGACCGCCGGCGGGAGTGGTGGGTGGAGATGGGGAGTCTGGGAGCACTCTGAGGCCTGTGGGGGCTTCTGGCAATCCCTAGCGCCTCAGTGCCCCATCCAATCAGCAGGGTTCTGCGTAGCGGAGGTCATGTGTGCCTTGAACTGGTATGCACCCATGCCCATCAAAAACGGCAGCGTAGTCATGAGTGTGGACATCAGCAGCAATGGCTTGGAGCCCTACATTCCCCCCAAAAGGTATTCACGCCCAGGGCACACTCAGGGATGCCAACCCCCAGAACCTCAAGGAAAGCAGGGGAGGCAAAAGGGAGGAGCAGGGGAAGGTGGCTGTGAGCTTTGAAGCCCCCCTGAGAAGGCATTCCTCACTGGGGTCTGCTTGCAGGTTCTACATGAATATGAATGGCTTCTTGAAGAGAGATGCAAGTGGTAAACCCATCTTCACCATGGGATACGAGGTGAGGGCCGCCGACTGGGAGAAGGTATGAATTAGACACACGGGGCCTTGGTAACCCCCACACCAACACAGATCCATTTGCAGGACGCTTACTTGAGCTCCAGGCCCCAGGTGTCATTTTCCTAAATGTACCATTCAGTTCCTATTTCAGAGTGACTCTGGAAGGGAGGGGTGCTTGCACACTCGGGTGGGTACACACACACACACACACACACACACACACACACACACCCTCTCCAGGTGCTGGTGACTGAACAGAGCATCTTACTTTGCAGGTTAACCACAGTCACAGGATGATAGCACACGCCCCGCTGTCTCATTAGATTTCATGTAGTGTTTTATTACATTATTGTTTTGTGTGTGACATACCTGTACCATCATATGCATCTGGAAGTCAGAGGACGACTTTCAGGAGTTAGTTTTCCTCTTTCTACCATGTGGAGTTGCCTGAGATTAAGACATTAGACTTGGCAACAGGAGCAATGATTACCTTCCAGGCCATCTCACCAGCCCCTCCGTGTGTGTGTGTGTGTGTGTGTGTGTGTGTGTGTGTGTGTGTGTGTGTGTGTTTAAAACAGAGTCTCAATATAGCCCACAGTATGCAGACCAGGCAAGTCTTGTGAAATTCCTGCCTCAGCGTCACAAGTACTAGAATCATAGACATGGGGCACCAAGCCTGGCCTTAGATACTCGTTTTATCTTTTCTATTACATGTATCTGTTTTTGTGGTGGGGGATACACACATAGGGTGTATTTGGAAGTCAAAAGAGAACTTTCAGGAACTGATTCTCTCCTTCCATCATTAAATTCAAGACATCAAGCTTGGTGGCAAGCATCTTTTACCCACTGAGCATCTCACATGCTATATACAGTCATTTCAAAATGAGAACACATGTATTTAATCCCAGCATTCAGGAGGCAGAGGCAGGTGGATGTCTGAGTGTGAGGCCAGCCTGGTCTACAGAGCACAACAAAACAAGAGAGGAAGAGGGAGACAGAGACACAGAGAGACAGACAGAGACAGACAGAGGTGAAAACTGAGACTCCAAGGGAGGGAATCCTTTACCACCTCTTCCTAGATAAAGAAACTTAAAACCATTCTTTATGATTTCTGCACTATATTCTAGTATGTGTGTGTGTGTGTGTGTGTGTGTGTGTGTGTGTACATACACACGTGTATGTGCATATCTATGATGTTGGGGCTTGAACTCAGGTCCTTGTACATGCCAGAGCAGCAACTCTACTACTGAGCCAACTCTCCAGCCCTCCACCGATGTTCTGAGTTCACTGTGCTTTCAGCCAGCAAATGCTTCCTAGTCATGAGGCTGTAGCTCAGAGTATTTGCTGGTATGGCTAGGGTTCAATGCACCTCACCTCCAAAAAGGGGAGAATGAAAGAAAGCGAGGAAAAAGGAATAAAGAGGCAGCTGGTGCCAAGCCCCCAGGGAGCTGAAAAGGAAGAGGCCCTGATGGGACTCGGCCGCAGAGCGGTGACACTCTGCAGAGGCTTCGGAGTGGGGTGACAAGTCTGCCTGTGGCTGAACTGGAGGCGTGTGTAGTAATCAGGCAGGAGAGGGCTGAGTGGCATTTCTGTTCCTCTGACAGACCTTCATTATGAAGAGTGCACACTTTAAGCATTCCAAATCGAGACCCTTGTGGTACACTATAAACCATTCACCCGTGTTCATCCTCGGTGGGATCGAAGACGAAAAGACCATCTTGCTTTCAGACACTAGTTTCCAGGACTACTCTCTTGTGGAGGTGAGTGATGCCAGGCAGACGGTAGGCTTGGGCTTCTGGACCGAGCTGAATGGGGTCTGGAGCTACAGAATGGGACCCCAAAGACATGCTCATCTCCAGAAACAGGGTATGAAGAAAAATTTTACTGCCAGGAAACAGGGTCAAATCTTTAAAAAAATACATTTTTTAATTTGCATGTATATGTGTTAGTGAGTTACCTGAGGAGGCTAGAAGAGGGCAGTTGGAGGCGGATCTCCTGGAGCTGAAGTTACAGATTGTTTCAAGCCACCCAACGTCGGTCCTGGATATTGAACTCGAGTCCTGTACAAGAACAGCACACACTCTAGTCTTGGTTCAAATCCGTGTGAGCGCATCCTAGTCTCTCACTGGTATATTCTGGGCAAGTGCTACACCACTGAGCCATGGCCCAGCCTGTTCCTTTACTTTTTGCTTCTTTGAGGTTTTATAGAGTTTTGTTTTGTGTTGTGTTTTTGATACAAGGTCTCACTGCGCAAGCCAGGCTGGCTTCAAACTCCTAGAGATCTGCCTGCCTCTGCCTCTTTATTCCTTTTCCTTGTATTTCTTTTATCCATTGCCCAGAAGCACAGGGCTCAAAGGGAATCCACAAAGTCAGAGCATACCAGACTTTTCTATCTGAAGGAGCTAGGGGAAAAGACACTCACACTCCTGCTTGATGGCTTCCCACAGACCTTTCTTTATTCTTCTTTTGCATTCTCTATTTTCCTGATGATTTCCTTCTCTCATTCCTGATGTTTTCCTTCTAACCCATTTTAACTCTCTCTAACTCTATCTCTGTTCTTTCCCTTTAGCTTTTATACCCCAGCTAAATCTTTCAGGCAATATAAAAAAATTGCAATGTGGTTACATTCCGTTTTTCAAGTGAATGATTACAATGAATACAAAACAAACAGTAAAAAACAGCATGCTTTCCATGTCCCTTACATGATTAAACATTTTATGTATTATAAGTGAGAAACAAATTATCCCAAAAATCCAGGTACATTCACACACAAGCAACTTGTTATAGGCAAGCAAGATATTCTCCTCGGTCAGGTCTCTTACTGGCAGGCTGCATTTCCCAGTTATAAAGAAAGGGCCAATTATCACTTATCTTGAAAGGTAACCTTATAAGGAATCTTAAAGGAATCACAAATCTAAACTTATACATGAAAAAAGAATCAGTCGGGCTGGAGAGATGGCTCAGAGGTTAAGAGCACTGACTGCTCTTCCAGAGGTCCTGAGTTCATATCCCAGCAACCATATGGTGGCTCACAACTGTCTATAATTCAGTCTGGTGCCCTCTTCTGGCATGTATGCAGAACATTATATATGTAATAAATAAATAAAAAAAATTAGCCTCGCCACCCAGGGTCGGGCACCCTGCATACATGTTTAAAAAAAAAAAAAAGAAAAAGAATCAGTCATCTCTACTTTAAATCTTTTGGGTATATACCCACTCATCAACAGTTTCTTTTTTCTTTCTTTTTGTTTTTGTTTTTGTTTTTACGAGACAGGGTTTCCCTGTATTGTTTTGGAGGCTGTCAGTCCAGCCCAGCCTCGAACTCACAGAAATCCGCCTGCTTCTGCCTCCCGAGTGCTAGGATTAAAGGTGTGTGCCACCACTGCCCGGCTCATCAATAGTTTCTATATCAGGAGATTGAGGGCAAAAATAGGAACTACTCATCACCTTTGGTCATCAACCAATCCTAGCAAGAAAGGCTAATGACAATTGGAATGCTTTACTCTTGTTTCCTGACCTTACTGAGTTCCCAGTTTGATTGTGTGTTTTTCTAGGACTTCACATTATCTTCTTGGGCATTTCATCTCAAAGCTATTTGACAAAAACATCTTAGTATAACTTTAAGTTATTTTCAAAACTTTGTTTAAGCTATGTTGCACCCTGAAACCTATGAACACATCTCCCAACATTAAGGCTAGAGTTTAAATTAGCTGGGCTACTGTGACTCAATTGTTTTTCTTAATCATTAACCTAAGCTACAGTCTATAGGGTTCCTCAATTGAAACTCATGTCTTCTAGCTATGTTACACTTCCTTGCTTATATTTTTAATCATCAGTGCTCTATTTAAACTAATTATTATCATCAGTCAATCAGACAGTGCAGCATAAGAAGAAATCATTTTCATAGTAATCCACAGGTAAAAATGCCCGGTAGGACGGGATGTTTCCATGAGACAAACACACTACACTGCAGGCAGTGGGGGTCTCCCCACACCCAATCACACCATGCCAGACACCAGAGAAGGGTGGAGGCAGCAAACATGTAAAGGGACAGCAGCAGAAGAAAAACCATTCTGGTGTCTGTGGTCCCGGGACCTTGCCTGTTCCAGATTGTTCCATCAGGGATTTTCCTCCTGGGGGACTGACACCTTGAACTTCAATTGCCACCTGCTGCTCCTCTGACATGGTCACCGGCATTCTTTTACCCCCCTTCCCCTTTGAGGTGAGGTGACCCGAACATGGTCTTCTGGAAGGGCAGGGAGCACTCTTAATTGCTGAGCCTTCTCTCCAGCCCCAAACCTCGAGCACTGAGCCTACTCCAGAGACCTTGGTCACCCAGGCCAGGAAGCTGTGTCTGACTCCATGTTCAGAACTTTCTTTTTAAAGCTATTTTAGGACTTAATATGGATATATGGGTCTCACATTTCTTCCTACCACCAGCCAGCTCCCAAATAATGACATGGAGACTTAATTATGAATGCTTGGCCTTAGCTTAGGCCTGTTCCTAACTAGCTCTTTTTTGTTTTTGTTTTTGAGACAGGGCTTCTCTGTGTAACAGTCATGACTGTCCTGGAACTCGCTTTGTAGACCAGGCTGGCCTTGAATTTACAGAGAACCCCCTGCCTCTGCCTCCCGAGTGCTGGGATTAAAGGCGTGCGCCATCACCGCCTAGCATTTTAACTAGCTCTTATGTCTCACATTGCCCCATATTTTTGATCTATGCTCTGCCACACGTCTTTTACCTCTCTTCCATGCTGCACCTCTGCCTCCTCTCCCCTCCTCTCCATGCCTTGCTGGCAAACTGACCCTTTCTTCTTCCCAGAGTTCTCTCTCTGCCCGGGAGTCTTGCCTATACTCTCCCACCTAGCTATTGGCTGTTCAGATTTTTATTGCACCAATCACGGTAGCATATCTTCATGCAGTGTACAAATATTCCGCAACATGTCACCTCTAAAAATAAACAAAAAGAGCGCTTCGCCCAAGGCAGGATCTGGAGGCTCCCCGTTGTCTGCTCCCCTGCAGGTGAGCATTGACAGTTGCTGGGTCGGCTCCTACTACTGTCCCATGCTTGAATTCTCAGCCACCATCCATGATGCCATTTCCACCGAGAGCACGCTCTTCATTCGACAGAACCAGCTCGTCTACTATTTCACAGGCAGATACTCTACGCTCTTCGATAATAGCCACAGCAGCAGTGAGAAACCTGGACCGGGGCTGGGAGGGCTGGGGGAGATGTGGGTGTCAGAGAAACTAAGCCGAGAAGGCTGTTGACAAGAAAAGGAAAAGTCCAGGCATCACCACTGTATCCGCCTGTCATCCCCACACTTGTGAGACAGAGGCAGGGGGATCATGGTCATCCTCAGCTAGGTAGCAAGTTAGAGGTGAATCGGGGAACATGAGACCCTGGAGATGGGGGAGCACAGACATAGTGGGGGTGTCGCAGACCTCTGTAATCTCCGCACTCGAGAGTCTCTAGTTCAGGGCCAGCCTGGACTACATAGTAGGTTCCAGGAAGCCTGGGAAACGTCATGAGAACTGCCTCAATGCCCTCCCTCTGGGGAAAAAAAAAAACAAGAAAAGTGGAGTTTCCATGTTTGTTAGGCATGCTTGTTGGCTTGCCTGAATGAGAAACCCATGAGTACTTTGGCTTCAGGCACAGGTATAGATATCTACCTAGGGACTCACTGTAACTCTTGGTCTCGTTGCTGAGCTGTGGTGATTCCTACCCACACCCAGCAACTGTCCATTTCTCTGCACCTTAATAGTCCCAGGGAGCCGGGTGGTGGTGGCGCACACCTTTAATCCCAGCACTCGGGAGGCAGAGGCAGGCGGATCTCTGTGAGTTCGAGGCCAGGCTGGACTGATAGCCTCCGAAACAATACAGAGAAACCCTGTCTCGTAAAAACCAAAAAATAAAAAGAATAAAAAAAAGTCCCAGGGAACCTTTTTGTTAGTGGCTGAAATCTGGAAGGGCCTCTTGTTTGCCTCACTTGTTCAATACTCAGTTCAGAACTAGGGGAGCACAAGAGAGGGTTAAGTCCACCTAGACCTCTCAGACGGCCCATGTCTTTGAGATACTGCAGCAGGAAGCCGGACAGTTTGAGATCAACCTGGGCTACATAGGAAGTTTGAGGTCAGCTGGGGCCACAGTGTAAGACCTGTCTCGTAAAACCAAAACCAATCATGACAGTCTAGGACTCAGAAGTAAAGCAAGTGTTGCTCTAGAGGCTCCCAATGCCATGCTGACACGTTGCTCCAGGCTAAGAGGACAGGTAATGGGTTTGTAAGGTTAGAAGAAAGAAAGGAGACTGGGGGTCCAGCCTGACCACCTGGTTTTCAGTCCCCATGCTTGCCCCCCTAGGTAGCTGGGTTCGCGTCCTGGCTAGCGAGTGCATTAAGAAACTGTGCCCCGTGTTCATCCATGGCAATGGCTCTGAGTACATCCTAGCGCTTACCACTGGCAAGCATGAAGGTTACATTCACATCGGGACCATCACAGGTAAAAGCTACTGTGTTCTGGAAGCTCAGGAGACATTTCCTGACACCTTCTCACCTAGGGCTCCTGTTCCTTGCAATGCGTCCTCAGGAGAGGTGACAGGCTCAGGGCTGTTCCATGTATATGGAAGTGGATATGCATTGGTTGAGATAAGGCTTGAACAGTGTTAGGTACTTTCTATGATGTATTTGACTTTAAAGGGCAGAAACCCAGCTAAAAATATCAGGTCAGTGCTGGGGTGTGGGGGAGGGGAGGGTGGTGGTGGTGGCGGTGGTGCACACCTTTAATTCCAGCACTTAGGAGGCAAAGGCAGGTGGATCTCTGTGGGTTCAAGACCAGCTTAGTCTACAGAGAGAGTTCCAGGACAGCCTCCAAAGCCACAGAGAAACCCTGTCTCGAAAAAAGACAAAACAAAACAAAACTCGGGTCAGCAAAGTTGGATGGGACGATGCTTGCTTGCAATCCCAGCACTTGGAAAGTGGAGGTAGGAGCATCAGAAGTTCAAGGCCAGGGTAGGCTACAATGACACCCTTATCTCAAAATAAAACTCAAAAGCAGGCTGGGGAGACCACTGACATGCTATAGGAATTAGTAAGGTAAAGGGCCAGTGAAACAGCTCAGCCGGTAGAGGGGCTTGCTGCTCAGCCTGAGGACCTGAGTTCAGTCCCCGGGGCCCACCTGATGGAAGAAAAGGACCAATGACACAAGTTGTCCCTCTGACCCCCTCAAATGTGCACGGCATGCAGGAATTTGAGGCCATCCTGGTCTACATAGGGAGTTCCAGGCTAGCTAGGGTTACATAGTGAGACCTGTTCTCGAAACGGGGGTGGGGTGGGGGGTGGGTGGGGGGCGGGGGGATAGGACAGATGGCTCAGCAGCCAAGAGCACCTTGGAACACTCACATGGCAGCCATAATCATTCCAGGGGGTCTGATGCACAGAGAGGCATGTAAGACACTCAGACACAGAAAACAAGTACGCCATAAAATAAAACACTATTGGCATGCTCACACACAGTGCTAAGCGGGAATCTGACTCAGAGTTTTCCATGGTCAAAGAATCCTTCACAGAGGTGCCACTGTCGTCGTCATTGTACATCTTCATCTCGTTTCTTTCTTTCTTTGTTTGTTTGTGAGACAGGATCTCAGTATATAACTTTTGACTTGAAACTCACTGTGTAGGCCAAGCTGGCTTCACAAAGATCTCCCTGCCTCTGCCCCTCGGATTAAAGGCCTGTACCAACACTCAGGGCTTGTCCTCTTTTTTGTTTCCCGTCAGGCATCTGCCAGGCCCAACTGGAAAGACGTGTTTGGTTTTGTGTTTGCTTGTTTGAAAAAGTGCTGATAAGTCCCTATTATTACATCACATGGTGGCTGACTCTAACACAGATGCCACAGACTGCTCCGTGGAACCTAGAGCTATGGCTTTGGATAAATTATATGACTTCACTGATAACATTTTCCCATCTGTAAAATGGGAACAGATGACAATACTATAGTCTATTTCTTTGGGTTGATATAAAGATGAAATAAATATTCTGGTCATGGCGGTATAGTCATGCAGTCATAACACTTGGAAGGCTAAGGCAGAAGGATCAAGAGTTGGAAGCCATATTGAACTAAAAGAGAAAACCAGGGCCAGAGCTTGCCTCAGCATCAGAGAACATGTATGGGATCCACCAGTGTGTGAGTGCTGAGATCACCAGTGTGCACCCCACACCTCAATTCCTTAATCCTAATTCCTAGCCACAGGATGCACTCTGATTGACTCCCCTGCCCCCAAGACAGGGTTTCTCTTTGGCTTTGAAGCCTGTCCTGGAACTAGCTCTGTAGACCAGACTGGCCTGGAACTCACAGAAATTGGCCTGTCCTGGCCTCCCAAGTGGTGGAATTAAAGTTGGGCGCCACACCACCACCCGGCTCTGATTGGCTTCTACTGGTCGCATTGCCTGATCTGAGAACTTTTCTGAGGCCCTGGGTCAATGTAGAGATGAGAAGGCTGCAAATCAGGCCTAACCCCCAGAACCCTTGGACCAAGAGGTTCAAGGTGTGGGGTCCTCGATGGGGTGCTGGTTGGGTTGTTTGCCTGAACCTGGGACCCACTTTGATCCACAGATGGTCTCGTGTCCTTCCAGATGGTGCCGGAGAGATGGTCAATATGTGATAAGTTACCGGGTACTCATTTTTGGTGGGATCTGGGGTGTGGAGGGTGGGAGGCCTCTGGAAGGGTGGGAAGGGTTATGGGGAAGAGGTCAGATTGCTCTAGATTCTGCTCTCCCCCAACAGGTATAAACTGCTCCATCAACTGGGCTACATACATCGTGGACGAGAAGAACCTGCTACTATTGGTGCAGGTCCTCTCCTTGGAGTCAGTTTTGGCCTACTACCTACTCAGCTTTAACTTAGGTAATGAGGTTGCCTGGAGGTCAGGAGGGAACACGCAGGAGCCCGGACTGTGGACCTTATGTCCACCCAAACACTCCACTCTGAGCTCTTAGAGTGGGCTGGGAAGCCGGCATGTCTGGGAGAGAGATAAGAAGACAAGGAGGGAGACTGAACAGGGGAACAGAAGCTGGATCTGGAAGGCCCTGTGCTCACTTGTGCACGCACAATGCACACGCACGTGCACACACACTCTCACACTCACACACAGGCACACATGCACACTCACTCACACTCACACACACTCGTGCACATGTACATGCACGCACGCACACACTCTCACATACACACTATCACACACACACACACACACACACATACACACACACAGAGTAAATCTAAAAAATCAAGGAAGGTATTCTATCCTAAATGGAAAGCCAGTAGAATCAATAAGACGGGTGGGAACTGGTTTTGATTTGTTTTTGTTTTGAAACAAGGTCTCATTATGTAGTTCTAACTGGCTTGGAACTCACCATATAGACCAGGCTGGCCTCAAACTCACAAAGATGCACATGTCTCTGCCTCCTGAGTGCTGGGATTAAGGTGCCGCCATGCCCAGTTGCCAACAGAGTCTGACTTGAGGGTTGGAGAGCTAGTAACTTGGCTGTGATTTCAGATGTTGAGACTTCTTCAGGTTTCAGGGTGTTGTTTCCTACCTTTAGAGACCCAGGAGATGACTATTCTCTACATAATTCCGTTGTTTATCCCAGAAGGTAGGACCCCAGGGCGAGGGTGGCTTCCAGGGTGGGCAGTGGCCAGGAAGAGCCCAGGTGACTGACCACTCTACTCTTCTCCATCCTATTCCTTCCTCCTCTGCTGTGGTTAGTTCAGGGTTTGGACTTCCTGGTGCTTGATGGGAAAGAGTCCTATACCACCACTGCTATGATACCCAAGGGCTTGTTCTTCAACACATTCAACAATATGTTGTACATCTGGGGCAACTTCATCCTGCAAAGGTAGGCATACGCCATCTCCCCAGGGACCCAGACACACACATATGTGTTTATCTATATAAATAACTCTTATTTGTTTGTTTTGGAAATGGGTCTCACTATGTAGCCCTCTATGTCCTTGAACTCAAAGATCCATCTGCCTCTGCTTCTGCCCCATGCTCGAAATTAAAGTCATACGCCATGGCACCCAGTAAAGTTTTATTTTAATGATGTATATGTATGTGTGTCTGTGTGGTGGAACACACATAGGAGTGCAGGTATCTGTGGAGGCCAGAAGAGGGCGCTGGAAGCCCTGGAGCTGGAGTCATTTGGTACTTGGAACCTACCTCAAGAGCAGCAAATGCACTTAACTGTTAAGCCATCTTCATCTTTTCAGACCTTTAGCAGGCGGTTTTTTGTTTTTTGTTTTTGTTTTGTTTTGTTTGTTTGTTTTGGCTCAGTCAGAGTCTTGATTATGTTAGGCAAATAAAATGACACTTTGTGTGGACTGGACACGTGAGCAATGGAAAGCATTTCCCCAGGACACTCTAGAACTTTTCCTGCCCATCTACCCACTTTTTCTTCATGAACCCAGGGGCATGATGCCATCTTCATGGACAGTTAGCCAACTGCTCTTTCATGATGCATTTAGGTTTTTTTTTTTTACTTTTATTGATTGGTTGGTTGGTTTTTTTGAGACAGGCTTTCTCAGTAGCTATGGAGCCTGTCCTGGAACTAGCTCTGTAGAACAGGCTGGCCTCGAACTCACAGGGACTCACCTGCCTCTGCCTTCTGAGTATTGGGATTAAAGGTGTGTGCCACCACCACCCTGCTGATGCATTTGGTTTTAAAGGAAAGAAGCCCAGTTCAGAAAATCATTTAAACACAAAGAATCTCTTGACTTATATTTAGAAAGATCAAGAGCCAGCTTCAGGCATGCTGGATCCAAGGCTCAGAGAGTATGACACTGGGACTTCATTTGTAGGCAAGATGGTGCTTTTACTGGAGTCCTGGGCCACAGGGCTGAGTCCCAAAAAGTCAAAGAAGGGGAGATGGGGTTCAAGGGCACAAGGACACCCTAATACGTAGTGGAAGCCAAAGGGAGGGTTACAAGGTTCCTCTACTACTGTTTACAGTGCCAGCAGACACAGTCAGTGAGTCCTATGCTATACCATGGTTGCAATGGTAGAAACAGATGTCTAAGGACATCAGGCTGTCCCCATTCTCTGAACTCCTTCCCTCTGCCTCTGCAGCTACAATAGGATGCACTTCATTTTTCTGGCGGACTTCCCAAAGGAGTCCACCATCAAATACATGGTCAGCTCTTACCAAGGAGACATGGCTTTTGTCACAGAAAATGATGAGGTACGCTACCCTCCTCTTCTCCCTAAGCCCTCTTGCCCTGTCAGGGCGAACACCCTTAGGGGACCCCAAGATAACATCAGTAGCAGCTCTATCTGCAACAAGACCCTGTTCGGAGAGGGTAGGAGATTTTCCAAAGACTCTCACAGCACGGTGGGAGAGTGGGGAAGGTGACAGTTTTACTATAGCCCCATAGATAACAACCAACAACCCCTGACCCCACAGATCTGGTACTTTCTGGAAGGTGGCTATGATGTATACCAGATTATTCCGTCCAAAGGCTGGAGCATCTACTTTAACCTGCAGAAGATGCATCAGTCATCACTCTTTGCGGACCAAGAGTTCTTGGTTAGCCTCTTCTATGAAGATGGGCAGCTCTACCAGGTGCCAGGAGGGCTTAGTAGGGTGGAGATGGGGAGCAGGCGGGGGCTGCAAGGGTGGTTCCCACCAGCTTACCCGCCTGCGCTGGCCCCAGCTGATATATCTTCTGGAGTCCGGGAGTGAACGTTTGGTCAAGAGGGTCTTGCCTGTGGCACAGTTGCTGCTGTATGACCAGAACAACCCCATCACACTGGAGAGGCATGGGTGAGAACATGGGGCCCTCGAAGAGGTCTGCGAGCTCCCAGCCCAGGGGTGGGACCAAGAGCCACCCTAACGATAACCTGGTGATGGGGGTGCTCAGCGTGGAAGGAAGCTCAAAGGGAGGGTGGAGGGAACTGGAGGCTTGGGGCAGCAGTCAGGAGGGGGCCAATGATGAGAGGGTGAAGAGGAATTGGTGAGGAGGAGGAGGAGGAGGGGGGGAGTGTTAGTGAGAGGGTGAGGAGGAAGGGGGGAAGGGTATTCAGACAAGGGGACCTCATTTGCAAAGACCCAAGGAAGAACGGTGATTGTGTGTTTAGTAGCTGACAGATTTCAGGAATGGCCCACATCTGTAGTCTCAGCACATGTGAGGTTAAGGCAGAAGAATTTGCAACTCAAGGCTAGACATAGTGACACTGTCTGTGGGAAGAAAAAAAAAGACCTTCCCGGCACCTGCAGAGGGTGGGACCAGAGAAGAGGCTGGAGGTGGGGGTGGCAGCCAGGCAAGGGACCTAAGCTGGGGTGGATGGGGAGACACCCGGGAGCGAAACCCTGGGAGCCGATGGTGGAGGGACGCGGGTTCTGGTCTGAGGGAGCCAACAGTGTGTTCTCAGAGACTGCCGAACATGAGGGGACTGAACTGGGTTTGGTGTGAGCTAGGATAAATGTGGGGAACCGGCAACTCAGAAGCGGGAAGCATGGGTCTGGGGATGCCCCTGGAACTCCGGAGGAATCAGCATCTATCTCCCTTGCATGCCTATTGCCCACTGCTGCCCAGGAACTACAGGATGCCCTCCTTCACCAACTTCTGCCCTTTCAAGGTGATGCGTCTGCGTGACCTGCCCAAAAAGCAGCATTTCGCACGTCAGGAGCTCTACCATGCTCCACCACCTCTGGTCTCCGAATCCCTGGGCTTCCACAATAATAAGACACTTGCTGTCTACCAAGGCCTTGTTTATTACCTGCTGTGGCTGCACTCCAAGTATGACAAGGTGAGCTTCAGGGCATAGAAGGAGCCTGAAGTTCAAAGATATGGGGATGGGGAAGGGACAGGAGTTGGCAGTTTGAGCTGGACTTCAGAGTGGCTGTTAGGGCTGAGGCCCTTGGATTAAAAGCCAGGAAGCCAGGTTTAGGTTATACATGCTGTGGCCCATGCCTGTAATCTCAGCACTTGGGAGGTAGAGGCAGGGAGATCAGGAGTTCAAGACTAGCCTTGGCTACACTTTTTTTTTTTTTTTTTTTTTTTTTTTGGTTTTTCGAGACAGGGTTTCTCTGTGGCTTTGGAGGCTGTCCTGGAACTCGCTTGGTAGTCCAGGCTGGTCTCGAACTCACAGAGATCCGCCTGCCTCTGCCTCCCAAGTGCTGGGATTAAAGGCGTGCGCCACCAACGCCCGGCTTGGCTACACTTTTAATGGCCACACCTTCCATTAAAACAGGGGTGGGGGCGTGGGGACATGATGTGGTGATTCAGCCTTTATCCCAGCACTCTAGAGGCAGAGGCAGACAGAACTCTTGAGTTTGTGGCCAGCCTGGTCTACATAGCAAGTTTCGGGACAGCTGGGGCTACATAGTGAGACCCTGTATCAACAAAAAACAACAAAAACAAACAAAAATCAAAACAAGGGTTTGGGAGATGATACACAAAACATGAGGACCTGAGCACGAATCACAGCAACCACATAAAGAGCTGTGTGTGAGCGCTGCTGTGTGTGAGCGCTGAGCCTGTGATCCCAGCCCTGGGGAGGTAAGAGACTCATTGGCCAGCCGTCTAGTCTGGTCCGGCCAGGGTCCAGTGAGAACTCCCTGGGTGACGTCTTTGGAAACACAAGAAAGGTTTTTGGTCCCCACAGGCTCACACACCCTACAGAGACACAGGAGGCCGGGCTTGGGGGTGGGCTGAGTGTGTATCTCCTACTTTGGGCTATGAGCTGTCTGCCTACTCCCTGTCACCTCACCGTGTCTGACCGTCCCTCAGCCCTACGCGGACCCCGTGCACGATCCTACCTGGCGCTGGTGGGAACAAAAAACCCAGTACAAGGTAGGTGGACAGGTCGGGAGTTGGTGGAGGGACAGCACTGAGACGCTGGCGTCCCATCTAGCGTCCTAGCTGATCACCCCGGTGCATCTAGGATTACTACTTCTACCTATCCAGCAACTGGCTGGCGGCGGAAGGCGTGTACATCGACATGAGCAGCTACCAAAAGCTCTACAACATCTCGAACGACTACGGGCTGCCCGAGACTGTTTTCCTGGACAAGGGCAACACGTTCAGCTTCACCATCTTCCTGACGTCGCAAGATGACACCTTCAAGCTCAGCTCCAACCCCGGTCTGTGGGCGGGGCCTACTTGGCAGCCGTGGGGGCGGGGCCTGGAGCCTCCGGGGGTGGATCCCAGGCATCAAGCCCCTCCCTATTCCCTGGCAGTCTCGGGCTACCAGGTGGAGAAGAAGTTGGCAGTGGCTGTGGTAGTGGCAGATCCCGACTGCCTTGAGGCATCTGTGAATCAGGAGGTCCTTCTTAATCGCAAAGCGGTGCTCTACAGGGTGAGGAGCCCAGAGAGAAGGTACCGGGCCTTGGCTGCTGTCCAAGGGCAGAATTGGATATCTCTTTATTTCCGTCTTTCCTTCCTCTACCTCAGATTACAATCAAGGACAGAAAGGTCTGCTATGACCAGGGCCTCAGTGGACATAACCTCAAGAAGACTTCCATGATGGTCAAAGTATGGTCCAAGCTTGGGGAAGGGTGTGGGGAGAGGACAGTGGCCCTTGGGATCCCTAGCATCACCTCCTCCTACCCACAGGTGTTGGGATCTTCCGGGAAATGCTTCCAGACCACGTACCATGGGTCAAGCATGCAAGTACTGGAACTCGGATACTGGGTCTGGTATTGGGAGTGCAGGGTTGAGTCGGGTTCCCGCAGGGCTGCTTCCTGTTGTTGGCCTGGGAACACCGCAAAGGCATTCATATTTTTAGTTTATGTGTATGGTATTTTGCCTGCCATGTATGAGTGTTCGTGTGTGGGTGCAGGAGGTTGCAGAGCCAGGACAGAAGAGGGCATCTGGTCCCCTGGAGCTGAAGTGACAAATGTTTGTGAGCTGCCATGTGGGTGCTGGGAATGGAACCCAGGTCCTCTGTGGTTGCAATTGCAGCCAGTGCTCTTGACGTCTGGGCCATGTGTCTAGTCCCTGCATTCATGTTTTCCCTTTCTCATTTGTTATCCTCATCCATCCCTCCCGCCCCTGACTCAGGGACGGTCTCTGGAATGGTTGCCTTCACAGCTCTGTAGGCTGCACACAAGCCTGTGTGCCTTTACATATGTATTGCGTCATAAGGAGATGGCTAGTGTCTCCTTTTCCCAGCTGACATACATGTAGCTTGTGGAGAGCATGGCCGACTCTTTCACACACACTACACACTGCTTTTTTTTTTCTTCCGATTTCCAGTACCAGGGGTTGAACTCAAGCCTTTGGGGATGTGGGCAATCACTAAGATACCACCCCAAACTCATCCATTGTCTTACATTTTTCCTCTCAAAGCTTGCTTGTTCTCTCCTTTTGTTTTGTGGTTCTTCTCCTGCTTACACGTGTACCATCCCCCTTGCATGCCACTGAGGCCTGGAGAGGACCTAGAGTCCTTGTTCTCCATAACTTCCCTGCCCACCCACCAGCACACTCACCCCAGGGATCCACCTTGCTGGATTGGAGTGACGCAGGCAGTGGAAAACAGGTGTGACAGACAGGCACAGACTTCTTAGGTGACATGTGGTGGGAACAAGCTTGGCTGAACCAGGATGAGTAAGGAGGGAAGGGGAGAGACTGGGAGAGTCACATCTGGCTGCATACTGGGAACAGGTGTGTGTGTGTGTGTGTGTGTGTGTGTGTGTGTGTGTGTGTGTGTGTTCCAGAATGATAAGGGAGGAGGGAAGAAAGCTGAATTTTAGGGGGGAAAATAGATGGGTTTTAGGTATAGCCTTCCTTCCTTCCTTCCTTCTCTTCCTTTCCTTCCTTCCTTCCTTTGTTTTTGTTTTGTTGTCTTGTTTTGTTTTTCGAGAGAGGGTTTCTCTATAGTATTGGAGGCTGTCGTGGAACTTGTTCTGTATACCATGATGGCCTTGAACTCGCAGAGATCCACCTGCCTCTGCCTCCTCAGTGCTGGGATTAAAGGCGTGCGCCACCACCACCCAGCCCTTTCTTTCTTTCGAGACAGGGTCTCCCTCTGCCACATAGCTGGCTTCAAACCCATCTTGGCCATCCTGATTCAGCTCCTTAGCTAGATTCCTTTTTGTGTTGCTAGAGAAGGAAGGCAGAGACCGAAACATGCTAATCATTACTGAACAATGAGCCACATGCCAGCCTTCTGGATCTATCTTAAATGGTTGAAACAGGAACCTAGGCAGGCATGGTGGCAGTGTGCCTTGTAGCCTGCATCCCAGAACCGAGAAGGCAGAAACAGCCATACTCTTCAACACCTCCTTGTGAATCCTACACAGCCCCAGAACCTCCTTCCCCTATTAACCTCAAGTGCTCTATAGGGTCAAGCTACATTCACAACCTAGAACCCAATTTGTTCTCATTGGATGGATTCTGCAGAGACTGAATTTCAGATGCCCGCCAGCCCAGCGAGTGCTGGCTTATACATGCTAGGGAGGGCCTGGTGCAGCTCTGGCATGGGAACCGCTAACCTCTGCAGCCACCGAGCTCAGGCCACAATCTCTGTATGCCATGGCGCAGCCCCAAATGAGCCTAGAGAGATTCTTCATTCTGAAGACAATGTCGTGAGGTTTGCCCAGCTGTGGCACTCATTCAGTTTCCTTGGGGTATCACATACTCCTTTGGGTGGATTATAGTCTGAACTTAGACCTTTGCGATGTGAGTCAGTGCTGGCGTCAGTGCTGGCATCAGTGCTGGCATCAGTGCTGGCATCAGTGGCTTTGCTAGCAGTGAATGGATCCTATCTATCTGTTTCAACTCCTGTGTGACTCCCTCAATGAATAAGCTACTCAGCCTTCCTATGCCTAGTTTTTCATTTATTTGTTTTTAAGGCAGTCTCAAATAGCCCAGGCTTGCTAGAAACTTGCTCTGTAGCTAAGGATCCTCATTGTTCCTCACTCTCCAATGTGCTGAGATTACAGGTTTGAGTCACCACACTAAGCCTTCCCCCCCCAATCAGGGTCTCAGTCAGTAATACAGGCAAGCTTGAACTCACTAGATAGCCCAGACTGGCCTTAAACTCACAGCTGTCCTCCTGCATTGGTTTCCCAAGTGTTGGGATTATAGCATGAGCCACCACAGCCGGCTCTCCTCATTTTTGTTATCTGTTTTTGTTGCTATATATAACATGGGGATTTGACCTCAAATCCCAGATCCTCCTGCCTCACTCTTCTGGGTGCTGGGAGAGTATGTATGTGCCAACTCACATGGCTTGTCATCTCTGAAATGGGGGTATTGCCCAGCATGATGTTACACGCCTTTAATCTCAGTGCTCTGGAAGCAGAGGCAGATGATCTCTGTGAGTTCAAGGCCAGTCTGGTCTACAAAAGTGAGTACCAGGACAGCCAGGACTACATAGAGGGATCCCATCTCAAACAAACAATAATAAGTAAATAACAAATGGGACATATCAATAATCTGTACCATATAGGGCTCACACAGCTCACACAGGCTTAATGAAGAAAGTATGTTAAGCTCTTAGAACATTTCCCAATGCCTTGTACACAGGAATTGCTACATAAGCCTTGGCATTTATCAGAAATACTGTCTTAGCTGGGTGTGGTGAGACAAGCCCATAATTCCTGGGGAGATAAAGGATGGGGAGTTCAAGGACAGCCCGACTCTAGAAAATTCTATCTCAAAAAACCAAGGAAACTGGGCCTGGTGGTGCGTCCCTTTAACCACTGAAGCTCTTGGGAGGCAGAGGCAGGAGGGTTTCTGTGAGTTTGAGACAGGCTGGTCAATGTAGTAATTTCCAGACCAGCCAGGGCTTCTTCACAAGAAGTCTGCGTCTCAAGCAACAAGAAAGATCGTGAAGTGGAGAGCAGCACGTGGTTGCATTTGGAAGGACTTAAGGGAGGAAGGGGAGGGGATATGATCAAAATAGATCATATGCAATTCTAAGATGGAATAAACTATTAATTAAAGACAATAACAAACAAAGGGCTGGCAATGTAGCTCAGTGGTAGTGTATTTGCTCAGCACTGGAGGAAGGCCCTGGTTCCAAACTGCCAAGGAAAAGCAGGCAGGCAGGCAGGATGCATGTAGTACTGCAGATTACAGTGTGGCCAGCTGTGCTGGTCAGGAGGGTTGATAGTCTGGCGTGTGACAGAGGGGAGGTTTTGTCTTTGCTCCTTTATGGCAATCTGGCCACCCCCCAGCAGGAGGTCTTCTTCCTACCCAGGGTCACTTGATGGTGCCAGTGTTAATCGGCTGTCCCCCTGGCAAGCGTCTGGCCTTCGACGTCACCTACACGATTTTGCACACCCGGGAGTTAAACAAACACTATTTCGACTGTGCGCGGATGAACCCCGAGATGCCGTGCTTTCTGTTCCGTGACTGTGTGTCCCATCCCTTCCCCCAAGTTCTCTGTCCTCCCGTCCTGGCCGTTTTGCCGTCCCTCCCGCATTCCCTTTGCCTCAGCCCATCACCTTCTGCTCCGACCCCGAGCCCCTCCGCTTTCTTCCTCCTCCTCTCTCGACAGAGCTGATTTCTTTCTCCCCTCCTCTCCTTCGCAATCCACAGTGTTTCAGCCCTTCTTCTTAGTCCAAGACATGGTGACCGGAGACTCTGGCAGTTTCCTGGGCAGGTGAGGAAAGGCCGGCTGGAGACTGCCGGCCCTTGGCAAGTGGGACAGGGAAGAGGTTCAGTTCAAAAACTCAGGCGGTCCACGCTTGCCTCTGCCTTCTGCAGTTACGTGCTGAAGGTGGTGGGCGGAGGTCCCACCATTGACACCATCAGAGATTACACAGAAGAAGAAATCTACCGTTACAACAGCCCGCTGGACAAGTAATCCCTCTGGGGCCCCTGTTCGCAGTTGCTGGGTCTCCCTTCCACTTCCCGTTAGGCAGGAGACTCGCCCTACAGTGAAGCCTGGGCTCCTGCACCAGGGCCCCGCCTACCAGGGCCCCGCCCACCAGGGCCCCGCCCCCTTGGGTGCTGACAACTGTTGCACTCTATCCACGCTGACTTTATAGGCCCCCCCCCCCGCACAGCACCAACAGCCTCATCTGGAAAACAAAGGCTGAAAGGACCACTTACGACAAGAAGTTCTACATTATGTCCTATCAGAGTCCGGGAATTGAGTAAGTGCGAGTCCCAAGAGCTCGGCCCTCCGGGTTCCTATGTTTTGGTTTTGGTACTCGGGTCCCATGTACCTCAGGCTGGCCCTGAATTTGCTACATGGCTCAAGATGGCCTTGTTCTTCCATCTCCCGAATTCTGGGGTTTCAGGTGTGCTCACCACACCCGTGTATGGGGTGCTAGGCTTAGTGTGTGCCAGGAAAGCATTCTACCAACTGAGCTATACCCCGGCACCCTGTTGGTTTGGTTTTGCTTCACACAGAGTCTCACTATGTAGCCCAGCCTCATCTCAAAGTTATGATTGTCCTACTCTGCCTCCTGAAATTTGGGGACATGCTCTTTGCACATGACCCCCACCCCCACATCCCTCTGGCCCATTGTGGCCTCTGAGACCCTCCCCAGTAGTCGCATTAATTGTCTTTGTGTTTCCCAAGGAGGGTTAGCCTTGGTATACAGAGGCTTTCCTGGAGGCCTGGGGCCTCTTCTGTCTTCAGGCCTTGGCTGACAGGCTCCTCCCTCAGGAGGGCTTGACCATGCCCTTTCTTTCCAGTCGGCTCCTCTGGACTTCCTCATGCCTTTCCCACTCTGAGCCTTCCCTGACCCTGCACATCTCCTTACATTTTGGCCCTGACCTTTCTAAGTTGTCACTGTCTCCTGAAGGACCTGTCTCCTCTGTAGCACAGCTCTTGAACAGACACACTGTAACATTTTTTTTTTTAAGGAAAGAATGAACAAATTAATGCATGGTCAGCATTCGCTGACAGTCAAATGGATGTTAATGATTGGATAAAACTATAGAGGAGTTCATTAGCATGTAAGGGCTTGGTAACCATTTTTGATTCAATGAAAGGAAAACCATGGTACCACAAGGCAGCAAATGAACAAATTTGCCAACTGCATCCAAGTCCCTGTTTAGTTCAGGGCTATTGAACAATAATCAACAGGGAATAAGTGAGAAGAAATTCGAGTTTGTGCCTGGCTTGTGTTCAGACTGTGCTTGTGGGGAAAGGAATGAAGGCAGCACACAGTAGGTACTTAGCCCAGCATGTGGGTGAATTTGCAGGTGGAGGCAGGGAGGCAGTGACTGAACAGCTTGTTCCAAGGCAGGTACTCAGATAGCATCACTGTTTGAAGGGACTGAGATACCATCACTGTTTGAATGGACTGAGTAGGCAGGAGAAGGGGCTGGGATAGCAGCTTAGTGGGAGAAACACGTGCCTGGAACGCACTATCGAAGGACTGAGGGTGGCAGGACTTGGCTTAGCAGTGGCGTGTTCACCTAGCTGGCCTGAGGCCGAGAGTTCAGTCCTCAGCACCACAGTTACAAACAGGCCAGATACCCTGGAGAAGGTATATACAAGCCAGATACCCTGTGCTTGGCTGGTGCTTCCAGGAAGTGTAAGTGATGCAGCTGCCTAAACTTGGACTCCTAGGTGGCTGTGTTTAGAGAACTCCCCATGCCACGATATCACCCCCCAGAACATCTTTGCACCTGATTTCTTTCTCAAGTTGCTGGTGAGCAATAGGTAAGCCAGGCATCAGCCTGGGGGTGTGGTGGGGGTGGGGTGAGGTTTTTCCGTGGGATGATGCCCCACCGCTTAACCCAGTTCTGGACTCCATTCCCTCCTCAGGGGAGTGGACAGTAGCACATACTGTGACTACCAGCTCATCTTTATACTGCACATGCATGGGCTGCCGCTCAGTGGCAAGCGGTCACTCTTCATCGTCATTGTGAGTGGCAGTCAAAGGCTTCCCTACTGGGCGGGCGGGGTTTGCCCAGCACTGGCATCCACGGCTCCTGTACCATGTCTGCAGGTGTCCACCAGCCTGCTTGTGGGCCTGGTGGTCTTCTACATCATGTTCTGCCTCCTGTGGCCCCACGTAGTGAAGGCCTGGGTCACATTACGCTGGAAGATTAACAACATCTTGGCGTCAGAATCCTACTACACATACGCCACCTCCAATGCAGCCTTCAGTTTCCAGTCTCGTTCGGGCTCCGAGGCAAGCTCCAAGGCTCCCTCCAAAGCAGGTTCCAAAGAGACCACAGCAGACAGGAATGAAGTGGCTGCCTGAGTCTGCAGGCTGCGCCCTTCCTCAGATCCCTGCCTCTCCTAGTGGGAACGTAGCCTGCCACCTACCCAGGGGTTTCTAGAAAGTTCACGCCTCCTTCAGACCCAAATAAAGTCTCATTTCAGAATCAGCCCCGAGTCCTCAGGAAGGTTCATGTGTCGATTGGTTTGCACCAGAACTGAATCCTTGACTCCCCCCCCGTCAGGTTGGCCTTGAACTGGTCGTAACTGAAGGATAACTTTGAACCATGATCCTCTACCTCCATCTTCCACAGTCTGAGATTACAGCTTCCCCTACATACTCTACTCAGGGTTATTAGAAAAGGCTGCAGAGTCTGCCGAAGTCTGGCTCTGTTTCTCTGTAGTTCCCCCTCTGAATGTGGACACTGACCTCAAGACTTCCGTCTTCACCCTCTGGGGCTGCAATTTACACGTCCTGTTGTCCCAAGAACAAAGGGATGAGGGTTCTACAAGTTCAGCCAAAAGTCGGATTGTCACTCTGATTACCTGGATTTGGATCATAAGGTCACCACTGTACCGATTACAGGGCAGTGGCAGAGATGGGAGTTTCAAGTCCCATTCCCGATGCTGAGGTGGCCAATCTCACCCTAATGTTTTACTATGTGTGGGCAATGGCAATTCTGAAAGGCAACAGGATGGAGGGAAATCAATGTGATGGTCAGACGTGGTGGTCCAGACCTATAATCCCAGCACGCACTGATGAGACAGGCGAGCAACCCCCTCCCCTGAGAATAATGAAGTATAGAGCTATTTGGGGAGGGCTTCAGGATTTGGGAAGTGCGTGGTTAAGTACCAACAGAGGGAATGGGGGTTGGACAGAGGCTGGGAAATTCCGGCTGGTCAGATAGCTGTGCAGATGAAGGTACTTATTGCCAAGCCTGACCACCTGGGTTTGATCTCCAGAACCTGCATGGTGATCAAAAAGAGAGAACCATCTCCCTTAATCTGTCCTGTGATACTAGTGCTGTGGCAAGCTACTTCTTCAAAGTGAATAAATTAGTGATTTGAAAAAACAAAATCTTGGCTGGGCGGTGGTGGTGCACGCCTTTAATCCCAGCACTCGGGAGGCAGGCGGATCTCTGTGAGTTCGAGACCAGCCTAGTCTACAAGAGCTAGTTCCAGGACAGGCCCCAAAATAAATAAGCATGTAAATTCCCTGCTTCTTTTTGACATTTAAAGCCATAGACCTAAGTGATTTTTGTAAATAGTTCATACATTTATATTTAAGTTGATTATGTATAAATTTGAATAAATATATAGAAGTCCTCTAGAAATGTCAGGGAGCTACACCAATGAAGTCTCAACGACATGACTGTCTGAAAAAAGATACGAATGGAAGGGCATGAATAGACACGCTATCATGGAAGGGGACAATGTCACCTGGCCCCCCCAGACAACCACAGGCAACTAAGGTACGCTGAGGACATCAATGGTTTTCCTGAGGGAAAAGCCCCTCTTTTTGGTATCCAATACCAAGTGGTCAGTCCTAAAATCGTATACATACAAGCAGCATTATATGGATTGAGCAGGCTGTATTTACATATTTAGAAATCTATAACAGAGAAAACAAGACTAAAGGCTGTGAATTTGGTGGGGATTTATATTACATGGGAAGGGTTGGAGGGAAACAATGTGATGTTTTTACATTTTTACGGATGAATGTTTTTCCTGAATATGTGTATGTACACCACATGTGTGCCTGATGCACAGAGGTCAGAGAGAGCACCAAATCCCCTGAAACTGGAGTTACAGAGTTACCACGAGGATTCTGGGAATGCAGCTCTGTAAAAGTGACAAGCGCTCGCTCTTGACTCCTGAGCCATCTCTCCATGCGTCACATTCTAAGACGTGTTATTCTTAGAGCAATTCTAAGATGTGTCGCATTTGTTTATCCCGTGGAACATTTGCTCTAACGATGCAAAGATTGCTGCATTCCTTTATGCTGCATTTGTTTAACTCTGTGAAGCTGTGCTGCTTTGTCTAAGGCCCTGACTGTTTAATAAAGAGCTGAATGGACAACAGCCAGGCAGGGGCAAGGATAGGCGGGGCTGGCAGGCAGAGAGGACGAACGGGAAACGAAGAACGAGGAAGAACAAGACAACAAGGAGAGAGGACTTCAGGGGCAGCCAGCTGTACAGCAAGCCATGGAGTAAGACGTACAGAAGGGTATACAGAATAAAGGTAAAAGCCCAGAGGCAAAAGGCAGATGGGATAGTTTAAGAAAAACTGGCTGGGCCGGGCGTTGGTGGCGCACGCCTTTATTCCCAGTACTCGGGAGGCAGAGGCAGGCGAATCTCTGTGAGTTCGAGGCCAGCCTGGTCTACAGAGAGAGTTCCAGAACAGCCTCCAAAGCCACAGAGAAACCCTGTCTCGAAAAACAACAAAAAAACTGGCTGGAAATAGGCCAAGTTAAGGCTGGGCATTCATAAGTAATAAGTCTCTGTGTGTGCATTTATTTGGTAGCTGGGTGGTGGGTTCCCCCAAAGGGTAAGGAGCCAAAGATGAAAAAGCCAGCCAACTCCAGCCTATAGAAACTATAGATAGAATTGCTCCACTTCCTGGTCTGTCTGTCTGTCTACCTGTTAGAGACAGGATTTTTCTATGTAATTCTGGCTGTTCTGGAACTCTTGGTATAGATCAAACTGGCCTCAAACTCTGCCTCCTGAGTACTGGGACTAAAGGCCTGAACCATTATGCCCGCCTTCCATAATTATATTTTAATTTCAAAACTAAGAAAAAATGTAATGTGGTAGAATGATTTTCTGATAAACTGAGGGACCTGACTTTAAATCCCACCTGCTGGTCCTCTCAAAGCCTGTCTATGTAGTGACACTTGACAGTTTTCCAGATGGCTCCACGTCGCCACCTCTTGGCCTATAGACGGAATCCTTAAGTTGGAGACTCCCACAGACTGAAGCAAGGGTGGCCATATTGGCTACGGGAATGGGCGAGGCACTGTGGACGTCATTTTTTTTTTTTTTTCAGTTGGGGCAAACCGACTTCCGCTCACCACTTTGAGTGACAGCAGAGAGAGGCGGCGCCCTGCCATGTTCGTTAAGGGCCGGCCTGGGAAGGCGCCCAGGGGAGAGCCGCGGCGCTCCACCCGCGGCGGGCAGAGGCTGGCGGCCGTGGCTCCGCCTCCAGCTGTGGGCTCCACCTCTCGGCCTCATTTCCGCCGTGAGGCCGTTTCTCGGCGTCGCTGCCGTAAGTCGGGTCGGCGGTTTGCCGCATCACGGAAGATGGCGGCGGCGGCGGCGGTGAACGGGACGACCGGCGTCTCGAGCTCGGGGCCCGCGGCCACCTCGGGCGCGGTCTTGCAGGCGGCAGCCGGCATGTACGAGCAACTCAAGGACGAGTGGAACCGGAAGAGCCCGAATCTCAGTAAATGTGGAGAGGAGCTGGGCCGTCTGAAGGTAGGGGTCGGCGCGGGGGACGGCGCGGGGAGCCCGGGGTAGTAGAGCGAGCCGAGGGAGGGAAAGAGCGAGGTTCGGAACGGCACAGGGTGGACCCGGAGGGCTCCGAGGTGGGGTGGCTGCCGCAGACCGAGCACGGCCCTTACTTACGGTGGCGGGAGTGGAGTGAGGGAAACATTGCGTTGGCAGAATCGAATGGGACGGATGGGTGTTTGGAGGGGCAGGGACAGGATCAGACAAAACCGAGCGGGGTCGAGATGACAGGCCGTGTGGGCAAGCCAAGGCAAGCGGTGGGCGAGCAGAGGTTAAGGATGCATCTATGCGAAGAGGGGCAAAAGCAATTAGTCTGGGGCCGTACCGAACCCAGAGGAGGGTAAAAGATGGATTGTAAACATATTCAGATGTATGGGAGGCCAGCCTGGTCTCTGATAGCAAGTTCAAGACGGCTAGGGTTATGTATCGAGACCTCATCTAAAAAACAACTATTATTATTAATCAGTAGCCAAACAGCAACAGCAAAATATATATTAGGTCCCTAAATTTACTAAAGAATGGTGTCTGGGCTGGATTTGGGGAAGAGGAAAATTAGTGCCTCGCACTCCTTGACGTAGATTTGGGCCTAGCCTAGTTACCCCTTCTCAGGCAGAGTGTGGCAGGGAGGTGTTCCCAGAACTGGGCATGAGACGTTCCAGTCTTGTAATCTTAGCACTTGGGAGGCTGACACTGGGATCTCCAGTTGTAGGCCAGACTGGCCTGCAAATCCAGATCCTGTCTGAAACAAAACAGAAACCCCAAACAAGCCAAAAATAGCAACAGAGAATTGAGGTCACCAGTGTCTTCCCCACCCCATGAGTGACTCCTGGTTGCCAGTGGAGTCCTTCATCGTAAAATGAGGCAATCCAACGGAGCCCTAGGCTGAGCGCTTGACAAGGACGGACTCCCTTCTTACTCATAGCAGTTGTATTGAGTAAGGATGCCCGGAAGTTCCATTTTCCAAGTAGAAGCATCAAAGTCCAGAGAAAGTGGGTAACCTGTGTTTGAAGTCTCATCTTCGTTCCTTCCCCCTCAGCTGGTTCTACTGGAGCTCAATTTCCTGCCAACCACAGGGACCAAACTGACCAAACAGCAGCTCATTCTGGCCCGTGAGTGTCATTGGCTGGTGGAGGGTGGTGGCAGCGGGTGATGGTAAGGATGGTAGTGATGATCCCAGGAGGGATTCCTGTCGCCACCTCAGAGCCACCCCCTTCCTAACAGGTGACATACTGGAGATCGGGGCACAGTGGAGTATCCTGTGCAAGGACATCCCTTCCTTCGAGCGCTACATGGCCCAGCTCAAATGCTACTACTTTGATTACAAGTGAGGTTGGGCCCTCCTTCCGGGAGGGGGTTGGAGCGGGGGTGGGGGGGTTGCTTGGTGGCTCCCTCCTGTTGGCTTCATCCCCTGGGAACCATTGCTGTTCCTAGCTCTGTCCCCGGAAGATGGGGAGACAGGGGATTGACTTGCAAGTCTTGAGACTGGGTTTATGTAGTACTTGGCTTTTGTGGTCCATTTCTGTAAGTTTCTAACCAGTTTTCCTTTTTCTTAAATATTTATGTATTTTTGTGTATACGGGTGCTTTGCATGTATGCCTGCACATCAGAAGAGGGCATCGGATGCCTTTACAGGTGGTTGTGAGCCGCCATGTGACTGCTGGGAATTGAACTCAGGACCTCTGCACTGCTGAGCTCTTCACTGCTGAGCCATCCTTAGCCCCTCCCATCTGTTTCTCCTGATCCTTAAACTGTGTTCGCTCTACTGTTGTGGCTACTTGTCACCTTTCATCTACCAGGCGATATTCTTGACTCCTGACGGATCTATAGCCGCCAACAGGATGCTATTTTGCTTCACTTTTTGCTTGTTTTGAGACAGGTTTCAAGTGCCTTTGCTTGGAGATTATAGTGCTGCCCCCTGCTGGTTTGTTGTGTTGTGTTGTTTTGGTTTGGTTTGGTTTGACACAGGGTTTCTCTGTTTAGCTCTGGCTGTCCTGGAACTCAGATCCACCTGCCTGTGCCTCCCAAATGCTGGGATTAAAGGCGTGTGCCACCACTGCCTGGCTTGTTTTTGAGTTTTTGCCACATAGCTCAAGCTGCCCTTAAGTTTATTGTCATCCTGCCTCTGCCTCCTGAGTGTTGGCATAAAAGTCTTGGGCCACCATACCCAGCTGTTGTTTTTTGAACTGTGTCTTCTGTTCCCCAAGCTGGCTGAGAACTCTGTGTAGCCCAGGGTAGTCTTGAACTTCTGATGCTCCTGCCTCTACTTCCCAATAGCTGCAATTGCAGATGTGCACCCCATGTCTGGGGATCAGACCTGGGGTGTTGTCCATACTAGGTAGACAGCTGCCTAACCTCCGGAGGCTATTTTTAGGACTTTATACGGAAGTTAGGCCATTTCACTCGCTTATGTTTACTGAACCTGCCTTTGCGGTATGGCTACTTAGTGACAACTGTTTACAGATAGGAAACCGTGGGTTGAGGGACCTTGCTTGGTCCATGTGACTTGTGGCTTTTCTTGCCTCGCTGGGCATCACTTGTCTGTAGTTCCAAGGATTCTGGAAGGTAGATGAGGCACTTGGTTAGGTCCCCAGGACCTACTAACCTTGGTTCCCTCCCTCCCTGGTTTACAGGGAACAGCTACCTGAGTCAGCCTACATGCACCAGCTCCTGGGCCTCAACCTCCTCTTCCTGCTCTCCCAGAACCGAGTGGCTGAGTTCCACACAGAATTAGAACGCTTGCCTGCCAAGGACATCCAGACCAATGTCTACATCAAGCACCCTGTGTCCCTCGAGCAAGTGAGGATGGGCAGGGGAAGGGAGAACCGGGCTGAGGAGGGTGGTATCAGTTCAGATCTTGAGGGCTCCTGGAGGAATGATCAGGGTTCAGCCATTTCAACCCACCAACTCATTTAACCAGCAAATAAAAACAGGTCTGTGCCAGGTACCAGGGTAGTTTTCATGTTAAGGTGAATCTTGAGACAGTGAGGGGAGAAAGCATCGGGTACCAAAACAATGAGTCACCGCTGTTGTCTGTGAGACATGAAGTATTATGGGGACTTGGGCCTGGGAGGCTAAGAGGTCATCTGGAAGAGGCTGCCTGTGTCCTGAGGCTCAAACCTGCCTGCCATATCTGAGGGACAACAAAGAAGTTAAGCAACAAGGGGATAAGGCTCGGGGAGAGCCTTGGGAGCCTTTAGGAAGTTGCCGGGTGCCGAGGCCTCCTGAGGATTTCCTGTGGGAAGGGTGGCTGAGTGGCAGGTAGGAGCAGCAGTTTACATGTGTGCAGAGTGGGAGCTGGGCTTGATACATCCTCCTCCCTTGTAATTGGACAATGCCAGCCCAGAGTAGGCTGCCAGGGTGAGTGTGTGTAAGCCAGGTAAGGCTCTGTAGAAGAGGAGGAGCCCAGGCTGCGGGGAATGGGTGGGCCGTGTGGCAAGGGTGCTGTGGTAGAGCGGGGTTTGGGAGGCACCAGGGGGCAGGGAAGCCCCCGTGCTCCCTTCACAGGGTGGGGAGCAGGGAAGCCCCCGTGCTCCCTTCACAGGGTGGGGGGCAGGGAAGCCCCCGTGCTCCCTTCACAGGGTGGGGAGCAGGGAAGCCCCCGTGCTCCCTTCACAGGGTGGGGGCAGGGAAGCCCCCGTGCTCCCTTCACGCTCGTCCTCTTCTCCTTGGCAGTACCTGATGGAGGGCAGCTACAACAAGGTGTTCCTGGCCAAGGGGAACATCCCCGCTGAGAGCTATACTTTCTTCATTGACATCCTGCTGGATACTATCAGGTATGTGGGGTCTGGGTCCCCAGACTCCCTGGCCTTGCTGTTTCCCCAGATGCCACCCTGCCAATTCCTGTCATTTGATGCCTTGGTGTTTTTCATAGTGGATATGTTCCCCCTTCTGGGGGTATAATCAGAGCCCCGTGCAAACTGAGCGAGTCCTCTACCTCTGAGTTGCCCTCCCAGCCATAATGCCTGTTCTGGGAGGTCGGGCTGTTGAGAAAGGGTTTCAGGTAGCTGAGACTGGCTGTGAACCTAATCCTCCTGCCTCCGCCTCCCAAGTGCTGGGAGTACAGACATGCACCCCACACCTGGACTCATGCTGAGGATGGGAGTGTGCTTCAGCATGCTAGACAAGCACTCTTCTTCATTCGCGCAAGAGCCTCCTCCAGACTCTGAGGAGGGCCTGTGCTCCTTCCTGTGAAGACTCCCTCAGAGCCGGAGCTCCCAGGAGGATAGGGCCTGGGAGGTTGTCTGTCTGCTCCGTAGTGAGAACTACCACCTTCCCACAGGGATGAAATCGCAGGATGCATTGAGAAGGCCTATGAGAAAATCCTTTTCGCTGAGGCTACCCGGATTCTCTTCTTCAGCACGCCCAAAAAGATGACAGACTATGCCAAGAAGGTGGCTGTGGTGTGGGGCAGGGACTGTGGGTTGGGGTTGGGAAATAGTGTTGTACCTTGTCTCAACAGTGTTAGTACACAGTGTGGGTAGTCTGGGGGACACAGAGTTAATGTACGGTCTGGGTAGTCTGGGGGACACAGTGTCAATACAGTGTGGGTAGTCTGGGGGACACAGTGTCAATACAGTGTGGGTAGTCTGGGGGACACAGTGTCAATACAGTGTGGGTAGTCTGGGGGACACAGTGTTAATGTACGGTATGGGTAGTCTGGGGGACACTGTCAATACAGTGTGGGTAGTCTGGGGGACACAGTGTTAATGTACGGTATGGGTAGTCTGGGGGACACAGTGTCAATACAGTGTGGGTAGTCTGGGGGACACAGTGTTAATGTACGGTATGGGTAGTCTGGGGGACACAGTGTCAATACAGTGTGGGTAGTCTGGGGGACAGTGTTAATGTACTGTATGGGTAGTCTGGGGGACACAGTGTGGGTCCTCCGGGGGACACTAGAATAAAGGTTGCCCACAGCTAAATCCACTTGTGAGACCTCAGACAAATGGCTCAGCCTCTCTGAGCTTGCTGGCCTTTCCCTAGGAGGGGCCTAGAGTTTAACATGTGCTCAGCCTCTCTGAACTTGCTGGCCTTTCCCTAGGAGGGGCCTAGAGTTTAACATGTGCTCAGCCTCTCTGAGCTTGCTGGCCTTTCCCTAGGAGGGGCCTAGAGTTTAACATGTGCTCAGCCTCTCTGAACTTGCTGGCCTTTCCCTAGGAGGGGCCTAGAGTTTAACATGTGCGTGGAGCTTAGCATGACGCTTGGCACCAGGTCCGAGGGTGCTCTGCATATTAGGTTTGCCCCTAGCAGAATTCCTTAGAAGCAGCTTGTCCTATAAGATGTTGCATTTGGTGTGGAACCTCTGAGTAGGAGCAGTGCCCCTGGAGTAGCTGACACATGCTGCATACTGACCTTGGTGTCCAGGAAGCAGAAGAATCAAGAGCAGACTGAAGTTGTCAGGTCAGGCTAGCCAAGTGGTCCGCACACCAGGCTCAAGAGCAGGCTGCCAAAGGAATGAATCTGAGATGTGATGGTGACAGCCATTAACTACTTACTGTAGGCCAAATACTATTTCATTGCTCAGAGGCTTCACATAGAAGACCATGCCTGTGGTACTCATCTCAAACATGGGGTGACATTTCTTGCCTCTGGTTACTCTGGTGGCAGTGATCTGTGAAGAAAGGAGCCATAATCTACTGAGAGGTGGTTACGTGGGGTGGGAACAGCCTGTGGGATCACCCACTTACTTCTGGTTTCTCTTCCTCCAGCGAGGTTGGGTCCTGGGACCTAACAACTACTACAGCTTTGCCAGCCAGCACCAGAAGCCAGAAGACACCACCATCCCCTCCACCGAGCTGGCCAAACAGGTCATCGAGTATGCCCGGCAGCTGGAGATGATTGTCTGAGCCGAGGCCAGGGCGGGCGGACATGGCTAGTCCAACAAACCAGTGTAGGCTGGCCTTCAATAAAGGCGGATTAACCTCTTATGGGCCCTAGTCTCCCAGGGGGGACGGTGGGAGACAGTTGCTCCTGAGATTTTGAGAGTTTGGGGGCCTTTGGGCCTCCTGGTATGTGTTACCCAGTGGCCATTGCTCTGGGTTTTAAGTGTAGATGCCCAGGGGCCCACGGGAGAGCACAGGCCCACATTGAGGGACTCATAGCCAGCTGTGGATGCATTGCGGTGGTGGGTCAGGGACTAGATTTTTTTCAGTGAAGCACCGTGTCTCATTAAAAAATGGCCATGGATTAAATAATTTTTCAAATGACATGTGAAACTGACCTTGTCTGTGAGCTACCATTGAGCCCTCTATACTACCATTGAGCCCTCTATAATACATGGTATGAGCCCTGATGTAGGTGTGCCAAGTCTGGCCTCGCTGAGCCAACATTGTAACTTAGACTGCTTCAAAGTTCTTGGGAAACTGTTTAAGAAGTCCAAGTCTGGCCAAGCTACCTGTGGGGTTTTCAAGAAAGCCGCCCAGTTGGTAACCCTCACCGTTGCTCCAGAGTGACCTGTGACTTCGGGTCAGCCGCAGCGTTGGTGGTATGAAGGGGACAAGACCCTGTCCCCGGGCCTAATGTGGATGCTCACTGGCATCTCTCCTGCTTTGACTCAGTCACCGTACTTGGTGTGCGTAGGAGTTGGTTCTTTAAGGGAGGCCTCGCTCTGCTGTCTCTGCACCAGCCTCCCTGGTGGTAACTGACAGACAGCCAGGCGAGCTGTGTAGACCGGGTACTTTATTGACAGGGGACGTGAGGCGGAGGGTGCTGGGCGGACGGCCCTCAGTTGGAATGGGTGGCCTGCAAGTCGTAGTGCTCCAGGCCAGCTACTAGGGAGCCAGCTAGCTTGACAGTGGCCACCCAGGGCGGCTCGCTCAGGTGGTTGGTGGGTGTACTCAGCCTGGGAGAAGGAAGAATGGACAGCATCTGTCTGTGGGGTCTGGGCTTCACCTTCCCATGGGCATAAAGACAACCCTGGAAGTGTCATAAGGCTCCCAGGGCACTTGGGGCAGAGGTACACCCTTGTAGAATAGGAAGGAGGCCGAGGCAGGGTTTTGTCTATAGCGAGGTTAGTTCCCAAAGCCCTGGTCCCGGGTAGGTGGGTGGAGATTTCACCCGGCCCAGGAAAGCTGGGGGCCTATTATTTACCCCACCCCAGGTTCCTGAGAGACAGTTGTTTCCTTCTCCATCTCTGAGAATAAACTTGGGACTGGTCCCTAGTATCCTTAGGGACAGGGTTAAGGCAGAATAGGTTCAGACCAACAGGAAGCCTACAGAGCTGGGGACCAAGGGTCAGCCTATGGTCAGGATGCCAGTGTTGAATCTTACTCTATCCAGGGAAAATGGGTGCTGAACTTGGGAGTGTGCCCACTACTCCATCTCCCTCACCAGGCAGACACGTTGCGTGGCAGGCGTCGGTGACGGGGTTGATGGCGGCAGTAGCACTTGCAGGGACAAGAATTAAGCACCTCGAAAGGCGGCCAGTGGCGCGCTGCACCCTTGTTCGGGGCCCCAGCCGTGGAGGTTCCGCTGCTGCTACCGCCTCCACTGCCGCTGCCGTCAGCCACCGGAGTCGCAGCCAGTTCCCGAGGGCCGTCCCCAGATACCTCTTCACGGATCACACCCCGGGTGGCTCGGGGACCTTTGTTCTTGCGTGTGCGAATCTTGGTGGGCTGGGGCACCGGCGGTGCAGGCTCAGAGGTGGTGGTGGTGGTGGTGGTGGTGGTGGTGGTTGCTGGAGCTGGGGATGTGGCCGGAGCGGGGGCTGGAGGCGGGGGTGGGGGCGGGGCCTGGTCGGCAGCCACCGTAGGGGGGAGAGCGGGGACAGGAGTGGGAGCCAAGGCTGGCTCCACGTGGCCAGGGTCTGGGATAGGTGTGTGGGCCACCAGTATCGGCGTCCTCGGAAGTGCTGGCGGCTGTGGTATGGGTGGCGGCACCGGTGGCGGAGTGGTTGGTGGCGTCGGCGGTGGTGGTGGCAACGGAGGTGTCTGCTGCCGACCTGGAGGCACTGGGCGTGCAGGCTCGCCGTTGGTGGGCGCCGGGAAGATGAACATGGGCGGTGCCAGCAAGGCAGGCGCGGGCCTCCGGGGCCCGGAAGCTGGATGCGTCTGACCTGACTTTGGTGGAGGGGAGCCCCAAGGCCCTGAGGGTGTGGTTGTGCGCCGTCGGGGTGCCCCGATTCCCCCGACTGCCCCGTTGAATCGGAAGTGCCGCTCAGTGCCATCGGGAGGGCTCACCCAGTCGAATTTGGGCTTTGAACCTGGGAAGGTGGTGTAAGGGGGTGGCGGTAGAGCTCGGGCAAGGGGAGCAGGTGCCGAAGGGGGACCAGAACATCCTTCACAATCTCCGTCACCGCCCTCGGTTTCCTGAGCCGTACGAGGCGCCTCGCCCAGGGGACGAGTGACACCAGGAGGTTGGGGCCCCTGCTTCAGTACCTCAGCATAGGAGATGGCTCCCGAAGAGGCAAACAGTCCTCCTCCTCCGCCGGCCCCGGGGGAGGCCTTGGCTGTTAAGGGGCCTAAGGTCGACGGGGGGCACAAGTGGGGCCCCGACTTGAAGGTGACTTTACACAGCAGGCTCAGGCCGGACTCGGAAGTAGCAGAGCGAGCCATCTCACCCTCTCCGCCTTGGGGAGGCGCCCCTCCGCGGGCTCCCCCGGCCGCCGGACCCTCGCTGCTGTGTCTGACCTGGCTTTCTGCGGGGCTTGTGGGCGACGAGGCCGGAGTGACTCTGCGGCTCGGGGGCTGCTGCTGGTCGCAAGGCGGAGGGGCTGGCGGTAGCTGCTTCCGAGGCTCCAGGAGCGTCGGAGGGGGAGCTGGGGCCCTCGGGACCGGTTCTTTTTCGGTCAGTTGCCGGGGCAGCGGTGGCAGCGGGCGGAGGCTCGGAGGGTCACCCTGGCCACGATGGCTCGCCTCCAGCAGGCCGCGGATCCGAGGCACTGCAGTGCCCGTGGATTTTCGCCACTTAGATGGCGCGGGCAGCAGGGTCCCCACGGGGGGCGGGGGTGGTGTGGAGACCGTCGCCGTAGCCGCCTCCTCTGGAGGGGGTGTCACTGGCGAGGGCAGTTCTAAGGTCAGGGGCAGGGGCGAGGGTGAGGCCTGGGGCTCCGGGGGCATCAGGAGTCCCGGGGGCCCGGAACTGCCAGGGAACCAGACGCCCAGCCCTCGAGCCAGGCGCATGGCTGGGGATGAGGGGGTCACCTCGGGCTCCACCAGAGGCGTCCTGCGCGAGTCGGGTGCGCGGTCCGAGGCCTGCTCTTTTCGGGAGCCCCCGCCCGCGGAAGGCTCCGACTGCACGTTCCCCATTTTCGACGGAGGTCGGAGACTGTGGTTAAATAAACTTCCACCAGTCAGTCGGCGGGCTCGGCGGGGACTCCACGGCGCAGGCTGCTTTTGGACTGTCCCTGTCTGCATTTGTCTGCCCTGCCCTTTTCAGTACCCTCTCAGACCCCGTCTCTTTAAGTCTCCAGTTCTCCGATTCGTCATGCCCACGCCCACTTCCCCAAGCTCTCAGAGCCGCGGCCCTTACTCTTCGAACCCGACTTCTTAATGTACCAAGGTGCCAGCCCCGACTCCTTGGCTGCTTAGATCACATCCCTAACACGCCGGCCACGCCCGGGATCTCCAGGCTTCAGGGATCAGTTCTTGTCAGCCTCTCTGTTGAGTTTTAAACCGCACCGGTAATGATGGTGATGCCCAGTAGCCAGCAAGGAATTCAGGCTTCTGCGCTAACCCGGCACTCTAACCCGGTCCCTAGGCCCAAGCCCCGCCCCCGATTGTCAAGGACTCGGGCCGCATCCTCACCCCGCCCCCACCGGGCTCAGGTCGGCGTCGGCCCAGCAAGCCCAGAGGACCGCGGTCTGACCGACGCCCCGGTCGGTCCTTCAGCCCTAGCCCCCCGATCACCCACCGTCTCCCTCGCTCGATCATGTGGATCCCTCCCTCTTCTCAGCCAGCAGCAAATCCTCAAGCCGCCTAAACTTTTCCCGCTCGGCGTTTGTGACAGCTCTTAACTTAGGCTCCACCCCTTTCCCTCAGGCTCCGCCCCGGCTCCTCCGCGCCGTGGACCCCACTCACCGACTCCTACAGCCGACCGAAGATCAGATCACGGCCCCGTGGACCCGGGGCAGGGCGGGGAACGGCCGTAGCAGAAAGTAACCGAAAAGAACGGGTGTGCGGGTGAAGGCGAGCGGGCGAGACGGCGAGGACGACCCCCGAGATCGAAGCCACGCCCAGAGCTCGAGGCCACGCCCCCGTGGGCCGGCTTGAGCTCAGCCCTTGGAACCCAGATGGCCCTTAGAAATAACCAGGGTGTCCACCCGAGGTGCAAGCCCCTTTGCCTTATGCCCCACCCCTCACAGTGCCCCGCCCCTCTCCGTTAAGCCCCTCCCCGGACCCCGCCCATTGCGAACACTGCTACGTAGCGCCTCCTTTTGGGCCTCTTATGTGACCCGACCCTAAGGAAATTGATTTCCAAGCCCCGCCTTGCTAAGCCCGGGCAGCGTCTCTTTCCAGGACCCTGCCTTGGCTCGGGTGCCCCAGAAGGCCCACCCTCCCGCCCCTTCCGTGACGCACCCTCCCGGCTCCTCCGGCGCCCCAGCCTCCTCCTTCCTCGGGCTCCCAGGCCCCTCCTCGTTTCGAACCCTGCCAGCAGGCATCCCGCCCCTCCCCTTGAGAGCCCAGACCGGGGACCACCTTCTTTCTCGAATCCTGAGACCAGGCCCCGGGTCCGGTCCCTCCTCGCCTCGTCAGGGAGCAGCCGTTCAGACAAGTGGAGAAGTGGCGGGCTCCCCTCCGGGTCCCGAGGAAATGCCGACTGGAAGGAAGGGGTGCGCGCCGCAGCCCGAGCCGGGCTCTAGGACCCAGCGGGCAAGGGCGCCTGCCTGGCTCCCGCCCCTCCCCCCAGGCCGCCCCCTCCCCCCCACGGCTTCCAGGTTCCCCCTCCCTCCCCCCTCGCCCCGGCTCCCGGTGCCCGTCTCCAGCGCCGCCGCCGGAGCCAGCGAGGGAGCGGGAGCGGACAGGAGGAGGAGGAGGCCGCGTCGCCGCCGCTCGGAGCCCGGCCGGAGCCTCCCAGGCAGGTGCCCGGAGCGGCGAGGGGGCGGGGGGCTGGCGGGACCGCCTGCCCGGCCGGGGGGGGGGGGGGGCAGCCGGGACCGCAGCTGTAGCCCTCTGCCCACCCGTGCACCCCGCCGACAGCGGCTGGGGCAGCGAGAGGGGTGGGGGCCCCATCTACGCGGTAGCCCTGTGGGGTACCAGCTTCCATGCGGGGGTCCTGGACTTCTTCCGAGGATGCCCCATTCACAAAATCCCGTCGTGGACCCTCGCCATTGAGGAACTCCGAGGACTACTCTCCCGGGGAAAATAGATGTGTGGGTAGCAAAGCACACCCCGACATCTCAGTGCCCCATCTCAACTAGGCCTGTGGGGGGGACCCCTGCCCTCTTTGCCTGCTTCACCTGTTGTTGGGGGAGGCGGGCGGACAAAGGAAGCCGTGTCACGTGACTGCTCATTCACAAAATCCCATCCCATTGAGAAAAGGGGGCTGGGGGCGCTGTGGCCGCCCCTTCCCCTCCTGAAAGGCTGGGAAACCCGACAGCCTGCAGGTGGGGGAGGGGGCTAGGACTCGTGGCCTGGGTCCCTGAGGTTGGGACTCCAGGGTCCCTGAGCTGGGGGCCAGTGGGGCTGGATGCTAATCCCGATTGCTGGGCGGAGGGCTACGTCCCCTGAGCTGGGGGCGGGGTAAAATGTTTCTGAAGGCTTGGAGAGGGTGAGGGGATGGATCATTATCTCCCCCTCCCACCTCTCTTCTTCGGCGTCCCTCAACTGAGACCAAAGGGAGCAGCCTTGATTTTTGTGAATGAAATGCTCCTTGGATCTTTTCGGTCGCCGGCTGCTGGCTTCCTCTGCCTCCATCTCCTTCTCGGCCTCTCTTTCTGGCCATTTCTGGTTCTCTCTCTGCTCCCTGCCCATCTCCCGGTTGCTGGGTGACTCAGTGAGCTTTGCATCCGGTCTCATTCATAAATCCGGGAAAGGGTGGGGGGAAAGAGCCAAGGTTTCTCACCCAGCTAGTGGCCTGGGTGACTGGGGTGCGGAGGCCGTGTGGGGGGCCCTGAAGCTGAGTTGATGGGTCCAGAGAAAATAGATATGCGCAGGAACCCAGCTGTGAGGGGGGACACTGGGTGGGGCCATGGGTCTGTGATGACAGAGGGGGATGGAGACTGGGGGTGAGGGGAGAAGCGGCGGGGGGAGGGGAGGCGGCAAACCCAGGCTATGGGGGTGGGGATGGAGGGGGGAGACGCCGAAAAGGTGGGCATGGTGGGGAAAGGTAGGTGGGCCAGATGCCACCAAGAAGAAAGAAGCCATGATAGAAGTGGGCGAGGGATGAGGGCTTGCTCGAGGGTAAGGTAAATCCAGAGGCTGGGGATAAGAGGGAGGGAGCGCAGGGCTGGAGGAACGCTAAAATCCGGAGCACGATGGGAGTTCACGGCCTGTGTTGTCCTCCTCACCTCCTCCAGGTACATGGTGCGGGTCCGAGCCGTGGTGATGGCCCGAGATGACTCCAGTGGGGGCTGGCTGCCTGTGGGGGGCGGGGGCCTCAGCCAGGTGAGCGTATGTCGGGTCCGAGGGGCCAGGCCCGAGGGGGGGGCCCGCCAGGGGCACTACGTCATCCACGGGGAGCGGCTTCGGGACCAGAAAGTGAGCCACCCTGGGGTGTGGGAACGGGGCGACCCCTGGGGAAGGAGGGAAGGGCCTAGGGAGGGGGGGAAAGGAGAGGTCGCGTTGTCCCTCTACCACTGGGGACTCAGAGTGGGCCGCGGGATGGAGTTTGTTCCAATACCTGGCTTGTGATTGAAGAGCTGGGATTTGGGAGTGGGGTAGGGTGTTGGGTAACCTGTGTCCACTGCTTCTCTGGCCGTTCTGTCACACAGCTACTTCGGTAGTGGCCTTACTGTCCCCGTTCCTGCTTCTCCTCCAACCCTGGTCTGTCCACAAAGACCCAGCTCACACCCAACTCGCGTCCTGTCCCTTCTCTGCTCAGAGCTCTCTTCTGGCTCCATCTTGTTCAGAGATGCCCTCTGCCAGCAGGCCCTTGTCTGCCCTAAGTATCTGGAGGCATTTGTGGGGTCTGCTTTAGAAGTGTCACATATGGTGGACGGTCCTGGGTCACACGGGGCTGCTAATCCCAGCACTGGGGACACTGTGGCAGGAGGAGGCAAGTCTCACTACCTGCCCGGGAGCACGTGTTGGTGTGGAGGGCTCATCAAGGGGCTGCCAGCATCAAGTGGGCTGTGTGGAAGGCTAATGTCTCTGGACCAGTTCTAAGGGGTCCGTGAGGCATCAGGAGGGAATTGGCTGCCATACTTTGATACATTCAGTAAAGTGTGAAAAATGCTTTTTCTTCCATCTGAACAAGGCATGTTAGGTTGTGAGAAAAGGTGAATTTTTTTTAAACATTGAGATTTGAGGTCCCTACTGGGACAACAGAAGAAGAAATTAGATACGTATAGACATCAAAGGCTTGAAGGAATATTACTGAATCAGAGACATGTCCCCTCAGATTAGGTACAGCTGGAGTTGAGAACGAAGCAGTTGGGATATACAGAGGGGCTGGGGTTGAAGGTCATGGGCATGGCTAGGGTGGTATGACCTAGCCCTTCCTGCCCCTCAGACCACCCTGGAGTGTACCCTGAGGCCAGGCTTGGTTTACAACAAAGTGAACCCCATCTTCCACCACTGGAGCCTCGGGGACTGCAAGTTTGGGCTGACGTTTCAGAGTCCTGCAGAGGCTGACGAATTCCAGAAGAGTCTTCTAGCTGCCTTGGCAGCCCTCAGTCGAGGTGGGTGGTGTAGACTCCCGGGCTGGGGGGCAGACAGGAGAAACTGGGGTCTGGGGACTCACTTCTGCCTCTCTCCCTGCCCTAGGCTCGCTCACCCCCTCCTCTTCCTCGTCCTCGTCCTCCCCTTCCCAGGACACTGCAGAGACTCCCTGCCCTCTGACGGTGAGTCTTGCGGTCTGCTATGGGAGGGTGGGGGGTGGTTCTAGTCTACAAATATTCCTCGATACTTGCTGTGGTGCTGGCAAAAGGCCACATATTGGGGACACAAAATCAGACCCAAATGGATAGTGGCAATTCAGCCATGGTTATTCTCACTCTTCTGCTCTTTTATATGTATCTATCAATTTGTTTTTAGCTAGGGTCCAATGTAGCCCAGGCTAGCCTCAAAGCTCCATGTGTATCTTCGGGTGACCTTGGGTTTAGTTCCTCCTGAGTGCTGGGGTCACTGGCGTGTGTCACCATATGTGGCTCGCTTGCTCACTCCTCTCTTTCCTTCCTGGTTTTGGAGGTGGGGTGGGGTATGGTGGCACAGGTTCTCACTCTGGCCTAGGCTGACATGCAGCTTGGATCCCCTTACATGGTGGGGTAACAGTGGTTGTCCCCCTTACCCCCTGCTCAGCCTTCTCTTTTGTTGCGATTCATACATTCGTTCAAGGGTACTTAAAAAGCACCAGGCAGTATTTTAGGCACCAGGGATATATTAGTAAGCAAAACAGAACTCCCTTTTTTTCTTGGTGCTTTAGTCCACTGTGAAAGACAGAGGAAAAGATAAAATATAAAAAGCAATAAGCACTAAAATAAATTCATAGACAAATGAATTCATTTTATGTATTTATTTGTTTGTTTGTTTCTTTACTGGAGGGAGAGGGGAGTCAGGGTTTCTCTGTGTAGCCCTGTCTGTAGACCAGGCAGGCCTGGAACTCAGAGATCCACTGCCTCTGCCTCCCGAGTGCTGGGATTGAAGGTGTGTGCCACCATCACCTGGCTATGAATTAACAATTCTATGTTCTAGTTACTGCCCAAGCTGCAGGCTTGTAAACTTGGAGTCATCCTTGACCTCATTGGTTTGTTTTGTTTTTTTAAGGACAGCCCAGCTCATGTGACCCAGGGACTGATTGTGTGGCATCTTATGTGCCACTGTAAGGGCTTTTTCCTTTACCTTGAGTGATGAGCTATAGCGGGATCTGAGTAAGGGCAGGGTGTGATGTCAGTTAACCATCGACAGAATCTCCTTGGCTCTACTGATGGTAGGAGCAGGGTACGGTGGGGGGGGTGACAATAAGAAACAGGGTTACAGGTGTGTACCACCACGCCTGGCTGCTTCTTGTAATTTCCTGCTTCTCATAGATCTGTCACAATATTGTTTTTGCTTTATTTCTTTAAAAAATAAATAAATAGATATAGGGGTGTGTGTGTGTGTGAGTGCTTTATGAGTGCTTTGCCTACATGTATGTCTGTGTAACTATTTGTGTGTCTGGTACCCAAAGGCCTGACAAGGTCTTAGATAACCCTGGGATTGGGTTGCAGCTGGTTGTGAGCTGCCAGGTGGGTACTAGGGATTGAATCAGGATTCTCTGCAAGAGCAGCCAGTGCTTTTAATTGCTGAGCTATCTCTCCAGCCCGCTTTCTAATTCCTTCCTTGCTTTCTTTCTCAACATTGGGGCTCAAACTCAGGGTGCTGTACATGCCAGGCAAGGACTTTCCCACTGAGTGACAGCCCCCGCCCAGGTTCTACTTTCAAAATGATCAAATCTGCTTTCCACCCGTTAGTGTCCAACCTCTTCTCCCAACTCAACCATCCCCACGGCTTCTCTCTGTCCCTCTCCTGACTCCTCTGACAAGACCACATTTGCAGGGAGGAGTACCAAGGTGCTCTTATCAATGGCTGAGTCAAATTATACACTTTCCCTACCCAGAACCTTCCCAGGGCTCCTCCACTCAAGGTGGCACATGAGATCCAGCTGGGCCTGGGCTGGACCTCCCTTTATCCTGTTCTGGTCACACCAGACTCCTCCCCCTCATTGCAACAGGGTTGATCCATTCCTGTCTGGGGGCCCTTCTGTCTAGAACACTTCTTCAGATTCCCATCTGACTTACCATTTCTTTTGAGGTTGTATACAAAGGTCTTCTTGGTGGCTTCACTGAGCAACCTATTTAAAACTGCATTCTCGGGCTGGGGATTCTGCTTGCCTAGCAAGCACAAAACTCCGGCTTTGGATTCTCCGGCTGGCATTTGTAATCCCAGCAACTAGGGAGGTGGAGGCAGGACTATCTAAGTCCAAGGTCATCCTTGGGCTGTGTTACAAGTTTGAGGCCAGCTTGGAAGACATCAAACTCTTTCCCTAGCTGGACATGCTGACGACACACACTTTTAACGCCAGCACTCGGGAGGCTGTGGGTTTGAGTCCAGCCTGGTCTACAGAGCGAGGTCTAGGACAGCCAGTGTTACACAGATAGAACTCAGACAAAACTGCACGAGACCACCACCCCACCCCCGCCCCCGACACGACAATCTCCAATGCCCTTTATCTGGTTCTCGCCACTACTACCTTTAAGACAGTCAGTTCCCTACCCGTCCTCCATGCTAGCACATCGGTTCCTGGAGGTCAAGGGTCTTTTGCTAGTTTCTTGCTTCACTTGAATGTTCATTGATGAAAAGCTAACAAACCAGGCACACAATGTCTGGGTGCATTTTGGGAGTTTCTGAGAATACCAGGAGCAACAAAGACTACTAGTTCCTTCCTTGGGTCAAAGAAGTTCTCAAGGTCATGGGGAATGGAGGTGGCCCTCCAGCAGTCACACACAGTTCCTGCCTATGGGGCCCTTCTTCAAAGCCAGATGCTGCCACAGTGGCCTTTGTGTCTGGCACGCTGTGGCTGGCACTCAGTAGCTGTAGACAGATAAGAAGGAGTTGTGTCCAGCTTACGGGAAAGGGAGCGGAGGGTGTGAGAAGTGGGGCCTCAGCTTGTAAAGTAGGGGACCTGGCTTGGGCAGGGGAAAGGAGCCCTCTGAGTTGTAGTGAAGATGAGGCAGGAAGGGGGCTTCTGCGGAGGGAGAGGATGGGCCGATGGCCTGGAGGGTGGAGATCTGAGCCGGCGTTAGGAATCCGGTTGAGCTAATAGCCACATCCAGAGTCAGGTGGCACACACCTGTATTCCCAGCTACTCCTGAGGGCAGGCGAAATGGTCTGAGTGGGAGGCCTGGGCTAAGTGAGACTCTTATTAAATAACCAAGGGTTGTGGATGTGAGTAGTGGAATCTACCAGTAAGGGGCTGGGGAAGTGGCTAAATGGCAGTGCTTACCCAGAACCCACTAGCAAGGGGCTAGCTTGGGGCAGCTCCTGCCTGGAAGCACCGGTGAGGGACTGCAAGGAGGCTCAGTTGTAAAGGCCACTGGAGGAGTGTCCTAAACAAATCCTTATGAGTAGGTACTGTGATGATCCCCCATTTTACAGAGGAGAACACTGAGGCTCAAAGGGGAGCTCACTTGTCACACAATCAGTGGCAGAACAAAGGTTTGAGCCCAGGCCTCCTGACGGCAGGCTCTTGCTCTCTGTGGAAGGGAGGTCTGTGGAAGGGCATCCTCTTTGGTTGGAGAACTCCTGGCACTAAGGCCTCTCCAATCTCCCTCAGTCCCACGTGGACAGCGACTCCTCCTCCAGTCACAGCCGCCAGGAGACTCCTCCCACAGCGGCTCCAGCTGCCATTGTCACAGTGGAGTCAACCACGGCCTTCTCTCCAGCCACGCCTCCACAAAGGAGACACTCCTCAGCTCAGGTATGGCTTCCTTGGGCTGCTTCCAGAGCCTAAGCCCCACAGAATGAGAAGGGACACAGGTCTCAGGAAATGGGCTAGCCTCGACTGAACTGTAGGTGGTAGTGAAAAAAGTGGCCTGGGCTTGGGGTCTGGGGGAGTGTTGTGTAGAAGGTGCTGGAGATGCTGGGTTCAAACCCCAGTACTAGGGCAGAAAGAGTGGGTAGGAGCTTCCAAGTGTCTCTAGCTCTCCGGGAGATTTGAGGGCTGTCTAGGTTGTACAGGGGTTTGAGGGAGGACATGCACAGATTTTCAAGTAAATTAGAAGATGCTGGAATTCATGGAAGGACTCCATAAGACTGTGTCCTTTATCCTGAAGGAGTGCCTGGAGCTTGAGTTTGACCAAACTGGGAAGTCTTAAGCCATAAGGTCCTAAGGTGTATGCTTGCTACCTACATTTATCTGTCTCTGAGGACTGAGAGATTTGGATGAGGAATAGGCTGGAAGTCTAAACCTGGAACCCAAGAGAGTTTTGGAGGGACACAGTTTTGGCTGATGCCTGTGGCTACATCCTGGATTTTGGGTCTTCTGCACCTGGGTAGCCTATGGGGACTTTGTGAGTTGCAGATGTCCTTAACCCGAGCTTCCTGTCCCTTGGTTTTGCAGAGCTATCCTCCGCTTCTACAGTTCACTGGGATTCCAGAACCCTCAGAATCTCTAGCCGGGGCAGTGAGCCAGGGCTGGGGCGGCCGTGGCTATGAGGACTACCGGCGATCCGGACTACCGGCACCTCTTCCCCTGTCTACCTGCGTCGTGGGCTTTGCCAAGACTGGTGCATTGAGGGGTGCAGCCTTGGGTCCCCCAGTGTCACTTCCTGCCCCTCTCACTGAGGCTGCACCCCCAGCACCCCCTGCTCGTCCACCCCCAGGTCCGGGCCCCACCCCTGCTCCAGCCAAGGCCTCCCCGGAGGCCGAGGAGGCTGCACGTTGTGTGCACTGCCGAGCACTCTTCCGCCGCCGTGCGGATGGGCGCGGTGGTCGCTGCGCAGAGGCCCCGGACCCAGGTCGCCTGTTAGTGCGCAGGCTCAGCTGCCTGTGGTGTGCGGAGAGCTTGCTGTACCACTGCCTGTCGGACGCCGAGGGTGACTTCTCGGACCCGTGCGCTTGTGAACCAGGCCACCCGCGTCCTGCTGCACGCTGGGCTGCTCTAGCTGCGCTGTCCCTGGCGGTGCCCTGCCTCTGCTGCTATGCGCCCCTGCGCGCCTGTCACTGGGTTGCGACACGATGTGGCTGTGCGGGCTGCGGGGGTCGCCATGAGGAGGCTGCACGGTGAGGATCATTGGGCTGGTTTGAAAATCCGTCTGAAGACCCAAATTGGAGGGCCCAGAACCCTGAACTCCGTACGAACCTAAAACCCAAACTTAGGTATGTCTGGAACTTGGAGTTTGAATGGATTTGAGAGATCCCAGATCTGGTACCTGGACCCCAAACCTAGGACTAAGATCCCAGACCCAGCTTCATCAGGATGTCTGTCAAGTGGACCCAGGAGTCCTGAGTTCTGGATTCACCCTCCCTCTTCCCCACTGAGGAGACTCATGACATTTCCAAACATTGCATCTCAGAGCGCCCAGGAGAGCTCACACCTCTGAGACCCAGGGATTTTTGGACCCTGACTATCTAAATACCCAACCCAGACTCCAGGTCATACTTGACATTGTAAACACTCATATCACAGCCCCCAAATTAGTCAGGAGTTGCTAAAACCTGACCCTTTATCAAATGATCTTGACCCTGAGGCCAGAGGACCCAGAATCAACAGAAAAATTGTCCCTGAATTTTCACCAGAGACATGGTATACCTACATCTGGATGTTCTTATAGGCCCAGAACCCGGAAGCACCAAGTCCTCCCGGGGTAGAAACACAAGGATGGTTTGGAATCACCAGATACTGACTGAAGCCCACCCACTCCTGAGAGTTCATGCCCAACTCATTCATAGTTGCCCCTCATACCTCAGATTTAAAATGCACCAAGTCCTCAGATATCCTCAAATAAGAGGCATTTTCTGACCAAAATAGCTTGGGAGGCCCTTTTTAGAGCTCAGCAAGGTCCAGATGTCAGACACCAAGATACCCTAGGAGCCGGGAACCGAACGCCTGCCCCTCAAGTCAGCAGTTCTGGAGAACTCGGTTCTCATGGATGGTCTCTGAGGTACCTGGTACCCTCAGATGCATGATGGAAGGCCACCAGCACTTTGGGCCCAATGCACTGGGTTTCAAGTGCTTAGCCTTCCAGTTTCCCCAAGACCTGACTTTTTTTTTTGGTTTTTCGAGACAGGGTTTCTCTGTGGCTTTGGAGGCTGTCCTGGAACTAGCTCTTGTAGACCAGGCTGGCCTCGAACTCACAGAGATCCACCTGCCTCTGCCTCCCAAGTGCTGGGATTAAAGGCGGCACCACCAACGCCCGGCTCCGAGGCCTGACTTTTAAGAACCCAAATGTTCTGGAAACATTGGCTTCCTTCTATCGATGTTCCCCAATCCCTGTCCAGCTGGGTGGGAGCCTGGATCTCAGAAGATATAGTGGTCATGGTAACCCAGGCCTCTCATCCCTTGACTTCAGCTCTCTAGAGCAACTCCAAGGTGCTGTCAGAGCACTGGGTCTAAGACTCTGAGATGCCAATCGACCCCTGGGTGCAGGATTCAAGTCCCCACAATCTCAAGATTGTTTCTGGCCTGAGACCTTAGTCCCTCTATACCAGAGACATTCAGAAGCAAGATGCCCCAGGGCCTTGGCACCTATAGATGCCAGATTTTCTAGACTTCAAAGTACTTCTAGACTGATGGAGCCCCCAGATACCTCGCCACCTGACCCCCCTGAGTCCTGCCATCCAGAGGCCCACAAAACAGCAAAGCCCCAGATTTCCTCTTTATCCTGGGGGGACGCTTGCACCAGTGTGAATTGAGATTGCTGGAATCCTGGACCACCTAGCAATCCCTTCTCCCACAGAGGATCTTACAAGCTGTCTTCTGAGCGGAGGCAGGTAGCTGCAGGGGTCGAGCGGGGACATGGGAGGAAGGCCTGCCCGGCTCTACTTTGCACAACAGTCCCTTTGGGGCTGGCTAATGCTCCATGGAAGGCCCCCCATCCCTAACCTTGTAGGCCTCCCACGCTGTAACCCCCAGTCCATTCAGATCCATCTCTTGGTAACCCCTTTTGTCTCAGTTGGGAATGGCTCTGGAAAGTTCGGGACTGTTTCATGGCACTTCCCACATGTGTTTCTCCTGGAGAAGAGGGGTGCCACGGCCTCTTTTCCCCAAGAGTGGGGGTGTCCTGGGTAGGGCAACCAAGGTCTCCAAGACAGTCTTGCTGGATTATGGGCTTAGGACCTCCAGCTGGCCCTAAGTACCTGGGAATGTGCACCTGACCATTCCTTATTACCCAGGCTTGGATGGCCTTGTGGGGACTCAAGGGATTAATACTTGTGTCACTTCCTTTAAATTATTAACTATTTATTGTATCCGGAACCTGTGATTCAGCTCTCCCAACCAGACCCCGGGATGGGTGAGAGAAAAACGGGGACAGGGGGTGTACCCCCCATCCCCACTCTGTCCGGCTCTCATCACTGTCAGACCCACCAGAGCTGAGGGCGGAGGGGCTGGGGCAGCCTAGGTCCCCATCCCCCCCTCTGTGCCTCTGTCTCCCCGCTTCCATGGTGAGCGGGGGAAGCTCCATTCTTAACCTACCTCGTTTTGGGAAGGGGTGGGAAGAGGGGACCAGAGTGCTGTATGGTGCTGTGAGATCTTCGGATTTAGCTGTGGGGACTGGGAAAGGTTCCCTAGTCTCCATCTCCCAGTCCCCCCTCTCCCAGGTCCCCGGCCCTGTTCCCTGCCGACACCCACCTCTGATCCATGATTACCTTTCATTGCCCCCACATCTGGGGTGCGTGGAGGGCTGAACCCTGGGAGCCAGGGAGACCTCAGACCCTGGAGTCCCCCCAATTTTCCAGCTGCTTTTGCCCCTCAGATTGGATGCCTGCCCCCCAGATTTTGGGGGAGGCATGCCAACATTTATCTTCCTGATCATGATTCCAAGCCAGTCTGTGACCTCAATATTGTTAGTGTCAGCGCGGGCGGAAGTGAAGGGAGGATGGGGGCCAAAGACCCAGCCTTGTCATTGGGGGAGGGGGGCTTGAGATCTGCTCCAAGAAATGTCTGTGACAGTGCCTTGGCCTGGTCTTTATTTGCATCAGTGCGTCCTGTCTGCTTGTTTGCCACAAGTGCTGGACTCCTGTCCGTTTACACCCTTAGTCCCTCCCTGGCCATCGAGCTGGGGTCTGTTTGTTCAGTCAGTCAGGTGCGTTTACTAAACACCCAGCGTGTGTCGATTCCCACAGTCACTGGTGGCGCTGCAGTGGACAAAGGCGCTTGAATGGAACCCTGCAGAAGGCGAGGGGGTTCTGTGGGTGTGCGCAGCGTTCAGCCGGCACCCGGTCACTAAGGCAGGGGATATCTGGTAAGTTGGGAGTGGAGTTAAGCAAGGGGAATCCTGGGAGAGTGGGCTGGGTGTACCCAGCGTCGCATGGCATTGTATGGACTTTGTTACCCTGAGTGAGTGAGGTGGGGGCCACAGGAAGCCTCCGGAGGACGGTCTGGATTTCCAAAGGCTAGTTGTAGCTGTGTGGGGAAGACTGCTGCGGAAGGGGATTATATATTAATAACTGTGAGAGAAGTGGGGGGGGATAGTGGATGCTTTCAGAGTCTGGAGATTTCTTTTATGAGTGTTTGCTTGCATATTCGTGTGTATGTGCGCCGCCTGGTCACCTGGCTTCAGATCCCCTAGAGCTGGAGGTGCAGCTGTGAGCCACTATGTAGTTGCTGGGAAGCCAGGTCCTCCATGAGAGCAACAAGAGCTCTCGCTGAGCCATCTCTCCAGCCTGAGTGCGCGGGTTTACATCTGGAGTTGAAACGCAAGCTGGGAATGTAGCTCAGTGGTTGATCACATGCTTAGCCCGAGCAGCGGCCTGAGTGAAGACCCCTGCACAGAAAGGGAGACAAGGCTAGTAGCCCACGTTTTGGGGGAAAGGTTTATTGATTCGTGGGTACATGCATGTGAGCTGGAGATGCAGGCGGTTGTGAGATACCCACGCGGGAACTTGTAGCCATCTTCCTATGGGAACAGCTTGAAGCCAGCTGACCTGGATTTACTCTTTGTGTGTGTGTGCACAAGTCTGTGTGTGTGTGTGTGTGTGTGTGTGTGTGTGTGTGTGTGTGTGTGTGTGTACGTGTGCGGGTGCCCAAAGAGGCCAGACGTGCATGGTGGGTCCTCTGGTGCTAACCAGCCTCTGGAGGTCAGTACTAGGAGCTAATCTTTGAAAGAGTACCAAGTGCTCTTCACGGTTGGGCCTTGTCTCCAGGTCCCCTACTTGTTATTCACTTATTTGTTGTATCCAGACAGGGTTTCTCTGTGTAGCCTTGGCTGTCCTGGAACTCATTCTGCAGGACAGGCTGGCCTCGAACTCAGAGATCCGCCTGCCTCTGCCTCCCGAGTGCTGGGATTAAAGGTGTGCGCCACCTCTGCTTTACTTGTTATTAACTGTGTGATTTTAAGGCACATTTTACATAAATTGCTTAATACAACTAATCCTCACAGATGTCTTGAAGAGTGAGTATTTGAAAAGCTGGGTGTGGCACAAACTTGTAGTTCCCAGACCCCGGGAGGCAGACACAGGGGAGTCTTCAGCTGAAGGTCAGCCTGGAATACATAGTGAGGCCCCATTAAAAAAAAAAAAAGATACAGAGGCTGGCGTGATGGCTAAGTGGTTAAGAGCACTTGCTTGTACGGAAGACTTGGGTTTGGTTCCCAGCACCCACGTGAGTGTTCACAACCATCCACAACTCCAGTTCCAGAGGAGCCTATGCTGCCTCTGACTTCCATGGGCCTCAGGCACACATGAGGTTCACATACACAAATGCGGGCAAAAAGAATCCTGCACATAAAGCATCATTACTGGGACCCCAGTTACATAGATGGAAACCCAGTTTGGCAGGGACATGTGCCGGCAACCTGCCTGCCGCCCCTTAGGATGCAATGTTTCAGTAGCGCTTGTTTCTCCCTTCAAAGGCCCAGAGGGTCAAAGGACGCACAGCACAGGAACTTACTGTGATGTTGACTGAGGGCCTATCTGTAGTGGGAGGGTGGGTGTGAACCTGTGCGGACATCATTCTAGCCCTACGATGGACTTTTCCTTCTCGGGTGCATTAGAGAGCAAAGGGCAGCTGAGCGTGGCACACGCCGGTCAACCTTAAAGAAAGGAAGGATGCCCGGCGTTGGTGGTGCACGCCTTTAATCCGAGCACTCGGGAGGTAGAGGCAGGCGGATGTCTGTGAGTTCGAGACCAGCTTGGTCTACAGAGTGAGTTCCAGGACATCCTCCAAAGCTACACAGAGAAACCCTGTCTTGAAAAAAAAAAAGGCTGAAGCAGGACCAAGATGCCAGAGCGAAATACGAACATATCGAGACCCTGCCCCAAAAACAAAAAAATAAATTTGAAGAAGCAGAGAGTGGGGGAAAGGAGAGTGGGGAAGGGAAACAGGCTGCTTTTTGCTTTTATGTTTCCGAGAGCAGGGACACTCAAGCCTCCCCACCCCAGCCCCGCGACCTCGGGGATCCTAATATCAAGCTGTAAAATTTACAACCCTGGACAAGTTACCTAAGGGGCGCGCGTGGCGGGCTGCCAATCCAATCGGAGCGCCGAAGCTCCTTCGCACGAGAATATGATTGGATAGAGGCGGGGGGGGCGGGAGGAGGCGCCCTCGGGGGCGGAGCCTGTCCCCGGCGGAAGCGGGTGAGCGCCCGGGGTCCCCAAGCGAAGCTACCATGGATGGGGCCACGGTGGCCGGCGACCTGCTGACTTTGGGGTAAGGGATTCGGCGGTGTGGTCGGGGGTGCGGGACGCGGACGCAGAGGGACTCGCACTGACGCGCGCCCCGCCGCAGGTACGGCGCCCTCCCGGAGGAGGCGTCTCGGGGCCCCGCGTGTGCGGACTTCAGGGCGCTGTGCGCGCGGCTGGCGGCCGAGCTGACGGCTCTGGGAGCTCTGGAGAGGCAAGAGGAGGGCACCATAGTGCTGGGCGCAGGCCACGGTGCGTGAGGATCCGGGTGGACGGCGGGTGGAGCCGCGGGACCCGCCGCTCCCTTGATGGCTTCCTCCTCCCGCAGGCCCGGACGCAGAGGAAGAATTCCTGCGGCAGTTGGCCGGCCTGCTGCGGGCGTTGCACTGCCCGGACCGCGCGCTCTGCGGCGGAAACTGCGCCACGGTGTTGCGGGAGCCCGGCGGCAGCCTGCGCCTGCTGCGTGAGCCTGGAAGGCCCCGGGAGGCGGAGTGGGCGGGGCCCCGGGAGTGGGCGGGGCCCCGGAGTGGGCGGGCTCCGAGACTGAGCTAAGTGTTGAGGTGAGGCTTGCCAGCCGCAGGTAGGTGCGGGCGGATTAGGGCTGGGCTAGCATTCGGATGGAGGCCTGTGGAAGCCTTAATGAGTTGAGTTAGATGGAGGAGGAGCCCATGCAGGCTTGAAGTGGGTGGGGCTTATCCTGGGGGAGGGGCCAAGGTTCTAGCTGGGCCCGGATCTGTTCCTATTTTTAGGGTTTCTTTGCTCGGAGCTCCAGGCTGCCCGTCTCTTGCATCTGCGGCTCCGGCTAGATGCTAGCCCTGTACCATCCATTGGAGACGGGACAAAAGAGGGAAATGGCATGGTTCAGGAGCTGATGCTCACTCTTCAAGCACTGGGGCTTCCTAGACCGGTGCCTGGAACCCTGGCCAGCCAGCTACTTCGGGAGTTTCACGACAAGGTAGAGATTCAGAGATTCAGAGGATCTTGTCTTCAAAACCATCTCTAGAAAGAATGGCCCAACGACAGGGATGGTTTTAGAGATCTGGTCGCCATTTGTTCTAATTTGATTTTGGCTGTGATGAAACACTGAGTTCCCTCATCGTTGAGGGAACTCAAAGCAGTAACTGAAGCTGACTATTTACTAGCTCATTTCTGGCTTGTTCAGCTATTTTATTTTATTTTGTTTTTGCATACAGCCCAGGCCCATCTGCCCAGGGATGGCACTGCTCACAGCAGGCCAGGCTCTCTTACAGTAAATAGCAGTTCAGAAAATACCCCAACAGGTATGCCCACGGCCAGTCTGATGGAAGCAATTCCTCAGCTGAGATCCGCTTTGCTCAGGGTGGCAAGTTGACAAACACCGTTAACACTCTTGTCGCTTCTGAGATCTGAGTTCACGTGGCTGAGGGGAACCAGAGGACTTAAGAAGGTCCATCCTGGGCTGGAGAGGTGACTTCTTTTCCAGAGGTCCTGAGTTCAATTCCCAGTAACCACATGGTGGCTCCCAACCCTCTGTAATGAGATCCGGTGCCCACTTCTGATATGCAGGCAGAACACTGTCTATATAATTAAATAAATAAATACATCTTTTTTTAAAAAATTGGTGGTGGCGGTGCATGCTACAGAATGAGTTCCAGGACAGCCAGGGCTACACAGAGAAACCCTGTCTTGAAAACCAAAACCAAACAAAAGTACATCCTGTTTGTACTCCATTGGCTTCCACCAGGTCTCTGAGCTGCTGCCTTCCCTGCCCCCAGAGTCCATGCAGCCCCTCCTTAACTCCCCACTGGATGCATCACGATGGGTAAGAGTGCGCATAGGTGGCTGTGAACAGTATCCTCGCCCAGAGATGAGACCCTTGGTATGACGCAGAATTTTTCTTCCTCCAGGAAGCCCTGGAGTCTCTGTCCCAAAGCCTAACAGAACAGTACCGCTGCCGCCGCTGCCTCCTCCTGAAGCGTCTGGACCTTACCACGTCTGCTTTCCACTGGGGTGACCCGGCAGAGGTGCGGGGACCTTAGCAAGGCTAAGTGGGCCCTTGGGAAGCACAGCTGCCGGGCAGACGGTCGAGGGCGTCGGTTTTTACCCCTTCTGGGATGCCAAGGCCCAGAGCACTTTAGAGTTCTTTCTTTAAGACTTTGCTCTTTATTTGATGTGTTTTCCTTGTATGTGCATCATGTGTGTGCCGTGTTCACAGAGGCCAGAAGGGTGTGTCAGATCCCTTGGAAGCAGAGATAGAGGTGGTTGTGAGTCCCATGTGGGTACTGGGAGCTGAAGCCAGATCTTCTAGAAGAGTTCTCTCACAACCCACCTTTTAGAACCTTTTTATTTTTTTTTTAAGATTTTATTGATTTATTACTAAGTATACAGTGTTCTGCCTGCACACCAGAAGAGGGCACCAGATCTCATTACAGATAGTTGTGAGCCACCATGTGGTTGCTGGGAATTGAACTCAGAACCTCTGGAAGAGCAGTCCGTGCTCTTAACCTCTGAGCCATCTCTCCAGCCCCTAGAACCTTTTTAAAAGGATGGATTCATTTTTATTTTGTGTGTGTGTGTGTGTGTGTGTGTGTGTGTGTGTGTGTGTGTGTGTGTGTGTGTGTAACATGTGCATGGCTGGAGCTTGCAGAGGTGACGAAAGGGCATCAGACCCCTTGGAACTGGAGTTACAGAGGGCTGCAAGCTGCCCTGTGGGTGCTGGATACTTACCCTGACTCCCTGCAAGAAAGGGAGTTCTCTTAATGTGGGGCCATCTCCCTTGCCCACACTTTAGACTCTTACAGGGTTCAAGACTTCTAGACTCTCAGGGTCTCCAGAGCATTCTAGAATGCCCAGCTCTCAGCTGGGAGTGTTCTCAGAACTATTCCCCTGGGTAATAAAATGGACAGTAAGACTATCTTAATTGGTTTTATGTTGCCAATACAAGGTACCAGAAACTGGGTACTTTACAAGGAAAATTAGGTTCCTTTTGGCTTACACATGCAGGCTGGGCAGGTAGTTGGAGTTGCATGAATTTCCTCCAAGGTCAGTGTCCTTTGACCTTGATATTGTCACCTAGGCTCTTTCTCTTACATGGTCAACCATTTTAAAGATTTTTTTAAAGATTTTATTTATTTATTATGAATACAATATCCTGCCTCTGTATGTCTGCAAGCCAGGAGAAGGCACCAGATCTCATTACGGATGGTTGTAAGCCACCATGTAGTTCCTGGGAATTGAACTCAGGACCTCTGGAAGATCAGTCAGTGCTCTTAACCTCTGAGCCATCTCTCCAGCCCCATTTTAAAGATTTTGATTTTACCTTTTTTTTTTTTTCTCAAGACAGGGTTTCTCTGTGTAACAGACCAGGCTGTCCTCGAACTCAGAGATCCGCCTGCCTCTGTCTCCCCAGTGCTGGGATTAAAGGTGTGCTACCACCACCACCTGGCTGTTTTTGCCTCTTAACTTGCCATGTGGCTGAGAGTAACCTTGAACTCCTGATCCTTTAGCCTCTACTCCCCTTGTACTGAGATGACTGTTCTTATACCACCATACTCAGCATGTGTATCTTGGAGAATAACCCCTTCCAAAGCATACAGAGGCATGAGTGGGAATGAGCTCATGGATGCCCTTCCCCTAATCCAGGGCCAAGGAGAGGCCATGAAGGCAGTGCTGTTCCCAATCCGAGGACCTCTGACTCCAGAATCTGATGTCTCTGTCGCACATGTTCTGGCTGCTCGAGCTGACCTTTCCCGTCTGGTCCCAGCAACTAGTGTGGCTGCCCGCCAAGGGACCAGCTGTGCCATCAACAAGGTGAGCATACATCGGGCAGGGGACAGTCTGGGCACCCTTGGTCTTCAGATTGGCCTTCTGGAGTTTCTCCTGGTCCAGTGTTCTCCCTGGTTCCTGGCCTCTGGACTCAACTGGTCTCAAACTTACCAAATCTCTATAGCAGTTAGAGGGAAATTTTCTTCTTTTTTTTTTTTTTTGGTGGGGGTTGTGGGTGAGGGGATAAAGTCTCATGTAATCCAGGCTAGACCTGAAGGTGACTCACTATGTAGCCAAGAGGTTTGCCTCAAGCTCCTAATCTTCTTCCACTTTCCAAATGCTACCCCGTTCTTTTTTACCTACTGAGACTCCAATCTAATTAATTCTCAGGTGCTTATGGGTGATGTGCCGGACCGTGGGGGGCGTCCAGATGAGCTGGAGGCACCCATGCCTGCCTGGAAGAGCCGAAGGGAAGATGGAGGAAGGGGGAAGGGTGGCCCACAGTGCTGGGGTCGCAGAAAGAAGAAGAAGTAAAGGGTCTTGGACAGCCGGTCAGAGGTTCTGCCAGATGCTGATGCCACTGGTCATCTTTGAGAGTCACTGTGCAGGATTTTCTTTGGCACCTAAGCCCGGCATTCCCTGTTGTAGAGGCCCTAAACGCCCACCCCTCAACACTATGAACCATGTTGTGTGAAAAATAAATTTAATTCTTTTGATTGTTACAGGATCTGTTTCTGTAGGGACCAGCTCAAGGGTGTGTGCTTTTGTGGAGGGGCAGTGAGTTCTGCTTCCAGGTCCGGATGAGTCTTTTGTCTTTCATGTGGGTGTTGGGACACAGTGAAGCATTGGACCCTTTACAGGCACTAGGCCGCTTGTGGGGATGATACAGATAAACATCTCTGCCTTCTGGGAGCTCTTCCTGGTGAGGACGAGCAGACATTCAACAATAGGTGAAATGTCCAGTTGGTCAGAAAAATATAAAGCAGGAAGGGAGTGTCACAACATATATGTGTGACATCTCTGCGGTCAGGAGGCCTCACCAAGGGGATGTCACTTGAACAGAGCTGTAGAGCAGGTGAGCCTTGTAGACCTCTGGCCACGGGCATTCGAGATAAAGGGAGCCACCAGTGCAGAAGTCCCGAGGTGGCAGTATTTCAGGGTGTGCTCTGGAACACAGGCCAGTGGAGGTGGAAGAGTATGACTAAGGAGGCGTGATGTGGACAGAGGAGACCCATGCTGAGGACAGAGCTTGCAGAGCTTTGGAAGCCATAGGCTGGGTTTTGCCTTGAGCCAGGAGGCCCCAGCAGAGGAAGACATTTCACACACGCTGTCCACACCAGCCTCTTTCCTGACAGTGGTTGGAACTCTGTCCCCTCCGTCCTCAAGACCACCAGCTTCCTGCTGACAGTCAGTGTAGTCCACTGGTTCAGCACTTCATTTCGGAAACAGTGTGAGCCTTGCCTCCCATGCTTTGAGCTTGAAGCTTAACCTTACTAAGCTCCAGTCTCCGTGTCTGGGAGGTGGGGAGTTGGGGAGATGACATGACTGGAGTCCAAGTTCCAACAGAGCTGCAGATGCTAAGTGAGGGGGGAGGAGTCTGACTGGACAGTGCAGCGCAGAACCTTTTCTAGGGTAGATGATGGGTGTTTTGTCAGCGGCAGTGTGGATGAGACAGCGGTTAGGGGAGCGAGAGAAGGGACTGTCCATTCAGGCACTGGGCTCCGAGGAAGCTTTGGACGCTGAAACTGGTTCTGGGACAGGCACCTGGAAGGAAGAATACGAAACGAGGGACCTTCATTTCTCTAGGGGACAGTTCACAACCAGGACCAGGGTCTCACTCAGACTATGGCTAAATGAACCAATACTTCCAGATGAAATCTCTGCCTTTCAGGAGTAGAAATTGTTCCAATTACATTGATTGTAGCTCCTGCCGTATTTGGCCTTGCTTGTCTGTGTGTGGGGGTGGGGTGGGACATCATGTTCCGTGTGAATGCTGCCGACCCTGACCCTGGAGAGCATGCCAAAGACTCCTGGGTAGGCAAGTGCTCCTGACCTTATTCTCGCTTTAACCGCCCCCCCTTTTTGAGACAGGGTCTCCCACAATGGCAGTCTGACCTGGATCCTCACCGTGTAGGCAGGCCTTCAATTGTGGCTATTCTCCTTTCTCAGCCTCTTCAGCACTAAGAATGTAGGTTTGAGCAACCATGCCTAGCTTACTTTTGTTTCTTTGTTTCTGTGCTAGTAGCTACCCACCTTTGTCACCTGAGTATATTATGACTTCTATTATTTCTTTGTCACCATTAAAAACTAGTCAGTGTTCACAGTTTTATGGTTAATATAGCATCTGTATGCTTATTTGGGGCTGACGGGTGTTGGGACATGGCGGGACAGAAACCTTCGTCTACCGATATGTCTGCGAGGCGTTTTCTCGGTTAATGATTGATGTGGGATGGAGGGACCACGCCTGCGTAGGTGGTCCTGGGTGTGAGGAAGCCATGGGGAGCAAGCTAGCAGCTTCCTCCATGTCCTCTGCTTCAGTTCCTGCCTCCAGGGTCCTCCAAAAAGTGAGCTGTGACAGGGAAGTACAAATCAAATGAACCCCTTCAGCCGGACGGTGGTGGCGCACGCCTTTAATCCCAGCACTCGGGAGGCAGAGGAAGGCGGATCTCTGTGAGTTCGAGGCCAGGCTGGACCGACAGCCTCCAAAACAATACAGAGAAACCCTGTTTCGTAAAACCAAAAAAAAAAAAAAAAAAAAAAAACCTTCTTCCCCAAGGTGCCAGTGTTTTATCATAGCCACAGAAAGCAAACTAGGACACATAGTGAGACACCATCTCAAAAAAATTATTTTTTTTTCTTTCTAAATCAGCCAGTGTCTCTCACCACCCATCCAGGTGACTGAGGGTTTTTATATGGTCTCCCTTTCCTGTGATTCCCAGATCTGTCTGGTTTTCCCAGGCAAACGCCGCCTTTCCTGGATCCAGCCAGGGACTCCTTACCATCTCCGTCTCCCAGGAAGAGTGTGAGGACTCCGTCTGGGTCCAGGCATGGCGAAGGTGGCTACCCGACTCAGCATCCAGGGATAGCGTATAGGAGACATTGTCCTCGGAGCCTGTTTGTGACGCAATGGGTGGCAGAGATGTGACTATGCCAGGAAGGACTCTCTGACCCTGAGCATGAACCCCATCCTCTGGGCCGGCCTCCCAGGCGCTGTGCCCTGGGTCTTACCGCAGCTGGCGGGAGGCGGCGGCCCGGCTGGCACAGGCGCTCCTGGGGCGCCAGGGTCCCCCTTGGTGTCCGGCCTCTTCCTGCACTCCACTCTCACCTGGTCCTTGCAGTGTTTGTGACAACACAGTCCACAGTCTGGGGGGAAGGCGCTGCTAAACACCTCCTTCTTCCAGCCTGCGGGCGGGCGCAGCGTCCCCCCCCCTCCCCCTCACTTACCCCGACAGCGATAACCTTGCTTGGTGACACCCCAGAGCTGAGGGAAGGAAGGACAACTGGTTAGCGGGGCCACAGGAGGGAGCAGGGGGACAGGATGGACGCCAACGGGTGTTGAAATGTCTTAAGATTCTGGGAATTGACCAAAATTATAGGAACTTGGAGATGGTCTCAAACTCAGGGATTCATGTAGACTATCAGAACCGGGCAAACTTGTGAGTTAACAAAAATGTACCCTCTGTGGGTGGGGGCTGTTTGTCTCCAGACCCTGGCACTGCTGTGTCAAGTGCAGGCCTAGCAGTAAATAAATGGTGAGATTTATGGATTAATCTTCATTTGATGGTTGAGATTTGTTCACTATCAAGAATTTGAAGCCAGGTGTCGTGACACCTACCTGTAATCCCAGGAGGCTGAGGCAAGACTGGGGGTTAGAGTCAAGCCTGGGCTACATAATCCAGCGTGTGTGTGTGTGTGTGTGTGTGTGTGTGTGTGTGTGTGTGTGTGTGTGATGAGGATTGAACCCAGGAACTTGCACATGGCAAGCAAGCATTCTTTACCACAGAACTACATCCCTTGCCTTGTAAAATGAATTTGAAGCCAGCCTGAACTACAAGGAAAGACCCTGTTTCAAAAAGCCAAAATTTGAAGGAAAACCAACAAGAATGAAAGATGTCTTTAATTTGGAAATGTAAGCTTTGAATGGTTCATGGTATAAAGGTCAGAGAACGATTTTTGGGACCAGGTTTCTCTCTGTAGCCCTGGCTGACCTGGAACTCCAAATGTAGACCAGGCTGGCCTCGAACTCAAGAGATCTCCCTGCCTCTGCCTCTTAGATGTGGGCATTAAAGATGCACCATCACACTAGCTAGAGGTCGATGTCTAATTTTGCTTTATAATTTGTTATGCTGGTCTTTGAAAAATAGTTTGAGTATCTTCTCTAAGTTTTTATTGTTTTATGACTCCCTGGCATGTATCTGTGTATCTGTGTGGCTGTTGTCTGTGTATATGTACATACACATGCCACATGCATGTTGATGTCAGAGAATGACTTCATGGAGTCAGTTCTACCTTTATGGGTTGTGATGCTATAACTTGGGGTTCTGGGCTGAGCTGCAAGCATGTTACCCTGGAAAGCCACCTTGCTGGCCTGTTTTAGTTTTCTGAGACAAGATCTCACTCCTTTTACATGTGAAGCTGGCCTAGAGCTCCCTTTATAGCTCAGGCTGGTTTCAAACTCATGGAAATCCTCCTGCCTCAGCCTCCTAAGTGCGGGAATTATAAGCATGGGCCATTAGGGCTAGCTATTACTATCATCTTTTCTTTTTAGAAGTATTTCTTTTGTTTTAGGTATATGTACACATGCCACTGATCTTTATGCGCAACACATGTATGTAGGTACCCTCAGAGGCAAAAAGAGGGTACCAGATCCCCTGTAACTAGAACCTCAGGGAATTGTGACCTGTGGGTGCTGGGAACCAAATCCAGTCGCTCAGCCTGGGTAGCCAAGTGATGTTACCTGCTTAACCATCTCTCCAGTTTTGTTTTTTTACTTTTTATTTATTTTGGTTGTCTATATGTAGTCCTGGATGTCCTGGTGCTCACTTTATAGCCCAGACTAGCTTCAAACTGAGAAATCAGCCTGCCTCTGCCTCCTGAGTGCTGGGACTAAAGGCATGTGCCACCACACCCAGCTATGTTACTTTTTTTAATTAATTCTTTTATTTAAATAAAAAACAATCTTTTTTTACTGTTGTCTTAAGACATGGTCTCATATGGCCGAGGCTTCAAACTCGCTGTGTAGCTGAGGACGGCCTTGCACTCCTGGGTTCTGGCCAATCTATCCAAGTCTGCATATTACCCAGTGTTTTGGGAATTGCTCATGGCTTTGGATAGTAGTCACAGCCTGACCACTGTCTGGGTAAAGGTTACCTGCTATCATGTACACGGTGCTTGTCTGAACTGTGGGGTATCTGAGGCTGGGGCGTTTCTGAAAGTCTCCCTCACCCCAGCCCCCACCCCCACTGCCCCGGTTAGGTTGTGAGGCGCTAATCCGGGGAGTCAGGGCCCAAGGGCGCTAACAGGGCCAAGTGCTCACGAAGCCGCTGCAGCTGTAGCAGAAGGTGGGCTTGCGGAAGGTGACCTCATGGAAGGTGTGCAGGAAGGCCAGGCCCAGCTTGGAGCAGATGGCGCTGGCACGGAGCAGGTATTCTGTCAGCTCCTCTCTGCTGAAGGAGTCACTCCTACCGGGCAAAGGCCACACCTCAGCATGACTGGCCTCTCGTGGCATGTCCAGGATCCTTGTTTTTGGAAGATCCAGGAGCCAGGACCTCTTACCCGTGCCGGGGAGGGGGGTGCAGCCCATGGCAGGCAAAGGGGAAGTTGCCCGACAGCCGCTCAAAGTCTTCCAGAGAGATGGTGCCGTGTCCTTCTGGGTCATAGTTTCTGAACACGGACTTGAAAGGGACACAGAGGGCAGAGTGAGGACGAGACGCCCAGGTCCAGCCCTGAGGGCGTGGCTTCCTCCAGACTTCCCACCTGGAGTCCCGCCACAGGGGCCCCCCGCAGTTTCTCCTCACCGCCACCAGCTGTTCTACATGCTGACCCAGGGTCGCGCTGTCCGGCTTCGGCGCCACACCATGGGCCCACTCCACAACCAGAGGTGCTTTGTAAGGGGAGGGTGGCTAGAAGGACAGAGAGACACAGATAGTCGAAGCATAGGCTCGAGCAGGGGCGGGGCCAGAGGTCAGGAGTCAAGGCTCACCAGACTCTTGGCACAGCGTGGTTCCCGGGCATAAGAAAGCTCGTAGATCTCGTCTTCGGTGTAGAAGAGATCCAGGGAGAGCTGGGGGATGGGCGGGGCAGTAAGGTTCCTCCTCCAGATCTCTGCCTCCCATCCTCTTCTTGGACCCTGTCTTGCCACACCTGTCACCCTCCATACGGTTCCCTCCACAATCCACAAGTGCCTTGTTCCCACCGAGGCTTTTAAAAACAACTGTGTTCGTGCGTGCGTGCGTGTCTGTATGCCATGCATGCGCAGGTGCGCACGCAGACCAGGAAAGGCGTGGGAGTTGCAGGTAACTGTGCGCTACCCACGTGCATCCCGGGAACGGAAATGGGATCCTGCGAACTGCAAGAGCTCTTAACCACTGAGTCATCTCTCACGTCTATTCCCCACCCACATTTTGGAGACAGTTTCACCACATAGCCCAGGCTGGCCGGGAACTCACGCAGGGATACAGAAGCCAAAGCAACCCAGGGGCCTGGAGCAGGTTCTTGAGTCAGGACCAACTGCGTTCATCTTGTTCTAGGTTGTGCTTTTTCGTTTTCCTTGAGACACAGGTAGCCCAGGCTAACCTTGACTCTCATTCTCTTGGGTGCTGGGATCATTAAAGGTGTGAGCCACCATGCCCAGCTCAGATACTATTTTGATTACTTCCTATTACATTATTGTTTCTTCTTAGCCACACTCTGAAGCGGGTCCCACTGATACCCTCGTTTTGCAGGCAATGACATTTTTGCAGGGGCGTGGAAGTCACAGAGTCAGCTGGATTCCTAGAAGCTGAGCTTCATGAGTTCTATAGCTGGGCTCCCTACTGCACACCTCTAATCCCTGCAACTTGGAAGACCGAAACAGGAGGATTGCTGCCTGGCTCACATACACAGTGCCTGGCCTGAGCTACACTGTGAGACCTGACCTTAAAATAAATACTAAAGGAAAAGGAAGATGCTTAGATTGGGGATGTAGCTTGGTGGTGGGAAATTTGCTCTAGAACTCATCATGTGACTCAGTGGTAGAGCCCTTGCCTCTAGAATCCCCCACTGAGGGGCTGGGGTTTGGCTCAGTGGTAGAGTCCCTGCTTAGAATCCCCCAGTGAGGGGGATACGGCTCAGCAGTTGGGCGCTCACATATTGCAAGCAAGGTCCTAGTTTCAATTCCCAGTATAGCAAAAGCCAAACCAATCAAACAAAAATCTCTCATTCCATAACTAATTATCCAGATCCTCCAGACCCCAGTACCCCAGGACTCTAAGTAATGGTCCCCTGTTTCCTTCAGGGAACTCAGGCGACACAGAGCCCACAGTTCACCGTCAGCAGATGCAGCAGGTCCTCATTGGCGCTGCAGGGGGGATGCTGTCCCTGGAGAGCTGCCAGCTCCTCCAGCCGCAGGTAGAGGCTGTTCAGCTTCGGTAGGTACACCCGGCCATCTGGCAACCTGTCTGGATGGGCCTCGTACAGGGACACCAGGTCCTTGAGGTGAACACCCAGTACCGGCAGCCGGAAGCCAGTGCAGCTGGCCCAGGTGCGGCGGTAGCAGGCATAGTTGTTGTGGGAGGCGAGGAGTTCCGTCAGCTCCAGCAGGGTCTGTGTGGAAAGCGCATGCTAGCGATGAGAATGCCTCTGTTGCACACGCTGCTCGCAAAGGAGCAGGGAGGAACCACAGAAGAAGCGCCTGGCGCAGAGCCCTAATCCCGACTATACGGATGTGACGCTCCCAGGATGCTGTAACATCACCACGGGCTTTAGCCAGGCACAAACCGTAGTCTTGAGTGTTGGCTGCTCCACTGTTCTCTGTCAGCCCACAGGCGGAAGAGTGTGGTTGGCAGAAGGGTGCTCCTTCAGGAGGAAGCAGCACTGAAAAGCACTGATTCGAGCTGAGTGGGAGCCATCCTGACAAACACAATTGGGGATACACACACACACACACACACACACACACGCACGCACGCACACACGCGCGCGCGCACACACACGCACGCACGCACGCACGCGCGCGCACACACACACACACACACGCGCGCGCGCGCACACACACACTGTCCTGAGCCTCTTGGAGGGGGATAGCACCATTCACCCCATTTGTGCACTCTGGACCCCAGAAATCTGGACCAGATGCACAACAAGGGAGCAGCTGCCTGGAGTCCACCAGTGAGGGGCCAGGACATTGCTCAGTATATAGGTGGCCCAGGAAGAGAGAATAGGTGCAGCCAGCGGGCTCTATGGTTCCGGAGCCATTGAGGAGGGACCGACAAGTTAGGGAGTAATGTGGGAAGGGTCAGGGCAGATGGGCATTTTGGACTTTGGGGAGTCAAGGGGGTTGTTACCTTAGTGCTGTCGGGGCTCAGGTGGTTGTGGGAGTCCTTGAGCCTGGCAATGGAACTATGACACAGGCCCCCCGTGACTGCCATCAGTGTGTTGAAATTCTGTAGCTGGCGAAGCCTCTAGAGGGGAGGTAATGACAGGTGGGAGGTACCTCGGAGCGGCTGCAGGGCGGGGCGCTGCGTTAGGGGTTTCAGTCGTGAGAGAGTGTGGACCAGATGTGAACAGATGAGTGGGTCAGGCTGGCGAGGCACCAGGCATCCGTCAGATTCGGAGGCAGACAGGTGTGTGCCAGCCAGGTGTGGAGAATTCAGAAAAGCATCAGGAGTCAGGTTCCCGGGGGGTCAAACACGGGGGACAGTCACACAGGTGAAGGCATGACTGGTAGAACTAAATGGGATAATAGTGACAGAAGAGTAAAGCACGTGGGACAGTGTGAGGTCCTCGGGGTAGCAGGGAAATTCTTTCTCCGTCACTGTGGAGAGAGTTGACCCAGGAGGGACCAAGTTGAAGATGCTCAGGCTGATGCTAGACCCACTCCCTGCAAGATACAGCTCAGTTGTAGAGCCCCTGCCTAGAATCCCCCAGTGAGGAGCTGGGGTGTGGCTCAGTGGTAGAGCCCCTGCCTAGAATCCCCCAGTGAGGAGCTGGGGTATGGCTCAGTGGTGGAGCCCCTGCCTAGAATCCCCCAGTGAGGAGCTGGGGTGTGGCTCAGTGGTGGAGCCCCTGCCTAGAATCCCCCAGTGAGGGGCTGGGGTGTGGCTCAGTGGTAGAGCCCCTGCCTAGAATCCCCCAGTGAGGGGCTGGGGTGTGGCTCAGTGGTAAAGGACTTATTTAGGGTGCAGGAGGCCCTGGGTTCAATCCCCAGTACTGACAGAAATAGCCAAGCAAGAGGAAGCAAAGTGTTGGAAGGCTCATAAGGAAGGGTGTAGTTTGCTTTGGAGATATTCAAAGAGGCCAGACCACAGGCTTCCCTTTTCCCAGAAGGGAGGAGAGGCTGACTCACACAGTCAGGGCCAGAGAGATTGGACTAAGTCTCTCTTGCATTGAAGTATCACTAAGAGTGATACAGTCACTGTCCAAAGACACCCTAGGGGACCTGAGGACTAGAAACACAGAGCTGAAGATATGAAAGGATCCTTTCTCAGCACTGGGGGATAGAATTTGACTTTGGGCTCGGGAAACTGCTAATTCCTAACTACAAGCATGGTTTGACTCTGTGACACCAAGGTCACCGCTAGATCCCAGGAGTGTGGACTCGGGTGATGTAGGGTCCGAAGCAATAGGTGTGGGGGGTGGGAGGGTCAGATGAATCATGCCACCACAGGGTGGCCTTCTGGATCAGGAGCCTGGAGCCACGGGCTGGAGAGATGGCCCCGTGGTTAAGAGCACACGCTGCTCTCACAGGGGACCTGAGTTCTATACCCAGCACCCATAAAGGGCAGCTCACAACCATCTCCTGTCACTCCATGTCACTAGCCTCTAAAAGGGTACTCACACACACAATTTAAGATAATTTAAAAATAATTACTGATCTGTCAGTTTGAATCCAGCCTGGTCTACCTAGTGAGTTCCAGAACAGCTAGGGCTAGACAGAGGCCCCTGGAGCTTTGGTCAGTCACAATACAGGAGGTCAGGTAGCTGTCCCAACGCCAGTGTACAGTCACAGAAGCAAGTGGAAGCCAGCTGTGGTGGCGCACGCCTTTAATTTCAGTATTTGGTAGGCAGAAGCAGGCAGATCTCTTTAAGGTCGAGGCCATCCTGGTCTACAGAGTGAGTTCTAGGATAGCCAGGGCTGTTACAGAGAAAGCCTGTCAGAGAGAAGGAGAGAGAGAGGGAAAGAGAGAGAGAGGAGACTGAGCAGTCAGACGGGGGCTTACCTGTGCCACGTGAATGAATTTGTCCAGTACCTGGGCACGCTGCGCAGGCCCAGGACGGCTCAGCACCATGACCTGTACCCAGCGGGACACACTGTTGCTCAGACCCACAGAACCTTCCAGAGCTGGACAACCCCTCACTGAGCCCTGCAAAACATAGCCCCGTAGGTCTTGGGGCTGAGGACAAGATTGGTCAGGGTGGGTCATAGGGCTCCCAGGTCATCTTCCTGGCAGTCCCAACCGCTAGAGTCCCTGACATCCCCTTGTCCTTCTCCCGTCTGTGTACTCGTTATTATGCACCTGACTGGGCCATGGTTAGCAAAGGGAGGCATGGAAAGAGGACGTGTTCTGCTAAAAAGTGTGCATACTCCCCACTCATGCTCGCCATACCACACAGGCACACACATGCACGAACATGCACACGTACAGACACACACACACACACACACACACACACACACACACACACACACACACACAGCCCAATCTGGAAATCTGTCCCCCGAAGGAACCAGATTCCCACTTTCCTTCAAGGCAATGTCTAGATGTTAGCAGCTGATACATTTCAGCACAGAAGCACATGCAGTCGCCTTTAGGGAAGTGCAATCCAATAATTTCAAAGGTTTTCCGTGGATAGTGTTTACTCTAACTATGCACTGGTCTCTGGGGTAGGAACTGTTAATATCCCGCTTTATTTATTTATTTAATTTGGTTTTGGTTTTTCTCAGTGTAGCTCTGGCTGTCCTGGAACTCGCTCTGTAGACCAGGCTGGACTCGAACTCACAGAGATCCGCCTGCCTCTGCCTCCCGCGTGCTGGGAGTAAAGGTGTGAGCTGCAACCACCTGACTTCATTTTAATTTTTATCTTTACATGTGAGGGAACTGAGGTATGGTGAATTGAAATGCTTGGTGAATACATGAGAAAATGGTAAAGTATTTGGAGCACTTAACTGTGTGACTCTATTGCAATAAGTGTGTTTGTGACAGGGTCTCATGCAGTTCAAGCTGGCCTTGAACTGCACATCCTCCTGCATCAGCCTGGAAAGTACTCGAATTTTAGGCCTGTGCCATCACGCCACACTGCAATAAGCGCTTTTAAATGGGTTTCTCGTTCTTTCAACCTCTCCATGAAGCAGTGTGTTCTCTGTCTTACACATAGGTACCTGAGAGGAGGTGGGGAAACTAGTTCAAAGCTAGCTAGGTAAAAGAGGAAGCCAGGAGGGCTGGAGACAGAGCTCCTTGACAGAACGCTTGCCTAGCATGCACCAAGTCCTGGGTTTGATCTGCAGCCCTGCAGAAACCAGCTGTGTTGGCATACATCTGTAAGGCTAGCACCGGAGATGTGGAGGGAGTGGACCATAGTTCAAAGTCATCCTTGATTACATGGTTGGAGACCATGAGACTCCTGTCTCCAAACAACAGGGCAGACAGGAAGTAAGAAATGAGTAGGGGAGCCGGGTGTTGGTGGCGCACGCCTTTAATCCCAGCACTCGGGAGGCAGAGGCAGGCGGATCTCTGCGAGTTCGAGGCCAGCCTGGTCTACAGAGTGAGTTCCAGGACAGTCTCCAAAGCCACAGAGAAACCCTGTCTCGAAAAACCAAAAAAAAAAAAAAAAAAAAGAAATGAGTAGGGAAGAAAGAAATGGCTGCCGAGATGGTTCAGCGGATAAAAGATCCTGGGATGCATTCCTGGGACTCACATGGTGGTAGAAAGAGAAGACCGACTCCTACAAGTTGCCCTCTAACCACCATTGTCTCTCAAACACAACAAATAAACATGTAAAATTAAGATTTTTAGAAGGAAGGCAGAAGGTGATGGTATTTGAGCTCAGGGTCTTAGCGCCCAGCCGGCTTAACTCATTGTCTCAGACCTTCCTGCTGCCAGGTTAGACTGCTCAAGAGCACTGGCTAAGAGTGGCCACATACACCCTTAGCCCCAGCACTGGGGAGGCAGAGGCAGGCGGGTCTCTGTGAGTTCGAGACCAGCCTGGTCTACAGAGCGAGTTCCAGGACAGGCTCCAAAGCTACAGAAAAACCCTGTCTCTACCTCCCCTCCCCCAAGAAAGAGCATTGGATAGGAGTGGTGGTGCACACCTTTAGCCCCAGTGCTCAGGAGGCAGAGACAGGCAGAACTCTGAGTTCAAGGCCGGTCTCATCTGCAGAGTGACTTCCAGGACAGCCTGGGTTACATGATGAGACCCCGTTTCAAAACAGTTTACAGTCTGGGCTGGGGTTGAAGCTCAGTGTTAGAGAGCTTGCCTAACATAGGCAAAGACGCTGGGTCCGGTTACCAGCGCTGTTAGTACAGTAACAGTAATAGCAATAATAGTAAGATCTACAACCCCATAGGGGTGCCTGTGCCCGGAGCAGCCCCGCATTCTGTTTCCTGCTTGGGGACAGACTGGGAAAGGCATTCTCACCGTGATGGCCTGGAAGCACCGGAACTCGAGGTAAGTGAGGTGCTGAGCCAGCTCCTGTGTCCCCAGGTGATCAAACAGCAGGGACACTTTGCGTTTCTTGCCCAGGCCTGGGCTGTTCATGAGAGGTGGTGGCCCGGGCCCTCTGGGGCTCAGTCTGGAGGCCAAGAAGGACAGGGTATGGGAGTGGTTCAGGAGTTGAGGGTTTGGGGGCAGGCTAGGGTAGGGGCAGGGAAGGCGGGTAGGGGCAGGGAAGGCGGGTAGGTAGGGGCAGCGAAGGCGGGTAGGGGCAGGGAGGCGGGTAGGGGCAGGGAGGGCGGGTAGGGGCAGGGAAGGCGGGTAGGGGCAGGGAGGCGGGTAGGGGCAGGGAAGGCGGGTAGGGGCAGGGAGGCGGGTAGGGGCAGGGAAGGCGGGTACCGGCAGGGAAGGCGGGTACCGGCAGGGAAGGCGGGTACCGGCAGGGAAGGCGGGTAGGGGCAGGATAGGGTAGGGGCAGGGAAGGCAGGTAGGGGCAGCGAAGGCAGGTAGGTAGGGGCAGGGAGGCGGGTAGGGGCAGGGAGGCGGGTAGGGGCAGGGAAGGCGGGTAGGGGCAGGGAAGGCGGGTAGGGGCAGCGAAGGCGGGTAGGTAGGGGCAGGGAGGCGGGTAGGGGCAGGGAAGGCGGGTAGGGGCAGGGAGGTGGGTAGGGGCAGGGAAGGCGGGTAGGGGCAGGGAAGGCGGGTAGGGGCAGGGAAGGCGGGTAGGGGCAGCGAAGGCGGGTAGGTAGGGGCAGGGAGGCGGGTAGGGCAGGCTCACAGGTTGGAGGCATCTCTTAAGCTCCTTTGGGCCAAGTTGCCCTCCTGGGCTACGGTGGCCCAAAACCGACCGATGACTTCCTCTAGGTGGGGCTCCTGGCGCACTGCCTCAGGGTAATGGGTCAGCCAGTACCTGGGAGGGGTCAGAGGCAGGAGGTAAACTTGGGCTGGCACTAGATGAAGAGAGTTCTGTAAGGAGCCTGAGGCTAAGGAATTTTACACATGCAATCTCAGGCATTTCTGGAGTTTCTGGAGTCAGGGTTTAGAGGGGTGATTCAGAGGATGGGGAGATCTCCAGGGTAGGACTTGGGGGCTCTTAAGGCAGGGTATGGATCTCATAACTTTTTTTTTTTGAGATGGGAACCTTACTGTATAGCCCAGGCTAACCTTGGACTTGAGGAGATCCTTTTACCTCAGGCTATCTCATGCTAGGATAGCAGGCATGAGCTACCACACAGATGCTCAGCATGGGATTTTAGAAAGTGGGGCTGAGTGTGTGCGGTGGGGGGGGTTGGGCTTGGGGGTCTCGGAGAGGTGCTTCATGGGCTTGGGGTCTCGGCCCAGCCCTACCTGACCAGGTAACAGATCTGCAGCTGCCTTAGCTCCTGTGCACCTCTGGAAGCTTCCTGGTACTTAGTTCTAGTCAAGGTTATCCTGCAGCATTCCCATTTGCCCACTCTCCCAGGGGTTCAGGGGTCTGCCCTCAACCCTCTAGATGGAGATCACGGTTCTGGAAGGATATGAGGTCAGCAGCCGGGCCGCGAAGTCTGAGGATGGCAGCACCCAGCTGTGCATTGTAAGCAGCATCTTGAGAATGTGGTCCCCGCGGCGGAGGCTGCCAGTTGAGTCTGGAGGAGGGGGGAGAGTCCATCAGCCTGGGCCCTGGGAATCAGACCCATGGCCTCCACAACTGGGTGGTCAGGCGGCTGCAGGCGCTGGTTCTACCTGTGACGCCCTGCAGGAATGTGGCTAAGCAATATGATTTCCTCATGCCTCAGTTTCCTCATCTGTCATGTGAATGGGGCAGCATAAGTCTGGTCCTTGCCTTCAAGCATTTCCTTGAACTTTTATGATTTATTTTTATTGGGTTTTCTTGATTTTATTTTTGTTTTTCGAGACAGGGTTTCTGTGGCTTTGGAGGCTGTCCTGGAACTCACTCTGTAGACCAGGCTGGCCTCAAACTCACAGAGATCCCCCTGCCTCTGCCTCCCAAGCGCTGGGATTAAAGGCGTGCGCCCCCACCACCCTATTTTTGAGGGTTTGTTCACATGGGTGCAGGAGCCCTCTCAGGCAGGGGTATCAGGCTCCCTGGAGCTGGAGTTACAAGCTGATGTAAGCCTTCTGATGAAGGTACTGGGAATCAAATTCAGGCCCTCTGCAAGAGAGGTATATGATTTTAATCAAAGTCATCACTCCAGCCTCTATTTTTTGAGGCAGGATATCACTATGTAGCCTCGGCTGACTTGGCGCTCGCTATTTAGACCAGGCTGGCCTCAAATTCAGAGCTCTGCCTGCCTCGGCTTCCGGAGCGCTGGGATTAAAGGTGTGCGCCCTATCACCCAGGTAGGCCTGGAACTTTCTCCTCCTGCCTCAGCCTTCAAAACCACACCCCCAGACCCAAGCACTGGTCATTCACATCATTTACGAGATTTGCGTCATTTACATAAGGAAGATTCATCCTACTTACCCACTTTCTACCTCGCCGGTGAAGCCGACAGAGGGCTTAGCTGGCTGTCAGGGCGGGAAGACTGGCCCGGGTAGGGCTACTCACCGAAGCACTGGATACATTTCTCCAGTAGCTCGTCTTCGCGGCAGCTGCCTTCATTCAGCACCCCCAGGTTCATGGACGCCATAGCCTTGATGATTTCCCGGGGCGTGGGGCATGTCTTGTGGCGGCGGGCCTGTCGCGGCCGACCCCGTCCTCCTGTCTTCCCAGAGCATTCCTGATGAGACTTCCTGTAGGAACACACACACACACACGAAACCCCGCCGCAAAAATCACGGGGGGCCCTTCCTCCAAGTACACTCCCAGAATTCCTCTTGACCCCAATACTCCTCCTAGACATTTTGTGGATCAAGGCCCAGGGCTACCCACTAGGAACTCATGGGCGACAAGCCCCAAAGTATTTCAGATCCCCCTCCACCCCCCACAATCATGTTTAAGGACCAGGGCCTTTCAAAAGCTTAATTCCCTCCTCTAGGCATTATTAGCTCGTTCTTTATTTTGTTTTAATTATCGTGTTTAAATTTAGAGTGCAGCCGGGCGTTGGTGGCGCACGCCTTTAATCCCAGCACTCGGGAGGCAGAGGCAGACGGATCTCTGTGAGTTCGAGACCAGCCTGGACTACCAAGTGAGCTCCAGGACAGCCTCCAAAGCCACAGAGAAACCCTGTCTCGAAAAACCAAAATAAATAAATGAATAAATAAATAAATAAAATTAGACTGCAAAACAGTGGGTTTCATTATGACATTTTCCACACATAATGCATGTCAGTGCACCCATACGTTGCTCCTATTTGTCACCCATCTGCCCTACCTCATGTCATTGGCTCCTTCCCTTTCCCAAATATCGTCCTTCTCCTTTCCTGCCATACATGTGCATGTATACGTGTAAGGTTTCACATATAAGGGAAAACACACATAGTTGTTTTGTCTCTCCCCTGTTACTCTCTGTTATTCCCACCTCTCTTCAAGTTCCTCTTGAAGAACGGTCCAATGCATCACAGGGGAGTCTTGCTGTAAGCAGACCCCTAGGATTCATCCTGAGTTTTCAGGGAACCCTGGATATGACTCTAGGACCAAGTCTAGGACCAAAGTGACCCACAAATTAGCCTTCAGGCTCCTGTCAGGGCCAGAACGACACCTGGAGTCTAGGACTCGTGCCTCTGAGACGCAGTGATGGAGTCGGACCTCTTGGAATCCACCCTGCCCCTGTAAGGCAGCAGACCTCCTCCCTCAGCCAAGCTGGCCTTGGCATACACAAGCCTCTAGCCTGCTCCTCCACATTTGGAGCCCAGAGAGGAAGTACCACAGCTTCTCCTGGGCTCCTGGGAGGTAGGCAGGGTCCCTGGGGCCACAGCCGCTTCAAGGAAAGTTTAAAAATAACCTTTCCTGCCTTATGCCTCCCTGGGTGTCTGTCCCAGGTGGGGAAAAAGGGGTGAGGAGGGAGGGATGAAGGAACGGAGGGAGGGGTTAGAGTCTAGTCTTCAGAGTCATTCAAAACCGGGTTCGAGAAATTTCCGCCGGCCGTGTGCCTTTTTGCTGTGTACCTTTTTATAAGTTACCCAATGGTTTCTTCCTATGAGAAAGTAAAGTCATCCTTGGGTTTCCCCAGCCTGGCTCCTCCAAGGGGCCCAGCTGCTGGGGAAGCAGAGCTACGGAGAATAGCTGCGCGTGATGGCACTATCTTACCATCCTAGCTGTCTTGGGAGATTGAAGCATGTGGATTGCAAGTTTGAGTCCAGCCTGGGCTACAGATCAAGACCTGATCTTAAAAAAAAAAAAAAAAAAAAGACCGGAGGAGACGGGCATTGGTGGCGCACGCCTTTAATCCCAGCACTCAGGAGGCGGAGGCAGATGGATCTCTGTGAGTTCGAGACCAGTTTGGTCTACGGAGTGAGTTCCAGGACAGCCTCCAAAGCAATACAGAGAAACCCTGTCTCGAAACAAAAAAAAAAAAAAAAAGGGGAGAACTTGGGAGGCAGACGCAGGCAGGTCTCTGTGAGTTTGAGGCCAGCCTGGTCTACAGAGCAAATGGCAGATCAGCTAGAGCTACACAGAGAAACCCTGTCTCAAAAAACCCAAAAAATAAAAAAAGACAGGAGGAAGCAGTCAGGCTTGCACCATAGCATGGGTGTGAAAACACAAATAGGGACACCCTAAAATACATCTGCTGTGTCCCCTGCAGCATCAAAAGGGTTTGATACAGCTGCTAAATGTTAAATAATAATGAACATTGTTGAGCACTGACTGGGAGCATCCCAAGGGCTGAGCACTCCGTAAAGATGAGTGTTTTTCAGGAGCCCACCCGAGAACCAAAAGCATCACTCTCCTGGGCATTCTGTATATGCACAACTTGTCAGGCTCCACTGCAGACTCACAGAATCTAAAACTTTAGGGGTGGGTCCTGCGGCCGTGCTTTCCAAGTCCTCCATGCGGCTTTGTTACCTGCTTACGTTTGAGAAGAGGTGGTCAAAGCGGAGTAAGTTCTGCGAGCCCCTCTAGAGTGGTACCCATGAAAATTCTGACCGAAGTGGAAACTGAGACAGAGTAGTTGAGCAACTTACCAGGGACAGAGGCACCTAAGGTTCTCTCACGGTAATGCTGAGTGGAACCCCTCTGCTCACCAGGATCATGCTAGGAAGCCTGGAGGAGCTATCCAGGCGAGGGGCCCTGCGCCATCCTTCCTTACGGGGATCCGTGGGCGAGCAACGCCAGGAGACGGAAGCCCGTTTCAGAGCCCGCTGGCACAGGCGGCCACCTGACCCTTACCTGCAGCGTGGCTGCTCTAGACCCCAGTAGCGTCTGGAGCAGCCAGGAATGGTTTAAGAGGCAGAGAAGCCGCCTAGATCTACGTCATAAGCCCCTCTCCTGGGGCACAGTCCGGCAGGAGCTTGGAGTTTCCAGCCCGGGGGCGGCGGGGGGGCGTCCGTGACCATAATAGGGGACAGGGAAGACCCCAGGGAAGACAGAGACAGCCAGCTGAGGGAGCTAGGGTGGAGGGACACCGAACAGCTGACTCCAGGGAGAGACAGCAGTAACCGTGGCTCAGGTGCTCAGCTCCCCACGAGTGCCTCATCTTGGAGGAGCGGGGCATCCCTGCTCCTATTGTGTGTCCGTCCCTGTGTCGTGTGTGCCCTGCCCCCCCGCAGCAGAGGTTCCAGGGCTTTGGCTCTCCCAGGTCTCCCTGGGGAGGGTCCTCTTACCTTTTGCTGTCTTTCCGGTTCATGTTTCTTGGAGGGGGCGGGGGTCCCGACAGGAGTGGGATCCCGTTCCTTCTAAGGCCAGACCGTCAGCCCCCTGGGAGCTGCAGCGTCCAACGCGTTTAGGAAGGAAAGAGGAACTGCCCCTCCCCACTCACCCCCAGGCCAGGGGGAAGGAAGAGGCTGTGGAGAGACCAAAGGCTCCCCTCCCCCCGGCCCCCGTGGGGATCCCTGCCTGCTGAGGTTTCCGGTGCTGCTGCCTACCCCTTCAGCTGTCTCTCTAGTTATCTCCCCATCTTTCTCTCCACCTCTGTGTCTCTCTGTCTCTCTCTCTCACACACAGATTCACAAAACAGCTGTAAAAAGTTTGACTGATATTTATGTAAAAATACAGGCTCAGAGGAAAAGTCTGCATTTCTCTTCTTTTTATTTTATTTTTTTTAAAGTTCAGACTCTCATGTAGGTCAGGCTGGCCTCCTACTCGAGGCAAATCTCCTGCTCCAGCCTCCCATAGGCTAGGATTACAGGTGTGAGCAGCATGGCTGGTTTGAAGGACACCACTTATACCTGGAAAACAGTTTCACTATGTAGCACCTACTGTGTACCATCTACGTCTCTAAGGCTTGGGGCGTTAATTTATCTACTATTTCCTAAAGGTTTACTCACCTTTTGCTTTGTGTTATTTTTACTTTTAATCACCTGTGTGTGGGGGGGGGTTCTGGATGTGTCTGGATGCTCACAAGTGCTGGTGCCCTTGAAGGAAGCATCAGATCCCCCTGGAGCTGGAGTTCCAGGCAGTTGTGAGTCATATAGAATGGGGTTGAGGTCTTCTGCAAGAGCAGGGCAGCACCTTGGGTTTTATTTTGATAATAACTCAGTGCACTGTACTGGGTTTTGGTTTTGTTTTTGTTTGTTTGTTTTTGTAGATTTCTCTGTCTCTGTCTCTCTCTGTCTCTGTCTCTCTGTCTCTGTGTGTGTGTGTGTGTGTTTCAAGGAAATTTTCATGCAGATCAGGCTGACCTCAAATTCTCTTTGTAGCGGAGGATAAACTCCTACCTCTCAAGTGCTGGATATGGACCTGGGGCTTCAGATGTTCTGGGCAAGCCTTCTATAAACTGATCTTCGTCCTTGACTCCCAAGGTTATCTTTTTGTAAAAATGTTACTCATAGAGGTAAGCCCTGAGCCTCCTCTCCAGCCCCTTCATACAGTTTTAAAACAGACAAAATGACCAGCTTTTGCTGTCTCTTGTTTTTCTTTTTTATTCTATTTCATTTTGTATGAATTGGTGTTTTGCCCACATGTATGTCTGTATGAGGGTGTCAGATCCCCTGGAACTGGAGTTACAGACTATTGTGAGTCTCCATGTGGGTGCTGGGAATTGAACCCAGGTCTATTTGGAAGAACAGTCAGTGCTCTTAACCACTGAGCCACCTCTCCAGCCCTGGCTGCCCTTTCTAAGACGACTGTTTTAAAGCCCTCTCCCTTTCCACTGACTCAGTGTGCTGTGAGCAGCACTATACAAGATATGTTATTCCGTTTTGTCTCTACCGTTTCATGTCTATATATATAATTTTGTGCCCATGGAAACGGACTTTACTTTTGAGTATGTATGTTTTGTTCTTTTATCTAAATGTGTCATGCTTGGCATATTTTTAACTGAAGTACCAAAAAAGAGCACACATTGATATTTAGCTTGATGAGTTGTCACTAACTGAGGAAACCCCAGTAAAACTCAAATCAAATAGTGAGCAAGACATTAGCTGGGCCTAGTGTTGCACACCTCTAATCCCTAGTGCTTGAGAGGTGATGTTGGAGCGTCAGGAGTTCAAGGTCACCCTCTGCTACTTGTGGAGTTTGAAGCCACCCTAAACTACAAGCTACAAGAGATTCTGTCCCCCCCCCCCAAAAAGAATGAAAAAAGAAGAAAAAGCCCAGGGCTGGAGAGATGGCTCAGAGGTTAAGAGCACTGACTGCTCTTCCAGAGGTCCTGAGTTCAATTCCCAGCAACCACATGGTGGCTCACAACCATCTGTAATGAGATCTGGCGCCCTCTTCTGGCGTGCAGACATACATGGAGGCAGGATGTTGTATTCATAATAAATAAATAAATCTTTAAAAAAAAGAAGAAGAAGAAAAAGCCCAACTGTGGTGGCTCATATTCTTTTAATCCTAGCACCTTTGGTGGGGTGCGGGGCTAAGGCAGACTGATCTCTATGAGTTCGAGAATAACCTGGCCCATATAACTCTAGACTGGGGCTCCCACCCCCTACCCCACCCCCACCCCCATCCTCACCCTGCCCCAAAATCCAAAAGCAAGAAGTCAAATGACTCCAGAACATTCTTTATCTCTCTTGGTTCCCTTGCTCTTCCATCTGTGTCTCCCACGATTTATCTGCAGTCTCTACACAACAGAGTAGTTTCATCTTCTTTAAACTTTCAGAGAACTGGAGTCCAGTTCCCAGCACCCACACAGCAGCTCCCAACCATGTGAACTCCAGTTCAGGGGATCTAATGCCCTGGCCTCTAAAGGTTCTCAGCTTGTACACGCATCCAGACACAAACACCTGCACGTAATTAAAAATAATGAAAACAAACCTCTTAGAAAGTACTGTATGGGGGCTGGAGAGATGGCTCAGAGGTTAAGAGCACTGACTGCTCTTCCAGAGGTCCTGAGTTCAATTCCCAACAACCACATGGTGGCTCACAACCATCTGTAATGATGCCCTCTTCTGGCCTGCAGGCATACATGCAGACAGAACACTGTATACATAACAAATAAATAAATCTTTAAAAAAAAAAGTACTGTATGTACGTGGACTCGTGGACTGTGTCAGGTTGTTTTGTTTTTCTGTTTTTGTTCGTCTTCCAATGTCATTTTATTGGGTTACACTTTCTCCCTTCTTGTTGCTGTGTTGTCTTTCGTTGGGTGCCAACACACGAGTTGCTGCTAATCAATTTTCTTACAGTGGACAGTTGAGTTGCTTTCTTGGCTCTGTTAAAAACAGTACGTTTCACCGGGTGGTGGTGGCGCACGCCTTTAATCCCAGCACTCGGGAGGCAGAGGCAGGTGGATCTCTGTGAGTTCGAGACCAAGCCTGGTCTACCGAACGGGTTCCAGGACAGGCTCCAAAACAATACAGAGAAACCCTGTCTTGAAAAAACAAAAAACAAAACAAAACAAACAAAAAACAGTACGTTTCAGAGCTAGAAGGATGGCTCAGGCTGCACATTCCAGTGGATGCTCTCCCACTGAGCCTTGCTGGGGTCTGCTCAAGCATTCCGCTCTTGGTGAACACAGAGCCTGCAATTCTGTAGGGCAGTTTCCTGGAGTAGAATAAATGGGTCATAGTAGAATGGTTCTGCCAAACCTAGTACTTTAAGTGGGTTCAATGAAACAGCACTTTCAGGAGAGTGTGTTTGATCTCTTCTTTTTCATTGAGACCGTTCACTGTGGGTATCTTTTTACATAGCCCAGAAGGCCTGCTTTAGTTTTCCCGTCAAATGAAGTGTGCCCTGGTTTGGTACTCCCTCTCTTCCTGGTTGCTTGTCTTCCCACGTCTCCTGCCTTAGCGCAGTGAGTCCTTCCATGACATAGAACCCGTCTTCTCTACCTTAGCGCAGTGAGTCCTTCCATGACATAGAACCCGTCTTCTCTACCTTAGCGCAGTGAGTCCTTCCATGACATAGAACCCGTCTTCTCTACCTTAGCGCAGTGAGTCCTTCCATGACATAGAGCCCGTCTTCTCTCTCGGTTTCCCCAAGCACCTGCTTGGCCTTCCTGTGAGCATCTCAGGCCCCAGGGCGTGCAGAAGAACCCCAAAGACGAAGGTGGGAAAAAGGGCCTTGTCACTTGTGCCTAAACACAGAGCCTTCCAGGCCCTCTGGATGACCATTCATGCCCCCAAGAACATCGATGACCACAAAGGAAGAACCGTCTGACTCAGAGCAGACACCCACAAGGGGAAAAACATGCATTCGATAGCATCAGAGTTGATGTCTTTCCACGAGGCACCACGGGACCAATATTAGCTGGCCACAGGGGAAAGGTATTTGCAATGCTTAAAATCGGCCAGAAAGTGTCTAGGAGGTTAAGTCGAGAAACCAGGACAGCAAGTCCAGTAGAAAACCGGGCAATCAGCTGGGGGGATTGCTCAAGCCATAAGACCTGAATTTGGATCTCCAGCCCCCATATAAAAAAGCTGGGGAAGGAGGCTGCTGGGATGGCTTTGTGGTTCAAACACTTTCACAGTGGTTAAGAGCCCTTGCTGCTCTCGTAGAAGACCAGAGTTCAATCCCTCTCACCTCCACTCTGCACCCATGTCAGGTCATTCATAGTGGCCTGTAATTCCAGCTCCTGGGGATGCAGCATCCTCTTTTTGGCTCCCAAGGGCACCCATACAGACCACACACACACACACACACACACACACTCACACACACACTTGTTTCTTGGGAGATATTGCAATGGCTATAATGCTTGATGAGGAACAACAAACATGTACCAGTTTGGATCCCCAGAACCCACATAAATGCTGAGTGGATATGGTAGCTTTCCTGTCATTCCAGAGCTCAGAAGGCAGAGATGGGATTCTCCAGCAAGCCTGTCTGTCATCTCACTTGGGAGACTGAGGCAGGAACATCAGGCATTTGAGGCTAGTTCAGACTACATAGTGACACTCTGTCTCAAACCAGTAAACAGTGAAAACTAAAAATAGCTAAACAGGAAGAAATGAGAGCGGGCAAAGAGGATGATCAGGTAGCAGTGACTCCCAAAATCTGACAGATTCCAGAGAAGATGATAGAAATCATTGGCAACGGATTAGTGACTGTAAGTCAGTCTATAAGTCTGTTAAGTGTTAGTAGTCAGGTAGCAGGCCAGCAAGCCCTGGAGAGTCTCAGTCCACCTCCCCTCCCATGGTCCACCCCTGTCAGTCTCCACCTCCCCTGTCAGTCTCCACCCCCTCTCAGTCTCCACCTCCCCTCTCAGTCTCCACCTCCCCTGTCAGTCTCCACCTTCCCTGTCAGTCTCCACCTCCCCTGTCAGTCTCCACCCCCTCTCAGTCTCCACCCCCTGTCAGTCTCCACCTCCCCTGTCAGTCTCCACCCCCTGTCAGTCTCCACCCCCTCTCAGTCTCCACCCCCTGTCAGTCTCCACCCCCTGTCAGTCTCCACCCCCTCTCAGTCTCCACCTCCCCTGTCAGTCTCCACCTCCCCTGTCACTCTCCACCCCCTCTCAGTCTCCACCTCCCCTGTCAGTCTCCACCTCCCCTGTCAGTCTCCACCCCCTCTCAGTCTCCACCCCCTGTCAGTCTCCACCTCCCCTGTCAGTCTCCACCCCCTCTCAGTCTCCACCTCCTCTCAGTCTCCACCCCCTGTCAGTCTCCACCCCCTGTCAGTCTCCACCCCCTGTCAGTCTCCACCCCCTGTCAGTCTCCACCTCCCCTGTCAGTCTCCACCTCCCCTCCCATGGTGCACCTCCTCTGTCATGGTCCAAGCAATGGGGTTATAGCTGCTTGCAGCGCTCTGATTTTATGTGGGTTCTGGGGATTTGAAAGCAAGTCCTTAGGAGCTGGAGAGATGGCTCAGCGGTTAAGAGCACTGACTACTCTTTCTGAGGACCATACATGTTAACTTACAACTAGCTGTAACTCCAGTCCCAGGAGACCGGAAGCCTTTTTCTTGACTCAAACAAACAAAATCAGCTCTCATGCAAGCTCAGCAATCATACCATCTCCAAAATACTTTTTTGTGTAAATATGCTAGTTGAGAGTTCCATTATTCAATTATATATTCTCAGCCATTTATTTACTTAGATTTTTTTTTCTTTTTGAGATAGGGTCTGGCTGGATTAGAACTCACTATGTAGAGATTCACTTGCCTCTGTGTCCCGAGTGCTGGAACTAAAAGGCATGGGCCTAAGGCCTTTAAAAAAGATGTATATTCACACATTTTGCTTGAAACAGGGTTTCATGTAGCCCAGGCTGGCCTCTAACTTGCTATGCAGCTGCTTCAAGTCTTGATTTTCCTGCCTGCTCTCCAGTGCGGGATCACGGGAGTCCACCACTAGGTCTGGTCTGTATACACAGTGCTGGGGATTGAACCCAGGCTTTCCACCAAGTAGGCAAGCGCTCTATTAACTAGCTACATCTAACCCGACCCCGCCGCCTCACTTTATCTTTCAGATTTACTTAACATTATGTGTGTGGGTGTTTGGCCCGGTGCCTGAGGAGGTCAGAAGTGGGCATCAGATCTCCTGGAATTGGAGTTATGAATAGTTGTAAGCCACAATGTGGGTGCTGGGAATTAAACCCAGGTCCTGTGCAAGAGCAGCAGGTGCTCCTAACCGCTGAACCATCTCTTCAGCCCCTAAAACAATTTAAAATACATTAAAAATGTAGGGTGTGCATGTGTGTGTGTGCATGTGTGTGTGTGTGTGTGATTGTGTGTGCATGTGTGTGTGTGTTGCCAAGGCCATGGCCTGCATGTGGAGGTCAGAGGTCAACTCACAGGAGCCCTTCTTTCATTCCATTATACGGGTCCCTGGGATCAAATTCAGGTCATCATCAGTATTAGGAGCAGTCTTGTTGGCTCTTACATTTTATTTGTTTTTTGAGATATACATGCATAGCCTTGTCTGGTCTGGAACTGGATACGTAGACCAAACTGGCCTCAAACTCACCAAGATCAGCCAGCCTCTGCCTCCCGATCGCTGACGGTAAAGGCACGCACCACCACTCCTGGCTCTTATTTTTTATTTCTGAGACAGAGTTTCACGTAGCCCAGGGTGGTCTGGAATGTACTATATAACCAGGCCTGGCCTTGAACCTTTACCTCCTAATCCGGTGGATGACAGGCATGTGCCATCACATGGCTAAATTTAAAAATCATATGCAAATATGGAGGTGTCAAAGCATAGCGACCCCCAGGTCAGCTCCCTCGATGTCGCACTAGGTTCCTGACTGCACCTCCGGAACTCTGCCTCCTCTTGGGACTTGGCCCTGTGAGAGCGGTCAAAGTGTGCCCCCCAAAGGCGGCTAGGAGGACTGCAGGGCAGTTAGGAGGCATCTGCGGGGACTACGAGCTTCCATCCTCTGCTGTCAAGGATGCCAATAATAGCAGGGCTGTGAGACATGAGTGGCATAAAAAGATCTTAGCTCACACCAGAAACGCAACAGGTGGGTAAGAGACTCCGGCTAGGGCTAGTTCAAAAGGCAGCTTGGGGGTGGTGACACATTTGTGTAATCTCAGCACTAGGGAGGCAGAGGCTGGGAAATGTCTGCGAGTTTGAGACCAGCCTGGTGGACACACACACACACACACACACACACTCACGTTACATTATTTGGAGACAGGGTATCATGCTGCCCAGGCTGACCTTTAACTTGCTCTGTAGGTGAGGCTGACTTTGAACTACGGATCCTCTTGTCTGCAACTTTCTGAGTGCTGGGATTACAGTGCATCGTCATACCCAGTTTATGTGCTGGAATCCGGGTTTTGTACAAGCTAGACAAGCACTCTCCTAAGACACACCCAGAGCCGGGCGTTGGTGGCGCACGCCTTTAATCCCAGCACTCGGGAGACAGAGGCAGGTGGATCTCTGTGAGTTCGAGACCAGCCTGGACTACCAAGTGAGTTCCAGGACAGCCTCCAAAGCCACAGAGAAACCCTGTCTCGAAAAACAAGGTCTTATTGTGCAGCCCCAGCTCCAAATTTGCAATCCTTGGGCCTCAACCTCTTCAGAACCTGGGTGACAAGCCTGTGGCACCATGACTGCCCCTAAGTGAGTTTATTGTTATTGTTATTATTATTATTATTATTTTGAGTTAGGAGATGTGGTATAGCATCCAGGCACAATGGTGTGATTATGTAGCAAGGGCAAACCCTTAGTTCACCCATTAAAAACGGAACTGGGCTGAGAATGTAGGGCCATGGCAGAATGCTTACCTAGCATGCACACCGCCCAGGGTTCGAACCACAACACTACAGAAATCAGATGTGACTAGAAGTTCAAGTTCAAGACTAGCCTGAGGTACACGAGACTCTCAGAGAGAGACAAGGAGGAGGAAACAACGGAGAGAGTGAGAGAGAGAACTTAACAAATACATACATGACAGAACTGACATCTTACGGGGACCGCGGCCACTCAGCTATCTAGACACCCAGACGGCCAGAGCCAACCCCTTCCACCCAGTTTGAGCTGTGGGCGGGGTTCTGGACAGGGAGGGGGCGTGGCCCGCCCCATCCTGGCCCAATGGGTGTGGGGGGGCGGGGACCTCCTTGCATCTGGATCCCACACCGGCTCGTTTTTTTTGCAGTTCCATCTGCCTCGCGGGTGCTTCTGGCGTCCCCAGAGGTCTCCCACCCCAGCCCTCCCTCGGCCCACCCGCCCTGCCAGCAGCCCCCTCTCGCCATCCTCAGACCCTAGCCCGGGACCGCGGGGGCTTGCCATCATGGGTGATGGAGGAGAAGGCGAGGACGAAGTCCAGTTTTTGCGGACGGTACGTTTTGTATGACTTAGGAGGCTTCGTGGGAATTTCTCCCTGACCTCTCAGAGTCTCTCTGTCTCTGTCCTGCTTGCTGGTGGTCTCTGAAATCCGAGGTCACTTTGGGTGACTGTCGCTTCGTCTTGGTGTCTCTTCTCATCACCTTTTTGATCACGGAGAATTAGCAAGGATTTGGAAGGACAGAGTGGGGAGAGGGAGAAGCTCGGTTGCCCTCTCCTGACATGAGAGATTCGGGGTCACTGAGGGAGTACCTCCTCCTGCCATCCTGGAAGCAGGCACTTGAGGAAGGTGGTTCTAATTCTTGAGCTTAATTTAGCTACCCTCCACCCCCACCCTAGCCCTATTCCCTTCTTACTCCAGGCTCTGACCTATTTAAATTCTTGGAGAGTGGGCTGCGGTGGGCTGGACGGCACTGTAGGTTTCAACTCCTAGCCTTTGGTGGTCTCCTTGGGGGTCTCTTGGATCTTGACTGCTCTCTCCTCTTTGGTTTTGGTGAGAAGGATTAATTGTCTGCTAATGGCCTCTGAGGGTGTCTGGACGCCTTCTCTCACATCTCCTTGGTATGTCTTGTGTCTGTCTCTGTCTTTTGTCTCTTGGCTTCAACCCTCTGAGTTTTATTGTCCCTCTGGTCCCGTCTCCCTGAATCTCTCATCCCCAGCTGGGGGCAGGGCTGGAACTAGGAACAACAGGTGTCTCTCCCAGAATAGCCCTCTTTTCTGGGCTCCGGGCAAGGGACAGGGAGGAGACAAAAGGGGGAGGGGCTGCCTCTTCCTTAGTCCTTCCCATCATCCCTTTCCAGGGGCTGGGATGGGGGTTGGTATAAGAGCACTGGAGGTGTTCTCTCTTTTGGACCAGGTCTGCTGACCCTGCACTGTCCCCTCTCCATCTCCCCCCACCCCAAGCCCTGGGTTCATGCAGAAATGCTGACGCAGCATTCCTGACCCAGAATAGGACCCTGGCAGGCAGGGTCCGGTTTCTTGGGAGGGAGGAACAAACGGCTGGGACTGGTAATGAAGGATGGGGACAGCTGGATATGAAGCCACTGGAGGAGGGCCTCTCCCCAGCCCAGCCTTTAGCCTACACCATGGGTTTGGCCTTCCACAGCCTAATAAGCCCACGGCTGTGGCTACCAGCAGTCACTCTGCACCAGGCCCAGTGCCCAGGGCCTCAGCCTCCCGTGGCATCTAATTATATTCTCATTGCCCTATCTTCTGAGGTAGGACCCTATCTTTATCTCCCTGGGAGATTTGAGGGAAACCAAGCCCCAAGTGGTAAACTTGCCCAAGGTCAAGGCCAGGAAGTGGTGTCTCTCAGTGCCCTGGGAGGCCGAGTCTTGCTTTCAATAGAGGGAATCCAGGCCCAGCCTTGTTGGGGTAGACAGTGTCAGGCTGGGTCTGTTTTCTTCAATGTTACTGAGGTTGTGTGGTATTTTCTTTAAAAAAAAATCTTTTAGGAGCTGGGTGTTGGTGGTGCACGCCTTTAATCCCAGCACTAGGGAGGCAGAGGCAGGCGGATCTCTGTGAGTTCGAGGCCAGCCTGGTCTAAAGAGTGAGTTCCAGGACAACCTCCAAAACAATACAGAGAAACCCTGTCTCGAAAAACCAAAAAAAAAAAAAAAAAAAAAAAAAGAAAGAAAGAAAGAAAGAAAAAAAAGAAAAAAATCTTTTAGGAATCATATCCCACCTGTAAGAAAGAATCTGCACCATATTCATAGGTATTATTAAACAAAAAGAAAATTCCAACTTTAAAGCAGGGGGTGGCTGTAGATACCCATGACTCCAGCCTTCAGCAAGCTGAGACAGCAGAACTGTAAGTTCAGGACCAGCCTGGGCAACATAGTAAGTTCAAGACCCATCCATTTGATGACAAGGGGAATTTTGCTAATTCAAAACAGTTAATAGACCTCAGTGCTTTGAGGGGCGAGTGAGAGAAAGGTTTCACGCATCGCAAGCTGATTTTAAGACTGATGCATAGCCAAGGACGACCCTGAACTCCTGTCCCCACCTCCCAAGTGCCACCGAGTCTGGCCTCCATGGGTTTTGACATATTATGCAAACTAAGTAACCACCTTGGTAGTCAAGGCAAAGAACATTTCCTCCCCCCAGAGAATCCCTCCTGCCCTTTGGAGCAACCACCGGCCCTCTGGTCATCACATAGACCCCACCGCTCGCCACTGGAGATTCATATACAACATGTGTTCATTCTCTTTTACTGCTTAGGATATTTCTGACGTGTAGCTGGAGATTCATATACAACATGTGTTCATTCTCTTTTACTGCTTAGGATATTTCTGACGTGTAGAGTGTATTTAGCCTGAATGCTTTTGTGGGGAGCTTACTGGTATCCTGTGGTACGATTACATTGTAGTTTGCCTGTATCTGCACTTGTGTACACTAAGGTAGTCACGTCTTCGGTATTTTGCTACTCAGTAAACAACCACACTCACTTTGTGTCGCCCTGACTGCCCTAGAGCAGTTTATGTGGCCAGTGTGGCCTCAGTTTCACTGAGATCTACCTGCCTCTGCTTCCCCAATACTGGGATTGAAGGCTCGGTCACACACACCAGTTTTGGGGGAAGCAGTTTGAGATGGAGTTTCATTGTGTAGCCCTGGCTGTCGTGGAACTTGCTCTCTCTATACCAGGCTGGCCTTGAACTCACAGTGCTTCTACCTCCTGAGTGCTGGGATTAAAGACACGAATGACACACCTATTTTTTTTTTGGAGTTTTTTTTTGGTTTTTGTTTTTGTTTTTTTTTTTTTTTTGGTTTTTTGAGACAGGGTTTCTTTGTGGCTTTGGAGGCTGTCCTGGAACTCACTTGGTAGTCCAGGCTGGCCTCGAACTCACAGAGATCCGCCTGCCTCTGCCTCCCTAGTGCTGGGATTAAAGGCATGCGCCACCAACGCCCAGCACGACACACCTATTTTTAATAACAACTTCCATAACATGTCAATCACCCTGATAGCAGACTGGGCATGTTATTTTCTTGTTCTCCTTTTTTTAATTATTAAGGGTGCTGGCCAAGACCCTCCAGATAATTTTCCTTGTTTTGAATATAGTGACCTCTTGAGCTCTGTCAACACTGGGATCGCTCAGAATCTGCTTAGGTCAGAACCTCAAGAGGGAGTGGTCCGGCTAAAAGTGCAGATTTGTCTGCAGACCCCAGAATCACTGAGTCAGGTTCAAGGATGGGAGTGATGGGAGTGGGGTGCTGGGGTAACAGAAAGCTTATTTTTGTTTGTTTGTTTTGCTGAGACAGGGTCTCATATAGCTCAGGCTTCTCTTGACCCTGAATTTCATATCCCCCTGCCTCCACCTCTAAAATATTTGGAATAATTAATAGGCATTTTACCACCATGCCTGGCTTTGGAAATTGAACTATTTTATTGTATTCTGTTCTTCTCTGTCCAATTATCTACTTATTTAGTCATCTATCTGTCTATCTGTCTGTGTGTGTGTCTATCTATCTATCTATCTATCTATTTATCTATCGCCTATGTATCTATCATCTATATATCTCCTTCCTTCCTTCCTTCCTTCCTTCTTTGATAGGGCCTATATGTCCAGGCTGGACTTGAACTCCTGGACTCAAGGGATCCTCTGTCTCAGCTTCTGGATAGATGGGACCACAGGTGTGCATCATTTCAGCCAGTTTTGGAAGCAGCATCTAAAGCCGGGTTCCTGCTCACTCACTCTCATACAGGAGAGAGTGGGTGTCAGTGCTGTGTGCTCAGCCTCGCCGTAATGATTAGATTCCTGGTTCTGATTTACATCCTGCTTTTGCCATTCACTTGCTTTCTCTGCTTGGGAAAGTGATTTTAGGTTTTTTTTTTCCTCTGAGCTTAGTTTTTTTCATCCAGGAATGTGGAGAGGGAAAGAAATCCAGTAAGAATTCTTAGGGCCGGGCTGGAGAGATGGCTCAGAGGTTAAGAGCACTGACTGCTCATCCAGAGGTCCTGAGTTCAATTCCCAGCAACCACATGGTGGCTCACAGCCATCTACAAGTCAATCAGGCGCCCTCTTCTGGCAGAACACTGTATATGTAATAAATAAATCTTAAAAAAAAAAAAAAGAATTCTTAGGGCCCTTACAAGTGTCTCTTTGGCCTCACAGCATCCCTTACTCCTGCTGGCCCCACCATCCCGTTTCACTGCTCACTCCGGGACACCCCTGTCCCCACACCCCTGTCCCCAGTGGCCGCAGGCCCTTGCACGGGCTGCCTCTCTGGAGCACTCCCTACAGGTGACCTGTCCTGCTTCTTTCTATGTGGACAAGGCCTAAAGGTCAAAGGTCATCATCTTCTTGGAGAGGTCATGTGTCACTTCGCCCCCTTACTGATGTTCCCTGCCTCAGTGCCACTCAGTTATATCGGTCCAGCTTTTTCCCAGAACATCTACCACTAACAAAAAACTTACGTACTTACTTACCTGTTATGGACGGTTTACACTTGAGGACGTCAGGTCCTTGGAGGTAGGGGTATCCAGAGCCTAAAATGGTGCCTGTCTCCTCCTGGGCTGTCAAATGGATTGACACTCAGGATTAGAACACGCTTATCTGACAAGCTTGGGAGTGTGGAGGTCATGCGGTCTCCGGTGGGATGTGTAACCTTCTTTAGAAATGTTTCCTTACCTTTATTTTCTGTGTGAGGGTGTTTTGCCGTATGTCTGTGTGCTACGTTAGTATAGTGCCTTCAGAAGAAGGGAGAGGGAGTCAGGTATCAAAGATGGTGTGGTTGCTGGGAATTGAACCTGGGTCTTCTGGAAGAGCAGCCAGCGCTCTTAACCACTGAGCCATCTCTCCAGGTTCATCTGTAACCTCCTGAATTAGTGATATGCTGGGCACACCCCTGAGGTCCCAGCATTTGGGGAATTCAGGAAGAAGCGTCAGGCACTCAATGTCATCCTTGGCTACAGGGCAAATTTGAGGCCAGCCTGGGCTACATGAGACTTCGTTGCAGAAACAAAACAAAAACTAAACACCAATCAATAAATGAATCCACCCCAAAGCATTTAATTTGGGAGAAAGTTGATGTTTCCCACACTCGGTTGTATCACTTTGCAGACCCTCGTTAGGAGGCCTCTAGAGGAGCTAGAGTTTGATTCTAATCCAAATTTCTCTTACACCCTGTGGAAGCCAGGCGTGGGGACACACACCCATAATTCCAGCTACTCAAGGGGCTGAGGCGGGGATATCTCATGATCTTGGGAATTCAAGGCTAGCCTGGGCAACTTAGGGGGCCGCTGTCTCAGAAGAAAAATGAATGAATGACCGGACAACCAACCAGCCAAATGGAGAAGTAAATGGAGCCTGGCTGGTGTGGAATGTGTCTGTTCTACACGGCACGCAGGGTCTTCTCTGGTCCGTCCCTTCTGGTTCCCACCGGCGGACCGTGTCCCTCTGCTCTCCCAGGATGACGAAGTGGTCCTGCAGTGCAGCGCCACGGTGCTCAAGGAGCAGCTCAAGCTGTGTCTGGCCGCTGAGGGTTTCGGCAACCGCCTCTGCTTCCTGGAACCCACCAGCAACGCGCAGGTCTGTGTGCGCCCGGCGCGGGTGGAGGGGCAGTGTCGGGAGGGCAGGGTTTTGACGTTTTATTGATTTTCATTTTATGTGCATTGGCGTTTTGCCCGCGCGTGTGTCTGTATGAGGGTGTCAGGTCCTGGAGTTGCAGACAGTTGTTATCGGCCACGTGGGTGCCGGGAACGAGTCCTTAAGAAGGCTCTGGAGCCGCCGAGCGCACGCTGACTGAGGGAGCGGGAGGGGCTAAGGTGGGAAAGGGGCGTGGACTGAGATGGGTCCGGAGGAATCTGAGATTAGCACCGAGCCTGAGATGGGCGGGTGTGTAAGGCGGAGCCTGGAGGGGCGGAGCCTGAGATGGGGCGGGGTCTAAGACGGGGCAAGATGTGGCATGGTGGAGCCTGGCCTGAAGAATAAAAGGCGGCGTCTGAGGCGGGGAGGGATTTGAGGTAGGGGGCGGGCTGTGAAGAGCAAGGCGAGGTCTGAGGTGGGGGTGAAGCCTAATGTGGAACAGGGTCTGAGGCAGGTGGAGAGGGGTTTGAAGAGCGAAAGGAGGCGGAGCCTAGGGTGGGGGCGGAGTCCTAGGTGGGCGGTGAGGTCTGAAAGGAGCGTGAATGCGGGGGATCCTATGAGGGCAAGATTCCAAGGAGGAGGAGACCTAGGCAGTTTAGAGGAGAGGACGGGGCCAGAGATGGAAGAGTGTGTGGCAATAGATAGAAGGGTCTGAGAGAGGGCTCTAGGCGTGGAGGAAGTTAGAACGAGAGAGGAAGGGACCTGCAGGGAGCGCCTGGGGACGGAGAGACCTGGGGGTCCCGGTGGAGGCCAACAGAATGTGAACGGCGGGGAGTTTTGGAGTCTGAGGGGCCAGCGCGTCTGTCTCTCCTGTGGTGTGGCTGGAAAGGCAGGGATGAAGGCGGAAGTAGTGTTCTCCTGGGATTGGAGGGGCTTGGGGTGGCCTGCAGGGAAGGTGCATCAGAAGCTTCCTGCCTGCCATGGGAGCAGGCTCAGTGTGGTGAGCCGCAGTCAGAGGGGCACAGAACAGTTGAGCGAGGTAGGCAGTCTGGAAGTTTCTGTGGAGCTGGGTGAACTGGAGGAATTCGAAGGAGGAGGCTGAGAGGTGTTTCCTGTGATGTTGGCAAAGACTCGATGCGTCCGTCTGACGCCCGGCTGGGGCCCCTTGTGGGTGAGGGTGGGGTCTGGGTGTGCGGAAGACTCACAGCCCAATGGCGTTTGCTCACCCCGCCTCAGAATGTACCCCCCGATCTGGCCATCTGCTGCTTCATCCTGGAGCAGTCCCTGTCAGTTCGAGCGCTGCAGGAGATGCTGGCTAATACTGTGGAGGCTGGTGTAGAGGTAAGACTTCTCTCCAGGGATTGGGGAGCAGGGACAGGAATGGGGAGGGGACCCGGGGGTCATTCACTATGCGTTCTTCCTCTCTCTGCCCTGCCCCCACAGGCCCTCAATTTGGATAAGTGGGTAGGTCTGGCCTTGGGTGTCATGTCTTTCCTGTCACTCCTGACCCCAGGCCGGCTGCTCAGGCCCACGTCCTGAACACAGGGGCTGGAGGATTTCCCCCACCCCAGATGTCAGGGGCTGTGGAGCCCAGAACAAGCCAGGCAGGAAGGAAGGAGGGAGCAAGGGGCTTCTGAGCCCCTGTTCTCTGGCCCGTTCCTTTCTCCCCTTTTTTACGCCCCCCCCTGCCCCTCACTGCATGGGTCCCTCACCTCCCTCCATCCCTAGTGTGAGTCTGCCACAGAACCATGTATCCCCACGGCATGGCTCCCTCAGAGCATGGGCATGCGAGAGCCATGATGGAGGCATGGTGCCGTCGAGGAATTGGATGCCCCCCACTCCTCCAAAGGGCCAAGTCTCCTCGTGCATGGGAGTGTGTGACAGCAAAAGGAGTCACTCTACTCCAATGGTTGAGAGTCATGTGACAAGCAACAGCTAGGACTGTCCTGGTGCAAACAGGCTATATATAGTTCAGCTCTTGGATGACAGGCTGGAGCAGATGGGATGCTGGGGCTCTCTTGAGTGTCCTTTGTCACCTGGAAGATGAATTCATACTTCTGGGGTGACATCAGGACCTGGTTTATAAGTGGAAGGAGGCAGGATGGCAGAGTGGGTTTTGTAGTTTTTGTTATTTTGTTTTATAGAACTTCATGTGTCCTAGGTTGGCCTCAAACTCTCTAAGGAGCTGAGGTTCACCTTGAACACCCAATCCTCTTGCCTCTGCTAGGATCACAAGCTTCTGGGCCTTGGGGAATGTAAAACACTCCATGTCTAGGTTTCTCAGAGGCAGCCCCTGCTTCTACAGGTGGGGAAACAGATGCAGACCATATGTTGGGAATCTGAGCTGAGGTTTCCTGCCCGGGCACAGCATTTCATGGGGTTCACATGCCCGCCTGTGGACAAGCCATTTATTTGGGGAGCTGCTGGAAATCAGGGGGTCTGTATTTACCCTGTGCCATTTCTTCTCCTGTAGTCATCCCAAGGCGGGGGACACAGGACACTCCTGTATGGCCATGCCATCCTGCTCCGGCACGCGCACAGCCGTATGGTGAGTGCGTTAACCACGGGTGTGGGTGAGGGAGCGGGTTCGGGCCTGCCACGGGGCTGACCTCACTCTCCCACCCTAGTACCTGAGTTGCCTCACCAGCTCCCGATCCATTACTGACAAGTTGGCCTTTGACGTGGGACTGCAGGAAGATGCAACAGGTGCAGGGTTGGGGCAGGGAGCATGGGGGGTGCTCCAAATCAGCGAACCAGAAGTATGCAGCACTCTATAGGTGTGCATGGGGCTGCATTGGAGCTAGGAAGAGGGGTCTGAGCACAGAGGGTCTGACATATGGGTGGACGCATTCTCGACAGGAAGACGGGGTGGGGAGTTGGCAGTGCAATGGGGGTTTATAGACTCCAGGGTCTGCACGTCTCGGCGGCTGTGAGTCCCCTGGGGAAGAGCATTGTGGGAAACCATTATCCTGACCGTCACTGCCCTCACAGGAGAGGCCTGTTGGTGGACAATGCACCCTGCCTCCAAGCAGAGGTCTGAAGGAGAGAAGGTTCGTGTTGGGGATGACCTCATCCTTGTCAGCGTCTCCTCTGAGCGATACCTGGTGAGTACCCATCTCCTTGACGGCTCCTCCTTCTCCTGAGGGGTGCACGGGGTGTGCTGTGTCTCTCATCATGGGCTTGCCCAGGGGGTCTGGGGCAAGCCCGCAGGGCTCTGCCCTGATTCTGTGTGTTTCCCGGAGGCTCGCTTTGATTGTTACCCACTGGTTCTCGTTAATTCCATTGTGTCTGACCACCACACTTTGGTCGCCCCCAGCACCTGTCCACCGCAAGCGGGGAGCTCCAGGTTGATGCCTCCTTCATGCAGACTCTGTGGAACATGAACCCCATCTGCTCTGGCTGTGAAGAAGGTGAGGACCCCGGGTGTCTGGACCCTACGATGAGGCCATCAAAGTGGGCTCTCTGTGGTGCTTCCTCAGACATGCCCAAGCTGAATCTTGGGATCTCCCAGTGACGGCTTTCACGGCACATTTCTTACTGACCCCAAAGTCAGATTCACCACCACTCCCAAACTCAGGGTCCCCAGAGCTTCCACGCCAAGCTTGGTCCTCAAGGTCAGACTCTGACACTCCGAACTCACAGCTTACAGCAGTGGCTCTCAGCCTTCCCAGTACTTCAGCCCCTTACTAGTTTCTTGTGTGTGGTGACCCCAACCATAAAACTATTTTCCTTACTACTTCATAACTGCAATTTTGCTGTTATGAACCACACTATAAATATCTGATATGTGACCCCTGTGGAAGGGTCATTTGACCCCCAGGGGTCACGACCCACAGGTTGAGAACCACTGGTTTAGGGCATCAGCCTGGGAGCTTAATCCTCAGACTCCAGCTCTTCGATACGGGCACAGATGGAAGCCCTGGAATCTAACCCTCAGATCCTAAACCAGGAGCCCCGCTCAGACCTCAAACCTTATGCTACCAGCCTCAGACTCTCAGAGAACTTTAACCGAAATTTGTGTGTGTAAATGCCAGAGAGTAACTTACCGGAGTCGGTTCTTTTGTTATGTAGGCCTTGAAGACTGAACTCGGGTTGCCAGGGTTGGTGTCTGGTGCTGTTACCACCTCCCTGGCTCTAGACTCCCAGATTTTAACTTCAGCTCCCACTGATACCAAGCCCTGAAACCCAGACCCGCCAACTTTTTTGTTTTGTTTTGTTTTTTTTGTTTTTTGAGACAGAGTTTCTCTGTATTGTTTTGGAGGCTGTCCTGGAACTCACTCTGTAGACCAGGCTGGCCTCGAACTCACAGAGATCTGCCTGCCTCTGCCTCCCGAGTGCTGGGATTAAAGGCGTGCACCACCAATGCCCGGCTACAGACCCGCCAACTTTTAAAAAACTCTTCTAAGAAAAGATTTATTTCTTTTTATTTTATGTATGCGGGTGTTTTGTATACATTTGTGTCTGTGCACCATCAATGTGCTTGGTGCCTGTGAAGGCCAGGAAAGCGTGTTGGATCCCCTGGAACCGGATTTACGCAGATACAGTTCTGAGCTGCTATGTGGGTAACAGGAACAGGACTTGGGGTCTCTGCTAGGAACAGGAGTTGGGGGTCTCTGTGATGGCAGCAAGTGCTCTTAACGGTGGAGTCATCTCTCCAGAACCTTCGTTATTTTACTACCAAAGTCCGGTCTTTCCAAATTCACACTCAGGACCTCGGGGTCTCAAACCAGATCATAACCCACAACCTGGACCTCTTATGTCAGCCAAGGTCCCCCAGACCAACACTCAGAACTGAGGTCCTTACTGCCAACTCCAGCCTCAGAGCCAGACATCACACCTCCAAACCCTAACCTCAGGCCTCAGAGTCCAACATCACACCTCCAAACCCTAACCTCAGGCCTCAGAGTCCAACATCACACCTCCAAACCCTAACTAACCTCAAGCCTCAGAGTCGAACATCACACCTCCAAACCCTAACCTCAGGCCTCAGCACGCAGAGCCCAAGAGCAGGGAGGGGCACTAGATCCCCTAACCACACAGTCTGGCCCCAGTCTCAAAGGTCCAAATACAGATCCTTAACGTCACAACTCTAAGCCCCCCGACTTTACCCCAGCATATCCAGAACCTTATGGGTTGGTCTCTGACTTCAGATACCAAATCCCACATGCCTACTTTTTAGTCCTTAAATACAGCCTAAATCACAGACTGTCAACACTGCTCCTTATTCCAGCCTTTAGCCTTCCACAGGGGAGATGTAGGACCCCTAGACCCCACACCGACTTCCAGATCTCTCTGGGACTCCTGCCTCGCAGCAACCGCCTTTCCTTGACCTTCCTCAGGCTTTGTGACGGGAGGCCATGTCCTCCGCCTCTTTCATGGACACATGGATGAATGTCTGACCATTTCCCCTTCGGACAGTGATGACCAACGCAGGTCTGGGCTTTGGACAAGGGGATCTTGGGGCCCGGGGGTGTGGGTGGGAAGAAAAGATTGGTTGGGCACTCTGTGCTTTTAAGCTTTCTGTTGCTATGACAAAATACCCGAGGACATCGCCTTACTAAGTAAAAGGTTCTTTTGGCCCATGGTGGCAGTCTATGGCTGCTTGACCCTATTACTTTAGGTCATTGGTGACATAGTATATCACGGTGACAGTATGTGGCAGAGGTTGGTTTCACCTTGTAACATTTGAGGACACAATACTGAAAGTGGAAAGACCAAGGTGCTAATATTCCAGTGACCTAACTTCTGTCCACTGGGCTCCCCCTCCCCCAAAGCCTCTGTCAGTCCTAGTAGTCCCACAGACAGGGGACCACCTTCCCCAGATGGGCTGTTAGTAACAGGGTTGGGGACTGGCATCTGCATTCCTGATCTTGTTGTCTCCTACGTCCCTAGACTTGTCTACTACGAGGGAGGGCCTGTGTGCACTCACGCCCGCTCCCTTTGGAGGCTAGAGCCGCTGAGAATCAGGTTCGGTGGGGAAGAGGTTGGGAACTCCCACTGGGGCCTGGGAAGGGAGAAAGGGTCTTCAAGGAGATCTGAGGAAGATACTGGAAGGTTTGGGGGACAACCTAGAGAGCCTCAGAGAGGTTGAGGTCCTCAGGTATCCTGGAACCCTAGAGGAAAAGCCCTTGGGGCATGGGGGACGTTCCTGAGGAAGAGATTTGGATTCTTCGTGAAAATTCGAACGCAGAAAGCTTGCCAGGCTAGGGCCCTGGAGGCAGCTGAGGGGCTCTGAGGAAGGTTCAAGGACTGGCAAGGGGACTGGAGCTACCGAGCAGGGAGGAGAGAGTTCTAAGAAAGAGCCAGGGGCCCCAGGAAAGATCTAGGGAGCCCTAGAAGAGAGAATGCTTGAGGAGTTTCAAAACAAGACTATGATGTTAATGGCTCCTAGGAAGGGGTCCTCTGATTCTGATTCTCCCCACTGTCACCTTCCCCAGCTGGAGTGGAAGCCACCTCCGATGGGGCCAGCCTCTGCGAATCAGGCATGTGACCACGGGGCGGTACCTTGCGCTCACTGAGGACCAAGGCCTTGTGGTGGTTGACGCCAGCAAGGCTCACACCAAAGCCACTTCCTTTTGCTTCCGCATCTCCAAGGTTGGTGTGTGTGTGCGCGCATGTGTGTGTGTGTGTTTGTGTGTGTGTGTGTGTGTGTGTAGGGGGGCGACATGCCCTTCCTCATCTGCAGCCTTGGGTCCCACTCCTCTTGGGTTCTTGCTTGGGGTCTCCACAGCATCAGGCAGAGGAGGCTGATGCCTGTCCCTTGTGCCCGCAGGAGAAGCTGGATGTAGCTCCCAAGAGAGATGTGGAGGGCATGGGGCCCCCTGAGATCAAGTATGGAGAGTCCCTCTGCTTTGTCCAGCACGTGGCCTCAGGCCTGTGGCTCACCTATGCTGCACCGGACCCCAAGGCCCTGAGGCTTGGCGTGCTCAAGAAGAAGGTGGGCTCCTGGAAAGGGTGAGGGTGTGTGTGTGTGCGTGCACGTGTGTGTGCGTGTGTGTATGTGTGTGTGTGTGTGTGTGTGTGTGTGTGTGTGTGGGCAGAGATAAAGACACACAGAAATAGAGACTAGAAAGCCATACACACAGAGAGAAAGCCAACACTAAGGGCTGGCAAGATGGCTCAGTGATTAGAACATATTTGCTGCCAAGCCTGGGGCCTTGAGTTCGAGCCCTAGGACCCATGTGGTGAAAGCAGGGTCTGCCTCCTTCCGGTTTCTTGACTGCCACCTGTGCACTCCCCACAAAAACCTTCCAAGTGATAACAGGCTGAAAATAATCTTCATAAATGATGGACAGGGTGTGGTGTCTCACACCAGTTACCGTAGCACTCTAGGGGCTGACAGGGAATTGTAATTTGACGTCAACCTGGACTACACAGTAAAACCCTGTTTCAAAAGACCGGAAAAAAAGAAAGAAAGAAAGAGAGAGAGAGAGAGTGAGAGAGGGAGGGAGGGAGGGAGGAAGGAAGGAAGGAAGGAAGGAAAGAAGGAAGGAAGGAACGAAGGAAGGAAGGAAGGAAGGAAAGAAGGAAGGAAGGAACGAAGGAAGAGGGCTAGGGCTGTAGCTCGCTTGATGCAAGACTAGCCTAGCATTCATGAGGCCCAGGTTCTATTCCCGGCACCCCATAGGTCAGGTGGCCACCCTTCCTGACCTCTCTGTGTGCGCACATCTAGGCCATGCTGCACCAGGAAGGCCACATGGATGATGCACTGTCACTGACCCGATGCCAGCAGGAGGAGTCCCAGGCTGCCCGAATGATATACAGCACAGCGGGCTTGTACAACCAGTTCATAAAGTAAGCCTGCCCGCCCCCTGCCGGGCTCCCCGCACTTACGCACCCGAGAAATGTCATAGTCGCTCATCAGAGACCTCTGACTTCCACAACCTTGACCTCGGCACGCACGACCTTCCATCACCTAACTCTCACACCGGTACCCAGACCCTTGACTGGCCATCCCCAGTCCTGACTACTTCCACTATCCCTGGTGCCTGCCACGCAGGAGCCCATGTCAGTCCCGGCTCCGTTATAGGCTCTGTGTGACCTCGGGCCAAGCCTTGCTTCTGTTTCTCTGCCCTCCATGAAATCGAAGCCCGTGGGAGTCCAGCGCAGGGTGGGGTGGGTGCTTCCAGCCCTGCCTGAGCACTGGGGTCCCCACAGGGGTCTCGACAGCTTCAGCGGGAAGCCGCGGGGCTCGGGGCCACCGGCTGGGTCAGCGCTGCCCATCGAGGGCGTCATCCTGAGCCTACAGGACCTCATCGGCTACTTCGAGCCGCCTTCGGAGGAGCTGCAGCATGAGGAGAAGCAGACCAAGCTCCGCAGCCTGCGCAACCGACAGAGCCTCTTCCAGGAGGAGGTGGAGCCAGGCGTGGAGGGCGGGGCCGGAGGGGCGGGGCCTGGCGGGAGGCTGGGGCCTAGAGAGGGGCGGGGTCTGGGAGGAGCTCAAGGGAGGGCGGGGCCTTTAGGAAAGTGATGGGCCGGGCCTCAAGGAGGGGGCGGGCGGCGTTGATGGGCGGGGCCTCGGGGGAGGGCGGGAATAAGGGAGGCAGGGGGCGGAGCCGTGTGAAACAGGGTGAGGACTAGATAATCTGGCCTGGAGTTAAATCAGAGGCTCCACAAGATGGGGCTTCCTGCTTCTGGGTCTACTGGATCCAGGGTTTCTGGGTGAGAGAGCATAACCGGAGTGGGGCGTAGGCTGATCTTGATACATCCGGGACATTATTGCGGTGGGGTGCTAGTCATCTCTTAGAAGAAGAAGGGAAGAGGTGTGGGCCGCTCAGCTCTGCCAGAGTGGGAGAAGTGGAGAGGGCTGGGGCAAGAGGCTGGACTGAGGTCAGGGCTCGGCTGCCTCAGTGGTGGGCAATGTGTCTATTCTGAGCGCCTGGCTCCTCTCCGATGAGGAGGAAGGATAACAGTAGCAGAAACAAAAGTACCGCCAGGGTGGGGATTGGTGCAGTATACACAGGATCCCTAGATCCCAATACAGATAGGGGGTTCAGTGAGAGACCCAATCTCACAAAAGTAAGGTGGGGGCTGGAGCGATGGCTCCGTAGAGCAGGTACCGCTTTAGCAGGACCCAAGTTCAGTTCCCGGTACCCACGCCCAGTGGCTCTAAAACTCCTGACCTCCAGCTCCAGAGGGATCCGACGCCTCTGGCCTCCCAGGCACCTGCAGTCACAGGCACAACCCTCACGCATGTATATAGACTTAAAAGTAATAAAGTAAACCTTAAAAAAAATGGCTGAGCGTGATGATGCACACCTTTAATCACAGCACTTGGAAGGCAGAAGTGGGCGGATCTCTGTAAGTTCAAGGCCAGCCTGGGCTATTCAACAAGTTTCAGGCCAGTCAGGGCTGCATAATGAGACCCTGTCCTTAACACAAAAAACAAACAAGAAAAAGATGGAAAGTCATCATAGGAGACCCTAAAAGTTGCCAGGTGGTGGCGCACGCCTTTAGTCCCAGCACTTGGGAGGCAGAGGCAGGCAGATCTCTGAGTTTGACGATAGCCTGGTCTACAGAGCGAGTTCCAGGACAGCCATGGCTACACAGAGAAATTCCGTCTGCAGAAACCAAAACCAAAGGCTCCAGAAGTTGACTTCCAGTCTCCACAGGAACAAGAATGCACACCTGCACCCAAACAAATACATATCACACACGCACACACTCACACATACACACACACACACACACCTCTCAAAATGCAAACAAAATGATTTTCAGGTACCACCCAGAATTATTTTTTCCCCTTTAATATGGGGTTTCTCTATGTAAATCTGCACCTCTGCCTCCCAAGTGTGAGGATTAAAGGTGTGAGCCACCACTACCTGACTCTGTCTGTAATTCTTTTTTTTTTTATATTTTATTTATTTATTGTGTATACAGTCTTCTGCCTGCATGCCAGCAGAGGGCACCAGATCTCATTACAGGTGGTTGTGAGCCACCATGTGTTTGCTGGGAATTGAACTCAGGACCTCTGGAAGAACAATCAGTGCTCTTAACCGCTGAGCCATCTCTCCAGCCCTCTGTAATTCTTTTTTAAAAGGATCAATTTACTCATTTATTATGTATACAGTGTTCTGCCTGCATGTCTACCTGCCAGAAGAGGGCACTATATCTCATTACAGATGGTTGTGAGCCACCATGTGGTTGCTGGGAATTGAACTCAGGATCTCTGGAAGAGCAGCCAATGCTCTTAACCTCTGAAGCATCTCACCAGCCCCTCTACCTGTAACTCTTAAGCACAGGAAAGACAAGTTCCACCCAGGCATCAATATAATGCTATTAGCTCTGAGTTTGCTATTACTCAATAAGACACTATATTATGATTGTTTCTTTATATAGGAATACACATAAGGCAAGGGTACACACTAACTCACTCAAGTGTTCAGAAACTCAGCACAGTAGCTCACACCCACAGTCCCAGCTACGTGGGAAGGTGAAAGCCATTTGAGGGCTATCCTGAGCCACATAACAAATATACTCTGTCTCTCTGTCTTTCCCTTGACTAGCCATTAACTTGCAGTAGCCAAGGATGCCCTGTTCCTTCTCCTCCCACCCCTTAGTTGCTGGAGTTACAAGTGTGTGCTACTATGTTCACTTTTTGTGGTGCTAAACTTGGGATACATTTCCAGCCATGATTCCATCTTTTTTTGGCTGTGGGGGCGGGGGAGTTGGTTTTTCGAAACACAGCCCAGGCTGTGTTGGAACTCACTCTGTAGACCAGGATGTCCTCAAATTCACAGAGATCCACCTGCCTCTGTCTCCCAAGTGCTGGGATTAAAGGTGTGCGCCACCACCACTGGGCTCATGACTCCATCTTTTAAAAAATAAAACAAAACTATAATGTATTTCATGTGCATTGGTGTTTTGCCTGCATGTGTGTCTGTGTGAGCGGGTCGGAAGTTCTGGAACTGGAGTTACAGACAGCTGGGAATTGAACCCAGGTCCTTTCAAAGATCAGTCGGTGCTCTTAACTGCTGAGCCATCTCTCTAGCCCCTAAAAATAAAAGTTTTAAGGCAGGGGTGGTGACTCACCAGGCTTTGGGAGGCAGGGATAGAGAGATTGCCATAAGCAATCCAGCCTACCCCACACAGTAACTACCAAGTCCAGCCCGGCTTAACAACAAGATCCTGTTTCCAAAAATTTATGGTGTGGCGTCAGGTGTGGAGGCTCATACTTGTATTGTCAGCACTTGGGAAGTTGACTATGAGGAGTGCCATCAATTCCAGGTCAGCCTGGACTACAGGATGAGTCCCTCTTTCAAATAGACAAATGAAACTATATTTATCCAGACATTACCAGGAATCCCCTATATTTTTGCTATGAGTAATGATCCAATAGTTGATAATTCATTGTTCATGTGATTTTACAGAATGTTACTGTGAATAATGAAAATTGGTTGTACACACTCTATAGACTTTTCTGTGTGTGTGTGTTAGATTTCACAGTAAAAGGGCTGGAGAGAGAGCTCTGCCAGTTAAAGTGCATGAGAAACTGAGGTAGATTCTCAGAATCCGTAGGCACTTTTGTCCCAGCACTGGGGAGGCAGAGACAAGTAGATCCCCAAGGCTTGATGGGTAGCCAGTGTAGCCTGATTGATGAGCTCCAGGCCAATGGGAAACGCTGTCTCTAAAGAGGTAAAAATTGTACTTTGGCCTCCATGCACACACATAGGTGTATATATGTGCATTCTCTCTCTCTCTCTCTCTCTCTCTCTCTCTCTCTCTCTCTCTCTCTCTCTCTCACACACACACACACACACACACACACACACACACACACACGAATAAATAAAATACCCAGAATAGGGGCTGGAGAGACAGCAGCATTTGCTGCCCTTTCAGAAGAGTTGGGTTCAGTTCCTATTACCTACACAGCAGATTACAACTACATGTAACTCCAATCTAGGGGATTCAGTTTCCTCTTCTGATTTCTACAGGCACCAGGCATAGACATAGAACACACACACACACACACACACAGGCAAGCCGCTTGTGCAACATACACATTCATAAAATTCAAAATAGGCCGGGCGGTGGTGGCGCATGCCTTTAATCCCAGCACTCGGGAGGCAGAGGCAGGCGGATCTCTGTGAGTTCGAGGCCAGGCTGGACCGATAGCCTCCAAAACAATACAGAGAAACCCTGTCTCGTAAAAACCAAAAAAAAAAAAAAATTCAAAATAGGCGGTCATGTTAGTGCACACCTTTAAGGTCAAAATTCTGGAGGCAGAGGCAGGTGAATCTGTATGAGTGTGAATCCAGCTTGGTCTATACAGTGAGTTCCAGGCCAGCCAGGGCTACATAGTGAATCCCTGTCTCCAAAAATAAAAATAAAAATAAATCACTCTAAAAGAAGAAAAAGTAAACATTAAGATGTCAGAGGGGAGCCTGGTGGTGGTGCATGCCTTTAATTCCAGCACTAGGGAGGCAGAGGCAGGCAGATCTCTGAGTTTGAGGGCAGCTTAGTCTACAAAGCTACACAGAGAAACCCGGTCTCGAAAAATAATAATTAAAAAATGTCAGAGGGGAGAGAGTGAAAAAAAAACTCTTATAGTAGGTGGTAAAGTGAACTGGTTCAAATTACAACCAGGAGTAGGGTGTTTGAAGCCAAGTAAAATGGGGAGAAAACTATAGATTACAGAGGCACAGATTCAGTCTTAATGGTGAGTCAAGAAGGAGAGGAAGGAAGAAGAGACTGAATGGAGACGGGAGCTAAGGAAGCTGGGAACATAATCATTGCCTATTGCAGGGACAGGACTTAGTAAATCCAGGAAGGACAACGAATTGTGGGCCTGGGACTCCTGCGGTAACCCCTTCATCTCTTTACCCCAGGGGATGCTCTCCCTGGTCCTGAACTGCATTGACCGCCTCAACGTCTACACCACTGCTGCCCACTTTGCCGAATTTGCAGGAGAGGAGGCAGCTGAATCTTGGAAAGAGATTGTGAACCTGCTGTATGAACTCCTAGGTAAGGACACTCAGAGCTGACTTCCCCGGGAGCAGCCAGAGACCCCGTCCTGATAGGTCTCACCCTCATGCCCTCTCCAGCTTCTCTGATTCGTGGTAATCGCACCAACTGTGCCCTCTTCTCCACGAACTTGGATTGGCTGGTCAGCAAGTTGGATCGTCTGGAGGCCTCCTCTGGTAGGAGAACCCAGGACGGGGAGTGGGCGTGGGAGGGTGGGGAGGAGAGGCCACGCCCCTCACCTCTCCCGTGGGCACCCGGCAGGCATACTGGAAGTGCTGTACTGCGTCCTGATTGAGAGTCCCGAGGTTCTGAACATCATCCAGGAGAACCACATCAAGTCCATCATCTCCCTCCTAGACAAGCATGGGCGGAATCACAAGGTTGGCCTTCATCCCTGACTGCTAACCCAGACTCCGGAGCCCTGACCATTCCCCGCGGTCCCGGGAATCCTCCCTTTTATCTTATCGTTCGCTTAGTTTCAATGCCCTTCCATCCCGACTGGAGGGTCTCAAATCCACGGCTCTTCAGTGGGTTCTGCACCTCGGATATACTTAGTTGGGTCTCCGAAATGGATGTTTTGCAGCCGTCAGTGGGTGGCAGATTGGTTTTACAGTTTGCTGCAGGCCCTATCAGTGCCCACTGTACAATTTCAAACAAGTTCACACAGTTACATCCCCCATTTGGCCCGTGAAGGCCAAAGTTTAGAACCCCTGCTAATCCCAAATCTCACCTAGACTCCTGAAACTCTAGTTGACCTTACGCTCTGTCCTTGACCTCTTCCTTCACCGCCCCAGTCTCTAATTTCTTACACCTAATGATGCCTTATCCCAACTCACGAGGACCACCCCCAGCCTCTTCGACCTTTGACCTTCCTCCTTGACCCCTGACCTTTCTCACCCCATCCTCCCAAGCAGGGTGTTCTATCTGGATACACTATCCTTGCCTTCCCACTCAGGTACCCACTCTTTCCTTCTTTATTTTCATTTATTTTTTTTAGATAGGGTCTCACTCACTGTATAGCCCCAGCTGTCCTGGAACTCACTGTATAGACCAGGCTGGCCTGGAATTCACAGAGATCCGCCTGCCTCTGCCTCGCATGTGCTGGGATTAAAGGCGTGGGGGGCCACCCCAACGCCCGGCTAGCCTCACTCTCCTTGACGTCTGAACTTGCCTTCCAGGTCCTGGATGTGCTATGCTCACTGTGTGTGTGCAATGGTGTGGCCGTGCGCTCTAACCAGGATCTCATTACGGAGAACTTGCTCCCGGGCCGAGAACTCCTCCTGCAGACAAACCTCATCAACTATGTCACCAGGTGGGGCCCTTCCCGTCGGCTCTGGCCTCGGCCCTGACCTCAGGCTTGAGCCCGGGTCCCCTGCCTGGCTTGCCTCTCCATCCCCCTGTCCTGTCTCTCCGCAGCATCCGACCCAACATCTTTGTGGGCCGGGCAGAGGGCTCCACGCAGTACGGCAAATGGTACTTTGAAGTGATGGTGGACGAGGTGGCCCCGTTTCTGACGGCTCAGGCCACTCACCTGCGGGTGGGTTGGGCCCTCAGCGAGGGCTACAGCCCCTACCCTGGAGGCGGCGAGGGCTGGGGCGGCAATGGGGTTGGCGATGACCTCTATTCTTACGGCTTTGATGGACTGCATCTCTGGACAGGTATCTATACCCTCCCAGGGGATTCTCACCCTTGACCGTTGGCCCCAGAGTTTCCAAGATTCTGATGGCCCATTTTGGGGTTTAAGCACACACCTTTAATCCCAGCACTCACGAGGTAGAGGCAGGTGGATCTCTGTGAGTTCAAGGCCAGCTTGGTCTACAGAGTGAGTTCCAGGACGGCCAAGACTACACAGAGAAACCCTGTCTCAAAAAGCTAGTAATAGGGGCTGGAGAGATGGCTTAGAGGTTAAGAGCACTGACTGCTCTTCCAGAGGTCCTGAGTTCAATTCCCAGCAACCACATGGTGGCTCACAACCATCTGTAACGAGATCTGGTGCCCTCTTCTGGAATGCGCATCCATACATGGAGGAAGGATGTTGTATTCATAATAAATAAATCAACCAAGTGATTAAAAACAACAACAAAAAGCCAGTAATAGTAATGATGATGATAATGATGATAATAATAATAATAAAAGAATCCTGACTCCCACAAGAGGCAAACTTTTGATTTCTAACCTCTTATTTCACCCTAACTCTAGAACTTTCAGAATTCTGGCCTTCTCCTGTTTCCTCTTTTATCCTCAAAGTTCTGACCCCACAGGGGTGATCCCAGAAGACTGCACTGATTGTTATGACCTCTGACCTTTGATTTATAACCTCAAAGTTTTCAGAATTCAAACTCTAGGAAGACTAACATCTTAATGTATATCTCCCAGGAACCCTGATGTCAGTTCTTAATTTTAGGGCAATCCATGGGAACCTTTGTTCTTACACATTCTAATATTGGGTCCCCACAGGATCCCTTGTCCCACTAAAATTGCTTTCGTGGAACCTATGACCCTTGACCCTCTGGTGACTTTTTGCAGGGCATGTGGCACGCCCGGTGACTTCTCCAGGACAGCACCTCCTGGCCCCGGAGGATGTGGTCAGCTGCTGCCTGGACCTCAGTGTACCATCCATCTCCTTCCGTATCAATGGCTGCCCCGTGCAGGGCGTTTTCGAATCCTTCAACCTCGATGGGCTCTTTTTCCCTGTCGTGAGCTTCTCAGCTGGCATCAAGTGAGGACCCCTCCCTGCCCCACTGTCCGTCCCAGTCTGGGAACCACTCCACTTGGTTTCTCCAATCAAAATTTGTCCTCCTGAAAGGCAGGGACAGAGTAGCCTGCTTCATGACTGATTGATGGGGCCAGAACCCCTCCCTACATGAAGGTCTCCATGACCCCAGTGTGACCCCAGTGGTCTCTGATTCCTGTGTCCTTTCAGGGACCTCCAAGTAACCCTAGAATTTCACAATGATATTATAATGACTTCGGACTCCCACAGAGATGTCTCAATGACCCAAGACTCTCTTCCAGTGACTTTAAAGTAATCTAAGATCCTGTTTGACACCCCAGTGGCCTCAAGTGCCATCAATGGTCTAGAACTTTCCAAGCACCCTCAATCCTCTGAATTCTCATTCAATGGAAATCCTGTTTCTTTTGTGATGATGGCAGAATTTAAGTCACTCCTGAATGACTTCTGTGACCCTAGGGAAACCCAAGACTGCTCAGGGTCCTCACATCCCCGAGAACATTCCACTGACCCCAGTGTTGCTCCCATGCCCCCCACTAACTGCAAGCTCCCTCCTTCGTCCCCCACGATGCTCATTCTTCTCTCCCAGAGTGCGATTCCTCCTGGGTGGCCGCCACGGTGAATTCAAGTTCCTGCCCCCACCCGGCTATGCTCCATGCCACGAAGCTGTGCTCCCCCGGGAACGACTCCATCTCCAGCCCATCAAGGAGTACCGTCGGGAAGGGCCTCGGGGGCCGCACCTGGTGGGCCCCAGCCGCTGCCTCTCACACTTGGACTTTGTGCCCTGTCCTGTGGACACCATCCAGGTACAGCCTGCTCCACAAGGATATTCTTTCTTCTAAACATTTACTTAAAAAATTGTTTATGGCACGCACCTTTAATCCGCAGCACTTGGGAGGCAGAGGCAGGAGGATCTCCGTGAGTTTGAGGCCAGCCTGGTCTACAGAGTGAGTTCCAGGACAGGTTCCAAAGCTACAGAGAAACCCTGTCTCGAAAACAAACAAAAAATTATTTGTTTTTATGTTATCTTAGGCTTCTTCTAGTGCTGTGATAAAACACTGACTGAAAGAAACTTGGAAAGGAAAGGGTTTATTTCAGCTTACACTTCTACACTACAATTCCTAAGTAAGGAAAGTCAGGACGAGGCCTCAAGGCAGGAACTTTGAGGCAAGAACTCAGCGGTAGAGCACCTGCCTAGAATCCCCCAGTGAGGGGCTGGGAGTGTGGCTCAGTGATAGAGCTCCTGCCTAGAATCCCCCAGTGAGGGGCTGGGGGTGTGGCTTGGTGGTAGAGCCCCTGCCTAGAATCCCCCAGTGGGGGGCCAGGGGTGTGGCTCAGTGGTAGAGCCCCTGCCTAGAATCCCCTAGTAAGCAGCTTGGGGTGTGTGTGGTTCAGCAATGTAGGTCAAGTGCCTGATGTATGAAGCTCTGGGTTCCAGTCTCACCAGTGTGTGTAGAACTCTTGATAAGACTCTCATCGCTGTCTTTATAGAGAGAAAGAAATAACTGCTCTTTTAGCCAGTGTTTCTTTGAGCAGTTTTCTGGATCTGACTCTGGCTCTGGTTGGGTGGTGCTGGAAGCCCAATGGCTAGAGCAGTCCAAACCCTGTATCTAAGGAGTTCCCAGTCCACAAGGGCACATGGGCCTGTCCCCAGGTGCCCCTTAACTATGATGCTGCCGCATTCCTGCTCCTCTGGATTTTACCTTTCTAGTCAAGGTGAAGTGTGCAAACAGGGTGTTGGAGTATCGCTGCTGGGGGAGGAGGCTAGCCTGGGCTCATTCATATCATCGAGAAAGGAGGTCACAGTGGAGGTGCCATAGGATCTCACAAATGTCCCCTGTCCCCAGATCGTCTTGCCTCCTCACCTGGAGCGGATTCGGGAGAAGCTGGCGGAGAACATTCATGAACTCTGGGCACTGACTCGCATTGAGCAGGGATGGACATACGGTCCGGTGAGCCCAGACTCTGAGGGGGCGGGGCAAGGACTGTAGAGAGGATCGGGACCTGGACTTCGGGGTACAAGTCGCAGGTGGGAGATGGGTGGGGCAGGCAGGGGCGATGGGGCGCCCAAAGACTGAGCCCCGTGTTTCTCTAGGTCCGGGATGATAACAAGAGGCTACATCCATGTCTTGTGGACTTCCACAGCTTGCCAGAGCCTGAGAGGAATTACAACTTGCAGATGTCAGGGGAGACGCTCAAGTGAGAGGGTTGGGGGAGCAGGGTGTAAGAATGACTGATGACCGGGAGGGGGCAAAGGGGAGACAGAGGCAGAGACTGGGAGGAAGGAAGCCAGAGGGGCGGGATGGGTGGGTCAGTAGTGGGCTGCTTGCCTGGGATCCACCAGTGCGGGGCTGGGGGTGTGGCTCCGTGCTGGAATGCTTTTTGGGCATGCACAAGGTCCTCGATTACATGTCCAGCATAGAATAAATAAGTAAATAAGGAAAAGCATATGAGGAGGCTGGAGAGACAGCTCAGTCAGTAGAGTGCTTGCTGCACAAGGGTCAGGGTTTAGATCTCCACATACAAAGCCATGTGTGGTGGTGTGTACCCATGATCCCAGCACTGGGGAGGAGCCCGGCAGCTTAACAGCCAGCCAGTGGACCCAGTTGGTGGACTTTAGGTAAGAGATCTTGACTCAAAAAATAAGGAAGAAAATGGGTGAGGAAAGACATCTGACACTGACCTGTGGCCTCCACACACATGTGCGTGCGTGCGTGTGTACATGCGTGTGTACATACGTGCACATGCAAATGTGTGCACAGACAGTATCCGAGGCAGATGCGGTCACAGAGAAGGAAAAGAGAAACAGCATACAAGAGAAAGGCAGGGGTGGTGATGTGTGCTCCACCATCCCAGATCCTAAGAGGCTGAGCCATGAGGATGGCTGGAGCCCAAGACTTTGACAGTAGCCCCGTGACACAGCGAGACTCTCGAGCAAGCAGTGACACAGTAAGACACTGGCACAACCAGTGGGAGGGGAGGCAGGAAGTCATAGGGCGGGACAGATAGACTTGGAAAGGGACAGAAAGAAGTATTCAGGGAAAACTGACCATAATCAAGGAGACATGGAGACGAAGATACTCGGACAGACAGACGTCAGTGAGACCCAAAGAGAGGGCATGCAGACCGCAGTGGCCACAGAGAGAAAGACGCAGCACAGGTGATGGGGGCAGGGAGCTCTCTGGGCTGTGACCTTGTCCCGTTCCCCTGCTCAGGACTCTGCTGGCCCTGGGCTGCCACGTGGGCATGGCTGATGAGAAGGCTGAGGACAACCTGAAGAAGACAAAACTCCCCAAGACGTGAGTGTGGGTGGCCCCGGGGGAAAGGATTCATAGTGAGGTCTAAAGAGACCAAAGAGCCATGAGGTGAGGCTGAGGTCACAGGTGAGAGTTCAGGGTTAGGGTACAGTCTGCAGGCTCAGGGCTCAGGGCCTTTGGGTGAGAAGTGCGTGTCCAGGATTGAGGAATTAGGAGTTCCAGAGACAGAGACTGAACCAGAGGTGCAGGATATGTCCTGGGAAATCTAAGGTGGAGTCCAAGGTCAGAAGCAGAAGGTGGGAAGCCAGTGGTTGCTGGAGCTGTGAGTTCTAGGACGATGGGCGAGGGGATGGAAACCCTGAGTTCATGCCGGGCGTTGGTGGCGCACGCCTTTAATCCCAGCACTCAAGAGGCAGAGGCAGCAGATTTCTGTGAGTTCGAGACCAGCCTGGTCTACAGAGCGGGCTCCAGGACAGCCTGGACTGTTTCACAGAGAAACCCTGTCTCAAAAAACAAAACAAAACATGAGCTGGAGAGGTGGCTCAGAGGTTAAGAGCACTGGCTGCTCTTCCAGAGGACCTGAGCTCAATTCCCAGCACCCACATGGCGGCTCCCAAAGCTAGAGACGAGAAACCACAAAGTGTGGTATCAGAGTCAGAGTCCCCAAACTGGGTGTGGTGGTGACACTTGTCATTCCAGCTTTCCAGAGACTGAGACAGAAGATCTGTGAGTTTGGGGTCATATGGGCTATGTAGTGAGACTTCCTCATCCTAAAAACAGCCACAAACCCCCAAAGGAGCAAAGGCAAAACTTCCAGTGTCAGGATAAAGGGGTCTTGCTGGTGTAGCTCAGTGTTTCAGAGCACTGACTGCTCTTCCCAGGTTTAGTTCCCAGCAGCCACATGGAGGTTCACAGATACCTCCAGTTCCATGGGAGCTGATGTCCCGTTTAGGTCAAAGACTCTCTCTCTCTCTCTCTCTCTCTCTCTCTCTCTCTCTCTCTCTCTCTACACACACACACACACACACAAATAAAAATATAAAAATATATTAATTTTTAAAAAGTGAAGGGGTCACAGAGGTCAGTAGTGCTGAGCCCTATAGGGAAGGTCTCTTGCTGTGCAAGCCTGATGACCTGAGTTCAATCCCCGGAACCACAGAAAGGTGGAAGGAGAGAACTGGCTCCACAAACGTGACCTCCATGTGCACATACCCAATCCCCACCCCACACATATCATATCATGAACACACACAAAAAAAGTAACAGGGCTTAAGATCTTAGGGTCCTGGGACAGGCCAAGATTCCACAGCCAGCCCAGTGTGGGTGGTGCACACCTTTAATTCCAGTACTCAGGAGGCAGATCTCTGTGGGTTCAAAGCCAGACCGGTCTACACGGCGAGTTCCAGGCCAGCCAGGGTTACACAGTGGAACTCTCCTATCTGCAGGTATATGATGAGCAACGGATACAAGCCGGCTCCGCTGGACCTGAGTCACGTGAGGCTGACGCCTGCGCAGACAACCCTGGTGGATCGGCTGGCGGAGAATGGGCACAACGTTTGGGCGAGGGACCGTGTGGCGCAGGGCTGGAGCTATAGTGGCGTGCAGGACATCCCTGCACGCAGGAACCCTCGCCTCGTGCCCTACCGCCTGCTGGATGAGGCCACCAAGCGCAGCAATCGGGACAGTCTCTGCCAGGCTGTGCGCACCCTGCTGGGCTATGGCTACAACATTGAGCCACCCGACCAGGAGCCCAGTGAGTGCCAACCTCTGTCTCCACCCATGAGCTGACCCATGACCCAATCAGCCTCAAGTGGTTGACATTTCCAATCTTCAACACTGAGTGAACTGATCAGAAGGTTGGGAAACACTGGCCCTTCCCCGCAACCACGACCTTTACCCATCAGGCCTGTCTTGGCCCCAGTCTGAGCACTGGCCCTGACCCGCCTCAGTGTGTCTGTGGGCCAGGACCACAGTGTTGAGCTGCGGGACCGCGCCATGTGCTCTGGGAGTGCTGACCTCCACATTGAGCCTTTAACCTCAGCCCCTGGGTATAGTCGTAACATGATGCCACTCAAACAAGGAACCATGAGTGAGTTTCTAACCCCTAGCTGTAACTTGATCTTTCACCAGTTCCCAAACCAAGGCTTGACCCTATGGCTGACCATTGTCCCCAATCTCTCCCTCCCTCTTCCTTCTTTTGTTTTTTTTTTTTTTTTTTTTTTTTTTTTTTGTTTTTTGTTGTTTTTTGTTTTTCGAGACAGGGTTTCTCTGTGGCTTTGGAGGCTGTCCTGGAACTAGCTCTTGTAGACCAGGCTGGTCTCGAACTCACAGAGATCCGCCTGCCTCTGCCTCCCGAGTGCTGGGTTTAAAGGCGTGGGCCACCAACGCCCGGCTCTCCCTCTTCCTTCTTTTCTGCACACTTTATTTATTTATTTTTTTGTATTTTGAGGAAGGGTCTCAATAGCTGAAGCTAGCCTGGTGCTCATTATGTAATCCAGGCTAGTGTCAAGATCCTGAGTCTCCTGCCTCAGCCCCCTATGCACTGGGATTATAGGGATGCATTACCATGCCTGGCTGTGACTATTATTATTTTCAAAATGGTGTCTTGTGTAGCACAGGTAGGTCAGGTGAGCCTCCAACATGTACAGCTGAGGCTGGCCTTGAACCCGCAGAGATCCTCTCGCCTCTCGTCTCCTGATTGCTGGGACTGAAGGTCTGTGCCACCATGCCTGCCATAGGTTGTCTTTGTTCTTGAGACTTTTATACACATATACAATGAAATAAGGTCACATCCATGCTCCAACACCCCCCTAACTCCCTGATGTTCTCCTTTCCCCCAACTTCATGTCCCCTTTTATTTTCTTGACAAGTTACTAAGTCCATCGAGCGCTGGTCATGTATGTATAGGTGTGGGACCCTCTGGAGCATGGGAAATCTACCAGTAGCTACACGTTCAAAACAATGATGCTGGGCATGGTGGTTTTAATCCCAGCCCTCCAGAGTCAGAGCCTGGTAAGATCTGTGAGTTCAAGGCCAGCCTGGCCGATATATAAAAAATTACAGGCCAGCTAGAGCTACACAATGAGACCTTGTCTCAAAACAAAACAAAAAACCAAAAAACTCGGAGACAGTGTGAAGACCTCAGCTTTTCTGATCTCTCCTCTCCCTTTGACATCCCTGGATTCACTTCCTGCCAACCTCTCTAACTCTGCCTTGCCTCCTCTGTAGGTCAGGTGGACAGCCAGTCTCGTGGGGACCGGGCCCGCATCTTCCGGGCGGAGAAGTCCTATGCAGTCCAGAGCGGCCGCTGGTACTTTGAGTTCGAAGCAGTCACCACAGGAGAGATGCGTGTGGGCTGGGCAAGGCCTGAGCTGAGACCTGATGTAGAGCTGGGAGCCGATGATTTGGCCTATGTCTTCAATGGGCATCGAGTGGGTACCTCCCTGGTCTCCGAGCTCTCAGGCCCTGTGGTTTCTCCTAGTTATACATTCTAGTTTTGTCTGTTTGTGTCTAAATACTCATTGATCCATGCATCTACCATACTGTTATCCATGCATGCTTTCACCATCCACCCACCCACCCACCCACCCATCCATCCATCCACCCACCCACCCACCCATCCACCCATCCACCCATCCATCCACCCATCCACCCACCCATCCATCCACCCACCCATCCACCCATCCACCCACCCATCCATCCACCCACCCATCCATCCATCCATCCACTCACCCATCCACCCACCCACCCACCCACCCATCCATCCACCCACCCATCCACCCATCCACCCACCCATCCATCCACCCACCCATCCATCCATCCATCCACTCACCCATCCACCCATCCATCCACCCACCCATCCACCCATCCACCCACCCATCCATCCACCCACCCATCCATCCATCCATCCACCCATCCACCCATCCACCCACCCATCCACCCATCCACCCACTCATCCATCCACCCACCTATCCATCCATCCACCCACCCATCCACCCATCCACCCACCCATCCATCCACCCACCCATCCATCCATCCATCCACTCACCCATCCACCCACCCATCCACCCATCCACCCACCCATCCATCCACCCACCCATCCATCCATCCATCCACTCACCCATCCACCCACCCACCCACCCACCCATCCATCCATCCATCCACCCACCCACCCATCCATCCACCCACCCATCCATCCATCCACCCACCCATCCACCCATCCACCCACCCATCCATCCACCCACCCATCCATCCATCCATCCACTCACCCATCCATCCATCCATCCACCCACCCATCCATCCACCCACCCACCCATCCACCCACCCATCCATCCACCCACCCACCCATCCATCCATCCACCCACCCATCCATCCACCCACCCACCCATCCATCCACCCACCCATCCATCCACCCACCCACCCATCCATCCACCCACCCACCCATCCATCCACCCACCCATCCATCCACCCACCCATCCACCCATCCACCCACCCATCCATCCATCCACCCACCCACCCATCCATCCATCCACCCACCCATCCATCCACCCACCCATCCACCCATCCATCCATCCACCCATCCATCCATCCATCCATCCACCCACCCATCCATCCATCCACCCACCCACCCATCCATCCATCCACCCACCCACCCATCCATCCACCCACCCATCCATTCAACCACCCATCCATCCATCCACCCACCCACCCATCCATCCATCCATCCATCCACCCACCCACCCATCCATCCACCCACTCATCCATTCAACCACCCACCCATCCATCCATCCACCCACCCACCCATCCATCCACCCACCCATCCATCCATCCACCCACCCATCCATCCACCCACCCATCCACCCATCCACCCACCCACCCATCCATCCTATTCACCATCATCCATCTATGCATTTTTTTTTTTAGATAGAATCTTTGTACATAGCCCTGACTGGCCTGGAACTCACTATGTAGACCAAGCTGACTCTAAACTCACTGAGATCCTCCTGCCTCTGCCACCCAAGTGCTGGGATTAAAAGTCTGCACCACCATGCTCAGCGTTTTGTTTTTAAGACAGGTCTTGATGTAGACCCCTGGCTGACTTGAAACTGTTTAGCCCAGGCTCGCATCAAACTCGTAATTCTCCTGCTCAGTCTCCCGAGTGCTGGGACTGCAGGCATGAATCCCTGTGCCCAACAGTCTCCGTCTTCCTCTGTATCCCTCCATAGTTCTACCCATCCACTCCATCTGTGCACCCATCATTTGTGTCTGCACCTCCTCCCACTTTCTTCCCTCCATCACATGGCGTGGACCCTCAACTCTCCATCCCGTCTCCCATCCAGCCCTGTACCAACCTTCTCCTCCATCCGTATCATTGGTTTTTTTGTTGTTGTTGTTGTTGTTGTTTTGTTTTTTGTTTTGTTTTGAGACAAGGTCTCATTGTGTAGCTCTAGCTGGCCTGTAATTTTCTATATATAGACCTAGGGGTTCATAGGCTCAGTTTTCTCTCTCTGCCTTCACTTACTTCTGCCCTAAGTCCTACAGTACCACCTTGGTAGTCTGCATGCCCCTGCCTCGGGGCACAACAGCAGGAAGCAGGTAGCAGGAATGGGGTGTAGATTAGTGAGGACAATTTCAAGGTTCATGGCTGCAAATGTGAAGACGATGGGGGGTTGGCTCTGTCTCACACGCTCTGAAGCTGATGCTGTGTGTGTCTCCCAGCTGCCCGTTGTCTCTGGTTATTTGTGTGTCTCCATCGTGTGTTTCTGGCTTCTCCTCGCAGGGCCAGCGCTGGCACCTGGGCAGTGAGCCATTCGGACGCCCCTGGCAGCCAGGTGACGTTGTGGGCTGCATGATCGATCTCACAGAGAACACCATTATCTTCACCCTCAATGGCGAGGTCCTCATGTCTGACTCAGGCTCGGAGACAGCCTTCCGTGACATCGAGATTGGAGACGGTGAGAGCCGCGACCTCGTTACATGGTCTTCCTGCCTCGAGGTCTCCCATCTTCCCGTGGGCACCCACTGACCCCACCCATTCGTCCCTTTCCCCCAGGCTTCCTGCCAGTCTGCAGCTTGGGACCTGGTCAGGTGGGTCACCTGAACCTGGGCCAGGATGTGAGCTCCCTGCGTTTTTTTGCCATCTGTGGCCTTCAGGAAGGCTTTGAGCCATTTGCCATCAACATGCAACGCCCAGTTACCACCTGGTTTAGCAAGAGCCTTCCTCAGTTTGAGCCTGTGCCCCTTGAGCACCCCCACTATGAGGTAAGAATTGGCCCCATTCACATTATTATTATTATTGTTGTTGTTATTATTATTATTATGATGATGATTATGATGATGTGCTGCCAAGGCTCAAATATAGGGCATGGTGCATGATAGATAACATATCTTCTTTTTTCTCTTTTGTCGTGGTTCTAGGGATTGAACCTAGGGCCTTGCACATGCTAGGCAGTGGTTCTACTACTGAGCCACCCCCAGCCCCTCACTGGGGGATTCTAGGCAGGGGCTCTACCACTGAGCCACACCCCCAGCCCCTCACTGGGGGATTCTAGGCAGGGGCTCTACTGCTGAAATACATGTCCCACCCCTAGAATAGCATCTTATAATTTGTGTACCGTCTCCATTCTTCTTTTCACAATTCCCTTCTCTCTGTCTCTTCTATGCATAAACGTCATAGGAGGAAGTAGCAGCATAATGGGCTCCTAGGGTTGCCTTTGAAAGTACAGCTTCCACAGACAACTTCTCCTTTTCATCTGTTAAACAAGAGAGGAGCGCAAAGAAAATCACGATTAAGTGACCCCAGTGGTGGCACAATCCTGTTGTCCTAGAACTTGGGAGCCTAAGGCGGAGGGTCAAGGCCGTCTTTGGCCACATAGAGAGTTTGAGGTCTGGGTGACATGAGACCCTGTCTCAAAACAAAGGCTGGGTAGGAAGAGGCAAAGGAGGGACATTGTGACTACTTGGGACATTGTGACTCTTCACCTGGACACACAGCAGTGTGCATTTCTTCAGCCATGGCATGTGCAGGGAGCATGCAGGACAATGGTGGCTCTCAGGGGGTCAAACACTGGCACACTGTGGCCCAATCCCAGCAGCCTGTATTTAAATTTGTCCAGTTGAGGCAATACTTTCCCACTTCTAACTTCCTGGACCAGGATCCACTGCGGGTTCACATGATCCGTAGGTCTCTGTGTAGAACATTCCTGATGTTCTCCTGTCTTTAAATACATTGAGGGGGATCAATACAGGGTTTCTCTGTGTAACCCTGATTGTCCTGGAACTCGCTCTGTAGACCAGATTGGCCTCGAACTCACAGAGATCCGCCGGCCTCTGCCTCCTGAGTGCTGGGATTAAAGGTGTGCACCACCATTGCCTGGCTTTTTATTTTTAAAGATTTATTTTATTTTATTTGTATGAATGTTTTGCCTGGTTGCATATTTCTGTACCATATGTGTGCCTGGCACCTGTGGAGGTCAGAAGTGGGCATCAGATCACATGGAACTAGAGTTACGGAAGTTTGTGAGCTTCCAGTGGGTGCTAGGATTAGAACCTGGGTCCTCTGCAAGATCAGCTGGTGCTCTTAACTATAGCACCATCTCTGCAGTCCTGAGTTGGACGTTTTTTGAAGACTACATGTCAAGGTTTTGTAAAATGTCCTTCAATTTAGGTTTGGGAGCTATTTTATTATAACCAGGATCATGGTGTGTGTGTGTGTTATATAGATATATCGCAGAAGTTACATTGTTCCTTTCATTGTATGAGGTTGCTATTTCCTTTTTGTTTTTATTTTAATCCGATTATTCTATATGTATGGGTGTTTTGCCCGCTTGGATGTCTGTGCACCTCATATGTGCCTGGTGCCTACAGAAGGTGCTAGATCCCCCGGAAGTGGGGTTACAGATGGCTGGGAGCCACCGCGTGGAGGCTGGGGGTCAAACCCAGCTCTTCTGGAAGAGCAGCCCGTGTGCTCTTAACTGCTGAGTTCTCTCACGTCTCCAGCCCGGAGCTTGCTACAGTTTATTGCAGTCTGTACCATGTTCCATGTGTTCTGCTCTTCCAGAGGTCCTGAGTTCAATTCCCAGGTGGCTCACAACCATCTGTTATGAGATCTAGTGTTTTCTCCTGGCACACAGGAGTTCATGCAGATACAGCACTCATACAAAAAAACAAAAACAACAACAACGTTTGATCACCAGCACCAGAAAGAGCAAGGAAATGGCGTATGGAGGGTGTGTGTGAGTTAGATGTAAACGCTGTGCCATTTCTCACAAGGAACCATTCAGTTCAGGCTTGAACATTCCTACACAGCTCTGCTGACTGCTGACTGTGACTGCTTAATTGATCGGAGTCTGTCAGATTGCTCCCCTGTCGAGCTGCTGTTTTCCTCTCTGTAATTAATAAGTGATCAAACACAACAACAAAACCATCCTTGGCACTGCGTGCCCGTTCCCTCAGCACGGGGAGTTCAGACGGTCAAGGTCATCTTTGTCTGCATAGGAAAGTTGAAGTCAGCCTGGGCTATGTGGGACCCTGTTTCATAAGCAAAACACACACACACACACACACACACACACACACAACAAAACCAAACCTAGCAGAGTGTGGTCTCATATGACTTTAATCCCAGCACTTTGGAGGCAGAGGCAGGCGAATCTCTTTGAGTTTGTAGTCAGCCTTGTCTATATAGAGTTCCAGACTAGATAGGGCTACACAGCAAGACACTAATTAAAAAACAAACCAGCACACAAAGAAACCCACCATCTCCATCACCTCCACCATCTCCTCCATCAACATCACCTCTACTTCCAGTACCGACACCATCAGTGATGTGGGGGAGACATTTTAGAACTAAGGCTATAGAAGATTTTTTTCGTAGGGCATGTCTAACTGAGACCAGAGTTCTGGAAAGGCATCCCTGTTGGCAAGAGATGCCAGGAGTGATAGTGGAGCCCGAATGGTCAGAGAGGATGTGACGGGAGGGGAAGGAGTGTGAATGTGCCTCTGCCAGAGAGCAGGGCCAACGCAGACAACTGAGTGTTACAGCAGTGAGAATGAAGAGGCCAAAACGCCCAGAGCCACCTGGATGGATCTCGCAAACACAGCGCAGAGCGAGAGAAGTCAAGCACAGGAGAGCACAGGCTGTGGGAGTCCACTCATAGAACGTTCCAGAGCAGGCCAAGCTGGTCTGTGGTGTGACAGATTGAGAAGTCTGTTATGGGAAAAGAGTAAAGTAGAGACACTGCTGGTGTCTTCACACTTATGTCAAGGAAGGAGTCTTTTGTTGCCAGGGAACAATGGCAAAGGAGGGTTCCAGAGGAAGGAGGGAAAGAGATGTGGGGAAAATGGGTTGTGTAGGCAGAGTTTGGGTGGATTCTCCAGATTTTTGTTTTTGTTTTTGAAGACGGGCTCTGTCTGTAGCTTTTGAGCCTGTCCTAGAACTTGCTTTATAGACCAAGTTGGCCTCGAACTCACAGAGATCTGCCTGCCTCTGCCTCCCGAGTGCTGGAATTCTCCAAATATTAAGGAACACAGGACCGAGTAAGGATTTGGTACTTGGAGAGATCAACTCCACTTCTGCTGCCTGTGGGTCAGTCTCTAGAAAATCTATGAGAAGCCTGGGCTGGTGGCACAGCCTGGGACCCAGCACTCAGGAGGCTGAAGCAGGAGTATCAACACTTTAAGGCTAGCTTGGGCTACATGGTAAGGCCCTGTCTCATAAATCCAAGAGCTGGAATGCAGCCCAGAGGTACATCATATGCTCTAGCATTCACAAGGCCCAGTTCCATCTCCAGCAACACACACACACACACACACACACACACACACACACACACACACACACACACACACACATTCCGTGAAAGTCTATCTTGAGCACACAGCACACAGGACCCTTTTGATCCTGTCCCCCTTTTTAAAGCCAGACTGGCCAGGTGGTTCCCAGGAACCTAGGACCATTTCTATGGTACTGGGTGCACAAGAGTTCACCCTGTGTTCAATCCGTAACGATCCGTCATGATGCCACGCCATTATGATGTTCATATCTCTGAGCGTCATGTTTTTTCGTCTGGGGAGTCTCTACATCTCTGACCCTTCTGAGCTCTTCTCTCTGCAGCGTTCCCCCTAGGGACTCCTCATTGTGTCCACTGATGTGTTTCTAGCCCCTAGAACAGGGCCTGGCACACAGCAGGTGCTCCTGAGATATTTGTAGTATGGATAGGTGATGCACGGATGGGCAGATAATCCATGGACAGATGGATGGTGAATGGATGCAGGGAAGAATGGTGATGTTCACATGACTGTGTGATGTATGTGTGTGTGTACAGGGGTGAGCTCATGGGCACGTGATGGGCAGACGGATGAAGCATGTGGGATGCATGCATGCATGGTGGAGCTGTGCATTGACTGCATATGTGGGTGTCTTACTCTGGAGTGCATAGGTAGGTTCTGAAATTCCTCCAACAAGTGATGCCGGTATGGGACCAAGCTGGTACTCTTTAAGAGGCTCAGAGCTTAGCACAAGGCTGAGAGCGTTTCACAGCCAAGCCCCATTCGCCCAGAGGAGAGGGCGTCTTTGGATGATACCCACACAGATCCCCAATAGGGACTTTGCACGTAACCATGTTTAGGACCAGAGGTCTGGTCTAGCTCACAAGCCTGACTCTGAGCTTCCTCCCTTCCTCCAAGGTGGCCCGCATGGACGGCACGGTGGATACACCTCCCTGCCTCCGCCTGACGCACCGCACCTGGGGCTCGCAGAACAGCCTGGTGGAGATGCTGTTCCTCCGGCTAAGCCTTCCGGTCCAGTTCCACCAGCACTTCCGCTGCACCGCAGGGGCCACACCCCTGGCATCCCCTGGCCTGCAGCCCCCTGCCGAAGATGAGGCCCGGGCAACAGAACCCGATACTGACTATGACAACCTTCGCCGCTCAGCTGGAGGCTGGGGGGAGGCCGAGGGGGGCAAAGAAGGAACTGCCAAAGAGGGGGCACCCGGAGGTACTGCCCAGGCTGGGACAGAGGCCCAGCCCACCAGGGCGGAGAATGAGAAAGATGCTACCACTGAGAAGAACAAGAAGAGAGGGTGAGTCCAGACTGGGCCCAGACTGGGGCTCAGGGTCTGTTTTGGGATCCCCAATTATGCAACCTCAATAATTTAAGAAGTCTCCTTTGTACCCCCAAAGGGGTCTTTATGTGCTAAGTGGGGTCAGAACACTGGGAGAGCTTGTCTCAGGAGAATGTTGTTATTTCCCAGCGATGCTGTCATTTCCACAAAAGTGTGAAATTTGAGAACCTGACTGCATGCGCAGCATGGAAATTGCTGTTATCTCTGAGTGTCTGGTGGTCCCAAAGTGCGCAATGGATGTCATTATCCATGTACACTGAGGGGAGCCTCCTTATCCTGTTGGAGCTTACTCTGCCCTCCCTCCCCATGTCTAAGTGGACACAGAGTGGTCTTCTTAGTTGGGATCCATTCTGTGTCCCCAATGTGGCCCCCCAAACTAACATTAGCCAGATATAGTGGCACACACCTTTAACTCTAGCACTTAGGGAGGTGGGTCTCTGAGTTCGAGGGCAGCCTGGTCTGTGTAGTGAGTTCTGGGCCAGTCAGGGCTACACAGTGAGACCCTGCCTTCGAAAAACAATAACACAACCCAAACAAACAGCCCAAACTGAACTAACTTCAAAGAAGACCCTCAGGGGGTACAGGATTGAAAGGGGATCTGCTTTCCCCTGTTATGACAATGGCGTCAGTGCAATTCAGTCTGCTGAAGGCTGTTTGGGAATGATGAAGTGTTGTTGGTATCTGTCACAGTTAGAGATGGCTGTTGCTGGAAGATTCCACACACCTTGTAGTATATAAGACTGTACACGATGAAGACTTTGCTAACCAGGCATGGTGGCTTCACCTGTTAACTCCAGCACTTGGGAGGTGAAGGCAGGAAAATCATAAGTTCAAAGCCAGCCTAGGCTACATAGAGAGAACCTACCTCAAGAACAGGCCAAGTGCTAGCCAGGTGGTGGTGGCACACACCTTTAATCCCAGCACTTGGGAGGCAAAAGCAGATGGATCTCTGTGAGTTCGGGTCCAGCCTGGTCTACAGAGTGAGTTCCAGGACAGCCAGGACTGTTCACAGAGAGATCCTGTCTCCAAAAACCAAAACCCAGAAAACTAAAACAAACCAAGTGAGGTGCACACCAGAAATCCCATCACTTACGAGGCAGAGGCAGGACTGGTCTCCTGAGGGCAGCCTGAGCCACATAGTGAATCCAGATCTACCAGGGTTACGCAGTGAGACCCTGCCTCTACAACAAACAGAAAACACCAATGAAAACAACAAAACAAAACAAAATCCTAAACTGGTCTGGGAGGATGGCTCAGCCAGTAAGATGCTTGCCTTAAAAGCACAAGGCTTCGGTTTGATCCCAGAACCCACACAGAATTGCCAGCGGTGGCAGCAGGAGCTTGCAGCCCCAGGACTAGGGAAGTGTAGACAGGCAGGCTACTATGACTCTATGGCTACCCAACCTAGCCTACCCAGTGAACTCCATGCTAGCAAAAGATACTGCCTCGGACAGCCAAGGAGACACGGAGCACCCTTGTCTCAAAAGAAAAAGAAAGAGCCGGACGTTGGTGGCACACGCCTTTAATCCCAGTATTTGGGAGGCAGAGGCAGGCGGATCTCTGTGAGTTCGAGGCCAGCCTGGTCTACAAGAGCTAGTTCCAGGACAGCCTCCAAAGCCACAGAGAAACCCTGTCTCCAAAAACCAAAAAAAAAAAAAAAAAAAAAAAAAAAAGAAGAAGAAGAAGAAGGAAGAGGGAGGGAGGAAGAAAGAAAGAAAAGAAAAAAAGAAAAGAAAAAAAGACACACTGTCTCACAAAACAACGTTGGTGTCACCTCCTCCTGAGGACCCCCCAAGGTTGTCTTCTGGTCTTCACATGCATGCACCCACACGAGAACACACACACACACACACACACACACACACAGAGTGCACACATACAGAGGGGGTGGGGAGATAGGAAGATAGATGGCCAGTATTGACTTAGGGAAACCACTGTGTGTCCCCTTATTTTGCTTTGTTTTTATTGTCGTTTTGGTTTTGAGACAGGCTCTCACATAGCCCAGGCGAGCCTTGAACTGGTTGCACAGCTGAGGATGGCCTTGAACTCCCAGTTCCCTTGTCTCGCCTGCCCAGTGCTCGCGCCCCCCCACACTTAGCTGTCAGTAGCGCTCTTTAGGTGTGAGTGGCCGGCCACCCTCAAGTGCAGCACACAGTGCCTGACGGGCTGGGCCGGTCAGGAGCCCCTGCCCTCCAGAGGCAAGCTATTGGGGTCAGAAGGGTCTAACCGGGACAACATGATGTCTGATGGGAACGCTGGGGCCGGGCTGAGGGGTGGCTTCTCATGGCAGGCTGTCTCCTCTGACCTCCAGGTTCTTATTCAAGGCCAAGAAGGTCGCCATGATGACCCAACCACCTACCACCCCTGCTCTTCCCCGACTCCCTCGAGATGTGGTGCCCGCAGACAACCGTGATGACCCTGAGATCATTCTCAACACCACCACGGTGTGAACCTAGAACCCTCAACTTTGGGGGCCCCTCAGCACAATAGGGAAACATCAAAATTTCCAGTTCAGTGCTGTCGTCCTTACAGTTGAGATACCTGGATAGATGGTAGAGAATGTGGATACAACACACTGATAGAATCCTTGAACCCCCGATGCTCATGTAGTTAGTGACCTGAAGACGGCAGGGTGCTCAATGAAGCTATAAGGCAAACTAATATAATTCTTAGGGACCCCAAAGTACAGAGGGTTAGCCAATATAGTTCAACGTTTGGGACCAACTATAATATAAACACAGTACTTGAAATTTAAAAAGCTACTCTAGTATATTCATGGGAGTAAAAGTCCGTAGTTATCCCAATATGGTTTGAGTCCTCAGATAATTTGTTAAGACAGAAATCTTACTCATGCTGGGCTTGCTGGCACAGGAGTGTCATCCCAGCTCCTTGGGAGGCTGAGGCAGGAGGATCCAAGTTTGAGGCCAGCCTGGGCTACAGAGGAGTTCAGCTTGAGCAACATAGTCCCAAAATGTAAAAAGAGGGCGGAAAATGTAGCTCATAGATGAAACAGTTGCCTAGTATTCATGAGGTCCTAGATTCTACCCTTAGTCCAGGAGGGGAGGGCAGGGGATGGGTAGAGCAAAGAGAAACATATCTTATCACTTGGGACCTTAGAATCATAGGCCACCTAGGTGCCACTTGACCTGAGTCATCTCACTGCTCCGTGCCTTCTAATGGAAGGGCTGTGGTTTCCTCACCAGTAAATGAAAGGGTAAAAATGGTACACGCCTCTCCACTCCCCAGTGAAGTGGCTGGACAGAGACTGTGGTTAGACCGTGAGACGAGCCTCACTTGGAGCAGCGAGCTATTATTATGAGCTATTATTTATTGTCTTGCTGTAGTTTGAGGAGGGACCCAAGTGTAGGGGTGCCACCAAATATTGCCAAGGGAATCCCCCAATCTGGAAAGTTTAAATAGTGACACCAGCACAAGCTCTTAGACTTGGGGCTTCTCTCGTCTAGTAACTTCATGTTAAGATCCCAGAATCCACGAGATGTATTTAGAGTCCCCCAAAAGGCCATCTTCCTGACCGACTTCTGGTTCTCTCTTCGTGTCCCCCAGTACTATTACTCTGTGAGGGTCTTCGCGGGTCAGGAGCCCAGCTGCGTGTGGGTGGGCTGGGTCACCCCTGACTACCATCAACACGACATGAACTTCGACCTCAGCAAGGTCCGGGCAGTGACTGTGACCATGGGGGACGAACAAGGCAACGTGCATAGCAGGTGCTGGGGCACAGGGGCAGGGCCGTGCCCAGGTGGGAGGTTGGCATGGGAAGGGTCAGAGGCTCCAGCCAGCAGCTTTGGAGCTGCCTGACTGGGGCTCCCGAGAACCTTCTGGAACAAGAGGCATCATGGCGCCCACTTAGAAGCTTTTCTCCTCCCCTGCTTATGTCCGCGTCTCTCCAATTGTCCTGCTCGCCCTTTCTATTTCATCTGGGGTGTGGGGTTTCGGTGCTCGGTCTGCACGCAGGTAGAGGGTGTTTGGGAGTTGGGGCTCTGAGGTCACGGGATTCTGGGAGTGTGGGGAAGGAGGCATCCGGGGTTCCCTGGCAGAGGATTTGCGCTATAACCACGCCTGTCTTTTCCAGCCTCAAGTGTAGCAACTGCTACATGGTGTGGGGCGGGGATTTTGTGAGTCCCGGACAGCAAGGCCGGATCAGCCACACGGACCTCGTCATTGGCTGCCTGGTGGATTTGGCCACTGGCTTAATGACTTTTACAGCCAACGGCAAAGAGAGCAACACCTTTTTCCAGGTGAGCCCAGCCCCTCCCAGCATTTCCCAGCATTCCAGGAGCCTTTATAATAGCGCCTGAGGTCAGAACCTGGAGACATAAAACGGGCCCACTCTGGGAGTCACCGGGAGACTCTCTAGTCGAACCCTCCATTAACTTATGCCCAGAATGGAGGAGGCAACACAGCCTTGGTATAGAAGAGAGGTCTCTTTAGTCCCTCATAGGCTGGGTGACATCAGTCATCACTGTCTTACCAATTAGCAAACACCCTAGGATGGCCTAAAATCTTCAAGTGGGTTTTTCCTTTTCAGAATTTCATTATTATTATTCCAATGTTCACATGTACTTTGAATATACACAGACAACAAAAGGGTTGTACGGCAAGTCCCTATTGATAAGCCCACCACCAAACTATTATTAATTCTTTGCCACATATATGTCCTACCTATCCTTTAGACCATCTAAAGTGTTCTTCTCAAAATTTTATTTATTATTATTTTTAATGATGGAGTTCCTTATTGGAAGATTTATTTATTTATTAGATTTTTTATATGTATGAGTGTTTTGCCTACATGTATGTAAATGTACCATGTGCATGTAATGCTCGCCAAGTTAGAAGAGGGGCGTCGGATCCCCGGAACTGGAGCTACAGATGGATGTGAACCTCCATGTGGGTCCTAGGAATTGAACCTGGGTCCTCTTCAAGAGCAACAAGTGCTCTTCACCACTGAGCCACCTCTCCAGTCACTATTTTGTTATTTTATGAGACGTGATCTTATGTAGCCCAGGCTAGCCTTAAACTCACTATGGAGACAAGGGTGGCCTAAACCCCTGATCCTCCTGCCTTTACCACCCCCCCCCAAGTGCTGGGATTACAGGCCTGTGCCACCGTGCTCAGCTTGCAACACTATGTTTTAGATGGAGAACTTCAGAAATATACAAAGGCAGAATAGCATAATGAGCCACCAGGTCCCCATGGCCGGCTTCAGCTGCCACCCACTCAGAACCAATCTCTTTTCATTTTACGCCTCTTCCCTTCCTCTCCCACTGGAGGATTCTGAAAGAAATTGCCGACATCATAGAGTTTCATCTCTGTAAAAGATAAAGATTAGTTTTAAAAGGCAGAACCACAATACCACTATCACTGAAAAGGGAAAAAAAAAAGTCCCCAACTGTTCCTGACGGTCGTCAAATATCTAGCTCGTGTTCAAATTTCTCTGATTGTCTCACAAATGTTTCCTTGCCATTTCGTTGTTCAAATCAGAATCTAAGTGAAGCTGTATCCTCTAATGAGTTCCTACATCCTTTAAATCTCCTCGCACATTGCCTTCTTCCTTCCTTCCTCTTTTTTATTTATTTTTGGTTTTTCGAGACAGGGTTTCTCAATGGCTTTGGAGGCTGTCCTGGAACTCACTCTGTAGACCAGGCTGGCCTCAAACTCACAGAGATCCGCCTGCCTCTGCCTCCCGAGTGCTGGGATTAAAGGCATGCGCCATCAACGCCCGGCTTCCTTCCTCTTTTTCAAAGATAGGATCTTTGTGTCCGCTAGGCTGGCCTTGGACTCCTGGTGTTTCCGCCTCTGCCTCCAAGGGCTGCGATTACAGGCGTGGCCACCACACAGCGCCTGGGTTCTCCCTCCCTCCTTCCGCCCTGGCTAGCCCCTGTCCTCAGGCGAGGGAAGCAGGCTGTGCTGTGGCACTTGAATTATTACCGTGCGGTCCCTGGGCCAGCATCGCCTGGACTTTTCGTTAGATCCACAGACCTGCTGACTGCGGAACTGTGTTATTGAGATTTCAGGGGATCTCTGTGCACATTAACCCTGGAGAGTTCTGGCCTAGCTGCCCACAGCCTCTGGGCTGCCATCCTAACACTTTTCTTGCTGTTTGGATTTCCTGTGAACGGGTGGGGTTGGGGTGGGCCTATGGGCGCAGTCAGGTTCCAGTTTAGTTCTGGCTAGGCTCCTCACCCCTGTTGTCCGGGGGAGAGGATGCTGTCGAGGGTGGATTCCACCAGGAGGGTCGGAGGAAGCCAGTCATGGGGGACGCTCTGGCTTCTGAAGAGTGAGGAGGGAAAGACATCACTGGAGGGGTCATAGTGTGCACAGTGATGCAGGCGACTCATTGCCCCGAAGGAGCTGAAGACAATTCGCTTGGCTGCGTCAGGGTGGCACCTCCCAAGGGCCACTTACAGCCACGGTGGCCCTCCAGTGCCCAAGTATGGAGCTACAAAATGGGGCAGAATCCACGCTGCCTCCAATCCACCACCTCTCACGCTTTGACCTCTCCTCCCTCGCCAGGTGGAACCCAACACAAAACTGTTTCCTGCCGTCTTTGTCCTGCCCACCAACCAGAACGTGGTCCAGTTTGAGTTGGGGAAGCAGAAGGCAAGGAGGGGGCAGGGCAAGGCTGGGCGTGTGCAGAGGGTACCCACACAGGGCTGGGAAGGCTGTGAATCCTGGCCCACTCATTCTTCCCAACCCACAGAACATCATGCCATTGTCAGCCGCCATGTTCCAGAGTGAGCGCAAGAACCCGGCCCCTCAGTGCCCACCGAGGCTGGAGGTCCAGATGCTGACGCCCGTCTCCTGGAGTCGAATGCCCAACCACTTCTTACATGTGGACACTCGGCGTGCTGGAGAGCGGCTTGGCTGGGCGGTGCAGTGCCAGGAGCCGCTGATGATGATGGCTCTGCATATCCCAGAGGAGAACAGGTCAGGGCCCTGCTGGGCTCAGTGCCTGCCCCAGCTACAACCCCAGTGCTCCACGTGATCCTAGAAGGTTCCAGGTCTGACCTGAGGACCCTGACTTGGTACCAGCCTCTCCAGAGAGTCAGTCCCTCAGGGGGCTCTAGACCCACCTTAGGGAACCCCAGTGGGTCCCAGTGAACCTCATATTCATTGCAGGGAGTACAGTTACACCCCAGGAACCCTAGACCACACTACAGAACCGTAAATCTATCTCAGAGATCCCAGACTATTATCAAACTCCCCAAGCCAGACATTTCTCAGAAAGGCCTGACTGTATTCCACGGCCTCAGGGAACATTCCGGGAGACTTCAGGCATGTTTCATGGAGATCTGGAATCCACTCTAGGGGACCCCGACACACCCAGACCTGTGTTCACGTAGATGTCAGAAAATTTTTAGATATTCCATGCTGAAGGTTGAATTTAAGGCCTCTCCCATGCTAGGCAAGTGTTCTACCACCGGGCTATCACTCTTAGAGTATTTTAAGTTATTATGATCTTGATATTTCTTCCCTAAGGCGCTGGTCTCATGTAGCCAGGCTAGGCTTGAACTGGCCATGTAGCTGAGGATGGCTTTGAACACCTTTGTCCTGCATCTCCCAGGTGCTGGGCTTACAGGTGTCTCCCACCGCACCTGGCAGATTAAGTTACTCATGCTGGTACACTACACTCAAATATCACCAGGATGCTTGAACCTTCCAGAAAGAGTTCAAGCCCTACCCGGGGCATCTCAGCTACATCTAGGGGTTACCAGGCATTTCCTGCTGTCTCAGAAACTCCAGAGTGTTAGACTATTCTAGAAATCCCAGTGTAGGGTGCAGAGAACCCAAGCCCCTGAGGGTGTAGCAGATTCCTGGATCCGGGGCCAGAACCCCTTGGAGCCTGACCCTGCGGGACACTGAGAGTCCCTGCTACAGCCGACCATTCACCCTATCCTCTCTGAGATCTCCAACTCCCACTTCCTCTGACGCTGCTGACTCTCTGAGTGCATCGTGTCTCTGCTGCAGGTGCATGGACATCCTGGAGCTGTCAGAGCGGCTGGACCTACAGCGCTTCCATTCGCACACGCTCTCTCTCTACCGCTCAGTGTGCGCCCTAGGCAACAACCGGGTGGCCCACGCTCTGTGCAGCCACGTGGACCAGGCGCAGCTGCTGCACGCCCTGGAGGACGCACACTTGCCAGGTCCTCTGCGCGCGGGCTACTACGACCTCCTCATCAGCATCCACCTGGAAAGCGCCTGCCGCAGCCGCCGCTCCATGCTCTCGGAGTACATCGTGCCCCTCTCGCCGGAGACCCGCGCCATCACGCTCTTCCCGCCCGGACGGAGCGCGGAAGACGGGCCCCGCCGCCATGGCCTGCCTGGCGTCGGCGTCACGACCTCGCTGAGACCTCCACACCATTTCTCACCCCCGTGTTTTGTGGCCGCCTTGCCAGGGGCTGGGGCCGCAGAAGCCCCGGCCCGCCTCAGCCCTGCCATCCCTCTGGAGGCTCTCCGAGACAAGGCGCTAAGAATGTTGGGCGAAGCCGTGCGAGATGGAGGACAGCATGCTCGCGACCCCGTCGGGGGTTCTGTGGAGTTCCAGTTCGTGCCGGTGCTCAAGCTTGTGTCCACCCTCCTGGTAATGGCACCCTCCGGCTTCCCTCCCCCATCCTCCCCCATTCGAAGTTGTGTGGACCAACCTCCCTCTTGTTTACACGTTCTATTACGTTTAAATGTACCCACCATCTACCCGTCGATCGTTCATTTTCCTTTCAATCCAGTCACCTGACTTCTATTTATGTTTCCCCCACTTCCATTGTCCATTCTTCTATTGACCCTTTATTTCATGCTTTGCTTTATCCATATACGCATATGCCATTCAACCATACATATATACATATTTATCCAGTTTTCAGGTGGACCCATCTATCCACCCGCCCATCCTTCAACTTCCACATCTGTTCGCTCACTTATCAACATTCATTTATTTGCTCGTGCATCCACCCGTCTGTCCAAGTCTCTGTTTTATTGCAGTGAAGAGACAACAGGACCAAGGCAACACTTAGAAAAGCAAGCATTTAGTCGGGGCTTGCTTACACTTTCAGAGCGTTAGTCCATGGTCGTCGTAGGGGAAGCAGGCAGCCGTGGTGCTGGAGCAGGAGCTGAGCGCTTTACACTCTGATCCACGGCCGCAGGCAGAGAAACACTGGGTGTGGCGTGGTCTTTCGAAACTTTAAAGCCCACCCCCAGAATCACACTGACTCCAACAAGGCCACGCCCCCCAACAAGGCCACGCCCCCAACAAGGCCACGCCTCCCCAACAAGGCCACGCCTCCTAATCCTTCCCAAACAGTCTATCAGCTGGAGACTAAGGACACAAATTGATGAGCCTATGGGGGACAATCTCATTCAGTCATCACATAGTACAGCCACCTGCCTACCTACACGTCATGCACCCTTATTTCATTCATCCGCCGTCTCTTCTCCCGCCGTTTCTTCATCTCTCTCTCATACACCATGCACTCAGCCCCCTTCAGATCTCTGTGATCCGGTCTATCAATTCATCTAGCCGGCCACTTAATCCTCCTGCCTCCTGGCATCGGGTCCTCTGTCTCCCTGCTCCTCTCTTCTGTATGCTTTCTAACTTCCCTTCCGTACTTCAACCTAGTAGCGTCTTCATGGTAAGAGCTGATGATGGCTGGGACCTGTGTAGACCTTTATCAGATCTTGTCTCAGAGTCACCTATGTTCAGGCTTAGGACAAAGGACACTTGCCTGTAGGGAGTGGTGCTTATGTCTGATGCCATGTAGATGAGACATAGGTGTGGACTGGGGGAGGGGTTAAGGAGTTAAGGAGTTTCTCCTTTGACAATTTCATATATATATGTACATATATATATGTATCTTGATCATGTACAACTCAAATCTCACTGTACTGGGGGATCTTCCCCCCCCCCTTGTTTTTTTATTTTATTGATTTGTTTTTTTATTTTAATTTATTAATTTATTTTTCACATTCCAACCCAAGTTTCCCCTTCCTCTTTTCCTCCCGCTCCCCCCTTCCTCCCTCCTCCCATCTGAGGGTAAGGCCTCCTGTACCAGGGGATCTTAAGGAAATCAGACAGCAAGACGGAGATGGCGTTCTGCCTGTGGGAGGAGCTGTATCAGTCAATGTAGGCATGGTCTTGGCGTGCGTGCGTGCGTGCGTGCATGCGTGTGTGTGTGTGTGTGTGTGTGTGTGTGTGTGTGTGTGTGTGTGTGAAGGAGGTCAGGAGTTTGGGGCTGGGGTGAGACCGTGAGGTCCCGAGGGCCTCTGGGAAGGACTCAGACCCTGTCCTGCAGGTGATGGGCGTCTTCAGCGACGAAGACGTGAAACAGATCCTGAAGATGATTGAGCCTGAGGTGTTCACTGAGGAAGAAGAGGCAGAGGAGGAGGAGGAGGAGGAAGACGAGGAGGAGGAGGAAGACGAGGAGGAGAAAGAGGAGGATGAGGAGGAGGAGGCGCACGAGAAGGAAGATGAGGAAAAGGGGGAGGAGGCGGCAGCTGGAGAGGAGAAGGACGAGCTGGAGGAGGGGCTGCTCCAGATGAAGCTGCCTGAGTCCGTGAAGCTGCAGGTGGGCTCAGAGACACCCAGCCTGGGGGAGCCTGGTGGGCTCAGAGACACCCAGCCTGGGGGAGCCTTGTGGGCTCAGAGACACCCAGCCTGGGGGAGCCTTGTGGGCTCAGAGACACCCAGCCTGGGGGAGCCTGGTGGGCTCAGAGACACCCAGCCTGGCGGAGCCTGGGTCTGCACGTTGTCCGCTGGCAGTGGGGAGCTGTGCCGATGCAGAAGGCACTGGGGTGGTGCTGGCTTGGGGGGATCCCTCTGATTTCCACGTGAGAGGAGGCTTGAGGCCCCAAGCAGATGATGGTGTTTGAACCTGGGCCCCGGAGAGGGAGGAGCAAGCATTGGAAGTTTCAAGGAAGTCCTGATGGTCTCACCACCATGCCTCCTACCGTGTGGTTGTCCCCCCCCCCCAGATGTGCCACCTCCTGGAATATTTCTGTGATCAAGACCTGCAGCACCGCGTGGAGTCCTTGGCGGCCTTTGCAGAGCGCTACGTGGACAAGCTCCAGGCCAACCAACGGGGGCGCTATGGCCTCCTCATGAAAGCCTTCACCATGAGTGCAGCCGAGACTGCAAGGCGCACCCGAGAGTTCCGCTCTCCACCCCAGGAGCAGGTCCTCTGACCTCTAACTCAGCCTGGTCTTACTGTCTGAACCCCAGCCTCAAACTCCCCCGGTCCCAAATGATTGGTGTTGTCACCTTCAAAACTGGCGCATGACCCTCGAGCTCACGTATTAACTTCTTATTCTCATGAACCAGCCACTGAGTCCCCTGAGACTGGTCATGTCCCTTACCTAACCTCTGTCTCTGGTCTCCTGGAGAGAGACTTACAGTTGGATCTGTGACCCTTGACACTGCTCTGAGGTGGAAAGCCTTTATTCTAACGTTTACTCTTTCTCTAGATCAACATGCTATTGCAGTTCAAAAATGGTGCAGATGAGGAAGATTGTCCTCTCCCTGAAGAGATCCGGGAGGATCTGGCTAACTTTCACCAAGACCTGCTGGCACACTGCGGTAAGAGAGTTCAGAGAGCCCTGCCCCCAAACCTTCTTGTGGGACTTCTCCTACAGTTTCAGTAAGATTTGCTGATCTTAAACAGCCATGTAGGGTCTAGGGAGATGGCTCAGTGGTTAAGAGCACCTGCTGTTCTCGAGGACCTGGGTTCGATTCCCAGAATACACATGGTGGCTCACAACCATCTGTAACTCCAGTCTCAGAATGTTCAATGATTTCTGGCCATTTCGGACACCAGACACACATGTGCAAACTTCCATACAGACAAAGCATTCATACAAGTAAAATAAAAATAAACATATCTTTAGGTCAGGAGTAGCGGCACACACCTTTAATCCCAGCACTCGGGAGTCAGAAGCAGGTAGATCTCTGAGACTCTGAGGCCAGCCTGGTCTACAGAGTGAGTTCTAGGACAGCCAGAGCTACATGGTAAGACCCCGTCTTGGCAAAAACAAAACAAAACAAAACCGAAAAACACAGGTGCCATAAAATGGTTGAGTGAGTGAGTGAGTGAGTATATTTACTGTTGAACACAGAGTGAATGGGAGGGTGTGCCTAAATGAATATTTGGGAGGATGAGCATATGGAGAGCTGGCTGTAGGCCAGCGATTGGATGGGTGTGAGAATTGATGGACAGGAGGATGGATGGATGGCCGTCCTTGACATCCCAGCAGGCAAAAGTACCTGCTGCCAAGCTTGACAGCCTGAGCTCAATCCCCAGGACCCGCATTGTCAAAGAAGAGAACCGACTCCCGCAAGCCGTCCTCTGGTCTCCACATGTGTGTCTTGGCATGTGAGCACACACACAGATAGATAACTGATGTAGTAAGACTTTTTAAGAAAAATGGGTGAAAAATTCACTGTGAGAGAGCTGGCTGGCTTGGGAGGCAGATGGCCGTCTTCTGTTGTTTCTGATGAGAGATCATCAACAGTCTTATTGAGGTTCCTTTGTCCGTGATGAGTCATTTTTCTTTGCCCAACTTTCAAGATTTTTGTCTTTGCCTTTCAATGGCTTGGGCTGTTGTAGCGTCTAGTCATGGAGCTCTTTGAGTTGATCTTATTTCATTGAGCTGGAATTTCATTTTTCTTGGAAATGCAAATTAGTATTTTTTAAAAATCAAGATTGGAAAGTCTTGAGCAATTATTTCTTCGGTCTGTTTTGGCCTCCTTCTCTCTCTTCTCTCTGTCTGGGAATCTCATTATGAGTGTATTCCATTTTATCTCTCAGGGACTCTTGCTTTTTTTTCGTTCTTTTATTTTCCTGGTTTTTAGACTAGTAGATCTCTACAGCCTACTGTTAAAAATATCCGGCCTCTGTTACAGATGTGCACATTGCATCCGGCCTCTGTTACAGATGTGCACACTGCATCTGGCCTCTGTTACAGGTGTGCACACTGCATCCGGCCTCTGTTACAGATGTGCACACTGCATCCGGCCTCTGTTACAGATGTGCACACTGCATCCGGCCTCTGTTACAGGTGTGCACACTGCATCCGGCCTCTGTTACAGATGTGCACACTGCATCCGGCCTCTGTTATAGATGTGCACACTGCATCTCACTTCTATTATAGATGTGCACGCTGCATCTTGCCTCTGTTACAGATGTGCACACTGCATCTTGCCTCTGTTACAGATGTGCACACTGCATCTCACTTCTATTATAGATGTGCACACTGCATCCGGCCTCTGTTACAGATGTGCACACTGCATCCTGCCTCTGTTACAGATGTGCACACTGCATCTTGCCTCTGTTACAGATGTGCACACTGCATCTTGCCTCTGTTACAGATGTGCACACTGCATCTCACTTCTGTTACAGGTGTGCACACTGCATCCTGCCTCTGTTACAGATGTGCACACTGCATCCGGCCTCTGTTACAGATGTGCACACTGCATCCGGCCTCTGTTACAGGTGTGCACACTGCATCCTGCCTCTGTTACAGATGTGCACACTGCATCCGGCCTCTGTTACAGATGTGCAGACTGCATCCGGCCTCTGTTACAGATGTGCACACTGCATCCGGCCTCTGTTACAGATGTGCACACTGCATCCGGCCTCTGTTACAGATGTGCACACTGCATCCGGCCTCTGTTACAGATGTGCACACTGCATCCGGCCTCTGTTACAGATGTGCACACTGCATCCGGCCTCTGTTACAGATGTGCACACTGCATCTCACTTCTATTATAGATGTGCACACTGCATCCGGCCTCTGTTACAGATGTGCACACTGCATCCGGCCTCTGTTACAGATGTGCACACTGCATTCGGCCTCTGTTACAGGTGTGCACACTGCATCCAGCCTTCACATGGGTCGTGGGGATTGAACCCAGATCATCGGGCTTATCAAGTGAGAATTTTTACCCACTGAGTCACTCCCTTGCCTCAGCACCCGCTTTCAATGTCACAGTTTCTTTCCCTTAACCACCTCTCTAAGTGATTTTTAAATTTTTAAAAATTCACTTCTAAATTTAAAAATATATGATTGGAAATTGTGTAGTTATTATGGTTTTTTTAAATTAAGTTCTCATGTAGGACAACCTGACCTTGAACTGGACAAGTACCCAAAGGTGACCTTGAAGTCTGTTTTGTTTTTTGTTTTTGAGACAGGGTTTCTCTGTATTGCTTTGGAGGTCCTCCTGGTACTCTCTCTGTAGACCAGGCTGGCCTCGAACTCACAGAGATCCGCCTGCCTCTGCCTCCTGAGTGCTGGGATTAAAGGCGTGCGCCCCAACACCCTGCTAACCTTGAAGTCTTGATCTTCCTGGTTCCACCTCCTGGGTGCTGGGGTGACAGGTGTGCACCACAAATCCAGGTCTATACTTACCGGTGGGGCCCTTTTTATAATATTTACCTCTTTATTAATGTTCTCTACTCAGCCCAGTGCGGTGGTACACACCTTCGATGGCTTATACTGGTACTCAGGAGGCCGAAGCAGGAGGGTCTCTGAAGGTTTGAGGCTAGCCTGAGTTCTATCGGGAGTTCAAGGCCAGTCTGGTCTACACGATTCCATCTCAAAAAAAATCCAACAATTACTTTCCTCATTAATGAAAATAAACAGAGCCAGGCTGGTCAGCACACACCTGTCATTCTAGCTTGGGAGGTGAAAACAGGAAGATCAGGGACTACACTGTATGAGACTGTCTCAGTAAAGCAAACAAGCCCAACAAATAAATGCCAAGTCCTTCACGGAGTGGCTAAACGGGCAAACACATGGACGCCGGAAGAGGAGGGTGACAATTCCAGAGCGCGTGCCTGAGCGGGGAAGAGGAGACTGGGTGGATGAGTGAATGAATTGTCAAGCCCTAGAGGGACATCCTGTGCCTCCTTGACTGCCTCCAGGAATCCAGCTGGAGGGAGAGGAGGAGGAGCCCGAGGAAGAGACCACGCTGGGGAGCCGCCTCATGAGCCTGTTGGAGAAAGTGCGGCTGGTGAAGAAGAAAGAGGAGAAACCCGAGGAGGAGCCAGCAGCTGAGGAGCACAAACCTCGTGAGGACTGAGGACAGGGCGGGGCAGGCGGCTCAAAGCTCGGGAGACTGTGACACGTGTGTGTGTGTGTGTGTGTGTGTGTGTGTGTGTGTGTGTGTGTGCGCGCACTGTACATGAAGGGGAACAAGAGTTGGGGGCCAAAGAGGGTGCTGGGGATGTGGCCCAAATGTCCAGGCTGCAGCTGACTGGGTGGCGGTGTCACCTGCCAGAGCAGTGGTGCCACCAGCCTTGGATGCTCCAGCACCTTGGTGACTTCTGTTTCCTCTCGGTGCTCGTTTGCATTTTCTCTCATAGTGAGATGATTGCCGTGCTGAGGAGTCAGAAAAGCATGACCGCTGTTGGGCGTCACAGTGCAGACTGTGTTAGCCCCCTAGACACAGTCCCTGACACTGATGGAAGTTTGACCCTAAAACTTTTTTTTTGAGAGAAAGTCTCATTATGTAAACTTGGAACTCTCTCTTTGTAAACTAGGCTGGCCTCAAACTCACAGAGATCCTCCTGCCTCTGCCTGCTGAGTGCTGGGATTAAAGGCGTGTGCTACAACAACCTGCCCATTTTTATTATTTGTTCATTGTGTGTGTGTGTGTGTGTGTGTGTGTGCGTGTGTGTGTGTGTGTACGTGTGTGTGTGTGTGTGCGCTCGTGTGCGCTTGAGTACAGGTGGCTGCAAAAGCCAGGGGAGCGAGGAAGGGGGAGATGGAGGGAAGGAGGAAGGGAAGGAGGGCTTGATTTGGGGACAGTAGAAAATTTGTCTGGATCCATGTGCTTGTAGCAGGTAGAAGACATGGCAGTTAGTTGCAGAGAAAGGCCTCCCCTCCTCTGGTTCAAAGACACAGCCTTTTGTCCCAACCCTTCCTCAGAGTCCTTGCAGGAGCTGGTGTCCCACACGGTGGTGCGCTGGGCCCAGGAGGACTTTGTCCAGAGCCCTGAACTGGTCCGTGCCATGTTCAGCCTCCTGCACCGACAGTATGACGGGCTTGGCGAGCTGCTGCGTGCCTTACCCCGGGCCTACACGATCTCTCTGTCCTCGGTGGAGGACACCATGAGCCTGCTGGAGTGCCTGGGCCAGATCCGCTCACTGCTTATTGTGCAGATGGGTCCCCAGGAGGAGAACCTCATGATCCAGAGCATTGGGTGAGTGCCCTCCCTGGCCTGGCTGTCCTGTGAAGGCACCTCCCCATGCTTCCTGTGGTGTCCCTTTGTCCTAACAGCTAACCCTTCTCTCAGCGGCGCTCTGTCACTGTTGGACCCTTGATTCCTTTGCTGCCTCTGAGCTTCCATCACAACAAAGGGGATGGCCATGCCTACCCTGCAGAGTGGCCAAGACGCTTCAGGGGCCTGTGCTTGTAGTAGTAACAAGATAGCAAGTTTAGAGTTGCATTCAGGAAGCCGAGGCAGAGGGTCATGAGTTCCAGGCAATCTTGGGCTACACTGGGAGTTCTTGACCAGCCTGGGATATATAGTGAGACCCTGTCTCAGAATAGTAATCAATATTAATAATCGGGATGGTGAGATGGCTGGGGGGGTAAATAATTATAATTCCAATTCCTGCCTCCCAGAGTGGATATGAGGATGGATGAAGAGCTAGGTGGTGGCTCATACCTGACTCCTCAACACTTGGGAGGCAGGACACAGGAGGATGACCGTGAATTCTAGGCCAGCCTGGGCTGCGTAGTTCCAGGCCAGTCTGAGGTATCAAAGTGTGCCTCAAAACCTAACTAAAACAAAATAAACAAAAAAAGATGGATGAAATTAGATCCTCAAAAGGCACATAGAGAGTGTGGACTGTTGTCACCATGGTGACCGTGGTTCTCTCTGGGTACACTCCCCCCCCCCAGGCTGTACTAACCCCACGCACTCTGCTCACAGGAACATCATGAATAACAAAGTCTTCTACCAGCACCCAAACCTGATGAGAGCGCTGGGTATGCATGAAACCGTCATGGAGGTCATGGTGAACGTCCTTGGGGGTGGCGAGTCAAAGGTGAGGGACCTGGATGGGAGCTGGAGCTCAGACAGGGGACACAGCGCGCAGGCCCTCATAGCTGGCCCTCCCTGCCTACCCTTTGCAGGAGATCCGCTTCCCCAAGATGGTGACAAGCTGCTGCCGGTTCCTCTGCTACTTCTGCCGAATCAGCCGGCAGAACCAGCGCTCCATGTTTGACCACTTGAGCTACCTGCTGGAGAACAGTGGCATTGGCCTGGGTGAGAAACCCCAAAGGCCATAAAGTTATATAACAAGTTTGAGGCCAGCCTGGGCTACATGAGACTCTGTCTCAACAAACAAGCAAGAAACAACAACAAAAACAAAAACTAGGATGCTGGCTCAGACAACCTTGACTGACTCACAGCTCCCAGAAGAGCCGGGGAATAAGGTTCAGTCTCGGACAGCATCGACCCAGAGGCCTTAGAGCCGGGGTCGAGAAAGCACAGAGACCAACTGAGTCACTTGGCCCGTTGTGGAAAAGGGGTGATCAGGAAGGACTCTCCGGAGGAGGTGGCACCAAGACAGGGGCAGGGCTGGAGAGAATGCTCGGTGCTTAAGGGCACTTCTTGCTCTATCAGGAGGACCCGAGTTCAGATCCCAGCTCCCATTTTATCTGACTCACAAGCACCTGTAACGCCAGTCCTGAGGGATCTGGCGCCCCCTTCTGGCCTCCGTGTCCACCTGCGCACACACGGATGCACATACACCTTAAGAAGAGAGATTGGGGAAGACAGTAGTACACCCCAAAGCCCACTCTGATCACCCTTTGTCCCCACAGGCATGCAGGGCTCCACACCCCTGGATGTGGCAGCGGCTTCTGTCATCGACAACAATGAGCTGGCCTTAGCATTACAAGAGCAAGACCTGGAGAAGGTGTGTCAGGGACGAGGCCTGGCCATTCCCGTCTGTGGGGACACATGCTGGCTCTGAGCATCCTGTTCAGACTGAAGTCAGACATCCCAGGGCCCAGCAGAAGGGGGCTAACATGGAAGGAGCAACCAGCAGCCAGTGGCTCCTCCACTCTATACAAGAGGGGCTGGGGACAGGGCTATGGGCTACGCTCCCCTGCTGGGTGGCCTTGGTGCTCGTCACCAAGGGGGCTTTGGAGTTCAGCAACTAAAGCCAGCGGTTCCACTCCCTTGCTGAGTGGCCCGGGAAGGAGACTGGTGTCTTCTGACCTCTGTCACTTAATCTGCTCAGTGAATACATAATCATGATTTCATGGAGTGTTAATGAGATCATCCTTAAAGGCATTTATAAGACAGATGTAATCCCAACACTTGGAGGCAGAGGCAGGTGGACCTCTGTGAGTTCAAGACCAGCCTGGTCTACAGAGCGAGTTCCAGGCTGGAGGGTTTCATAGAGAAACCTTGTTTCAGGGGATGGGGGCTGGAAGGCTGGTTAGAGAAAGGCCCCATTGAGACAGTGAAATCTGAACACAGTTCAGAATGATCTGGGCTGGGCAGCCCGTTAGACCTCCAGGGAGGGACAATACAGAGGCCTGGAGCAGCTGGGAGCCCATTGTGGCTGGGATAGAGACGTGAGGGTGGAGTCCGTGGAGTCACATAGGGCGCTGTAGGCTGGCAGCAAGGATGCTGGATCTTGCCACAAGTGAGACAGAACCAGGGATGGGCATGAAAGGTCAACCTGACTCACGTTCCTGGGGTGGGTTGTGGGTTGGAGGAGAAGGATGCCCAGGAAGGAGACGGCAGGGATGGAGATGAGGCGGGTAAGGCTAGGGTTAGCCTGCTGAAGATCTGGAGGTCCATGGGCCTGAGGAGCTCCGGGAGAGCTGGCCTGAACTGGGGGAGGAGAGTGGTCTCAGGCTGAGCTCCCTTCTGCGTTCCAGGTTGTGTCATACCTGGCAGGCTGTGGCTTACAGAGCTGCCCCATGCTCCTGGCCAAAGGATACCCTGATATCGGATGGAATCCCTGCGGGGGCGAACGCTACCTGGACTTCCTGCGCTTTGCTGTCTTTGTCAATGGTGAGGCAGGATGGGAGGTGCCGGGTCACCCGCTAAAGCCTCCCTCTGGTGACATCCTCACCCTGAGCTGAAGGCTTCCCCAGGGGGGATCCCTTTAAGTGTGTTTGAGGGTCAGTGGGTGCGCTGGGTTCTGGGATTTCGCGGAGTCCCCTCAGGAGCTCTCCTGACCTTCACCAGGTGAAAGCGTGGAAGAGAACGCCAACGTGGTGGTCCGGCTGTTAATCCGGAAGCCTGAGTGCTTCGGCCCCGCCCTGCGGGGTGAGGGCGGCTCAGGGCTGCTGGCTGCCATCGAGGAGGCCATCCGCATCTCTGAGGACCCTGCAAGAGATGGGCCAGGCGTCCGCAGGGACCGGCGACGTGAGCAGTGAGTTCCTGCCCCCTTCTCAGTGTGGGTAGCCTGTGGTAGCCGCCACTGCCGCGTCCCGGATCCGTCCCACCGCCACCGTCTCCTCCACAGCTTCGGTGAGGAGCCTCCTGAGGAAAACCGGGTGCACCTGGGACATGCCATCATGTCCTTCTACGCTGCCTTGATCGACCTGCTGGGACGCTGTGCTCCTGAGATGCATGTGAGCTCTGGGAGGTCGGGTGGGCCGGGCAGGGCCCGCGTGTGAACGGCCAGCCTTCAGCCTCGGCATTTAGGCACTGGGCAGCATTCCCATTGCTCACTGTGGGTGTGGTCCCGGGCTAGGTGGTGGCGCTGGGCACACGCTCATGACCAAAACACCCTTGGGTCCTGGTCCCGTGGAAGCCAGTGGAGGACGGGGTAGGGTGGGAACGGTACTTACAGACGGGTCATTCGAGGAGACTTGAGCCAGGAATGCTGCCACGCTGCTCCCTGTCACACACACCTATGGCCACTGCACTACAGAGACAGGGTACTGGGAGTCGGAGGCCAGCCTACGTTACATAACAGCTGAGTGTGGCAGCACAGGCCTGTCGCCCCAGGACTGGGAAGGTAAAGACCAAAGATCAGAAGTTCAATGTCATTTTTGATTACACACCAAGTTGGAGGCCAGTCTAAGCTATGTGAGACCTTGCCTCAAAAACCAAACAAGGGGCCACTAGCTCCGTGTGTAAAGAAAGAGCCTGCCACCAAGTCTGATGACCTGATTTTGGTCACCAGGACCCACGTGGTAGGGGAAAACTCTCATTAGTTGTGCTCCGATCTCCACACACATCATAACATGTGTGCCCCCCCAATAAACGGAAATAAACAGCCAGGCATGGGGATGCATGCCTTAAGAGGCAGAGGCAGGTGGATCTCTGAGTTCCAGGCCAGCCTGGGCTACATAGTGAGTTCCAGGACAGCCAGGGCTACATAACAAAGAGATCCTGTCTAAAAATGAAAATAAAACACCCCCTCTGAAAAAAAGTAACAATGGCCAGCAAAGTGGCGTCACCAGGGCCAGACAAGTTAACGGGAACAACGAGCTTCAGGTCCAGTGAGGGACTCAGTCTCAGAAAACAAGGGAAGATGGATAGAGAAAGACACCTGACATCGACCTTTGACCTTCACCCCGGGGATAGAGGGGCAAGTGCACATACATGCATACACACATGTGCACAGACATACATGCGTACACACATGTGCCTCCACATATACACATGCACATGTGCACACAACACACACACACACACACACAAAGGAGGCTGCTTTACCGTCAGCGTGTCAGAAATGGTTGGAATAGAACAATTCCCAAATGCAGCACAGTGGTCTGATGATACACACGCCCATTCATTCCCCTGTCCGCCGTATCCAGCTGATCCAAGCGGGAAAGGGCGAGGCCCTGAGAATCCGTGCCATCCTCCGGTCCCTTGTGCCCTTGGAGGACCTCGTGGGCATCATCAGCCTCCCGCTACAGATCCCCACCCTGGGCAAAGGTAGGCGGGGGCAGGGCACGTTGGAGGAGCGAGCGGGAAGGAAGCACAGACCAACAGCCCACCCTCCTTGCCCATAGACGGGGCTCTGGTACAGCCAAAGATGTCTGCATCCTTCGTGCCTGACCACAAGGCATCCATGGTGCTTTTCCTGGACCGAGTGTACGGCATTGAGAACCAGGACTTCTTGCTCCACGTGCTGGATGTGGGGTTCCTTCCTGACATGAGGGCAGCTGCCTCGCTGGACACGGTGAGCAGCCTCCCCCCCCAAACTAGTCACCCGCATGCCTCCACACAAGACGTGTATAACAGGCTGGGAGACAGCATCAGCAGAACTGGGGTTTCCCGAGATCACCTCCACCTTTGTGATGGAAACCAAAACCTATGAAGAACTGTTTTGCCCAAGGGTGGGTGGGAATCCCCAATACCTTCAGTAACGAGAGAGTGCCGGCAGGGTGTAGGGATACACGCCTTTAATCTAGCGTCAGAGAGATGCAGGCCAGAGGACAGTGAGTTCCCTGGGCTACAGTCGATTCTGCCTTGAAAAACCAAAGCAGAACTGGGTGCGGTGATGCGCGCCTTTAACCCCAGCACTCAGGAGGCAGGCACAGGTCCACCAATGTAGCCAGCCTGGCCTATATAGCAAGTTCTAGACATGGCAAGTTGTAGGCCAGCCAGGACTACATAATGAGACCCTGTCTCAAAACTAAAAGCCAAAGCAACAGCAAAACAAAACAAAACAAAAAAACAAACAAACTGGGCATGCCTGTAATCCGAGCACTTGGGAAGTAGAGGCAGAATGACCAGCAGTTCCAAGCTAGCCTGGGCTACATGAGATCCTGTGCAAAAGGTTGACATTGCAGAACAGCTAAATCGGAGTCATGGGTTTCTGTATCAGTTCCTGGTTTGTGTGTGGGGGGTGAAGGGGAGAGAGAGAGAGAGCAAGGGAGGGGGAGAGAGAGAGGGACAGAGAGAGAGGGACAGAGAGAGAGAGAGAGAGAGAGAGAGAGAGAGAGAGAGAGAGAGAGATTTATTACTTATTACCCAGGTACTAAGGATGTGGGTACAAACCTGGAGGAGTGAGATGTAGCCGACAGAGTGATTAGAAACCTGGGTACCAAGGCAACGCCAGGCATACGCAGCGGGCTTGATGGCTTCCCCCGTATCCCAGGCTACTTTCAGCACCACGGAGATGGCGCTGGCGCTGAACCGCTACCTGTGCCTGGCGGTGCTGCCGCTCATCACCAAGTGCGCGCCGCTCTTTGCCGGCACCGAGCACCGCGCCATCATGGTGGACTCCATGCTGCACACGGTGTACCGCCTGTCGCGTGGCCGCTCGCTCACCAAGGCACAGCGGGATGTCATCGAAGACTGCCTCATGGCGCTCTGCAGGTGAGGCGAGGTCGCATGGATGGAGGATGGGCGGGGCCGCAAGGCGGGGTCTCGCGTGATACCTCTGCCCCACTCTGGGCGTGTCATCCTCAGGTACATCCGCCCGTCCATGCTACAGCACCTGCTTCGACGCCTGGTGTTCGACGTGCCCATCCTCAACGAGTTCGCCAAGATGCCACTCAAGGTGAGGGTGGTCCTCAGCGGGACTTTGTCCTTTTCTCACTCACAGTGGGCTCGCTCGTATTAGCTACACCAACCACAGCGAACCCTGAGGAATCCAACTAGCATCCTCGTTTGCCGGCTAGGATTCCCATGACATTTGCACTGCGTCATTGGCGCTGCTAACATTCCCTAATTGCCGCTTAATTTGCCTAACTAAGTAAGCAAGCCCCCGCCTAAATTAACATATATCTTCATGGGCGCACTAGTTTCCCTAATTAGCATTTTTTTCGCATGCCCAGACCACCAGCCTTCCAGTATTCAAATGAGTGCGTTTATTTGAATAAACAGTACCATAGCCGTTCTGAATATTTGCATACTGCCTCTCCCACTGTTTCATTTGCATGCTAATTTGCATAAGGAGCTACCCACCCCCAACTTACACTGCCTTGCATAAGATGCCTAAATTAGCCCCAACTCCACGTTGCATAGTGGGTAGTGGAGGCCTTTTTGATTACCATATATTTGCATGGGGCGCTGCCTGTTTCTATTTGACACGCTAATTTGCATAAGCACAGATCATCCCATTAGTGAGCACACAACTCTACCAGGAGACCGTCAGCTTGCCTATTTCTGTAGAAACAACAGACAAACCCAGACGTACTGTAATGCCCATCCTGGCTCTCATTGAGAATACTAACTCTGCATAAAGAGCTATGGAGGACCATTCTCTGCTAAGCAGACCATCCTTCCCTCATTAGCATCTCATTTGCAAGCGCTGACATGCTCGCTCTGCCTCCCGGGGCCTCCACTGGCGGCCCTCTGCTTAGGCCTCCCTTTGCTCTCTTGCTCCCAGCTCCTGACCAACCACTATGAGCGCTGCTGGAAGTACTACTGCCTTCCCACAGGCTGGGCCAACTTCGGGGTCACCTCTGAGGAAGAGCTGCACCTCACACGCAAGCTCTTCTGGGGCATCTTTGACTCTCTGGCGCATAAGGTCTGGGCACCCATGGGATCTCAGAGGAGCCCGTAGGAGGGTTTGGGGGTTCAAGCTTGAAGATCTGGAATGAAATCCTTATTGGGTGTGGCGACACACCCCTGTAATCCCAGGAGTTAGTGGAAGCGGGAGGATTAGGAATTCAAAGTTATTCTTGGATTACAAATCTCCAGTGTAAGGACAGCCTGGCTACATGAGACCTTGTCTAAAAGGAAAGTAAGCAGGGGCTGGAGAGAGGGCTCGCAGGTTAAGAGCGCTGGCTGCTCTTCCAGAGGTCCTGAGTTCAATTCCCAGCACCCACATGGTGGCTCACAACCATCTACAATTCAGTCTGGTGCCCTCTGCTGGCATGTAGGCAGAACACTGCATATGTGATAAATAAATCATAAAAAAAGAAAAAGAAAGAAAAGAAGCAAAACAGAGGGAAAAGAGGCCTGGGCTGTAGGGAGAGTGACTGGCAGATTTGTGGGCTCAGAGAGGGGAGTTGAAGGCTGGGGACAGCTGGAGGGTGAGTTGGGGACGGTAGCATTAGGGGCTAAGTGACGCCTGCATGGTCCTCCCTTCCATCCCCGGCTCCCTCAGAAATACGACCAGGAGCTCTACCGGATGGCCATGCCCTGTCTGTGTGCCATTGCTGGGGCGCTGCCCCCCGACTACGTAGACGCCTCATACTCATCCAAGACAGAGAAAAAAGCCACCGTGGACGCTGAAGGCAACTTTGATCCCCGGCCTGTGGAGACCCTCAAGTGAGGCCTGGGGACAGGCAGCAGTGGGGTTAGGCTGGATGAGGGAAGACTCCGGAGAGAGGGGAGAGCCCCACCCCAACACTTGGCGCCCCGTGTCCACTTACAGTGTCATTATCCCAGAGAAGCTGGACTCCTTCATTAACAAGTTTGCAGAGTACACCCACGAGAAGTGGGCCTTCGACAAGGTAAACACGGGGTGCTCGCCCCGCATCCTCTCTGAGACCCGCGACCATCCCTAGGACCCTCACTTCTCTCTGAGAGCCCTCGGTCCCTGCAGGGCACCCCCACCACTCTGCTGCCCACCTGTCACCCCACCCCCACCTCCAGATTCAGAACAACTGGTCCTATGGCGAGAACGCGGATGAAGACTTGAAGACCCACCCCATGCTGAGACCCTACAAGACCTTTTCAGAGAAGGTGACCAAACCTCAGGGCCTGAGGTCAGAGGTCAGGATGAAACTCCAAAACCTAGGGGCCTGGGAAGGAGTGAGACTCCTCATAGGTTGGTATCTGGTCATGGATTTTGCCTTCTCTCAAGACTGGATGCTGTCTCTGGAGGACCCCAGAACCATCATGGCCCTTCTCTTAGAAAACCCTTGGTAGCAAGCCTCTCTGAGGCTCTTGGAACACATGGGACCGTGTTGGAGACACTTGTTTCCAGAGGACATTAGAGTCCTGGGTTCCAATCCTTACTGTGCCATTCTCTACTGCCTAGCCCCTGGTGGGGGTTCTCCCCGTAGAGCCTGTAGAGACCAGGGAAGCTGAAGGGGCCTCCCTTCTGGTCCCATTCCACCAACTCTGCTTCTGCTGTCTACCCCAGGACAAAGAGATTTACCGCTGGCCCATCAAGGAGTCCCTGAAGGCCATGATTGCCTGGGAGTGGACGGTGGAGAAGGCCAGGGAAGGTGAGGAGGAAAAGACAGAGAAGAAAAAGACGAGAAAGATATCCCAAACTGCCCAGGTGAGCTTGCATGGGGGGGGGGTGCAGGTCTGAGCAAGGGGAGGGGCCAGGAAGGGTGGGGGGTGAGGTGGTTATGAAGGGGTGGCGGGGTGGCTGGGATGAAATGAGGCAGAGGGGGGTTAGTCAGGAGGAGCAGCCCTGAGCAGAAATCTCAGCACCAAACTGACAGCCACTGACAGTCTGAGGAAGTAAAGGGCAGACAAGAGTTGCTTGGAAGCCGGGCGTTGGTGGTGCACGCCTTTAATCCCAGCACTCGGGAGGCAGAGGCAGGCGGATCTCTGTGAGTTCGAGGCCAGCCTGGTCTACAGAGCGAATTCCAGGACAGCCTCCAAGGCCACAGAGAAACCCTGTCTCGAAAAACCAGCAAAAAAAAAAAAAAAAAAAAAAACAACAACAAAAAAAGAGTTGCTTGGAGACCGGGCCTAAAGGGCTAGCTCAGGGAAGCGCTCCTCGGGAGCCAGGGTCAGAGCTAACTGAGTTTCCCGCTCCCCCTCGCCCTCTCAGACATACGACCCTCGAGAAGGCTACAACCCCCAGCCCCCAGACCTCAGCGGGGTTACACTGTCCCGGGAGCTGCAGGTGAGAGCTCCGGCCCTTTATCTGGGAAGCACAGGGCGGCCTGAAGCTGGTCCCTGACTCTGCGTCTGCTTCCAGGCCATGGCCGAGCAGCTGGCGGAAAACTACCACAACACGTGGGGGCGGAAGAAGAAGCAAGAGCTGGAAGCCAAAGGTGGGGCCACCCATCCCTCCCCACCGCTGGCCTCCTCCTCCCCTCTTCAGCCCCACTTTCTAGGTCCTGCGGTCACCGAGCCTCGGTTAGCATCCGGGCTTCATGTCGTTCCTGAATCACAGGGGTTTCTCCGCCCCTGATTTCTAATCTTTGCCGTTCCCAGGAGGGGGATCCCATCCCCTGCTGGTCCCTTACGACACGCTAACGGCCAAGGAAAAGGCACGGGACCGAGAGAAGGCCCAGGAGCTGCTCAAGTTCCTGCAGATGAATGGCTACGCTGTCACCAGGCACGTGAGCGGACACACACACACACACACACACACACACACACACACACACACACACAGCCCTGGAAGGAAGGCGATTTGGGGGTGGGGCTTGGGAGCAAAGGCGGGGCCATGAACAAGCTAAAGGTTGGAGCTGAGAACCACAGGGCCGCTGCAAGGGCGCCCTCTGGGGGCGGGGGCGGGACTAGCCCGAAGAGATGCTAAAGAGCGTGGCCTCTGACTGGAGACAAGGCTACAAAGAGGAGGCCGCGGGCATGGAGCATGGGGAAGCAAGAGTCGGAAAACAACCTGAAATGAGGAAGACGCCCGCAGAGGAAGGGCCCGGGGGAAGGACCCGCGAGTGGGCAGCATACACAGGCTGTCTGTCCACCAAGGTGTGCGAAACAGGGCGGGCCAGTGTTTGAGCTGACCCCTCTGTGTCTCCGTGCAGAGGCCTTAAGGACATGGAACTGGACACGTCTTCCATTGAGAAGCGGTTCGCCTTCGGCTTCCTGCAGCAGCTGTTGCGCTGGATGGACATCTCCCAGGAGTTCATCGCCCATCTGGGTAGGGAGAATTCCCTCCCTGCTTTCCATGTTATCTGTAACGACGCACCTGGGGCACCAGGTCGCCCGCTTCCCCCCCAGCTAGCGTTTGCTGAGCATCAGTCACGGACCAGACTCGGCTTTGGATGATGGGGATGGATTACAGGGAGCAAGACAGAGGCCTTGGGAATCCGCATCCCTGCTCTGGAGTCAGTTAGAATCACATAACTGAGCCGTGTGTTCTAGGAAGCATCCAGTGTTGGAGGAAGAGAGGATAAGGACCAGGGAACGAGGCAGAGGGAGTGTGGTGCCAGCTGTCATTTAAATAGGGGATCCAGGGGGCTGGAGGGATGGCTCAGCGGTTAAGAGCACTGACTGCTCTTCCAGAGGTCCTGAGTTCAATTCCCAGCAACCACATGGTGGCTCACAACCATCTACAATTCAATCTGGTGCCCTCTTCTGGTAGAACACTGTATATGTAATAAATAAATCTAAAAAAAAAAAGATAACTTTAAAAAAATAAATAGGGGATCCAAGGAAGAAACGGGTGACACTATGACATTTCTGCCGAGGCTCCAGGGGCAACGGGGGGCATCTGGAGGGTGTCCCAGAAAACAGCTTGTGAGGCCCCCTTGTCTCAGGCCGGAGCGGAGTGCCTACAGGGACGGAGTTAGGACGTGGAGTGAGGCCAGCTGGGCTTCGTGGGTAGGTGGGGGTGAGAGCTTGTCCTGTGGACAGAGATGGAGCCACAGGAGGGCTCTGAGCGGGGACCTAGCTCAGGTGGTCAGAGGCTCTCTGCCTTGACTGTGGCCGGAACAGGTATGAAAGGGAGAGAGAGAGAGAGAGAGAGAGAGAGAGAGAGAGAGAGAGAGAGAGAGAGAGAGAGAGAATGCATCTGCATCATTTCCCGACTCTGCCCTCTGTGTCCCTTCCTGCCGGAACATTCTGGCTTCCTCCACTTAAACGATCCCTTCTTGCCCTTCCCTGCAGAGGCTGTGGTCAGCAGTGGACGAGTAGAGAAGTCTCCACATGAACAGGAGATTAAATTCTTCGCTAAGGTGGGAGATGGGCCCAGAAGCTGCGAGGACTGTGGTCTGGGAGAGCCCTGTGTCCCTCCCCCAGCCCACCCCCGTTTCCTTCTCCATCTAGATTCTGCTTCCTTTGATCAACCAGTACTTCACCAACCACTGTCTCTACTTCCTGTCCACACCGGCCAAAGTGCTGGGCAGTGGTGGCCACGCCTCCAACAAGGAGAAGGAAATGATCACCAGGTGGGCTGCCCGTGACCTCTGACCCTACAGGATTACAACCCCAAACCTCTTATTCCTGACCTCCGCTCTTATGGGCTCTGATGGGAGTGTCTGCCTTGAGCTATTCTGGAATGACCAACTGTCCAAGCTCCCCTGAGACTAAAGGGGTTTCCCAGGACTTCACTGACACAAACTGGTCACTCTGACAAAGGCGGTCTCACTGCCATCACCTCTCCTGGCCAGTTACTGCTGTGACTTTCTTTCCTTGAAGTACTGAGGATTGAACTTTACATATGCTAAGTAAGCAGTCTGCCACTGAGCCACGCCCCCAGCCCCTCACTGGGGGATTCTAGGCTGGGGCTCTACCACTGGGCCATGCCCCCAGCCCCTCACTGGGGGATTCTAGGCAGGGGCTCTACCACTGGGCCACTCCCCTAGCCCCTCACTGGGAGATTCTAGGCAGGGGCTCTACCACTGGGCCACGCCCCCAGCCCCTCACTGGGGGATTCTAGGCAGGGGCTCTACCACTGGGCCACGCCCCCAGCCCCTCACTGGGAGATTCTAGGCAGGGGCTCTACCACTGGGCCATGCCCCCAGCCCCTCACTGGGGGATTCTAGGCAGGGGCTCTACCACTGGGCCACGCCCCCAGCCCCTCACTGGGGGATTCTAGGCAGGGGCTCTACCACTGGGCCACTCCCCTAGCCCCTCACTGGGGGATTCTAGGCCATCACTCTAAGAGCCACCCCTGCAGCTCTTCCCGGGACTTTCAAGCTTGGTCCTGTCTCTTTACGACTTACTCTGCCTGCCATCCTACCTCCGTGTTGTGTCCCCTCCCTGTCCCTTTGGTTCCTGTCTCCTCTGGTCATGCCCTCACCATCTTCCATCTAGTTGGTCCCCTCACTCCCTGTTCCCTTGTCCTTCCATCTCTCTCTCTTTCCCCAGCCTCTTCTGTAAACTAGCCGCTCTTGTCCGCCACCGAGTGTCTCTCTTTGGTGAGTAGCCCTGCCTCTGAGCCTTCCTGCCAGGTCTCGCTTGCTTCCTGTCGCCAGCTCCACCTGGAAGAAAGAACTCCAGCTGCAGCCTCCTCCTTACATTTATTTTTCTCTCTGAACCTGGACGGGGTCGTTCTGGAGGTGGGGTAGTCAGTCATGCAGGCCACTGTCCCACCCAGGGACAGCCCTGAGAGGACAAGGAGGGCAGTCAGAGCCGGGAGGGGGCACCCAGGGGTTGTGGAAGCCCAGGTGGGGTAGATGTGGGGTAGCACAAACCTAGTCAGGAGGAGGAGCCAGAGAGAAAGGGGTCGCGTTACAGATGCAAGGAGGTGCAGGCCTTGGGGCCCCTCCTTCGTCCTGACCCGGATTTGGTTCCCAGGGACGGATGCCCCAGCTGTGGTCAACTGTCTTCACATACTGGCGCGTTCCCTGGATGCCAGGTACGGCTTGGGGGGGGGAGCTACCCAAACGCACTTGAATCATGTCCCCAAACCCAGTCCTCCTGTGCTCCCTGAAGCCCAGCCGGGGTGACATGGTGAGACTTCATCTCAAGAGAAGGAAGAGGAAGGGAAGGCGGGGAGGGTGAGGAGAAAGGGGGAGGGGAGAGGGAACCGTTGTGCAGCCTCAGCCCTGCCCGCCCCTCCTAGAACGGTGATGAAGTCCGGCCCTGAGATTGTGAAGGCCGGGCTCCGCTCCTTCTTCGAGAGTGCCTCCGAGGACATCGAGAAGATGGTGGAGAACCTGCGGCTGGGCAAGGTGTCCCAGGCACGCACGCAGGTGAAGGGCGTGGGCCAGAACCTCACCTACACCACGGTGGCCCTGCTGCCTGTCCTCACCACCCTCTTCCAGCACATCGCCCAGCACCAGTTCGGAGACGATGTCATCTGTAAGGACTCCTGGGGGCAAGGGGCACGGGGAGGGTGTCAGCTTGGCCAGCACTGCCATCCTGAGGTGTGTGGTGGAGTCATCATCCGGTGTTGGAACATAGGTTTTCTTGCTGTGAACCAAAGCGCACAGTCAGTCAAATGTAGGGAACAGAAGGTATTAACTAAGATATGAATTAAAGAAACCACAGTGGGGGGCACCCCTGTAAACAATCTGAGCACTCAGGAAACCGAGGCAGGGGGACTACTGCAAGTTTGAGGCCAGCCTGGGCTATGTGTAGTGAGTTCTAGGCCAGCCTGGGCTAGAGCAGAAGAAAAACAAGAGCTGAGGATATGTAACTCAGTGGTAGATTACTGGGCTGTACTGAGCAGTAAAGAGCTGGGAGCAAGACTTGGTGGTAACCCTCCTAGAACTCACAAAGAAAAGCTATAAGCATGGCTCAGTGGTAGAGCCCCTGCCTAGAATCCCCCAGTGAGGGGCTGGGAATGTATCTCAATGGTAGAGCCCCTGCCTAGAATCCCCCAGGGAGGGGCTGGGAGAGTGATGCAGCCACAGAGCACTTGCCTAGCATGCACGCAGCGCCTGGTTCCATCCCCAGCCCCCCCCCACACACAAAGTAGATTCAGATACCTGCACCAGAGACCCAGGGACCCTTACTCACTGTATATCAAACAAGCTAGACGTTTCTTTCTCATGAATACAGCAGTTCAGAGAAGTAGGACACGAAGTCCTAAGAGCAGAAGCTCAAGCTCTGTCTCATTGCTTTGCCTTCTCTAAAGCGTGGTCTTTCCCTTGTGGTGCAATACGCCTCACCACCGCATCCTCCCAGGCAGGGGAAGAGGTGGAAAGTACTGAGGAGTTGCTCAGGCTCCTGTAAGGAACAGTCTAGAAGCGGCCGTTAGTCAGAATTCCTCACTGTGATGGACCGTCTGAAAGAAACAGTTCAGATGGAACTGGGGTCTACTGGGCTCACACGCTCAGAGGTTTCAGTACCTGGTCACTTGGCTTCAGTACTTTGGGTGGCATCGTGGTGGCCACAGCATATAGCAAGCTGCTGACCTCATGGGAACCGGGAGCCAGTGACACGGAGATACAGAGGCAGGGGAAAGACACACGCTCCAAATGACCTGTCCCCAAGCATCTGTTTCCTTCAGTGCAGCCCTGCCTTCCACAGGCTCCACCCAGTTATGAATCCACCAATGGCAGGACGCGCAGATGAGGTCAGAGCCCTTGGGATCCAATCAGATCTCAAAAGTTCCATATCTGAGCATCACTGCCTTGAGCCTGCCACTTGTGGGCCCTTAGGGGAAGCCCTTCACCTCCAAACTATAGCAGGCCCCATTGCTTCTGGGAAGAAAAAAAAAAGGGTGTGTGTGTGGGTCTGCAGGAAGTGTAGAGCATTAGAGGCAGTTCTAGTTTGGGATGGTTTTTCAAACATTTATTATTTTGTGTATATGTGTGGTGTAAGCACTCCAACACAGTGCGTGTGTGGCGGTCACAGAACCATCTGAAGGACTTGGCTCCCTCCCTCCACCGTATCGGTTCTGGAATTAAACTCAGGTTGTCAGGTGGAAGGTACGCTTACTCACTGAGCCATCCTGCAGGCCCTCATTTTGTTTTGCTGTTTTAGGTTTTGTTTCAGTTTTTTAAGACAGGGTTTCTCTGTGTAACCCTGACTGTCCTGGAACTCGCTCCGTAGACCAGGCTGGCCTCAAACTCACAGAGATCCACTTGCCTCTGCCTCCCGAGTGCTAGGATTAAAGGTGTGCGCCACCATGCCCAGCCCAGGCCTTCAACTCTTGATCCCCCTGCCTCCACCTCCCGAGTGCTGAGATTACAGGCATGCACCACCACACCCAACTGCCCTTAAATTTAAAAAAATCGTAATCCCAGAGGTTGGGGACAAGACCCAGTTGGAAAAGTACCGTTTAAGCCTAAGGACCTGGGTTTGGATTCCTCCTGTCCTCATAAAAATCATATGCAGTGGCATGCACCTCCAATCTCAGTGCTGGGACGACGGACGAGGGTATCCCTGAGGGTTACATTGGCAGAATATGTGAGCTCAAGGGTCAGTGAGAGACCTGGCCCCAAAAACAAGGTGAGCTGGGCCTGAAATCTCAACACTTGGGAGGCAAAGGCAGGTGAGTCTCTGTGAGCTCAAGGCCAGCCTGGTCTACATAGCAAGTTCCAGGTCAGCCTGGGCTACATAGTGAGATCCTATCTTTAATATATATATCCAGCAATGGGCTGCTTTTGACCTCTGGCCTCCGCATGCATGCACACACAGGGACACATACCTGTATCACACAAACACACACAGAAGGAATATAGATGCTGTGATATCGCTTCCATCGTGTTTGGTTTCCTCACTATCATCTCTTCTAAATCTCGATCCCCCCCCACCTCTTTTTACCTCCCGGTGTTTGTACAGTCGGTAAGGATCTTACCCCTCTGGGAGGTGGAATCACACCCGAAATCACACACTCCTGTGTGTGTGTGTGTGTTGTTCTGGAAGAAGTATCATCTTGTGCCTCCAAGAGATCCAAGCAAAAATAAGCAACTACTTCTTTTTTTTTAAAGATTTTATTTATTTATTATGAATACAACATCCTGCCTCTACATATGTCTGCACGCCAGGAGAGGGCTTCAGATCTCATTACGGATGGTTGTGAGCCACCATGTGGTTGCTGGGAATTGAACTCAGGACCTCTGGAAGAGCAGTCAGTGCTCTTAACCGCTGAGCCATCTCTCCAGCCCACAACTACTCTTTTTTTTGTTTGTTTGTTTGTTTTTTTTTTGGTTTTTACGAGACAGGGTTTCTCTGTATTGTTTTGGAGGCTATCGGTCCAGCCCGGCCTCGAACTCACAGAGATCCGCCTGCCTCTGCCTCCCTAGTGCTGGGATTAAAGGCGTGCGCCACCACCACCTGGCCAGCAACCACTCTTTATTAAACCCTTCCCGTGTCCTCTTCTCTAACTGCTTTTAAGAATTGATGCTTTTGAGGATTGGTGTGGTCCAGTGGTAGAGCACTGGCCTAGCCAATGTGAGGCTCAGGTTCCATCCCCAACAACAACAATACTAAAAAAGGAACTCGGTTGATGCTGGAACTGTCCAAGGTGGAAGGTACTATGATGATCCCACTTTACAGACAGGAACCTGACGCTAAAAGAGAATTGCCCTTGCCCGAGTTACAAAGCAAAAAAGACAGAGGGCTCTCGGCTTCATTTCTTACCCACCAGCCATGCGGTGGCAAGAAAGTGGTAGGGAGCGGGCTGGCATGGTGGGCAACCCGGACCCTCACTCTCCTTCCCTTCTCCTCAGTGGATGACGTACAAGTTTCTTGTTACCGAACGCTGTGCAGTATTTACTCTCTGGGCACCACCAGGAACCCCTACGTGGAAAAGTAAGAAAATTGGGACATACTGCGGGCCTTAGGTGGGCATGTTGAGGCTATGGGAGGAGGGAGGAAACACGTGAGGTGCGGTGCAGTGAGGTGCGGTGCGGATGCAAGGCTGCAGACGCTAAAATCGTGCACCTGCGCACCTGCGGACCTGTCACTACACCAGGGTAGCTGAAGTTCACCCCAGAAGCCACAAGAGGGCGCGTAGTAGTAGAGGCTGAGGGGTCTGGGAGAGAGTGGGAACCGGACCTTTGCTGACTAAGGATGCTGGGTGGTTTCTCTCTGGGGAACAAGCTTGATCTTGTGGGAGACATGCAGAAACGGGGCGGCAGCGGGCAGGGGATCACTAGAGGGGATCGTTTCAGTTTGGCGCACAAGTCTCTGCAGGGCACGCAGCGAAGGGTGCACCCAAGAGCTGCGCCGGAGACGACCAGGAGGGGGCGCTTCTGAGCTGGAGGGGCTGGGGCTGGAGACTCGGCGGAGGGGCGCTTGGAAGCTAACTGCAGCCTTCTTCCAGGCTGAGGCCAGCCCTCGGGGAATGCCTGGCCCGCCTGGCCGCAGCCATGCCCGTGGCATTTCTGGAGCCTCAGCTGAATGAATTCAACGCCTGCTCCGTCTACACCACCAAGTCTCCCCGAGAGCGGGCCAGTGAGTTATGTGGGCAGGGGCAGGGGCACACATCTGTGTGGTGAGGGTGTGAGAATTCTCCGGGATAGAAGTGTTGAGGAGTCCTGGCCGTGCAGTGAGGGGACATCTGAAGCCACTCCACTGGGAGAATTAGGGGGAGCAGAGGAACTCAGAGCTGTGAGGTTCGTTTTGCAGTTGGTAATATGAAGCTTAGGATGCCAGTACTTCCCAGCGCCCCTGAGGTTTGGGTGAGGGCGGTCTGCATTCACAGCATCAGTGGAGTGCCACCTAGGGGCAGGACTAGACAAGCCACAGGCGAGCATCCTGTCTTCACCGACCCGGGGTTAGAGCCAGGTGCGGGTCTCATAAAATATCCAAGCAGGAGACTTGTCCTTTAGACGTGCTGTGCTCCCCGAGCCCAGCCAGGCATCCCAGCACCTAGAAGGGAAGGGGCAAGGAGGTCCCAAGGTCATCTTCACTCCTTAGTAAAGTCTAGTCTAGCCTGGGCTACATGAAACTCTGCTCCCCCCACTCCACCCACAAATACCCATTTCCGGCCCATGGAAGGGAAAAGTGGGTGGTGGGCTGTGAGTTTCAAGGGACAGCACTGGAGTGCAGAGCTGAGCCGTGAAACCCAGTGACGGGACACGCACCTCCTCCCCCACTCTGGAGGCTGAGGTGGCAGACGCCTCGCTGCGGGCCAGCTTGGGCTACTCCCTCTATCTTACCTCAAAGGGGGAGGGGCGTCAGACTTGGAACCTGCTCTTAGCAGATTGCCACATAACACAGGTAGAGTTAGGTGATCTTAGGGGTGAGGGGTTTTGGGGGTTCAAGCCCTACCTGAGACCCTGTCTGGATTTTTTTAAAACATGGGACCCTTGCTTCAGAAATTCAGTGAGGAAGCTCCATGTCACTCCAGGCATGGATCCACGCCCTTACTCCCAGCACTCGGGAGGCAGAGGCAGGTGGACTCTGCGCGTCTAAGGCCAGCCTGGTCTACAGAGCGAGACAAGTTCCATGTCAGGGGTACATTTTTATGTTGGAGCCAAATTTTACATACAAGTGTAACTTTAGGGGTGAATCAGGTTTGGGGTGCAAAGTCCTTGGGGGCCACTGGGTTTCAGTGGGGGGCTTGTGAAAGGAACCGGGGTCTTGGGGACCCCTCTAGGTACAGGGTGACTCAGCTGGGTTACAGGCAGGCAGGTCTGGGAGTGAGTGACAGTTGGCATACCCTGACCCGTCCCTGTACCCCAGTCCTGGGGCTCCCCAGCAGCGTGGAGGAGATGTGTCCCGACATCCCCGTGCTAGAGCGGCTCATGGCGGAGATCGGGGGGCTGGCCGAGTCCGGGGCCCGCTACACGGAGATGCCACACGTCATCGAGATCACCTTGCCTATGCTGTGCAGCTACCTGCCCCGCTGGTGGGAGCGAGGGCCCGAGGCGCCCCCACCAGCCCTGCCTGCGGGGGCTCCGCCGCCTTGTACAGCGGTCACCTCGGACCACCTCAATTCCCTGCTGGGGAACATCCTTCGGATCATCGTCAACAACCTGGGCATCGACGAGGCCTCGTGGATGAAGCGGCTGGCGGGTGGGTGGGCAGCGGGTCTCCCCTGGGGGGCAGGGCGGTGGGGGCCTAGGACAGGGGGCTCCGAGAGAGTGTCGCTTGGGAACGAGGGCCAGGGGCTGGGCTGGAGGTCACAGGTCAGGTGCGGGCGACGCTGATGCCCGCCCCCCTGCAGTGTTCGCCCAGCCCATTGTGAGCCGCGCCAGGCCCGAGCTCCTGCACTCGCACTTTATCCCTACCATTGGGCGACTGCGGAAGCGTGCGGGGAAGGTGGTGGCCGAGGAGGAGCAGCTGCGCCTGGAGGCCAAGGCAGAAGCGGAGGAGGGCGAGCTCCTGGTGCGGGACGAGTTCTCCGTGCTCTGCCGCGACCTGTATGCCCTCTACCCTCTGCTCATCCGCTACGTGGACAACAACAGGTCAGCAAGACTTCCTCAACCGCCATGGTCTCCTCCAACCCCACTCAGCCCTGCCCAGCCCTTCCTCCCTCCCCGTCCCCTCTGGGCTGGGGAGATAGCTGCGGGGGTGAAGTGGAAGGTCCTGAGCTTGAACCCAGAACCCCTGTGACGTGGCACAGCAGCGCCCGTCTGTAATCGCTGTGCTCCTGTGGTGAGACGGGAGGTGGAGACGGGACAGCGTCTGGGAACCGGTAGCCTGCCTAGCCTGGAGCCCGCTGTGGCGGACAGCAAAGACACTGTGTCTCAAACAAGGTCGCCAGGACCAGCACTACAGGTTGTCCCCTGACTTCCATGTGCACGTGGCAAGTGCCTGCACACACACACACACACACACACACACACACACACACACACACACACACACCGGCACTGAGTCTACCTGTGTGCAGAGCTAAGTGCCTGGCTTATGTGGTGAAGCCCAATGGTCAGGCTTTCCGTCATGGAGAGAAGAAAGGAGCGTAGGTGGCGTCTGGTTAGCCTAATAATCCCCCAAGAACATAGGTCTTCAAGAAAAAAAAAGATGTATGAAGGTGTCCGCCAATTGCTAACCAATGTCTTCCTAAAACCAGAAGCACTAGGGGCTGGAGAGATGGCTCAGAGGTTAAGAGCGCTGGCTGCTCTTCCAGAGGTCCTGAGTTCAGTTCCCAGCACCCACATGGTGGCTCACAACCATCTGTAATGAGATCTGGTGCCCTCTCCTGGCTTGCAGGCATACATGCAGAGAGAATACTGTATACATAATAAATAAATTTATTTTAAAAAACCAAAAGCATTAGTTAGATAGCTTGGACTCCAAAAATCCCATCTGGATTGAAAAAGATTGCAAGGTTGCCTTGGGCTCCATGGTTGATTGATTAGCTATGTCTGCCAGGGGACAGAAATGGGAAGGAAGCAGTGGTGCGTACTCTGTACAAGCTCCGTTCCAGATTTGGACTGCACTTGAACTGTGACCCATCGCTAGTGGCGCACGCCTTTAATCCCAGCACTTGGGAGACAGAGGCAGGCAGGTCTGTGAGTTCGAGGCCAGCCTGCTCTACAGAGTGAGTTCCAGGACAGCCAGGGCAACACAGAGAAACCCTGTCTCAAAAAAAAAAAAAAAAAGCAATATGCTGCAAAAATACACATTTATCCTCCTATCCACGGCGTTGGTTATCTACAGTTCATAGTGGCTAGAAAATTTCAAACTGGGTATGGTGGCATATGCCTCAAGTAGCTGAGGCAGGAGGATTGCTGTGAGTTCCAAGTCTGAATTTTAAAAAAAAAGTCTGGCAGGACATGGTTGTGGAATTAAAGAGTCCCAATATTCAGGAGGCAGATCTCTGGAACTTTGAGGCAAGCCTGGCCTGGTCTACATGATGAGCTCCAGGCCAGCCAGGGCTACAAATTGAAATCCTGAAAAAAAAGAAAAGTCTGAATGTTTAGTTTTTCACAGAACTGACCAGATTCCCTTAAAACTCTCCACCCCTCTGCTGAATGTCTCTCGGTCCCCATGAACTCCTCTGAGTCTCTGGGTGGTCCTCTCCCTTGGGGTCTCTGTACACCTTACCCATTCCTTCCTGGGCGCCAGGGCACACTGGCTGACAGAACCCAATCCCAGCGCAGAGGAGCTGTTCAGGATGGTGGGCGAAATCTTCATCTACTGGTCCAAGTCCCACGTGAGTCCCCATCCACGAGTGAACCCCCACTCGTGCCTGCCCCCCACGCTCCTCTCCTTAAGCCCCCTGGAAGCTAATCTCTGAGGGTGCTTCCTCCCGGCCTGGGTCTCGGGGTCTGAGCCCCACAATGCTTCCTTCCTCCACCAGAACTTTAAGCGCGAGGAACAGAACTTTGTGGTCCAGAATGAGATCAACAACATGTCCTTCCTGACCGCTGACAATAAGAGCAAAATGGCCAAGGCAAGTACTTAGCAGAACTGGGGATGAGGGGATGGGAGCACTCCCAGGACTACTTCCTTGGGCCCTCCTGACCCAGTCACCTCCTGTTTCAGTCCTATCCCCTTTAGCTCTCAGGGCACACTTCCTCCTCCCCCTACTCCTCCCCCTCCTGTCCCTCCTGTCCCTTCTCCCCTTCCTCCTCCCTCCTCCCCCTCCTCCTCCACCTCCTCCCCCTCCTGTCCTTCCTCCCCCTCCTGCTCCTCTCCCTCCTCCTTCTCCTCCTCCCCCCTCCTCCCCTTCTCCTCTCCCTCCTCCTCCCCCCTCCTCCTCCTACCTTCTCTTCCCCAACTCCATCTTCCTCTACCTCCCCACCTCCCCGATTTCTTTCCTCCCTCCTCTTCCTCCACCTCCCTGTAGTCCCCCCTTCCTGCCCCTTCCCTCCCTCCCCATCTTCTCCCCCCTCCCCTCTCCCTCCTCTCCCCTTCCTGGGTTCCTTCCCTCCCCTCCCCCACCCCATTGTTCTCCATTTTCCTTCCTCCCATTTCTTCCCTTCTCTCCCCATGGCTCCAACCCTCCCTTTCTCTGTGTTCACAACTGCCCCCTTTGGGGGTCATAAAGAACAGCACCCCCAGGTCGAGGTCTGGAAATGTTCAGCTGAAGGATGGGTCCTGGGGGGGGTGGGCAGAGGATCCGGGGTCCTGCTAACTTGGAGTTGGGTCTTGGGGCTCTCTGTCCGGCTGGGGTAACCCTTCTTGTCTCTGTCTGCAACCTGTTGAAGCAGGCGGGAGACGTTCAGGTCAGCGCCACATCTGGAACCTTCTGCATGGCTTTTGGCTAATACCTGTTCCTGCCCAAAGCCCCGCCCTCTCAAACCTGCCCCTGGCCCCACCCACTGCCCTCCCCTCCCACCCACTCCTTACCCCACTCTTAGCTTTGATGAGTTTTGACAAGTTGTTGAATTATTTCTCTTCTGGTTTTTGGTGGTTTTTCTTTTCTTCCTTTTTTCTTTCTTTCTTTCTTTCTTTCTTTCTTTTTTTTTTTTTTTTGGTTTTGTTACCAAAAAAAAAAAAAAAAATCAACATGCATTGTGGGCTGAGTCCCAGGGGATGGAATGAGACCGCTGCATGGTTAGGGGCAGCCCTGGCTGTCTGGCTGTGCACAGGTGAATGTTTTGGGCTCTGGAATCCAATGGGGATGGGGAGAGCCCAGTGATGGTCGTGAGGTGTGTGACTCTTGCCAGATGTCGTCTTTGGGAGCCTCTGATGGCATCCAGCCAATGGTCCCCAGGCCCAGGGCTCCTTAAAGACTCAGAAATGCTGCATGTGGGGACGTGGGCATTGCGTGGCACTTGGGCCGTGCTCAGCATTGCCATGGATGGGACTGTGGCCGCAGCTTGCCACCGGGACTTCTTGTCGGCATGACGGAGTGGCCTTGGCCAGGGAGGGTTCTGCATCCAAGACTCCACAACATGGCTGTGGGACTCTGGGGTCCACGTTTGGGCTTCCGGATCTTTCCAGATCTCTCTTGCACCATCTGCCCCATCACGCCCTTGTGTACCTCAGTCTCTCAGTCTCCCTCCCCCCTCTTCCAACTTATCTTGTCCCTTGGGGCTCTTTGTGGGCCCACGTCTTTGTTTTGTTCTTGGAAACTTGGTTTGGGCATGTGAAATGTGGTGTGGAGCATGTTAGATGTGGGACTCTGAAATTTTCTTAGAGATCACTAAAGCTTGAAAACTCAGGGTGACATACAAGGGCTCTAGTTAGAAGTGGGAAATGCAGGTTCTGGGTAGGGTGGGGAGGCTGTGATCAGGTCTGTGGCGCAAGGTTAGTAAGGTCGGGGTGGAAATAGACGCGCACTCTGATGTCATTGCCATGCAGGTTAGGAGCTGGGTCGTATAAAATGGCTGTGGGTTGGGGCTGAGGCAGTGGGGTGGGGACTTGGGTGAGCACTGAGTCTGGTGTCTCCACAGTCAGGTGGCTCGGACCAGGAACGCACCAAGAAGAAGCGCCGGGGTGACCGGTACTCGGTGCAGACATCTTTAATCGTGGCCACACTCAAGAAGATGTTGCCAATCGGACTAAACATGTGTGCTCCCACGGACCAGGACCTCATTGTGTTGGCCAAAGCCCGCTATGCCCTGGTACTTGCCCAGCCCCTCCCAGTGCCCCACCCTGCCCTAGGACTCCAGTGAACCCCTAGGATCCAAAGGAGCCTCTCAGAAAGCCCCACAGGACCCCAGACACTTACTGAACCCTCTAGGATGCTCTAAGTCTTCCCCCAGGATGCTGAGGACCTCCACCCAAGAAACCTAAGGATTGGGGTACATTTTAACACTCAAGTGCAGCCAGAGACCCTTAGGACTCCACTAAGCTCTGTTAGGACCCACTGGCCTATCCCCACAGCCAGATTATAACCACTGAGACCCTCAGGATCCCCTCCAAGACGCCTGGAGTCTCTGAACTCTCCATCAAGATGTGCCCCCAAATCTCCCGAGACACACTGAACCCCTTATAACTCTCCATATACCCTCATGACTGAATGTCTGGGTTCCAGCAGGACTCTCTGGCTCACCTCCTTCTGTCTTCAGCCTCTGCTGACTCCCAGTCAATCTTTGTGGCTCCTAATGGCCCCTTCCCCAGGACCATCACTTCCAACCTCTGAGGTCCCAAAGGGTCCTAAGGATCAACTAATCCAGCCCCTAGAAATTCTCAACCCAGCTGGGACCCCCCCAAAAAATAAACTGCCATAGGGCCCACTTCTTCCATACATAGAATGGCAAGATGTTACTTCCTTTCAGCCTCAGGACCCCTAAGAAATCCCCCAGGATTCTGCCCCAAGACCCCTCTGAGCACCAGACAGCTCCCTACCCCGCTAGGGTCCTGAGGGCACTTGAATTCTCCTGTTGTATTGCAACAACCCCTTTCCTGGGACTCTGGAGGCCACCTCAGCCTTCCCCTCCTATGAGAGGCGGTGTCCTTAGAACACTACAGAGCCCTCCAGAGCCCCGTGGCCCTCACTTTGAAACTCGAGGTCCCTCTTCACCCCATGACTTCTTTTGGCCCCATGTGGCAAGACATTTAATTGACTTCCCAGCTTCCTGGAACCTCTGGTGACCTTGCCAGTCTCCCTCGTGGTATCCTGTCACCTCCCTTGATCCTACTCCCCCTGAAAAGTCCCTCTTCGGGCTGTTCGATTTTTGATGGTGTCCCCTCTCACACACACACCCAGGCCCACTAATCCCTTCTCCATGGCGAGCCTGTGGCTCTCCCTAGACATCTGTCCTTGCCCGAAGTTATGCTCTACTTGTTTTTTTTTGTTTTTTTTGTTTTTTGTTTTGCTGGGTCACACCCATCAGATCCTGGGTGTCAGGCCTAGAAGGGGGAGGGCTATGGGTCATGGAGGAGGTGAGGCCTCCTGAGTGACGCAGTGGACCTTGTCTTCCCAGAAAGACACAGATGAGGAGGTGCGTGAATTCCTTCAAAACAACCTCAACCTTCAGGGAAAGGTACGTCCTTTGTGGGGAGGTGTGTGAGGTGTGGAAGGAGGGACCTTCTTATCATTTTTTGTTATTATTAAGTTACGTCTGTGTATTTGGTGTGTGTGTTGGTAAGCATGGAGAAGTCAGAGGACATCTTGCAGGAATCGGTTCTCTCCTACCACGTGGGGCCCAGGGATTGAACTCAGATCTTCAGGCTTAGCAGCAAGAGCCCTGACTCATTGATCCGTCTTGCCAACCCTGAGGAAGGGACCTAGGTTCTCGCGCCCCCACCTAAGCTTGGCAGTCGAAAGGCGGCGGGCAGCCAGGGAGGCGCCTTCACGCGGGCTTTCTATTCCCCTCAGGTCGAAGGCTCCCCATCTCTTCGCTGGCAAATGGCCCTGTACCGCGGTGTCCCAGGCCGCGAGGAAGATGCTGATGACCCCGAGAAAATTGTGCGCAGAGTCCAGGAAGTGTCCGCTGTGCTCTATCACCTGGACCAGGTGGGTACCTTTTGTGGCCGAGTCTGTGGGCGGGGCCTGACCGTGAGTCTGTGGGCGGGGCCTGACCGTGAGTCTGTGGGCGGGGCCTGCTGGCGATGGGCGGGACTATAAGGAGAGGTGTGTAGATGTGGGGAAAGAGCATAATACTGCATCTAGGGACAAGTGTGACAAAGCGTTGGGGCTAGGGTGGGGCCTCCTGAAGATGCCTTGGTTCTGTTGGAGGAGGAGCCCACGTGTTCCTTTGACCCTGCTCCGCCCTACCTGGAGCACATGTGAGCCGCTCCACTCAGGGTTGGGTGGGACTCGGGCCAGTGCCATGATCTGAGGACATGACTTGCTTGCTCTCCAGACCGAGCACCCTTACAAGTCCAAGAAAGCGGTGTGGCATAAACTCTTGTCCAAGCAGCGCCGGAGGGCAGTGGTAGCCTGCTTCCGCATGACGCCCCTGTACAACCTGCCCACGTAAGGCCTCCAGGGAGGAGGAGAGCGCCAGGAACTTGGAGGAAGGAAAGAGGGGAGTCGGGAGGATGGAGTGCCAATAGGGTTGAGTCTTGGGATGGAGGGCGGCAGAGGCGCTGGGAGTGGGGGAGACTCAGTGTCCTGGGAGACCTTTGTCTTTGCAGGCACCGAGCATGCAACATGTTCTTGGAGAGCTACAAGGCCTCCTGGATCCTGACTGAAGACCACAGTTTCGAGGACCGCATGATAGATGACCTATCAGTGAGCTGGGGACTGCCTGGGATGTGGGGCAGGGCTGGGTGTGTCTAGGAGAACCCCGGGAGCTGGAGAGGTGGCTCGGTAGTTAAGAGCACTGGCTGTTCTTCCAGAGGACCCGGGTTCAATTCCCAGCGCCTACACGGTGGCTCACACCTGTTTGTAACTCCAGTTCCAGGGGATCGGACACCCTCATATGGACATACATGCAGGCAAAACACCAATGCACATAAAAAATTTTAAAACATGAAAAAAGAAATGGGGGGCTGGAGAGATGGCTCAGAGATTAAGAGCACTGGCTGCTCTTCCAGAGGACCTGAGTTCAATTCCCAGCAACCACATGGTGGCTCACAACCATCTGTAATGAGAGCTGGTGCCCTCTTCTGGCTTACAAGCACACATACAAGCAGAACACTGTATACATAATAAATAAATCTTAACATAATAAAAAAGAAAGAAATGGGACCCCTTAGGCTTGATTTGCAAAAATAGAGAAAATTCGAATCCATCAAGGCTATGAGAGGAGACTGAAGGGGACCCCCAAAAACACCATCCTCCAGCCCTCACCCCATCCCTGCAGAAAGCCGGGGAGCAGGAGGAAGAGGAGGAGGAAGTGGAAGAGAAGAAGCCAGACCCCCTACACCAGCTGGTCCTGCACTTCAGCCGCACTGCCCTGACTGAGAAGAGGTGAGGGCAGCCCCCAATCAGAGAGAGAAAAGATGCTGACCTCCAACTCTAAAAATTACATTGACGTACTCACTGTGTGTGCATGTGTACACAGTGCTCACGTGGAGGCCAGAGGGTAACTTGGAGGAGTCTGCTCTTTCCTAGCAATCAAACTCAGCCTTCTTTGGCTGAAGGCAGGGTTTAAATGAGTCCACCAGACCCAAGATAAATGATAAATAGGTATTTGTTAGGGAACACTTACACAGATAAGAGTAAATAACCACTGTGGTCTTCCTGCTCCAGAAGACGCAGTCTCTGTCCTTCCAAAGCTCTCCGCAACCCAAGAGAGCTCGAACCAACCTCTCCTCTATCTTATAACGGGTGGTGTCTGCACCTGAAACCACGCCCAAAGGGTGCGGCCACCACTACAAGTTCACTGGCAAGGCAAGGTGCCACTACACTAGGCAGTAAGCTCTTTCACCCTCTGAACCATCCTACCGGCCCCCAGTCGTGGGACCTTTAGCGCTACACTGTATACAGTGTACGGCTACTGTGTATACGGCTATTGTGTACTGCTGCCCCTATGGACACTTTACAAGAGCATCTCCTGAGGGGCTCACAAAAGAGACCACATGGGTTTGTTAAAAGAACATGTCTACATATATAACATCTGGGCTGGGAATGTAGCTCAGTAGCATGTTTGGTTGGCATGCACAAGGGCCTGGGCTCAAGCCCCCAGAGCTGGAATAAAACAAAACGACAGAAATGGAAACATTTTTTTTTTCTGACAAAGAGAGGCTGTTGTGGGGGAAATCAATATATATATGAATTTTTTTTCTAACTCACTTGAAGACTTTCATCTGGGTTAATGACAATCTTGGTAATTAATGATAGTGAGGATGCTTCTGGTAATAATAGGCAAGGGCTGGCTGGCTGGCTCAGCAGTTAAGGGTTCTTGCTGCTCTTGCAGAGAACCCCCAGCTCAGTACCAACATCCAGGTAACTGCAGGCCACCATCTGTTTGGGGAGATCTGGCTCCCTCTTCTGGCCTCTAAAGACACTGCATGCACATGGTACGCATTCAGACAAAGCACACACACATTAAAATACTTTTTAGAAATATAAAAGTTAAGCCGGGCAGTGGGGGGTGCACACCTCTAATCCCAGCATTCGGGAGGCAAAGACAAGTGGATCTCTGTGAGTTCAAGGCCAACCTGGTCTACAAAGCAAAGTCCAGGACAGCCAGAGCTACACAGAGAAACCCTGCCTCAACCCCCCCCAAAAAAAAACAAAAGGAAGAGGGGGGGAGAAGGGAAGGAAAAAGTTAGGAGGTTCCCACTGGATCTGTCTCCCTGTCTCCCTGCTCCCTTCCTCAGCAAACTGGATGAGGATTACCTGTACATGGCGTACGCAGACATCATGGCAAAAGTGAGTGTCCCCGCCTCCCGCGGGGGAAGGGGCTAGTGGGGGCAGGACATCCACTTGGCTCACTCTCACCATTTCAATGGCTGCTGCTCCCCAGAGTTGCCACCTGGAGGAGGGCGGGGAAAACGGCGAAGAAGGTGAAGAAGAGGGATCCGAAGTGTCCTTCGAGGTTCGTGGACGGGGGTCCTGGAGGAAGGGTCGGGAACTCTTGACTCCATTCATCCGTCATGTGACCAGAGAACTATACCTGGGCATGCAGTTAGTCCTCAGGGGTGAAGGACACAGGACCCAAGCCTTCGCTGTGGGGTAGTGAGGCCTGGGCAGAGGGTGGAGCCAGGATTCGGCCAACGGGGGGAGGAGGGGGGGTGGTACAGCAGCCCAGACACAGTGAGAGCATCAGAGAGGGGTCTCAGAGAAGGAAATGGCTCAGCAGGATGAAAGTACAACACAGCAGCCAGCCGTGGTGTCCAACACCTGTAGTCCCAGTATTCAAGGGAATGGATAGAGGAAGCATGAGTTCAAGGCCTGCCTAGATCCACCATGAACTTTAAAAAAAGGAGAGGGCAAGATATTTAAGGCTAGAGAGACAGCCCGGTGGCTAAGAGCACTGGCTGCTCTTCCAGAGGTCCTGAGTTCAGTTCCCAGTAACCACATGGTTGCTCACAACCTACTGTAATTCCAGTTCCAGGGGATCTTATGCCCTCTTCTGGTCCTTATGGGTACTGCATACATTACACATAACACACTGAGGAGTACACACGAACATACACAGAAAATAAATCTTTTTTAAAAATACATAAAAACAAAATTCCTAAGTTAGGCATAGTGATTCATGGTTGTAATATCAGCACTTGGAAGGCTGAGGCAGGAGGTCAAAAGTTCCAGGCCAGTACAGGGCTACACTGTAAGACCTCTGTCAAAACCAAATCTGTAATTGGATCTGAAGCGAGATGTAGCAAGGGGTAACTGAGAGGTTGTGATGAACTCTAAGATGTCTGAGACAATTATGTGACACGGACGCACCTGCGACTCTTCTTGGTGACAAGGCAAGAGTTCTGATACTTCCACAGAAGAGGGAAGGCCAGGCTTCCCTTAGAAAGTCAAGCGCCGAACGTGGGGCGTTTCCACACCCAGATGGCTTAGGCTCCAGGCGCGGACCTGAGCCAGGTACAGGAGACAAACAGGGTGTGAGCCCCTAGGGGGATGGAGGGATCTCACAGTTGGAGAGTGGCAGGGGTAGCTGGAGCTGGGGAGACAGACTGAGAAGCACCGGGCTAGGCTGCTGAGCACCGGAACCCGCCCCGCCTCCCCCCCAGGAGAAGGAGATGGAGAAGCAGAGGCTCCTGTACCAACAGTCACGGCTGCACAATCGGGGCGCCGCTGAGATGGTGCTGCAGATGATCAGTGCCTGCAAAGGTGCCGTCTGTCCCCAACCCTAGGCGTTGCCCCTTTCCCCCGTGAGCACGCGATTGCCGCATCGTCTTCAGGGCACCCAGTCACACACGCACGCACGCACGCACGCACACACATACCACACACACACCACACACACACACCCGTCTGTGCACACACGCGCGCGCGGGCACACACACACACGCCACACACATGTCTGTGCACACACACGCGCATGCACACACGCACACACGCACGCACCCACACCACACACACATGCGCACACGCGCGTGCACGCGCACACCCGTCTGTGCACACACTCATCTCCTCCTTTCATGTCCCTGTGATGACTGATTTTGTTATTTTTGTTTTGTTTTGTTTTGACTTTTGGTGGGCGGAGCCTCAAATTCAGCAGATCATTTATTTGTTTGTTCGCATCATCTCCACTACCTCCAGGAGAGACAGGCGCCATGGTGTCTTCCACCCTGAAGCTGGGCATCTCCATCCTCAATGGAGGGAACGCTGACGTGCAGCAGGTGACAAACACACGGGATCTTCCGAGGGGGAGGAGGAGGAGGGTTGAATGTGTGGGTGGGTGACTGGGTGTGGATGGGTGTTCCCGAGTGGCTCCCAGGTCTCCCCCACCCCCATCTCCTGCTACCTCCCCTGCAGAAAATGCTGGATTATCTGAAGGACAAGAAGGAAGTGGGCTTCTTCCAGAGTATCCAGGCGCTTATGCAGACATGCAGGTGGGAGCCGCGTCCGTCTCCCAGGTCTGCGCTAAGGGGGTGGCTGTGTCCTCCTGCCCTGGGCTACTCTGTTCTACTTATACTGTCCCAGTCCAGGGAGGGGGACCTACACGGAGGAGCACAGATTCTAGAGAGCTGACTGGAGGAATTAATGTGGAAGGCAGAATGTCATGCGTTTTAAGAATGAGTGGCCCGGCGATGGTGGCACATGCCTTTAATCCCAGCACTCGGGAGGCAGAGGCAGGCGGATCTCTGAGAGTTCGAGGCCGGGCTGTACTGACAGCCTCCAAAACAATACAGAGAAACCCTGTCTCATAAAACCAAAAAAAAAAAAAAAAAAAGAATGAGTGGGGGGGGGCATGGAGAGATGGCTCAGCAGTTAAGAGTTCTGGCCGCTCTCTCAGAAGACCCGGGTTCAATTCCAAGCACCCGCATAGCAGATCACAACTGTCTGTAACTCCAGTTCCAGGGGACCGGACACCCATGGCAAAATACCAATGCACATTTAAAAAATGAGTTATGGGTTGGCACTGTACTTTGGTGGCAGAGCAAACGGCCTGGGTTCCTTCTCCAGCATGGAGGGGAGGACAGGAGATGTGAAATGTGCCTGGGACTCCAGCACTCAGAAAGCAGAGGCAGGAGGATTACAGAGAGTGTAAGGATAGCCTGAGCTACATGAGACCCTGTTTCAAAACGGGGAGGGGAGAGAGAGTAGTAATACGGGTTTGGGCAAGCAGAACCAGGAGGTCATTGGCAGTTCAAGGGAGGGTACAGCAGTCTCTGGGGCTCTCTTGGATACCATACTGTGTGGATTTTCTGTCATCTGTCTTTCTTCCCTTCTTGCTGTCATGATTTCTTCCCTACTCCTCTGTAGGTTTTGCTAACTGGGGTTTTCTGTTTCTTCGTGATTTCAGCTTGCATCCTGGACTCTTCATAGGGCCAGAGTGGATAGCGGCTTAGGAAAGAGGGTGGGGCACAGACGGAGGGCGGGAGGAGGGTGGGGTCCAGGCAGAGGGTCACGCACTGATCAGGAGGTAGATGGGGTGAAGGGTGGGACGGAGATCTGCAGAAGGTGAGGGGGCGGGGCCGGGACGTGGCTTCCATCGGTCTCAGGTTTTGCTGGCCCTCTAATCCATCCCCTCTGGTCCTCCTGACTCTTCAGCCACAGTGGGGGCTGTCGGGCCATGGACAAGAGAGAAATCATCTCTTTCCCCAGCGTCCTGGACCTCAACGCCTTCGAGAGGCAGAACAAGGCAGAGGGCCTGGGCATGGTGAACGAGGATGGAACTGGTGAGACCTTTCTCTGGGCGCCCCTTCCCCGAGACATCCCCTTCCTCGGGGTCCCCCTCTCCATCCACTGTCCCTGCCCAGCCCACAGCCCCGGTCCCCCAAGGCACCCCACTTCCCAAGAGTTCCCTTAGGTTCCCCAGGGTCGTGATCCCCAGTCCTGAGGACCCCTCCATCCCTCCAGGCTCTCCCTCCCCACGGGACCCACCCCTGGTGTCATTTCTGTCTGGTGTTCCCTCCCCCATTACCTCGTGGACCCGCCCTCCACGTGCCCCAAGCCTCACTCTGGATGCTGCTCATTAATGTCCCTAATCCGGTTAATCAAGTCTTCTCTTTGCCGTGTTTTGACGTGTCTAACTTTCCTCCCTGACCTCTGCCTCCTGCCTCTCTTGGGTGCTCTCTCTCTCTCTCTCTCTCTCTCTCTCTCTCTCTCTCTCTCTCTCTCTCTCTCTCTCTCTCTCTCTCTCTCTCTCTCTCTCTCTCTCCCCTCTCTCTCGTTCATGTTCCCTTTTCCCACTCTCACCCTCCCCCGGCTTTCCCCTCCTTTGCTAACCCACCCCCTTCTGTCTCCTTATGTCTGTCTTTCTCTCTGTGCTTGTGGCTGTGTGTCTGTGTCTTTGTCCCCAACCGTGTCGACTGTACTTCTGTCTGTCTCTGTCTCTTTTTCCTCTTTTCTCCTGCTTCCTCCTCCCATCCCGTTGGCTGCCCCAGTCATCAATCGCCAGAACGGTAATTCTCCCGCCATCCTTTGCTGTGCTGCGCCCACCCCTCCCCTTCTAACCCCGATGCCCCCTGGAGCTGAGGATCTGGGACAATCTGGGCGGTCAGGGTGGTCCCTTCAGTGGATCCTGTGGAGAGGGTTGAGATCCCCGAGGCCAGAGGCCGGTGGCACTGTGAATAAGTCTTTTATCTAATAAGTCTTTTATCTAAGCTTCAGTTTCCCCGTGTGTAACACATAAATTAAAAAAAAAGACAGCCGGCCGGGCGGTGGTGGCGCACGCCTTTAATCCCGGCACTCGGGAGGCAGAGACAGGCGGATCTTTGTGAGTTCGAGACCAGCCTGGTCTATAAGAGCAAGTTCCAGGACAGCCTCCAAAGCCACAGAGAAACCCGGTCTCGAAAAACCAAAAATAAAAAATAAGAAAAAAGACAACCAAGGTCCCTTTTCGCCTCTATATTTTGGGGCTTCCAGACCCAGATTCCCAGTCCAGGGTGGGATGAGCCCCCCATCCCCACCCCCACCCTCTCTGCGCTGAGCGTCAGAAACCCAGACTGTGGTTAACGTTCGTGGGAGGCAGCCACTCTGATTGGTGCCGCGCGTGCCCTCTGCGCCTGCTCTGATTGGCCCATTCCCCAACCTAGATCTTATAGCCCACCATGATTGGATTCTTTCAGATGTCTATTCTGATTGGACCATGTCGATACACCCCTGCTTCTCCTGGGTTGGCTGCTTTTGGCCAGTCGGTTGGCTTTCAATCCCTGTCTCCTCCCAGCCCCGCCCTCCCTTCCCCCCTCCCCGCTCCGCACCGCTCAGAGCCTTGTGTGCAAGTGGCCCCAACCCCTATAATCCATTAACCCCTGCAGCCTGGAGTGGGGCTCAGGGTTATACCAGCTGCTGAATGTCTTCTGGGTCACTCCTAGATGTCACACAAATGGTGACATTGGAGGGACACTTGTGTAGAAAGACACTTGAGGCCCCGGGCCTACATCTGTGGATGTCACTGGCTGGTGTCGTGGACGCCGATGGCCCTCATAGTGTCTTTGGAGTAGTGACCGCACCTCTCAGCACCCCATACATTGTGCATGCGTGTGCAGTGTGCATGGGCTGTGTGCATGTGTGTGCTGTGTCCTGGCGCATCTGACCCCCCTGGCCCTGCCCCTGTCCTCCCGCCCAGGAGAGAAGGTCATGGCGGATGATGAATTCACGCAAGACCTGTTCCGCTTCCTGCAGCTGCTCTGCGAGGGACACAACAACGGTGAGCAGCACGGTGGGCGGGGTGTGGAGGACACAGGTATGGGGCTCCAAAAGTCGCCTGGGCTGACCTCCAACCCCCTTCCTCCCCTCCCCCGTCATGACTTCCCCAGCCATGCTGGCCTTGTCGAGCTTCGGTCTGTCTGCCTTCCTCTACTCGAGGAAGGAGCGCGGTGTGTGAGGACCAAGGGTTCAAGGTCACCTTAGTTACATGGCTAGCCTGAGCTACATGAGATCCCGTCCCAAAGAAACAAAACAACAGTAACACATTTCTTTGAGTTCTGAAACTTCTGGGTTCAAACCATTTAGCTCCGTTTTCATTTCCTCCGGCCAGTCCAACTCCGCAAGGCGATCTGCCAAAATCCAGGTTGGCCAGAAGTCAATTTACCCAAATGGGCAATTTGTCACACTCCGTTTTCCCACAGGCATTTGGCAGCCCTCACTGAGGGCTGGGTTCCAGTACTTGGCGTCCACAGACGAACTCATCGCTTGGTGTTTAAAAATGAATCTATTGGATTTATTCATTTGTTTATCACATAAAACATTTTCCCAGAAGATGTCCAGAGTCTTTCTTAACAGAAGCGAGAATTTTCACAGGATCTGTTCTCATGGTGCCAATTTAACAAAATCCAGGGTGACACGGCCCGTTAATTAAACACGGTGTCAATGGAAAACTAGAACTCCATGCGGCTCGAGCAGCTTCCGCTAAAGGAACAGTTAAGCTGGGCACGGCAGCAAGGGCCTGTAATCACTTTGGCTGAGCAGTGAGCGTTTGTCTCCAAAGCCAAAATCAAAGAGCAGCCCAGATCCTGAACAACCTTCCCACAAGGCCATTTCCCATTACAAACGTGTCACACAGTAATGTGTGCAAAGCTCATAGACCGTAGGAAACCATGGAGCGTGTGAGTGTGTGTGTGTGTGTCTGTCTGTCTGTCTGTCTCTCTGTGTGTATGTAGTGTGTGAGTGTGTGTGTGTGTCTGTCTGTCTGTTTCTCTGTGTGTATGTGGATCTATGTGAGTGTGTGCTATAGGTGACTCTGATTGTGTGATGCATATGTGTGTGACTGTGTGGTGTGGGTGACTGTGCTGCGTGTCTGTGTGTGACTGTGTGATCTGGGTGACTGGGTGAATGTGTGACTTTGCATCTGTCTGTGGTACATCAGATGCCTTCCTCTTGTCAATCTTTGCGTTATAGGCTTGAAACAGAGTTTCTCACTGAACAGGAACTCACACACACACACACACACACACACACACACACACCTTTATCATTCAGACTGGTTGACCAGGGAGCACTTGGAATCTGCCTGTCTTTTCAGCTACATACTAAATTCAAGGCTAGCCTGAGCTACATGAGATCCTGTCTCAAATAAACAAACAAAGCAAAGCCAAATAAAACAAAAGCATGGTAGCTCACATTTTTAATCCCAACACTTGGGGGGGCAGAGGCAGATGAATTTCTGAGTCCCAGGCCAGCCTGGACTCAGAAAGTGAGTTCCAGGACAGCCAGGGTTACACAGAGAAACTTTGTCTCAAAAAATAAAAAATAAAGAAAAACAGTTGAAGGTGGATATGATGGCTACTCAGTTGTAACTCTAGTACTTGGGAGTCTGAGGCACATCTCCAAACCCTGTCTCATGGAAACAAAAAGAGAGAGAGGCGGGTTAGAGGGCTCACTGGGTGAAGGGGCTTGCTGCCAAGCCTGGTGACGTAAGTTGGTTCTCAGGACCCAAGTGGTAGATGGAGAGAGCTGACTTTCGACCTTATTAGCATCTAGTGCAAGCCTTCCCACTTACCCTCAGGAATAAACTAACAAAAACCAAATTAGACAGGGTTTCACTCTGCAGCCTTGAATGGCCTGGTATTTACCATGTACACTAGGTTAGCTTCAAACTCACAGAGATCCACCTGCCTCTGTCTCCCCAGAGCTGGGATTAAAGATGGGGACCATCATACCCATACCTAAATAAGTGGTAAAAAATTAATGTGTATGGGTACCTTGCCTGCAAGTATGTATGTGCACCATGAGCATGCAGTTCTTGATGAGACCAGAAGAGGGCGCCAGATCATCTGGCACTGAAGTTACAGATGGTTGGGAGCTACTATGTGGATGCTGGGGAATGAACCCAAGTCCTCTGGAAGAGCAGCCAGTGCTCTTAATCACAGAACCATCTCTCCAGGTCCATAAATTAATTTTTTAAAGTTTACCAAAAAACTGAAGAAAGGAGAAGGGGGAAGCTGAATCTCTAACTGCATTTGCTTCACGGAGGCCCTCAATGTCTTCAGATAAATAAATAAATGACGCCCCATCCCTGTGTGACACACATTCTTCGGACTTCTGGCACACAGTAGGCAGTAAATACAAACATTGCATAAGTGATAGTGATAGACACCATTGCCTCCCCAGACACAGGCGCGCACTGAATAAAAGGATGCTTCGTTTCCTTAGATTTCCAAAACTACTTACGGACACAGACGGGGAACACGACCACCATCAACATCATCATCTGCACAGTGGACTACCTCCTGCGGCTGCAGGTGAGGAGGGGGTGCCAGCCTCATGGGACCTGAGCCGGGGCCGGCGGGACCGCGCACGCCTCCAGCACCCCTCCTGCCTCCCGGCCCCGCGGGACCGCGCACGCCTCCAGCACCCCTCCTGCTTCCCGCCCCACAGGAGTCCATTAGTGACTTCTACTGGTACTACTCGGGCAAGGATGTTATCGAGGAGCAGGGCAAGAGGAACTTCTCCAAAGCCATGTCGGTAGCTAAACAAGTGTTCAACAGCCTCACTGAGTACATCCAGGTAGGGCCAGGACTTGGGGACCTGCAGAGGCAGAGCTGCCCGCGTCCAGAACCCCTGCCTGCGTGGGGGTTTCATGCCTCCTTCTGTCCTCAGGGACCCTGCACTGGGAACCAGCAGAGTCTGGCGCACAGCCGCCTCTGGGATGCCGTGGTCGGGTTCCTGCACGTGTTTGCCCACATGATGATGAAGCTGGCTCAGGTTTGAGTTCGTCCTTTATCCGCCCTCTACCTCTGCCTAAGGTCCGCGTCACACTGGGTAGTTCTGTAGTGCTCCGGGCATGTTCCAGACAGGCTCCCTCCCCGTGGCTAAAACCCGTTATGAATCAGTCCTCTGCATGCATCTTTCTCTGCCCCACCCATCGGCTCGTTTCCCACCTACACTTCCATTGGTCTGACTTTGGATCCCCACCCCTACTGTCCAGAACGCTCCCGTGCCTGGTTGGTATCGTTTTCTCTCTGATGGGGTCACCCCAGATTCTTCCAGCTTTGGGATGGGATGGGACCATGCTTCTAGATTAGGGCCTGGGGCTGAAGGAGTGTTCCTTCTTTACCGTGCCTGCGGCAGATGACTCCCGTGTCGGGTACCCATGATGTAAGGATCCTGCTCCCAGAATGCTTGCGTTCTCCTTCTCCCCGCTGCCTTGCGAATGCCTCGCACACACTCCGTCCATCTGTGTGCTTCTGCTTGGTAGACTTAGTCAAGGCTTGTACAGCTGGGCAAGTTTGTACACTGCATGAAGAAAGGGCAACAAGCTGCCACAGAGCATCCTAACCACTACAAATACATTGGTGTAGTACAATAATTGTCCGGCAGGTGGCAGTCAAGCATTCTGAATAATTTCCCACCAACCAAGGACTTGAAGGAGACCCTCCCCTAATTTGATGTCCTCTAACTCTAAAAGGACTTGAGAATTCAGGTTCTCAGTACAGTTGGGCACGTGATGCTGCTATAATCTTAAAATACTGGTGGAAATGAACTTCCAAGTACTACTGTGATAGTTCATCAGTAGCAGTCCAGTTGCAGGTTACAAGGGATATTCAATACAAGGAGCTGGGGTGTGGCTCAGTGGTAGAACACCTGCCTAGAATCCCCCAGTGAGGGACTAGGGGTGTGGCTCAGTAGTAGAGCCTCTGCCTAGAATCCCCCAGTGAGGGGCTGGGGTGTAGCTCAGTGGTAGAGCCCCTGCCTAGAATCCCCCAGTGAGGGACTAGGGGTGTGGCTCAGTGGTAGAGCCCCTCCTTAGAATCCCCAGTGAAGGGCTGGGAGCGTGGCTCAGTGGTGGAGCCCCTGCCTAGAATCCCCCAGTGAGGGGCTAGGGGGTGTGACTCAGTGGTAGAGCCCCTCCTTAGAGTCCCCCAGTGAGGGGCTGTAGGTGTGGCTCAGTGGTAGAGCCCCTCCTTAGAGTCCCCCAGTGAGGGGCTGTAGGTGTGGCTCAGTGGTAGAGCCCCTCCTTAGAATCCCCAGTGAAGGGCTGGGGGCATGGCTCAGTGGTAGAGCCCCTGCCTAGAATCTCCCAGTGAGCGGCTGGAAAAAAGGTGCCCAGTCTTCCCTTCACCCCACTAACAGCTCCAGGCAGTGCGAAGCACATCTTGCCTAGAAGTTCTAAATAAAAGACCCCGAGTTCTCTGGCCGCAGTCTTGGCCGTGTGCTTGCTGTTGAGCCGGTGATCTGAGCCAGAGGAAAGAAATGTCTGGTTGGCCAGACACACTGCCGTATTCATTCCTAAAGCCAAAGCCAGGATGTGGAGACAGCTCCATGAGCTCCGGCAGGTTTATAGCTCATCGCCTGGACTGTGGCAGCTAAGATAAAACAGACTCGTGGGAAAGCACAAAGCCTGGGACCCATTAACCTACAGATCCTAGTTTGCTGGGAGCCTGAAGTCAGAATACCAAACTTTGTAACTGTGGGATGCGTTAGGATTAGAATGAACAACTCCCAGAACCAGCATGGGGGCAAAGGAGCCTCACAGCTCCTGTGTGAGGCCAGGAAAATTACACTATGCGCCGCACATGGCACTTAGGTGTGACTGAAAATAATACAGATGCTGCAATGGGGGCTTTGATGGAGGTTTCTGTGAGTCCTCCATTGTGAGTCCTCCCTCCATTGTGAGTCCTCCCTCCATTGTGAGTCCTCTATTGGACACCGTGGCCGGGGGGCGCACCGGCTTCTTATTTCCCAAAAATGGCATATCAAAAAGTGCATGGCTGTCCCCTTGAACTTCCTCATGGTCCCACCTGTCTGTCACGGTCAGATCCATCCAGGCCATGTCCCTATAGACCTGGCACCACGCTGGGATTTCATCCTCCTAAGACCTGAGTATCTGTCCCCGTCTGTCTGTCCCACTCTGGCCTGAATGTCTGTTCACCAAGGCTCATGGCTTCCCTGTCTGCCAGCACCACGCCCCCCATGCGCTTTCCCGGGGTACCAGCCCCACCCCCACAATCTTGTCTCTCTGTCCCCCCTGTGCTTCCGAGGAACATGTTTGGACGCAGGCCCCCTCAGAGGTAAGAGGGAGAAAGAGGGGAGCATAGGCCCTGCTGGATAGGTGAGGGAGCCCCAGACCCCCGGTCAGTAGGATGGCTACTCTGCCGAGACGCGGCCACTCACAGCGGGGTGTGCGCCCTCTAGGACTCCAGCCAGATAGAGCTGCTGAAGGAGCTGCTGGACTTACAGAAAGACATGGTGGTGATGTTGCTGTCCCTCCTGGAAGGTAACGCCCAGCGGAGTTGCGGGGGCGGTTTACACAAAGCCAAGAATGGTGCTTGAGACCCAAAATGCCCTGACTCTGAGCCGCGTCTGCTGTAACAAGGTCAACAAAATATCTACCAAGTACTGTGTTTGAGCCAGGCCCTGACTGTATGGATGTTAATTTTTGTGGTTCCACAGAGAGGTTTTAGTGAGATGAGTTGCCAGGATACTTTATTTATGAACTTAATATTTATTTATTAGATATACCAATATAATGCATGAATAGTTACTAAATGTATCAATTAGTTTTCTGCATGACAAATATCCACCAAGTTTAGCAACTTGAAATGCCTCTTATTGAATAATAATAGCAATAACATTTATAGTAATAATAATAATAATTTAACCCTGTGCTACATGGTTAGTCCAGGTCAGCTTGCCCTAATAGCAAGACCCCATCTCAAACACAAATAAACAAAACCAAGGGCTGGAGAGATGGCTCAGTGGTTAAGAGCACTGGATGCTGTTCCAGAGGACCCAGATTCAATTCCCAGTACCCACATGACAGCTCACATCTGTCTGCAACTCCAGTTCCAGGGGCTCCAGTGCCTTCTTTGAGGGCACTGCGTGTATGTGATATACAAAACATATATGCACCATCTGTAATAATAATGACAACAACAGTAATAATAAAGTTGGGTATAGTGGCACACAGGAGGCTGAGGCAGGAGGATCAAGAGTTCAGTACCTTTCTCAGCTACATAGAGTTTGAGACGAGCCCAGTCTACCCGGGCTACAACAGCTCAAAAACCACAAAACAAAACACTTCTTTCAAATCTCTCTTTCTCCCTTTCTGGAATTAAACCCAGGGCTTTATATTTATCAAGCTTGTACTCTGTTAAAAATCTATTCTCTACCGGCTTATTCTTTTATGTGGATGCAGACCACTCCATTGTGAGGTATTGGGTAAAATCGTTAAATTAAATCCCTATTGGTGGACATTCAAATCGTTTTTCTTCCCCAGAGTGCTGGGGCAAGAACCCAGGACCTTACCCATGCCTCTGAACTGCACCGCAGGCCCTCAAGTGCCCTTGCTTTTAGTCTTTGAGACAGAGTCCTACTCTACAGCCCAGGCCTCGAGAGAACTCATGACAATCCTCCTGCTCCAGCTTCACAGCTGTTGACATTACAAGCAGGCACCTCCACAGCCAGGTGCATCAGTATAAAGTTTTTAGGCCTGTGAGCTCTGAAGTCACAGGCTCTGGGTGCAAATCCCCCCTTGCCTATTTACCAGCTAGAGAGCTCTTAGTGAAATTGTACAGTGATATCAAACCACTTACAAGGTTCTCCTGGGGCAGCTCTTGGTACAGCCCCCCTGGCACAGGGTCCCACTGTCAACCTGTGTCACCACTACCCTCAGTGGAAAGCCAGTGAGTGGGCCGGCAAATTATCAAAAGAGGATGCCCATGGAGGTACCAGATGGTCCTCTTCCCGGAGGTGTGGGAGGGGGCCCCGGAAGTGCCCACCTGCTTGGTGGGTCCTAAGGAGCCATGGGTGGCTTCTGAGCTGGAGAGAGAGAAAACGCAGAGCCGGGTGCACCGACCCGGGTCCAGAGTCGATGCTCTGCGGGGCCGCACTGACCCAGGTCCAGAGCTGATGCTCTGCGGGGCCACACCGACTCAGGTCCAGAGTTGATGCTCTGCAGGGCCACACCGACCCGGGTCCAGAGCTGATGCTCTGCCGGGCCACACCAACTCAGGTCCAGAGCGGATGCTCTGTGGGGCCGCACTGACCCAGGCCTCCCGCAGGGAACGTGGTAAACGGCATGATCGCGCGGCAGATGGTGGACATGCTCGTGGAGTCCTCATCCAACGTGGAGATGATCCTCAAGTTTTTTGACATGTTTCTGAAACTCAAGGACATCGTGGGCTCGGAGGCCTTCCAGGACTATGTCACAGACCCCCGCGGCCTCATCTCCAAGAAGGACTTCCAGAAGGTGGGTGCTGGATAGCAGGTGAGCCCAAGATCCAGGCAGGGTCGCCAAGTGCCAGCAGTACCTCTCTGGTTGGCTGCCTTGGATGAGAGGCTTCTTGCTTGGCCTCAGTTTCCTTGTCTGTAACATGGGAACGATCTGAGGGTGGTGGTTTACACCCCAGGACTTGGGAAGCTGAGGCAGGAAGATTGTGACTTGAGACCAGTGCTTGAGGCTATCTTTAGGATGCAATGCATGTGTTCTCACACCTATGAGAGCCGTTATTACTATATAAGCCATTGTTACTATATAAACCATTGTTACTATATAAGCCATTGTTACTATATAAGTCATTGCTACTATATAAGCCACTGTTACTATATAAACCACTGCTACTATATAAGCCATTGTTACTATAAAAGCCATTGTTTATCCCAGCACTCCGGAGGCAGTGGCAGACGGATCTCTGTAAGTTCCCGGCCAATCTGTTCTACAGAGTGCGCTCCAGGACAGCCAGGCTACACAGAGAAACCCTGTCTTGAAAAACCAAAATAAATAAATAGATAGAAAGAAAGATAGACAGACAGACAGACTGACCCTTATTTGTAAACAGTCACAGCATTATCATCTCATCCATCAGCTTTCCATTGCTGTGACAAAATACCTAAGACAATGCACTTAAAGGGAGGAAGATTTTTGTTTCCACAGCAGAAGCTACTTTTCTCTTTCAGCAGGGAATCCCCAAGGAAGAGAGGTTTCTTTTGTTCATAGTTCAATCCGTGATCACTTGACCCCGTTACTTTGAACCCCTGGCAAGGCAGATCCAGTGAGGAAAGCATGTCAGAATACAGCAGCTCATCTGCTGGTGGCCAGGAGCAGAGAGAAAAAGAGAAGGGGCCAGAGTCCCTGACATACTCTTCAAGGGATACGCCCCAAACCTACATCTTCCCACCAGGCCCCACACACTAATGTTTTACACAGCTCCCCAGTGGTCTGGACATCTGGGGATCATACCCAGAGCACATGAGCTCTGGGGGACACTTGAGGGGGGCATGGCTGCGCACGCCTTTAATCCCAGCCCTCGGGAGGCAGAGGCAGGTGGATCTCTGTGAGTTCGAGGCCAGCCTGGTCTACAGAGCAAGTTCCAGGACAGCCTCCAAAACAATACAGAGAAACCCTGTCTTGAAAAACCAAAGAAGGAAAAAGGAAGGAAGGAAAGAAAGAAGGGAGAAAGAATGCATTAATGAATTGCCTATTGGGAATGGTAACCTTGCGCACACAAGGAACGCCCCCCTACCACCGTGCTACGGCCCAGCCCAGCCCACATATTTCCTGTCGCCATTTTGACAGTGTTCAGAAACCACCCCAGGCTGATGGATAAGTAGCCCAAACAGAATTTCTGAAGACCCTTTCTCCTGTTGCCCAAACTGTTAGCTTTTTGGTTTGGGTTTTGACACTGGGTCTCACGTAGCCCAGGCTGGCCTCAGCTCCCCAGGGATGACCTTGAACTCCTGATCCTGCAGTCTGCACGCCCCAAGTGCTGGGATTCCACGTCTGTATTACTCCATACCGTTCTCTTTTTATCACATCTGCTCCGTCACACTTTCCGTTCCAGTTCCACTGTTCCCTGAAGCTCATTTTCTCCATGACTGCTAAGCAGTGATACAAATCAGGAAATCAACACTGGTACTGGCTCCTTAGCCAACCCTCAGACCTCACTCTGTTCCTACCTGTGGAAGAGATTCTTGCCTGTTTTGATCAGGATCCTCCCTAGCCCTACTGGGCAATGTCTGCTCTGTAAGCCTATGTGGCTGCTAAGGTTTTTACCTCCAGGCTGTCTCTAAAGTAGCTCAGTGGTAGAGCCCCTGCCTAGAATCCCCCAGTGAAGGGCTGGGGGTGTGGCTTAATAGTAGAGCCCCTGCCTAGAATCCCCCAGTGAGGGTCTGGGGGTGTGGCTCAGTGGCAGAGCCTCTGCCTAGAATCCCCCAGTGAGGGGCTGGAGGTGTGGCTCAATAGTACAGCACCTGCCTAGAATCCCCCAGTGAGTTCTTGCCTAACACATAGGGTGCTATACCATCTGTGTAGATTATTTGTTCTGTGTGTATGTGATGCATGTGTGTTTTGGGGCAGGGTACATGCTGGTGAATGGGCCTGTCTGTGCTTCCATGAGAGTGTATGTAGAAGTCAGTGCAGGATTTAAAGTGTCTTCACATTCTGCCTTATTGATTATCATTATTGTGGGAGTGTGGAGTTATTTATTTCATACTCTTATTTTGTGAGCTGACTTCCTATCCCTGGTGTCTGTTTAGTTGTTTAGTTGTTTGTTTGTTTTTGAGACAGGATCTCATTCGGCAACCAAGACTGGTCTAGATCTTTGTGTAGCTCAGGCTGTCCTGGAACTCACAGCAATCCTCTTGCCTCAGCATCCTAGGTGCTGGGATTATAGGTGGGTGCCAAGGCTTTTCTTTATGATGCTATTTTAGCCATGCAGAATATTTTACTTTCATGTGGAAATACATTTTTAAAATTTCATTAACTTTTAGCAAAGTAAACAATACTAACCAAACAAGAACACGTTTATTCATCTTGTAAAGAATTCCGAACTTGTAGGGTGGAGGTCACTTTCTTCAAGTTCTGTTTCATTGGTTATCATTATTGCGGGTGGTGGCTCCTGTGAGTCAAAGGACCACTGTCAGTTGGCTCCTTCCATCGTGGGCTCCAGGAATCCAACTCAGGTCGTGAGGTTTGTGCTGGCAATCGCTTTTATCGGCCGGACTGTCTGGTTTGAGTACTATTCCCAGTCAGGCTTTACCTCCCTCTGAAGGCTGCTGGCAGACAGAGGGGTCTGCGTTATCTTTTCTCCGATCCATCCTTGTGCAAACCTAAGCTACCGAAAAACCACAGCACATGGAGGTAAATGTGGGCTCTCTGCTGCTGGGCTAAAAGACGGCCCCGTGTGGTGCCACCCCCTGGGGCTGGGGGCAGTGACTCTCCTGGCACGCAGCTAGGTCGCAGGATAGTCACCCAGCAACAGGGCTACTTGGTGGGAAACGAAAAATGCAGCCTGTTGTTCTAGAGATGGACTTGGCTGTCAAGCATGAAGCCTTCCTTGTGTTTGACCCCAGCCCCATGGAAAGGGGAGGGGAGGAACCTCTTTCAGGGGGTTGAAACAGTTAGGCTATTGAGTGAGTGTGTGGGCTCCGGGCTACACCCCCAGCCCCCACTTTTAATGCATTTTCCAGGTTTTTTCCCCTTTGGTTTTACGAGACAGGGTTTCTCTGCATTGTTTTGGAGGCTGTCGGTCCAGCCCGGCCTTGAACTCACAGAGATCCTCCAGCTTCTGCCTCCCGAGTGCTGGGATTAAAGGCATGCACCACCACTGCCCGGCCATTTTCCAGTTTTGAGACAGGGTCTCACTATGTTACTGGGGATAGCCTTCAAGTTGTGCTCCTCTCCTGGCCTCTGAGTGCCTTGTGCTACCGGCCTTGGGCTAAAGACATCAGGCTCAGCTAAGACTGCATTTTGAACAGCACGTATCTGCAATGTGCTGTAATTTGCATGCTCTTGGCCCACACATTAAAAATTTCCAACACAGTGGTGTGAGGGTATTGAGAGAATGGTGTAAATGTCACCGTCTAACTTCAGAACGTCCTTGTCGCCCGTTAGCAGTCACTGCCCCTTTCGCCCACCCCATCCGCTAGGAACCATGAGCCCAATGTCTGTCTCTAAAGATCGGCCTGTTCTGGACACTGCTTATCTGGGGTATCATACAACATGTGTGTGCATGTGTGTACATGTGTGTGCATGTGTGTACATGTGTGTGCATGTGTGTGTGCCTTCCTTTTATTTGACAATAGGGACGTTACCACTCCTAACCAAAAGCACACCATAAAAATAAAATTAAAATTATCTACCACCAGGGCTAGGCAGACTGCTCAGTGGTTAAGAGCACTGGCTGCTCTCCAAGAAGACCCAGGTTCAATTCCCAGCACCCACATGGTGGCTCACAACCATCCTTAACTCTGTTTCCAGGGGATCCCATGTCCCTCTCTAGCCTCCGTGGGTCATGAACACAAATGGTGCACACTCATACATGCAGACAAACATTATACACATAAAATAAATATTTTTAAAGGAAGTTTTAGGGTTTTGTTTGTTTGTTTGTTTGTTTTTATTTTTCAAGACAAGGTTTCTCTGTCCTGGAACTCATTCTGTAGACCCGGCTGGCCTCAAACTCTGAAATCCACCTGCATCTGCCTCCCCAGTGCTGGAATTAAAGGTGGAATCACCACGGGCCAAGAAAGGTATTCTTTTTTTTTAAATATGCATTAATGTTTTGCCACGGGTGTTGGGTCCCCTGGAACTGGAGGCAGTTGTGAGCTGCCTGTGGGTGCTGGGAATTGAACTCACTCCATAACAAGGGTCTTAAAAAATTATCCACAATTCACCCACTACTTGGGAGCAAGAGGCAGGCGGATCTCTGTAAGTTCCAGGCCAGCCTGGTCTACAGAGTGAGTTCCAGGTAAGCTAGAGGGGTTACAGAGAAACCCTGTCTCAGAAAAAGGAAAAAAATATACACAATTCACAATTATTATTATCATTATTATTATTATTTGCTTTTTGAGAGATCACTGTATAGCCCAGAGCCTAAGCTGGCCCCCAACTCATAGAAATCCTTCTGCCTCAGCGTCTGAAGTGATGAATTGCAAGTGGACTCCACCACACCCAGCTATAATTCTTTTTTTTTGTTAGTGTTGTGTGTGTGTGTGTGTGTGAGAGAGAGAGAGAGAGAGGAGAGAGAGACAGAGACAGAGACAGAGAGACAGAGAGAGATGTGATGTGTGTGTGTGTGCACGTGGGCAAACATGGGAGGTCTGAGGACAAGAAGTTGTTTCTCTTTACTTTTCTTTTAAAGATTTACTCATTATATGTTTCATTGTTGGTATCTTTTTAAAGATTTATTTATTTATTATGTGTACACTGTTCTTTCTGCATGTATCCCTTCGGCCAGAAGAGGGCACCAG